GGTCTTTGTCTCATATTTCACTGAAGGATCACCAAGCAACCATGTAAAGGAGATTGACTAAGATGATTTATACATAGTTTGTTTTACTTATTATAGGTCCACATCAAGAGGTTAGGTTGTCAACACCCTTGGTTTTAGGAAAAAATATATAAATGATCTTATAATAATGTTTTTGCATCATCTACTTTTCATTTAATACAAAGAAATTCTAATAATGCTTAAAATATTAGCCAAAAGTCTAATGTTGTTAATAACTATTGAAATATGAAAGTGTTTTGCAAATTAATTATAAAATATTAAATTATATATTTATATTTATCAATTTTATAATTTATTTTTTTAGCTTAGCATATAAATAAGTATGGTTAGATAATAATTCTTAGCTCTATAGTCCCAAAAATGTAAAATAAAAAAATCTGATCCAAATTATCAAATTTATTCCAAAAATTATTCTCTTTTTGCTCATGAAGGTACTTTTGATGATGAAATAGGCAATGCTTATAGATCTTTGATTTTTTACATTAAAATGACGGGATCACAACACTCTAAGATCATATTAGTGCCCAAATGCTTCTAGATCTCTGCCCTTTTACTATTTAAGTGGCAATGTCTTGAGATCATACTAGTACCCATGTAAGTCAAAAAGAAATTCTAATTAATAACTTTTTAGATGTCTAAATAATGATATTATTCTTATAATGGAAAAACAAAACTGATATTTGTAAATATCATTTTATAATTTGAACTAGATATAAAGAATCAATCTTAGCTGTGGCACTTGATTGTTGTTTCATTATTTGTACATTTGGCATAATTCCAATGGTTATAGTATAATACACATTAAAGTGTTTCAAACAGTAACCTGATTTTTTAATAGTTGAAGTATTCATTTATCATACATTCTATAGTGTTCTTTAAAAAAAAATCTTAAATTTATTTCAAAACAATATTTATCATAAATTCTATAGATCTTGACCATTTATTTTATGATAACTAACATTGAGTGGATACACAGATAAATTTGAAACCCTTTAATAAATTCTTCACATTTAAATCATGCCACCAATTATGCTCTTGGTTTTTGATGATTATAAATACAATTTTAATTATAAAGTTGTGTATTCATGTTTTATATCGAGAAAATATGAAACTGAGCTTTGATATGTAAATATTTTACTTAAAATTGACCTGAAGTTAACATCCCATATCTTCAATGATCTAAGCATATTAATCTATTGAAATATTAATATACTTTCATGATTTTGGTTCTAACATTTAATACAAGAGTTTCAACTTTGAGATTAAGTTGTTTTTATGTCAAATAAATACTTAAAAACAATTACTAATTGAAGAAAGATCTATAAATGAATAGCTAAGTATATGTCTTGCAAGCTTGTAGGACGTGTTAGCACACTTCATAATACATGATCTATGAGTTGATATATATGAAAGAAAAAAGATTTTCATCTGGATTATAATTATGATGCTTTAATTATTTTTCTGTAATATTAATCTATTTAAATTTTTTTTACATGATGTTATACAGATTCTTCAAATTTATTACAAGTATAAAATTAATAAGAAAATAAATAAATAATTCAAGCTTAGAATGTTTATCTCGATGATGACATGTTAGATAACTACATGAATAAACAAGTGAAATTAGATCCGAAGATTGAGAGATAATAAGGATGATGAGTTGTTGTCTATTAAGTTAGAAAATTTCAATTCAAATTTCAATTCAAATTTCAATTCAAATGATTATAAGAATGTAAAAATTTGATAATTGAAAGATTGACATATATGGAAATTGCATATTCTAATAAAAAAATAAGACTTTAACAAGTAACTTGAGTTGTAAGTCCAAGCAAATTAAAAAAAATAGTACACAGCAAAAGTCAACTTATAAGAGAACTTATGAGCCAATAAGTATTAAATACTCTCATAAATTTACTATTATTTATCAATATTTTTACATTGTATGTTTTAATGACGAATTATGTTCATCAACTTAATTCAACAATTAGACAATTATGTAATTATAATTGATATTTCCATCAGGTCCTCAAGGTAATAGGTTGTGAGAAGAGAATGTTGAAGAGTCTTGTTGTGCTAATAACTATATTTGGCTTGAGAGAGGCAGATTTATTAGAAAGTTTATGTAGTGACAAACTTGAGATTTGAGCTATTCATTCTATTAGTTCATGTGTATTCTTGAGATGAATATTTAAATTTGGATGACATATTTCTCTTAGACTGAAAGTAGTTGGATTAAGGATGTGCTAATATAACTATTGTGTTCTTGGTGAGAGAGAGTTTAGAGATCTTACTAATAAGAATTGTTCTTCACACATGTCGATATAAGCATCTTTTTATTAACACACAAATTACTTGTGTCGGCACATAGACCAACATATGTAGGAAAACACTCTAGGTTCAAAAAAATGACATAACTTCTAGAAATCTCAATTCATCTCCCCCCTTTCTCTTAGTATTTCAACTAGTTGTATAATCATAGTAGTCTTACAATGTAAGAAGATCAAGGCTTTAGTTATCATAAAATATCTGCTTTCTAAAACTTAAGTTGAATGAAGAAAGTCAATGAATAACTAAGTTGGGCTTAAAATAAATAAATACATATCGATAAAATTTAAACTTGGAAAATCACATCTAAGTTAAGTAAAGATATTTTTTCTAAGAACATCAACTAGGGAAGTTGTGGCCCCCAATTAGGGCAAGGACATGTTAAGAGAGAGGAGGGGGTGGGTGTAAAAAAGTCTAATCATGTCGAATGAGTTGACATTTAAAGAAAATTATCTACATGAGTATCTAGATTATAACCTAGCAAGACCCAATGCATTTTAATTGTCCAAGTGGCTTGATCTTGCTTGCATCCACTATTTCATGAGCTATCTTGTATTTGTGCATCAATAACCGTTAAAGATGACCTAAAAGAACAGATTTAGGGCATCCATGTGGTGCTTACAGTTCATATAACATCTATGCTAAGAAGAACAAGATCAATTAATAAAAAAAAATTAGATGCCCACACTAGTGTTTACAAGTTTTGAAATGCTCCTTTCTTTAGGAATGCATGTTGAGTGTTTATTAGATGCCCTCACTCATTTCAATGCATTCTATGATGCCCAAGCATGCTGATTGAGTTAGTGAAGTATTTATCATTGGGTCAATAGCTGTGTTCTGAATTTCTAAGGTTGGATTTTTTAAGATTTAAATTCAGCTCTACAAATGAAAACCTTTGTTCAATTTTTTTTATGATGCCATATATGGCTGTTCTATCAAATATGGGCATAATTTTTTGAAAAAATTATCTATAAAGTGATCTAAAAAAACATAATTTTTTTGCACACATATAAGGTTATTAAAAAGTTATGGCATTTTTTATTACCTAATTCCACTTAAATAAAAGCATAAAAAAACTATTGACATCCATTAACGATGTAGAACAACTAGTTCACCTATATTTGATAAAAAAATGGGGAATTTTTATTTTTTATCATAAAAATGGAGGTTTTTTAGGAGTACTTTTGAAAAAAAAATCATTTACAATGATAGTACTAATTATTTTAAAATATTATTTAAAAGGCAACAATTAGATACTATGGGACTCGAGAATAGAAATGATATAACTTTGGGTGGGTGAGTTTGCCATCTCACATTCATGATTAGGACCCTTGTTATGATATTTTTTTAATACATGATGTCAATTCACATGTCATTCTGTCTCCTTCTCCAAGTATACATATGTTTATGCATGTGTAGACTTGAAAGGTCATGTCACAAAAGCCCACTTGTCATGGAAACTATTAGTAGAGGCAGTGATCCTCATCAACAAAAGTCAGCTCTATAATTATAAGGTTTTAAATTTGATTTTATGCACTTTTTTCATTTCAAAATTTTGAGCCATGTTGTGTTTATTTATGGAGATATTAAATATCAATAGAAATTTATTTATATTAAAACTATTTTGACCCTTTTATAAAATTGTTCATCACTAGGTAGACTTCTTCAATAATATAATAATAGGAATAATATTTTATTAAGAATTAAAGTACCTACCTTTTTTAGTCGACCTAAATATTTCAATGGAATAATTATTTATTTTATTTTAGCAAAAGGAAATGAAATTATCGCTCACAAAAGTCGTGAAGTAAATGAAACATGAGTTGACCATTAAAATGGATTATACTTTCTTCCCACAAATGGACCAAATAAGCTTAGACAAGTAGAGAGAGAGAGGGGGGGGAGAGAGAAAGAGAGAGAAGGGGGGGAGAGAGAGAGAGAGAGAGAGAGAGAGAGAAGAGAGAGAAACAAAAACCGGGTTTTGAGACGTTGAGGCAGATCATGAACCAAAACTAGATAAAGACCCTTACTTTGGAATTGTGACGAGCCAAGATGAGGTTTCCAGGCCAAGCCCGCGATCACACCGGCGGGGCTCATCCACGCCATTGATTCATTGATTATTTTCGTATTTATTTATTTATTATCATTCTATTTTAATGCAGAGGAGATTAACGAGAATCGTCGAAATATATTTTATTCTAATTTTTTCTCACGTTTTCCTGGCAATTCGGTCCGGTCTGGCCGACTCGGTCGGGCGGTTATTCACCCGGTCGACCTTGACGGGCTGTCAGAAGCATCTGGATCCCCCACCGCCACCGTCCCTTCTTGCACGGGTCCACGAGCTTTCCCCTTCTGCTCCGTAGTTCGAAAGCCTCCCTCTCTCTCTCTCTCTACCTCTCCTCTCCTCTTTCTCTCTCTCCCTCGCTGGCGCTATAGAACGGGGCTGAAAGCCCTAAATTTGGACGCTTCCCCCCGGATTTCTCGTCATCGGCCACCACCTTGGTTGGAGCTGCGGCAGATTTCACGCGGTGAAAGGTGTCTCTGAAGGGACGCTCGCCCCCTTGTATCGCTGAAGGGGGGTTGATCTATTGGGGGTTGTTGGGGGGCGGGGGGAGGGGGGATTTCGGATCGCGGAGATGAGCTTCGCAGATCTAGAGTCCGGGCGGCCGCTGGTGGCGGGAGGGAGGAGGGAGCTGATCAACGGGAAGAATGACCCGGCGCGGGCCGTGGCTGCCGGCGTCTTCCAGATCAACACCGCTGTCTCCACCTTCCAGCGGCTCGTGAACACGCTCGGGACCCCCAAAGACACACCAGAGCTCCGGGAGAAATTGTGAGAGACGCGTCCTCATCTGTTGTTTTGCTCTTCCCATTTTTTCCGCGTTTTTATGTTTTTTGTCCGTTTTGTGTTTTTCTCGTCGAATTCCCGGTTCTGTCTTAACCTTACAATTCCCGGTTCTGGGTCTAAAAATCTTGAGTACTTCGTTAACTATTTTCCCCTAGGCTTGAAACCCTTTTTGTGATTCTCATCATTTGAAGACGGGAGATTAGTTTTCTGGCGTATTTAGCGTGGCAAATAGGACTGGGAAAGAAACGCCATTATGCTTTAATCCATTTGGCTCTTCACTACAGGTCTGACTTTTTATTGTTATTTTTATGCTCGTTAAGTACCTGGTGGATCTTCATCAATCACCTGGCTAACTACATATTCTCTTTGGAAGGATGGCTGCCCGATTAACATTAATTATGGCTGAACGTATCTGCTTATTTTCTCCATTAACTTCAGCTGAATTATCCTTGACCTTTGTAAGACAAGTCCCTTCAGGATAGAGCCAATGATTCCTATGAAAAAAAATCTTGGAGGAATATGCTAGAGCAAATATCAGTACATATATCAATGCCTTGTCATAATCCTGAAGCTCTGTTATGAAAGAATCTAATGCACATGGAAATCATCCTGGAATTTTTCTTTTTCGACCATCTACCAGTTTGCTACCGTCCATTCTGAATTAAGCTTTCTGTCTTTGGGAGAGTAGATTATTCCATTTCACCTAAGTTTTAATGCATATTTCTAATTTCCGGTAAAAAAAAGTATGGTATATTTTGCAAAAGTTCTTTTCAGCGATTTTTGTCAAGGAAATGATATTTGCTTAAAAAAATGAAGCTGATGAGTTGTCTTGATTGCAGGCATAAGACAAGATTACATATTGGACAATTGGTGAAGGATACATCGGCTAAACTTAAGCAAGCCAGTGAAACAGATCATAATGCTGAAGTTAGTGTAAGTGCACCATTATAGTTGTCCTCTTGGCTATCATATCAACTATCTGCCGTGGAAAATAATTTGAACTAAAAGAGTTACATGATAATGAATTTTAGTCGAATCGCTGGAACAATTGTACGCTTGTCAGAGAAAAAAACTTGGAAATCATTGTGTTATTGATTAGTTTAGGGATTAATCCCTAGGTTTAAATTATTCGTGTACAGAAATGACTGCTTTGTGGTAGTTTTTCTGTGGTAATGTAATTTAATGCAAGTTCGTTCAATGATGGTGAGAGCTAGAGGCATGCGACTGTTCCCATTTCTGCATAAAATATTATTAGGATCATGAGGATGATTCTCATACTTTCAGGGACATTTTGAATGTACTGCTTCCATTCTAACGCGTTTAAAAAAGCATTTTATATTGGAAATAACTAGTTTTCTGCTATGTTTTTCAACAGAAAATGCGTGTGAATATTTATTGTTAAATGAAAGTTCGATTGATGATTTTTGTCAATCGTAACATGTCCTGAAGGCCTTACATAGTGGATAATACATTCGTTTACTGTCTAACAGAGTTTAATGAATATGGACATGATATTGATAACCTTAGATGTTTTGTGTATCTGATAAAAATGGCAGCTCTTGGTCCTGCGGTGCTTTCAAGTTTTTGAGAATATGAACAGGATATTCATTGCATTTTAATGGTTGCATCACAATATCCCAAACCCCCTCTATTAACATAAGTCTTTTGAAAACTACAGTATATGCACTTAGATGACCTTACTGTATATCAGTTGTTTAGATGGCACAGTAAATTGAGCTGGCTTGGGCTAGTTTAGATGACTCTGCTTTTTGTTAACCATTCATTAGAGATATTTCATCTCTTTATGCTTCCTGGTGGGAAACATTTACCAAAAATCTGATTTTTGCTGCCCACCAAGGAATTCCTGTTCTTAATTAAACTTTGTATATATTCGTCAATTAGTCACAGCAGCCGATCGTCGGGAAAGACCATCAATCTCGTATTGTCTGCCTTTTAAGTGTTGACAAAGTGAGTGCACACGTGAAAAATGAGGGAAATTTATGAATATCGGAAGAGAGAAAAAAATAATCCCTGTGCAGATATATGTCCCCATGTTGAGTAAAATTGTATGCAATGGTTCTTGCAAGAAGCCTGTAAATCTTTGTATATTCTGTCTGTATGAATTTCTATAGCCTTGCTGCTCCACATTTGTACAGCTTTTTAATTATTGAGGGAATTACTCTGTCAGAAAAGTGAGGGCTGGTTTACTGGGTTTATAGCTTTAGCGCCCTCGTTTTTTACGACACTGCATGATGAATATGTCTACGATTGGCTTGTGTTCCATCATATATGGTGTTACTGAAGCTTGTTCAGATGTTGATCTTGGACTTCAGGCCAGCAAGAAGATTGCTGATGCGAAGCTCGCTAAAGATTTTCAAGCAGTTTTGAAAGAGTTTCAGAAGGCTCAACGACTTGCAGCTGAGAGGGAAACAGCATATGCGCCCTTTGTTCCCCAGACAGTGCTGCCATCGAGGTAGCTTTCTTTTGAGCAACTCTGATTTGCTTTGTCAGATCTGGAACTTCTGTCTACTGGATGTCGTTCATAGTTCCCCTTCAAAAAAAAATGTAAGATAAGGAAAAAAGTGATCTTTATATGCAGCTACACTGCCAGTGAGATCGATGTAGGTTCGGATAGAACACCTGAACAGCGTGCTCTCCTTGTGGAATCCAGAAGGTGAGGCGTGTTTTTTTATATATTTTATGTTCATATTTCGCTCTGAACTTGCATTGTTTCCATTACAACCCAAGAACATAATCAAATAGAGCGTAGGATTTGTATGTTTTTACGTTCATATGGTGTTCTGAACTCTGAAACCTCGCTCTCTTTTTCTTATTTTTTCCCATAATTTGGTTTGATTCTAGGCAAGAGCTGCTGCTGCTGGACAATGAGATCGTCTTCAACGAGGCCATAATCGAAGAGAGGGAGCAGGGGATTCAGGAGATCCAGCAGCAGATTGGTGAGGTTAATGAGATCTTCAAGGACCTTGCTGTTCTGGTCAACGACCAGGGAACCTTGATCGGTGAGCTTAAGACTTCCGTCCCCCCATGAAACTCCTCTCTGGCTTCCTGCTTTTCATGGCTGACTTTCTAAACTACTTGGGATCTCTCAGATGATATCGAGTCCAATATCGAGAGCACCAACGCCGCCACCACGCAGGCCAAGTCCCACCTGGCCAGAGCTTCCAAGACCCAGAGGTCCAATTCGTCTCTGGTAACTCTCTCTCTCTCTCTCTCTCTCTCTGTATATATATATATATATATATATATATATCTATCTTTGATAACCCACTGAATAATCAATTACCCCCCCTCTATTTTTTGAGAATTTAGAATCAAATTCGACAAGGAAAAAATAACCCCTTTTTAGGACTTGTTCACATTTTTCATCTCCTCTCTCTACCCACCTACCCACCTACCTCTCTCTCTAATATCTATGTATATATATTATTGTATCGGATCTAAAGTTGCCTGTTGATGTTGATTGAATCAGACGTGCATGCTGCTGGTGATCTTTGGAGTGATCCTGCTCATAGTGATAATAGTGATAGCTGCTTGAACTTCCCCGGCAAAAGCAAGAGCCCTCCCCCCACCACCACCTATGCACCGTGGGAGCAGGAAGAAGACGAAGGACGGCGGGGATCCCCAGCCAGAACCTCGGTGGCGGCGGGTGTTGGCGATGTGTTTGCGGTTGTCGGCTGTCTCTTTTGTTCCTTATTTGTTGTGTATAAATTAATTAATTCGAGAAGATGTCGTGTTCATTGTGTTCTTAGGGTTCATCCTCCACCCCACCCCCTCGCTGATCTGCTTCTGCTCTCGTCCTCTGCTCACCCACTGGTGCTTACCCACCAATAACGATGAGCTCGCTCGCTCGCGAGAGAGAGAGAGAGAGAGAGAGCGAGAGAGCGAAGATTCATTGATTTCTGCTGGCATTCCCTGGGTTTTTCTCTTTTTTCTGTCCGCAGAAATAATCGATAAAAATCGGTTATCCCTGCCTAGGATTTCGAGAGAATCACGACCGGATGGCGGCGCCCGCCGGGATGGGCCGTTTCTCTTCGTCGACACGCAGAGTCGGCCTCCAGACGGCGGTTCTCGCCGTTAAATTATTCATTTCTCTCTCCGCCTGTCTTTATCTCTTCCTCTCACAATCAATCGGATATCGACTGATGGAGATCCTTCTCTCCATGCATTTCCATGGAGGAGAATGAGCTCTGCCCAGGCGGTAATATATATAGAAAAATGCATTCTTTACGGCGTGGACTCGTTGTCAACGGAGGGGTTAGTTCGGGTTCTCTTCTACACTGCCGTAGCTCCGCCGTGGATCCCGGCTCCGCCGCCGCTCCCAAGTCGCCACCTGGCGGGACCCGCCCGGGAGCGGCTGCTCTGTCCGCCCCGCACGACGTGGGCTTCAACGACCGGTGGCGGCGGCGCGGGCCCGTTCTCCGAGGCCATCGGCCTTTCTAAATACAGCAAGGAGGGCATCCGAGGGACGATAGCTCGATCGGAGGGGGAAATGCCGACCGGGGAGAGAAAGTAGGAGGAGCGGAGCGGGGAGAGAGAGAGAGAGAGAGAGGAGGGGGGGAAGAAGGGGAATGCTGCGGTCGATCGGCGCTGTAGGATTGATCTCCACCTTTATATGGGGGGAGGAGCCCTCGTGGATGGCGTCCGTCGCTGGTTCCAACGTCGCAGCGCCAACAGCAACGTCACTGGCACGGCCGGCGGCGGGGAGTCGTCTCTGATCGCGGCGGCGGGGGAGGAGGCGGTGGGGGATTCCGGGGAGAGCAGCCCTTGCTGGCTCAGACCCATCAGGGTATCCAATTGGGCATTCAAGATGCCCGGTGGATTCGAGCACACAAGGAAGGTCAGGATCAGGATCATCGCCACCATCCAACTCTCCTGCTATCTGAGCTGTGATCATCTCTGGTTCTCTCCTCTTCCCCGACCTTTGGATTTCCCTCGTCAACGGGGCGATCCTCCATGCTGTCCCTACCTCGGCTTCTCTTTGACCTGGTTTTCTCGTGGGTATTCTCCTTTTCGTGCTCCAACTTGGCGGCGGGAATGATGGCCAGGCGTGGTCGTCGTTGCAGTCCTCAACCTGGGGCTTTTGCGCCCTTCCCAGGTTGCAGAGATAATATGAACGTCTGACTGATTCCCATACTAGAAGATCGGGGATTACCCTCAAGTCTACGGAAGCTGATTAGTTGGTTCCTCTTCTCCCCTGGCAGTACTCTCGCGCAGAAAGAGTCGCCGAGATACTCTCGCTTTCTCCCTTTCTCTTTCTCAAGTTCCTATTCATTCTTCTCCTTTGTCCTGTGCGTTTTTAGAGAATCCAAAGTTCTTTCTGGACGAGAATCAATCACGTCCCCTCCTAATTCTGTGCTGTTTCTCTCAGTTTTGACCGGCTCCTGTTCAGATTTCGTGCTTCTATTTCTGGGCAAAAACACAAGACGAGCTTGCTGGGTGATTTTTTCTCTCTATTTCAAGCTCTTGGCTGTGGTTTCCTGAGTTTCGTCAGTCGTTCTACAGAGCATGCTTGACGACGAGTTCTTCACGGAGTATGGCGAGGCGACCCAGTACCAGATCCAAGAGGTGGTCGGCAAAGGAAGCTATGGCGTGGTGGGGGCGGCGGTGGATATCCACACCGGGGAGAGGGTTGCCATCAAGAAGATAAATGATGTTTTTGAACATGTGTCAGACGCCACGCGCATTCTGAGGGAGATCAAGCTCCTCCGGTTGCTGCGTCATCCAGACATAGTGGAGATAAAGCATATCATGCTACCTCCATCTCGAAGGGAGTTTAGAGATATTTATGTTGTCTTTGAGCTGATGGAATCTGATCTCCATCAGGTCATCAAGGCTAATGATGATCTTACCCCCGAACATTATCAGTTCTTCCTCTATCAACTCTTGAGAGCTTTGAAGTATATCCATTCAGGTTGATTCATGTAGCTCATCTTCTATTGACTCTTGATCCATGTAGAGGGTATTTTGCTCGATGCTTTACTTTTTTTAATTGACTGCAGCCAATGTGTTCCATCGGGACTTGAAGCCGAAAAATATCCTCGCTAATGCAGATTGCAAACTGAAGATCTGTGATTTCGGGCTTGCCCGTGTGTCATTCAATGATGCTCCATCTGCTATCTTCTGGACTGTAAGTGACACTCCAATGCTATCTTCGCCCGTGTGTCATTCGTACAAGTGGTTGAGATATTTGGAGATTCTGGCATGGATTGTAACACTCTTTTCCCCTGAAGGATTACGTTGCGACAAGATGGTATCGTGCTCCAGAACTGTGCGGCTCTTTTTTCTCCAAGGTGAGCTACTTTCTCTTTTTTCTCTTGGCATTGAGTGATACATATAGATAATGAGATGGTGAAGAAAGCAATGAAGCCCTGATATAATAATTTTCCTTTTCTATCAGAATGAAAAAGTTGTTTTATGCAGTGAGATTTCTGACCATGGAGATGGCCATTCAGCTCTAGAGGGGTGGTTTCTTTCCCATGGCATGCATTGAGACGCAAGGGTCAATGCAAACATCATAATATTCTTGTTGTGTGTTATTTTTGTGAGCATTCACGCTGTTGTCAGGTCAAACAATGGTGGGAGCCTTCCCACTTTTGTGGGCGCTTTAAGCATCTATATCACCATAATTCTCGGGATCATTTCGTTGAATCTCGTTCTCTTCTTGCTATTATTAAAATCTGGGATCCGTTTTCTTGGCAGAGAAACTATTTTTGTGCTATTTACACCTCAGACTTCTGGCTGGAAAAGAAAAGAAGATGCTGTGACGATAATGACCTATGCTGGTGATAAAAGCATCGAGTAGAGCTTTACTACGGATTGAAAGGAGCTACCTGTTCTGATAGGACTGTCAACACGACCTTTGGGAAAAATTCGATCCATCATTACTTTAATGAACATTTCTTTGGGAGTAGTCACCATCCCTAGATGGGTGATCTTCATTCTCGTTGAATATTGTTCTTCCCCATTTATCAAGGTAAAGGGTGGACCAATAAAACATCTGGACTCTGTGTGGCCAAAGAAAGTGGATTCGGATGATCTGTTTCAAGATTTTTTTTTTCCCTGGACATACTGTAGTTTCGATGCTATATTTCACCAAGCGTCTTCATATAAAATACTTTTCAAAGATCAATGCCATGGAACAGTGCCTTGAGAAAAGTTCCAGATCAGTGCTAATTCGAATTAATGTCTTTTGTAGCAGTCTTAAATTCAGATATATATGTTGTCTTGTGATCAGATGAAAGAGTGGGTAAGGTGAGGGGGGATGAAAAAGAGAAGATTGTGTTGCTCGGGCTGTCTGGAGATTCTAAATTTTGGTTTAACAACCGTGTTGGTGCCTGAGCTGTGAGGGCTCTCAGTCACATAGGTAGTTCGGTGTGCTCATTGGTCCCTGACCTGGATATGTGGATCATCCAAGGCACATTAGTGAGATTGGTGTGATTGGGTTGGGAGAGAAGTCCAGTCTAATATGAAGCACTTTGGAATGAAAGAAAATTCCTGATTTTGAAATTGATGACGTGTAGGTAGGTGGTCTTTTTGAGATCTCATAGCATATTTATTTGTACGTGACCCCGTTTGTTAGATGATTTCCTGGTCTGTTCTTCTCGTGCCTAGTTTCATGAGCTCACTCAGAATGAACTGGTCTTCAGATCACCGACATTTCTTTTCAGAATTTATTGTAAGGTCCTCCTTTTCGTGGAAAATTGCTAATGAATGAATGCCTGGAAAACAGAATGGAAATTCATATCTTATGACGAGACTAAGTTTCTGTTTTGAACACAGTCTATTGAGTTGTCTCGCTCGTTGCCTTTCTATTAGAATTTTTTTATTGAATTGTTGCTAATTCGATTTTTGACCTTTCTGCAATACTTCAAGCTCGACTGCTATTGTTTTTGCTTTAGTCTTGTGCACAACAGAGTCGTGGTTCCACCTAACATGATGACATCTATAGCTCATTTTCTTTCATAGACCTTCTAGTTGTCCATTAGACGCCTGAAAGTCGTCTGGGTTCTTTTAATATCTCCTTTCGTATGTGATATTTCTATTTCCCAACTTCGTCGTATCTATGATCATAATAGAATCCATTGGCCCCTTTGGCGATATTTATTTTGTAATTCTTCGTTTACTCCTGGAAAAACTGTGTAATTATTGGGGGACTGTTTCCCATCTTGTTGAGTATTTTCCAAAGAAGAGAGACTTCGCATTGAAGCCTGTATTTTATTGCCATTTTTTCTTCATGAGAAAGAAATAAGACCAAGAAAGGGGCATAGTCTGGCCTCTTTGAAGCTATTTTAGTTGATTTACATGTTCTGGACGGTTGTAAACTGGACCAATCTGATTTCACTTGCTGTTTATGGAAATTTCATTGGTATGGATGACATATTTTATGTTTCTTATGTCGACCTCGCATCTTATTTGGCCATTTACCGGAATCTATTGAATTACTTTCTTGCACACTCTATCATCTGATACAGATCATCTGGGCTTAATCCCATAGTGTCAACATTCACACCGTAATCTAGTGTTGATTTAGGGAATGGGAATGTTAACTCTTACTCTCATGTCTCTAATGGTTTAAATTTTTTTATCTGCCACTGTTGTGAATGGGAATGTTATCTGCCATTTGTGAATGCCAATTGATGGGAAAAACGGCCACTTATGTCAAATGTTTGTTCTGGCAGTATACTCCTGCGATTGACATCTGGAGCATAGGATGCATATTCGCAGAATTGTTGACAGGAAGACCACTTTTTCCGGGAAAAAACGTGGTTCATCAGCTGGATCTCATGACAGATTTACTTGGCACGCCTTCAGCTGAATCCATTGGAAGGGTTCGTTCTTCCTTATATGAACATGATTTTTTTTATTTATTTCTTTTACGCTATAAGGTGATATTTTGAAATATCTACGAAGTTTTTTTTCTCAGAGGAAATTCTTAGTATGTTATTGTGTACTTTATCATCTGCTGCAAATTATTTGGATGATGTCAAACCTTTTCAACTGCTGCAGATTCGGAATGAAAAGGCTAGAAGATATTTAGGTGGGATGCGGCGAAAAAATCCTGTTCCTTTTACGCACAAGTTTCCAAACGTAGATCCTCTGGCACTGCGGTTACTTGAACGACTACTTGCATTTGATCCTAAGGATCGACCCTCTGCTGAGGAGGTAAGATGTGGGAATTGAAATTTTTCTGAACAAATTGCTATGTTGCAGAAATTTTTAGGCCATATAATTTTTGGGCAAACATGTTGCGGATTAATCAAATAATTTACTTGTGGCAATTATCTTTCTTCTCTGGTTGAGATTTTTCTTTTCTAATCGCGCTGGTGTTGTTAGGCTCTAGCTGATCCTTACTTCCATGGCCTTGCAAATCCGGAGCGTGAGCCAGAAACACAGCCAATTTCAAAGTTGGAGTTTGAGTTTGAGAGGAGGAAACTCACAAAAGATGATGTACGGGAGCTAATTTATCGAGAGGTACGATTAGGGACGTTCATTTTAATTTCTCTAACAGGTGACGCATTGTTTTTGTATTCTTTACTCATTATAAACATCCTGTTTAAGCAAAACAGATTTTAGAGTACCACCCACAGATGCTGAGTGAATATCTGCGTGGTGGAGACCAAACAAGCTTCATGTATCCAAGGTGAGGCATTAATTTATTGTATTTACTTAATCCCGCTGAAATTTTCTTTAGTTACCAAAACGGGTTGATTTTCTTCTGGCGCTAGATTAACGGTATTTACTACCTTAAGCATTTGGAACTCATTTCTGTGTGGATGGGGGGCTCTGACATGAAAGTAGAGATCATGGAATGCATTAAATATTGTGGCTTTCTTGGAGAATAGATTCAGGAAAAGGTAAAATGACGTTGGGACCTAACTTGAGAAAGGTGAGAAAGGTGACTTTGGGGATAAGACCCAATGGTTCCAGAGTTTTGACACCCATGGGTTTATTGAGAGTGTTTAGTGGATGATCAGCTGTCATCCATATCTATTTCGGCTTGGTTCTTCACTCTATTTTTCTGAGAGTTTCTGAGTCATAATTTATGAATAATGATCGTGACATGCCTGGTGGATTTTTCCCTTGAAAACGCTCCCTTGGCTTATTTGGTACATCATATGATGATCAGGGGATCCATGAGTGCTATGGAGGCACAATCCTAGTTGTACAGTCAGAAAGTCAAATCATAGGGAACCTAGAATAGCATTGTTTTTCCCTTTTAGATGTGGCCCTTGAGTTTTCAACTGCAAACTTGTGCATATGTTTTATTCCTATATATAGTTGGTATCCACTTGAAAAATACTGGAGATGTCCTCCACATGATCTTGCTCCTCATTCAATCAGTCCAACAACTGGTTGAATGAGCTCTTCCTTGTAAATCTTCTCTTCTTGAGCTTGATACCACCATTTCGTCTTATTTTATGAGACCTGCATTTTTCATTGCACAACATTTTTGGTGCGCATTATTGCTTCATTTCTTTATTCCATTGCTCTTAATTTGGCAAGATTTTTTTGCGCAAAGACTTACGATTGAACCATTGTTCACCCGGATTTCCTTCTCGTCATTCTCTTAGTCTGCCGAGAAGAACCACTTGTAAATAAATCCCCGTGTTATCTCCACTCAGTTCATATTTATTTAGCATGGAGAATATGCGAAAGAAAGAGAAAATTGCATATTTTTCCTGAATGTACGAAGAAGTGACCTGCTGCTGCTTCTGCTGCAGCTATTATTCAAAGACTAAGCCGTGAAAGATCATGAGTAGGCACCGCATGGCTCATTTGATTGCTTACTCAAAATTGGCATGGCTAGCCTTCTTTCAGTGCATCTTGTGTTTCAGGCTGACTCAATGCAGCCATACAATATTTTCTGCAATAAGCCTGCAGACGGCCACCGTCTCCACCCAGAGTACCCTGAATACTCTCCTGGATCCTCGGAGCTAAGTGAAGAAGAAAGATGTTGGCCTATGAATGTAGATTGACTTGACTGCAACTATTTCGTCTATCAAAGAGTTTAATTGCTTGCATGCTTCATAAAGTTGTTTCACTGTTTAAAATCCTGGTGGTAGATAGACTCGCCTGTTCTGTGTATATTTATTTATAGAAGTTTTTGTCTTTGATTTTCAGTGGGGTGGATCGATTCAAGAGACAGTTTGCTCATCTCGAAGAGCACTATAGCAAAGGGGAACGGAGCTCTCCTCTTCAGCGCCAGCATGCATCTTTGCCGAGGTAAATCCTGCATAAATATGGGAATTCATTGCTTTTCTGACTGATGAGATTTCTACTGGTAACTCCACGTGGTTGTTCTCTGGTCTTCTCACCAAGAGTTAAAGCCCCCATGGGGGGTTGACCATGGCCTGATTAATAGGAACCTCTGGCCTACCTAAGATGGCCTGATTATCTTAACCTTTGATCTCTCTCTCTCTCTCTCTCTCTCTCTTCAGGGAACGTGTCTGCGTACCAAAAGATGAGACTGCAGACCAAAACATTGACTTTGAGAAGAGGACGGCAGATTCTGTCGTCCGGTCAACTCTTCAGAGTCCTCCAAGGTCGCAGCAAGGCGAGCAAGACAGCTCACAGACGGCGGAAAATGGGCTGAACCCACCAAACTGCAGCGCTCGGAGTCTGTTGAAGAGTGCTAGCATTAGTGCTTCAAAGTGCGTGGTCATGAAACCCAAAAAGGACTCTGAAGTAAGTTCTCTCTTCTGCTCCTGATGAATCTCCATGCTTCATTGCCTAGTTGACCAAATGAAGCACCATTTGACCTGACAAGGTCAAACTGCTTCTAATTAGTACGATAATAACTCCTAAATCTGAAGTATCTTAACCTTGTGATTCTCTTCTATTATTCATTTTACTTCTGTAATTATGAACTCGGATGAACAGAACTGGAGTTTCCATTTCTCATTAGAATCTCTGTCAAACAGGAGGAACAGATTAGAGAGCAATCAGAAGAGGTGGTTGATGGGTTAGCGCACGAATTTGCTGCTCTGTATTCGTGACGATGCCCCCGCAAAAATAATTTATGTGGGTTTTGTCCGATTCATCTTCTGACTGCAAGGTGTACTCATTGACCATCAGGTTTGACTTTCCTCTCCGTGTGACACCTCACGATAGAAACTTAGACTACTATGATTGAAAGCACCCTATCAACTCCATTGACTCCGTCAAGGTAGCAGCCCTGCTGAAAATGTTGTAAAACTAGAGGGGATCATCCTCTGATCCATGACTTGTTGGTAACTTTATTGCCAGCTCCTCATGAAGCTCTGGGATTTTGCCCACCTCTGTATACTGATTTTACCCAACCTATGATTTTATCACCAGGTTTCCATATTTGGTAATTAGCTACATATGGATGGGTGTTGGAGTTCCTCCAGTGGTGTTTGATTGGCTCAAAGAACTGGATGATATAACGCTTTCAGTACCAATGTTTTATGTTAAAATATTTGAAAAGGCGACATACCATTCATTTACTGATCTTTATCGTATTTGATGGCTCATGCAAATTATCCATGCTTAAAGAGGGCTGTTGTGGGTGGTGTTGTGGCATAGCTTGGGCTTCATATTTCTTAGGCTTTGCGTTTTGAATGTATATGAATTGAAGGCATGCCAGTTCTTTAAGCAAGATAATTAGGATATATATGATCTTTAAACAAGAAATCATTTATGAGATAATTGAGATATATAATATCTTTAATCAAGAAAACATGGATGCATATAACTAATATGCATGGATATTGGATGATAAGCGGATTAATTAACACAAGGGGCAAGATAAATGAGATATGTGTGATGTTTAAACAAGAAATCATTTATGTGATAATTGGGATATGTATTATCTTTAAGCAAGAGAACATGGATGTGCATGACTACTATCTATGGATATTAGACCATTAGTGGATTAATATCTACTATCTATGCATGACTAGGGTGGACCTCTTAACCAGTTTAGTTTTTTTCCTTTTTTGAGCAAATTAGAAATTTATGAAGTAAATTTAAGTTGTTGATCGTAGTAGTGAATGCTTAAGATTTAGATGGTTAAGGAAACCCACTTATGCATCATTGGCCACATTACACACTGCTATGTACTTAATTTTTGTTAAGCTGCTATATGAAAGGGCTGAGCTTCTGAGTGATCAAACCCTCTAAAACCAAAAAGATTGAATGTGACTCTATGTTGGAATATTTTATTGATATCTTTTGAAGCCATGTTGGTAGGATATACTTAGTAAATGAGATTAATACAATTTCACATACCACTAAGAGAAAGTGGGGCAATTAATTTTCTTGATTAACTACAATAAACCTTGAATCAACCATGATTTGTGATTATAATTAGGGACATATAGATGGTGTGAAATAGGGAGTGAATTTGGGTATGGTTGCAAAAACTTAATTAATTAATTACCATTTTTTTATCCTTTAAACTCAATTAATTCAATATACAACTCCTCTAAAATAACTTCAACTATTATCCTGTAAAACTCAATAAGGAAGGAGCTTATGTGGGTTACAAAACCTTGAATTTTTTTGAATAATTATGGATTAACATATCTATTTTCTGAATAATCATAGATTATAAACCTCTTTTTGTAGTTATGATCACCTAAAGGATAATGTTATCATATATCATATACTTTACCACATTAACTTAATTTTAGTTAATCCAATTTTAAACCTTATGTTGAAAAATCTTATAAATTAATTTAAATTAAAGGTACATTAAATAATCGTCAAGAGAGAGAGAGAGAGAGAGATTCTGGTGATGTACCACTTAAAAGGTAGTCATAAAAAATGTGAGTTTTTACTTTTAGATTGGACCGTTTTGATGAGTCCCGGCCCATTTCCATCCAACGTCGTGGCAGTTTATATCCTCATCCCGCCCACATCAAACGGGAGCTCAGGCCCCACTTTTCTCCCGGGCTACGCTCGCCGCCGAGCTCCACCGCCTCCTCATTCGCCGCTGCGGTATTAACGTCGCCATCACCGGTAAGCAACGTGCTTGTTGATTTATCTTCGTGGGATTGAAATCAGGAAGTCGCCGTTGGATATCATCGGCTGTTCGGCAACTGGATTCCACGAGGGAACGAGTCAGGAATGCTTGGGCTCGACGCCCGAGCGTCAGACATAGCCCCCGTCGATTACAACTCGTCACTTGGGAGTTGTTTTCGGCCTAAGGTTCACTAACTCTTCCGTAGACGCATCCTCCGAGAAGAACATCCCTTCCTTCACCGAATTTTCGGTGCTCGTGCTTGGAGAGGTGCTCCTCAATTCTCCGTTGTAACATCTTGGAATGAATTATTCATTTTAAGGATGAGAGTACCCTTTGGCTTTGCATTTTGACATACCAGCGGTGGCGTTCCATGAGCCATAGCGGGTTCGATGAGCCTTGTTTCTAAGTAGTTATTCGCATTTAGTATGAACCGAACATAAGTGCGACGTCTTGCCAACATTTTAATAAAGTAAACCACAAGAGCTACCAGAGCGAAGTTTTTTCATTGCTAACGCCCAAACGTGTGTTAGGCTAGATGCCCAGCAGTATAGAACTGTCACCTTTGAGGAGCTGGTTTACTGGAACCATTCGTTAATGACTATGGGTTGATACGTAGACGCCACCATCTGGCGAAGAAACAAAATTTTTATGAATTCCTCCGCTCTTAAAGGTGCGACTAGATAGAGAAGAAAGCGTTGGGGCAATAGGGCCAAGAAGGACACCAGACATCTTATGACATTCTTTGGTGGGAGGAAGGAGCCGCTTTTCCATGATCTGCCATTTGAACATGAGAAGCAGCCATGGTTGTCATTTCATTTTGGTCGGAATGTCTCTCTTCTTTTTTTGAGAAAATACCCCAAAGATAGCTATCGCCCTTGGTCTTTTGGAATTAATGCTAGCTGCTCGTCATTTTAAAAATCATTCTTTTAGGGATGAATTAAGTTACCATCAAAAGAATCTTGTGATCAGATAAAGAATGATGCTATAATTTCTTACGTAAGCTTCATTTTTTACACTTGAGATTCATATTTAGTTGATTCGAGACCTAAAGGGCCTCAGAGTGTTATGGCTTAGGCATGTTGTGCTCAGTCCAAAACCAATCTAGTAGCTGTCTAGACGGCTAGCAACGTGCCCATGAATGTTGGGGAGGTTTCGGAGTAGCTTTACAACCCGTCCTGACTAACGCCCGCCATGAAATGGAGATGAGGGGGTGAGGGATGAAGAAGGCAAATACATCACATGGGTCATTTTCAAAGATTGGTTCTTGTAAGCTGAGTGGTAACGTGAAGAAGATTCTATTTTTGTTTCTCCCATGTTGTATCAAACTCCTTCCCTCCATAGACATAGGTCCAAAATTCTTATATTATTTCTATTCTCTCCTCAACGGGATGTGAGCCCTTCTCCAGCTGTCAGCATTATTCCTCCCTAGTGTTGAGTTATGTAGGAGCCTAATTATTGCCTTGACACAGTTGAGCTATGTGTTCTAGTCTCTGGTTGTAGATTTTGGTTTGTTAAGTCACGAACAAATTAGTATGTGGATATGAACAACTTAGTTGTTGGTAAATATCTAGGGTTATCCATTATCATTAGATCTTTATATTGGTCACCAAATTTTATCGTTGGTTAGAAGTATGGAAAGCTAGAGTTCTAAAGGTAGCTTAATGCTATGTTCTATGTCTTTTATGTTCCACTTTTATCTCTGAAGGTCGTTTAAAAGAACTGGAAGCTTCAAGATGCCTTTTTCTTTCTGGCTTTTTTTCTTCTTTTTTTTTTTGGGGGTGGGGAGGGGCAGGGCCACATCAATGTGTATGATGTATCCAAAATCAAGGTTCAGAGTGGTATTCCTATTCTACTTGCTGAATGTGGGCTATTTTTTCAAATTATATAGATGTTGGGTTAGACTTGTCAAAGTAGGAATGAGGGTTTGTTGACTGTTAAACCAACATACCTCTCTCTTCATGATGGAGGAGTGCACCATATGACAAATCAGATTATGGCAGTCATAACTCATGTGAAAATAAGGATCATGATCTAATTTCACATGGTCTTATTTCTGATTGTGACGGATTAGGCCATCCTTTGGATGGTACAAAATGCTTCATGAAGGCATTGTGAGGGGGAAGAAGATATGAATCATATGGTCCTAAAGAGTTCCTTTTTTAATACAGATCTGGCATTAGCTCTTCCTGCGAATCGTTTAGCACATTCTTTTTTTCTACGGTGGGCACCAGAATCCCAAGGATATTTTACTTGTTGGAGTCAACTGGGCGCCTTCTGGCAGAAATGGATAAATTCAGTTCTCTAGTTATTACCATAAAATATGATGTGGTTCTTCCTTCATGCAAATCTGAGGACCATTTAGAATGAGCAAAATAACCGTGCATTTAGGCTTGTGCTGATCGGCTGATAGAATTCTCGTTTTTTTGTGAAAGGGTGTCACAGTGGGCAAGATTGTGATGTAATGAGGAAGGGGATATTTGGATTTCTAGAGTCTACATGATATTGCTGTAGATTATGGCATCTGTATATATATATATATATATATATATATATATATATATATATCTATTGAGATGACGTGAGCACCCTTGTATATCATTGGTTTTATTTTTCATGCTTAATAATGAATATGCGGAACTATATGCTAAAGAGACATGACTTTATTTGTTACAGTTTAGTTCTGTAAATTTTATGCACATGAGTATTTGTATTCTCCATTTTACGTCTCATTCTCCTTCATCTTATTTTCTATTTTCCCATTTCAGCTTTTCAACCCGCTTCATTTCCCTCTTCTTCTTTCATGTAAATGGAGACCTGTCATCATTCTACTTTTCCTTTAATTTTGATGTTATCATATATGTATGTTTATTTGTGTTACAAGTGCATCAATATATCCTTTTTTCAGATTCAGGATGAGCCATTTGATGAATGCTCTATCTTTGGAAGTTGAGAGAGGATGCCGAAATCTGCTTTATAGGAATATGAGGTAGTAAGCCTCAGTTTAATCTCTTCTTGCCATCTTTCTCAACTAATCATGATGAGAGGTTGGGTGCCATTCTAATATGAAATTACGTCACACCTTGCAGGCTCAGTAATTTTCTCTATTCTGAGCTTTCAAAACGGTGTTATGGATCCGACCGCTTGTCCCTTTCGAGATTATCACGAATTGTTCTGGCAAAAACAAGAATTCTGACTAAGGTAGCTGTCCTCATTAAAAATTAACGAATTCAATTTTCTTCCACCCATGGTGTATTTTAGTCTATTTAGTGTTATATGATTGTGCTCAGGACCCACAATTTCTATGGCGTGAAATTTTCTTGAAACCAGGCATCCTACAGCATTTGAAAAACTAATAGGCGAAAGTGACCTTTAGGAGGCCAAAGGAGATTCTGTTGCTTAAGCATTTTCTATAACGCATAATCTTATGCTTTTCTTAAGTTTTCTGTATAAAATGAATTAATCCTAATCAAGTCAGATCATCGGCAGAAACGTTCTCTGTCAGCTAATCATCCAAATACCTTGGTTAAATTCCATGTTTAGATGTGGTGCAATGATGCACTATATAGTGACGCTTTTATATCAACTTTACTGAGCAACAAAGTATTGATCACAGTAGGTTAAAATAAACTGAGAAAGAAATAACAACAATGGCCAACGATAAGGGGAATTGTAGCAAGTTAAAAATGAGAAGGAAAACTTGAAGAGCAGAAATGGGACACAACTAAGGGAAACAATGTAATAAAGATAAAAAATTGACATGGGAAAATAAGCATAATACGACATAGATGGCCATCTAGAGAAACTGCGATCAACAAATTTAAAAATTCTCAAGACTGTATTCCAAGTGAAAATTCTAGTAAGAAATGCAAATGCTTATCTCAATAGTTGCGTCTGTGATTGCCTTGTGTTCAGGCTCGTTATCTAAGTACCAACTCATAACTAACTCGTAACTATGCTTCTCAAAGGGATTATGTGGCATTTTCTTAGAAAAATAACTCTGAAAGCTGGGTATGCCAAAAAATTATCTGCAAATGTCAGCAGGATGTTTACATTTTAGAAAATAAATATGACAAATTTTCTCGATGGAAAAAATTCATGTGAAAGGAACCCCCCTTCAAGTAATATTTTTTAATACCCATCCCAATTAAGATGATGGATTGCTATGACCTTTTTCAAAGGATACCAAAATGTCGAGAGTAGCTCAGATTGTCTAGTCTTTGCACCATTTGGATTTGAACATCTTTTTCTCTCAAAGTGAAGGATTACGAACTTTAAAAAAAATAAGAGGTATGAGATCATAGAATCAGATTGTCTACATCAGTGACAAGGTGATAATGAGCAACCATTGTATGTAGAATCAGCCAATCTAGATTGGAATTGACTATCAGTGGGTGATTTCAAATGGGAATATCTGCTTACAATATCTTCCCATGAACTATGCACACCCGGAAAAATCAAAGGGCATCAGTATTTAGTTGGCATGTTTATGATATATTTTATGAATTTGCACAGTATCCTTGTATTATGTTTTTCATCTAGATATCTGTGCAGCCAGATCCATCAATTTAACGCTACAGTCTAAGTATCCAAGGTTCTTAGCTTTGTTTCCGGTTTTTCATGTCCCTCTAAGCTGAAAAATTGCTTAGTAATTTTGAGTTTCGATAATCGTCTCATTTGTGGCACTTTTTTTGTTATAGTTACCTCAATTTGAGTGGTTTTGCATGCAATATTAGTCTGTAATGCAATTGGCTATGCTTAATCAGCAATGGGCTGCCACACGTAACCTCTCTGACATATCTCCATGAGTAACCTCTACGTAGTTGAACTTGAAAAACTTTCGTACATCCATCAAGAAAAATTTCAGCAGTGTGGAAAATTATACAATTGTCTTTTTTTTGTTTGCCCATTAGGAGTTGCATTAGGATAGGTTTTCCTTGAGAGTCTAGAAAAAATCTCTTTAGTTCTAAACTGGCTCGGATTATTGTAAGAGGTTGATTCGGTTTTTGCGGCTTTTCTGTTTTCAAGCATATGCCATGTTGTCCTCATAAGTTATTTTTGTGTATCAATTTTGAGTTTCTATGACTGAATCATATTGCTGCATTTTTATGTGCTCCCAACTTGGAGTGTCTCATATGCATAGTCGGTTAATTTGGGTGACATTAAGGTATGGATAGTTCTGATCGTCCTTCATTTGCATGAAAATTACTGTTGCAACAAGGAAATCTCAGGTTAAACCCAATTTTTATGTTCGACTTTAAGTGAGAAATAGAACTACTATTGCATGCCTTCGCAGGACGTATGTGATGCACTTGGCTTTTTCAGGTTTCAGTTTTTATGGATAATGATGGTGTTGAAAAACTTGAGGAGTATCGAATGTCTCCAGGAAGACTTGTTCCTGATACCAAACACTTCGTGGATGAAATTGATATTGCATTATCGTGTACAAGATTTCCATGTATTACTTTGGGTAATTCACCACTAGTTGAATTATATGGTGGTGTCTTGTATGAAGAAGCTGAAATGAATCTTTTAGCATCCAAAACCGGTAGAGAATATCGATACTCTGGGAATGTGGTCTTTACTGAACATGAAAATTCTGAAGAAAGGCCTTTGCTAGAATCCACTCATTCAGATGCAACTTTTTCTGCATCTGATGAAATGAATTTGCATCTGCTGTCATATCCTTCTGTACCATTCTCCTCAGATTCTGGAGAGCCAAAGCCTTTCACAGAGAAATCAATCAGCAAACCAGCAGAAATTTCATCAGATTCGGAGTCCATTTTGGACAAGCCTATTAAATTTCTACCAGGATTATCCAGCAGATGCTGTCGACAGCTGGAAAACAGTGGTTTTCATACGGTACTCTGTGAGCTTATACGGAAAATGTTTGCAATATCTTTCTGATCAGAAGATAAATAGTTCATTGGTAAACGTGCAGGTACGCAAGTTGCTACATCATTTTCCTCGTACCTATGCTGATCTACAGAACTCTAGGGATGCTATTGATGATGGGCAGTACCTAATTTTTGTCGGAACTGTGCTAGCTTCCAGGTAAAGTTGCAACCAACAGTTGAAACAACTGAATGAATAGAACTTAGGCGAACTTAATCTTATTTGAAATAACAGAATACTATGATTCTAATTCTTTTGTTCTAGTTGCGGTTTTCATACTCTGGATAGAGTTCAGTCAATGAGAGACAGATTCTGATTTTTGTTTGGAATGTCCCATTTTTCATTTAAAAGTACACCTGTTAATCAAATTACCTGATTTCTTCTGAAAGCTGTTGACATAACGGTGGGTCAAATTGAACGAACTTTAGTATCAAAACAATGGGGTTTTATTTTTATCATTTCAAGGAGTGCATGTCACATGAAGCAGAAATATGCAAGCACAAGAATCGTTTAATGTTCATTTCAAACGTGCTAGCCCAATGATGGTTTTTACTCTCTAGTTACAAATTGAAATATTTTATGGAGTTTTACTATTCCAGTTGGGCAGATGATTACAGGTGTGATATGTTTGTATTACATAGTTGAGCCCTTGCTTGACTTAGAGCTTTAATTTATGAGCTATAATAGCCTTTCTGAAAAATTGCCTTGACAGTGAAAAGAAGGCAATTTAAATTATCCTGCTGGTTTAGATCTTAGGAGATAGTGTTTCATGCAAATATTTGAAAGGAAGTCTGTGGAATCTTAATAAATGCAAGGCTTCTAAATTGTGATTTTAAGAAGTAGCAAGCAGACATGCCGTCCCAATAATGAAAGTTCTCTCTCTGTGGTGTAACTCTAAGTTGAGTTTTTGTGGTTTTCTGATTGCTAGAGTTTAGATTCAAGTCTTAGAAAAATGCTGATAGTGCAATATCCTTTTGGAATCGTAGAATTGTAACATTTTTTGATATTTCTTCATCTTTGATTTTTCTCTTGATCTGCACCATCTCATTATTCTGAAGTCCTTTTCATGATTTTCCTTTGGTCATAATGGATTTATTTAAATGACAAGATTGCGTCAACTTTCAGAGAATGTATGGTTGACCAATAGGGTTGTGAAAAACGGTTTCAATATATTTCGACATTTCAACATGATAATATTAAACGGATAAGCATCTTGGATAATCATTATTTTATACAAATTTGTGATTGTATTTCTTAAATGTTTTAATGATCCGGCAAACTTTACATTTTTTGTGACATAAATTATTTTTGTGCTCTTAGGGGAATCAAAGCCAGCATTTCGTTCTCATTTGTTGAGGTTCTTGTGGGCTGTGAGTTTGCAGATGGTAACCACAATTTTGACGACAGTAATAAGGATCATAGCAGCAAACAAAACAGAATTGTTTATTTACACTTAAAGAAATATTTCCGAGGTACTCGATTCACAAACCAGTCCTTTCTTCGAAGCCTTCAGTCGAAATATAAAGAGGGCGATCATGTATGTGTTAGTGGCAAGGTGAGCAGGGCCCATGTTATTTTTTAACGTTATTGCTTACTTTCTGTATTGAAAGTCTAAATGTATTTCATCAAAATAAACCATTCTAGTTAAGATAAATTTATTAAACTCTTATCATTTCTTTTTATTCTCTTTCAAACAACTAACATAGCTTTTGAATAGTTTTTTGCTTTCAGTTATTTTTTGTTGCTTAGTTTTTTGTCTCTTTTCGTTTTTTACGTCCTTTATTGTAACTTACTTCAAATGGATGTGTACAGTCCATACATTTGACTGATGCAGTTTCTGATCTATCAGAAGTTATGTACGTGCATACACACTGTATGTCATTTTGAATTGGCATGCTTATAAATGGAAGTTTTTAAAATGTGAATCACATCGTGAAGGTATCTTTTGGAATATGATTTTTACCATCAAGGGTACTGGGAAAGTACAGTATTTTTCTGCCTACAAACGACTGGAATTTCATTTTTTTATTATTCCCGTTGAAGTTGGTTACTGCATCAGAATCTGACCTTGGTCCCAAATTAGTTTGACCTCGCTTGGCTTTCTCATTTGATGTATTTTCAGACTTTGGAATATCTGGGGACATGGGGATTGTGGTGGTTAAGGTGTGCTAGTATTATACCTTGTGAGGTCTGAGTGATACAGCTTAGTTCACTTTGACAGTGACCCGACTCATGCATGATCTATGATCAGCATGTGTTGACTCAGATTAACTTGCATGTTACTGGATTGGGGTTGGCTGAATTTTAGCATTTCAGATGATTGGGTTTTATCAATGCATCTCTTATGGGCTAGACATGTATGGTGTGGCCCATCCCAGATTTCCAAACGGGCAAAGATCTAAGTTCGCCGACGTTGAATCTGATGATTAAACTTTGGCGCTTTAGTTTATCAACTTAATCTTAAGATCAATACTTCATACCTTGTGTTGAATCGTTTATTTGTAGCCACTAACTGTACTTAAATCTGCTGTTTTGAATCCTCTATGCAAATTCTTCACGATGACTCTAGATTAGGGTTTTATTCTGGATAATTATATTGTGAAATTTATGAATGGATGGTTAAACATAAAAACAAAGAATACGTCAAATGCAGAGTAGATCGGAGGAAGGGCTGCATGTGACTGGAATGCACCATTCCCTATCGAATTGCAGGATGATGTCCTTAGCTATCATCTTGAAACTTTGGGGCAGATCGAGATCTGAAGGCAAAATATGGTGTTGAATTCGGAAGCGGGTTTTAAAATGATGAATGGAGATGAAGGTGTCATAACATCTAAGAGAGGGGTTTACCATTTTGAATCAATTTCTAGGAGATCAGATCAGGGTTTCAACTTGGTGGAAGTTTGATTGATATCCAAGTTGCTTCAAAGAGTATAGTCTGTTTTGTACACGCCAGTAAGATGAGTGCTCTCTCTGCTATGCACTCACTAAAATTATCTTTCTTCTTCATCTCCGGCATCACGCCTTCCTCTTCCTGATGATGGACATTTAAATATTTATGTGGCTTCTTCCTCACTTCCCTAATTTGATGATGATAAACACCAGAAAAGTTTCACAGAAAGCCATCATCAATGTTCATTGACTTGTGTAATTACATATCCCCATAGCACTCAGAATTACATTCCCATGATACCAGAGACAAGCTATATGCCGTATATCATCACTATGATTAAACTTCCCCTATCACACTTGCGATCTTCCCCTCATCCCTGCATTATGCTTCTTGTCAGTAAAGAATATCTTTAGTGCATCGTCATGCTAGTTCTGTCCTTTCTCTCCTCTTCACCTGCCCACATACTCCCATAATATTCGTTTCACCAGAATACAGCCCTATGCATCTTCTCATAGAGAGTTGCTTCATTTCAACACATGCAATGGTACGATGGTTAAGTCCATAACGTTGGTGGCAGATAGGTCCTCCCTTCTGCTATCCCTGTATCTCACTGGGTTTGTATAATCCCTCAGGAAAATCCCAAACTCAGTAGACTGAAGCATCGCTGCTCCATATCCCTTTTTCCACCGGCTTGCTGATCAGATTTCGCTTCTATTCCGTGACAGGAAAAACCGTCAGATTGGAGCTCAGATGGGGAAACTGGCTGGAGTATGCCTCATTACCATTACTATCATTCACTGATTGCCAGGTGGGATTCAATTGGACAGTCCTGGTTAGGGAAGTCCTTGAAGGTCCAAGTGGGACTCAAATGAGAGGAAAACCTGAGTTCCTCCCTTTCCTTGGCCTATTTGCCTCTCCCCTCTGCACTCTATACTTCTGAAAATTCTTGGAGCCATAAAAACATGGAAAACACTGTCCTGTGTCATGTGAAAACAGCTTTCCAACAGAATTCTTGAATATGAATTTAGGAATTGGAGTATATTCTATTTATACAAGTCAGAAATCTGGAGATTACCAAAGTAGATTCTGCTCTCAAATTCACTCTCTTTTAATAGTAGATCTATCTATTGTCCCTTCACTTATATTCAGACTTGTTGACCGTTTATAGTTGGGCAACAAAACCTGTTACTTCTGCCATGAAACCAACCAAGAGAAAAATGCACGCTCTTCAGATCAGGTTTCTGCATAGAATGTTTGTCCATGTTCATCTGCCAACCCGATTTCCGTGGGACAATTCCCTTCACCTAATCTTTGCTCTGCTGTCTCAAATCCTTTGGTTTTGGGATTCACAGATTCCTATGCTCAGTGTCCGCAGCTGAGTGTTTTCTTAATGAACTGCCATCTCCTTTTTCTCTCCAGTTCTCATATTTTCTTGTGAAGACTGTCAAAAGGAGCTCTCATTATGAATTACTGTTTAGTTTTTTAATAAAATTTTAACTGTACAATCATCAGAAAATGTTGAACGATAATGTTTACTGTAGTCATCAGAAAATGATAATGTTGAACGAATGACAAAGATAATTAATGTAAGGGTACAAGGATGGGAGGGTGGAGTTGGGGAATGACCAGGAGTCCAGAGTGTTAGATTAGGATGAAAGTGGTTGAACAGGGCTTTAGTGGCCATTTGAAACGCAAAATGGACGAAGATGAGAGGGAGGAGGACCTAGCCTGAGAGACAGGTGGAACCATCGAGAAAAGGATTGGGGGCATGTGAGTGACTGGTGAAAATTGGTACCTTGGGGGATCAAGTGATGGAAAGAGAGCAGTACAGAGTGAGTATTCGCTGTTGGCTATGGAAATCTTAGGGAGATGGAGCTTCTTCTCGAATCATATCGTAGGGAGATGGAGTGATGGAAAGAGAGCCCAAGCAACTTGGCTTTGTGGAGCCACTTCTTAACTTATATCAAGTTGGAAGATTTATTTATTACAAATGAAAGGAATTGTTGAATGCTTTATTTCTACGTATGTGATTCAACGTCATGGGATAATGCAGGTGAAGAAACTTCAAACTGAGGACCACTATGAGATGAGGGAATATAGTATTGACATTCTTGATGAAGATGGGGGAAGCAATCCTCACGCTGAGAGAAGGCCATATCCTCTGTACCCTGCTAAAGCAGGGCTGAAACCAGGATTCTTGAGGGATATCATATCAAGGTACTTGTTTATTGTTTTTCTTCTAACTCTAAGATGCTTACTCAATTTTTTGATCATCTTGTCTTCTCTAACTCTTGAAAATGAAACAAATTACTAGATATAATCTGGAAAGATCACTTGGATTTAATGATCATCTGAGGGACAGTATTCTTGAAGTAATTTACATAGATAAATTACTACCATATTTTGAGAATTCATAGATCCAATCTCAATCTCAATTTCGTTAAATTGGCATTTATCTTACACCTTTTAAGAGAGAATTTTTCTTGGTTTAAGTACAGGATCTGTTCTTTGACCTCCCCTCCAATGAATGTGCATTCATATGCAGTACTTGTCATTAGCTTGATGCAAAACCCAGAAAGAGGTTGGGGTTGCATGAGAGCTATTCCATCGCAGTCATGTTAATGTTGAGAGGGATTTTATATCTATTAAGCTTTTGATTCGGTGTCTATAGGTTTTCAATTAGCACAAAGGTTTTATTTGGCTTTTGTGAATGAGTTATCTCCTTGATGTAGCTTCTTTTCCTTCTTTATTTTCTTTGTTCCTTATCATATATTTGATGAACATTATATTGATCTTACTTGAGTAATCTTGATTCTTTTCAATATTTTTATTCCCTTGGACGAAACAGAGCCTTGAAAGTGGTGGAAAGAGATATTGATCCTATCCCTCGCATGGTTCTCAGTGAGTTCAATTTGGTGGATCTTCGAGATGTAAGTTAGATCTTGATGACGTTGCATGGTTTATTTTATGGCACGACTTATTTCTAATCTGATACTGACGGGCTAAAGAACTTCATTACCGGTGCAAAAGTATTTTTTTCGCCAAGCATTGGTTGATTGATCTCTATTTCTTTGAAGACCCATTCGCGTTATGGAAGTCTCGAATTTGGAGATTTGAAGAGCATAGCTTGTATATGGTATTGCAATGTGTATAAATACATATATCAAAGGTCATAGGCCAGAAAGCAAAAAAATATAAAATAGGGAAAGACTCTATAGGGAATAAACTATCCTCTTTCAACTCCAAGGTTTACTAAGGTTTACCTAAAAGCACTCTAAAGTGTGGAATCATTTGAGACTTGATGAAATAGCTCTTGAATGAGGAAATGAAAATTAGTCTTTATTTGTTTAGTCTACTTCTAGAAGGCAGGATTATTTACAACGTGTAGAGCACTTCAATTTTGAAATAGTGAAATCGGATTTAAAGAAGCTATGATTAGATCTCGAAAAAGAAAACAAAGCTAGACTCAGAAAATGTGTTAATACTCGGGTTCGGTGCTAGAACGCGAAGTAATAACCAACTTCTCGTTCCTCCAAGAGATGAGAGGCTTTTTACAATTATTTTTTTAATCCAGATAAACATTATAGATTCCCAGTTGAATTAACCATTGGTCACTCCAGTTGATTATTTAGCATAGTTACATCAGAAGTTTAATATCTCTATGTTTCCTGAGCTCATTTTTTTTCTTTCAACCATTCGCATTGCTAACTCGTATTCCTTGTATCAAAATAGGCTTATATTGGAATTCATCACCCAAGAGATTTGGATGAAGCTGATTCAGCTCGGAGAAGACTAATCTTTGATGATTTTTTTTACTTACAGGTATTTCTGTATACCAATCATGAGAGAATCGTTTGGGAATTCTTCATCATTTGTACTGTAGTTTGCAATAATACATTTTCTTTCACCTGAGGGAAAGCCCTTTATAGCATTGTATCATGTTGCATAGCTGGAAATTCTTTTTTTTTGTTTGCTTTTAAGCGTTCTCATGAAATTGGTTTGTAGTTTTATGGAGAATATGAACAGACGAAACAGCATTGCACTTAATATAGGATAGTCTTAGTCTTTTTCTTCAAACTCAATTTGATCGTTCTTAAATCCTGCACGAGGGTCAGTGGTCTATCAGGTATGTGCTTTAAGTATGCCACTCAGTGCTCTGGTTTCCGTATCTCATCTTTTTTTACTATGGAAGTTGAGTTTTAGATGAATCAATGTGATGGAGATGAAGAACCCGGACAGTGGTGTTCTAGACAGCTGTCAAGGTTCCTTTGTTGAATTTTTTCTGATGAATTTTCATATGTTCTTTGATATTCATTTTCCCAGTTGGGAAGACTATTTCAGATGCTTGAGGCCCTGGGAACACAAATTGAAAAGGAGGATCTTCTAGACAAATACCGAAGACAGGGTCTGAACACCATTTCAAACGATGACTGGTGCGCCCTTACAAGGAAATTTCTAGAGGCACTACCATATTCTCTTACCCCCAGTCAGCTTGATGCTGCTTCAGAAATTATTTGGGATCTCAAGAGGCCTGTGCCTATGAACCGACTTCTACAGGTGTGTACCACTATTTTGCAGTTCAGTTTTTTCTCTACTTTTTCGATAAAATTCAGCCAAATTTGTTATCAGGTCGTCTAGCAATTGCTGATGCTTTATAGAGTTTGTGGTATGGACCATGATTGTTGAATTTCTCAATCCTGTTGGGCTCCTTTAAAGACTTTAATTTCTGGACTGATATTTGATAATGTTGTAGGTGATTACTCTGTTGAGTTGATATTGATTAAAGAAATAGTATACCTGTAGAAGAAAGAAATAATGAACAGTGGGCACCTGGAAGTTTGTAAAATCTGAAAAGTCATGTGAGGTCATATGTGTACATAGCTCCGAAGCTAGAAAAGTTAGGCACGACAGTGTAAACATTGTTTGAATTTACAGATAAATGCTGCTAGAAACTTCTTGCCTGTCATTTGACTAGGTTTCTTAGCCTACTTCTTTGCTGGGTCTTTCTTGAAAAGGCTGGAGAAGGTTCTAGTGTTGGTTTTGAGGTCAGGACAGGAGAATCAGTAGAGCTTAATCTAGTTACTAAGATGAGCATCCACATCTAGGTCTCCTTTCTTATTATTAATTCTCATGTCCATATTCCTCTGGATGTGCACCAACAGGAGTTCATTTTTTTATTCAAAACAGTTCTTCCCGTCTTGATTCAGTAACCAGTATCCTACGTTTTCTTTTATTTTTGTGTTCTTCATGCTTCCTCTCTTTCTATTCAATTTGCCAAAGCATCTCATGTTACTGTCTAATTTTCGCTATATAGATGATCCTATAAGGTACCGTTGTCACCCATAAATGCTCGCAGAGGTCCTATTGGTATTCAGTGCTTATATTGTCACATCAAACTGAAATATCTTAATAGCTGTGCGTCCTTTAATTTTTTACATGATGTCTCTTCAGGGTGATGTTGGCTGCGGGAAAACAGTGGTAGCTTTTCTTGCATGTATGGAGGTCATTGGATCAGGCTTTCAGGTTCGTAAACATCATCTTTTTTTATTTCAGTATAACGAGCAAATATCATTTTTCAAGACCTTTGTATGTCTCTTTTATGCATGGATTTATATGAGCATGAGAATGGCTGTTGTTATTGATAGTGAAATGAGTGCTGAGTAAGCTATAAGGTTTTGTATTGAGTTTGTTTGGAAATTAGCCCACATCAACCCTGAAGGATTTTTGTGTTCTTTATCCTAAATGTTGGACATTCCATTTCATTTCAGGCAGCTTTCATGGTTCCAACTGAACTTCTTGCCACACAACACTACGAACATTTGCTATCTTTACTTGAAAATATAAAGGATGTGGACAAGCCTTCTATTGCTATACTCACTGGATCCACTGCTTCAAAGCAATCACGGATAATTCGCCAGGTATTCTACTTCGGCCTTGATTTCCATATTACTTCCAGTTACATGTTCAGTGAGTGAGATTTTTACCTGTTTTTGTGTTGATAGGGTCTTCAATCTGGAGAAATAGATATGGTCATTGGAACACACAGTTTAATAGCTGAAAAGGTAGAATTTTCTGCATTACGTATTGCTGTTGTCGATGAACAGCAACGATTTGGTGTAATCCAGAGAGGGAGATTCAATAGCAAGGTACTTCCTATTAAGAAATTTATTACCTAAATGGATTGGCATTAATTTCTTGATTTCTCTGGATTTGCTCAGGTGTTGGTCAAATGATCCCAATTTTATGCATAAAATTTTCTAAATTGATCATATGCATTTGCTATATCATATTAATAATTTCAGCTGTCAGATTCAATGTGTCACTGGGCTTTATCGTTTTGCTGTGTAGAATGGTACTTATCTCCTATGTCAGCACCTACTTTATTTTCATAAAGGTGGCTATGTTCCTAGTTGTATTGTGCTAATTCCATAAAGAAATACACAGCGCAGCATTTTTGAAAATGATACTGTTTGGGCACTAGTAAATTCCTGTTTCTCTTTAAAAACTCTGGCACACCCTAACAAACTTGTACGACTTTCGCCGTAGAAACAAAACCTTCTGTTTACAGAAATTATTAATGTCTGACTTTTTATTTCTCATCCGTGAATGCTGTTGTGATCATCAAAAGACAACAATAGACGATTAGGGACGCCTATTCAGTTTGGAAGAATAGTTGAACCTTTGCTGCTGTTTCATCCTCCTGTTTGTTTATATAACGGAACAGACGATACGATAAATATACAAAGAGGAAAATAAAGAAAATCAATACGAGAGAATAGATGTGGCTTAGGAAAAAAATCTTACATAACAGGTGGAGACGACGAGATTGTTTAATCGACAAAAATCGCAAGGGGAGGACCTTTCTCACCCCTTGGACCTTTGGTATTTTTTTCTAAAGGGGTTCTTTGAAAAGTAAGATGCACAGAGGCCCATACGGTTTAATTTGAAATCATCTCTGACTAGAGCTCACTAGCAATGCAAGTCCTAGATAGCCTTTAAATCGTCTCTCAATAAGAGTCCAAACGGAAATGCGGTTGTAGCCTTTAAATCGTCTCTTAATCAGAGTCCTAACGGAACTGTGCCTTGTTTCTTTCTTTTCTAAAACGAAGTTAATTTCTTGAGTTATTTGAAAATGGCTCGTTAATTTGTTTTCAGCTAGCATGATTTTGCGTACTCTCCAACTGCTTGGTCGCATATTAAAGACAGTTTTTCCACGTCTTTTTGTCTTCTAGTGCCATTTTAAACATTTTCTTTTCAAACATCCTTTTTTAGTTATTTTGAACGAATTTAAATTCTGACTTATCCTTCTGTGTATTTCTATCCTCAGAATAGTACATTACTTAATCTCGTGTTTTTGAAACCATTACTTAATACGTCTTTACGTTACTAATCATTCATTAAGGTTCATCTTTCTTTTACTATGTCTCTCCATTGTCGTTTCTTTTAGCCAGATTTGTTTGCTCTTCTTCATGTCATTTGAAATTTCAATGGCATATACTCAAATTCTCACTAAATTTATATCTGCGTAGACATTTCACATGCGTTCGTAATTAATTTCTCTCCATTTATTTTTTTATTTATTTTTATTTTTCTGTGCTCGTGTTCAATCCTAAACTAATAATAGTATTGGAACTAGTTACTTCTTATACCCGTCAAAGTTAATCCATTTCCTCGTCCAGCAGTTATATTATGCATCAGAAGCATCAAAAATAAATGCTAAAGAGTCAGACGAATCCGCCAATAGATTATACATGGCTCCTCATATTCTTGCTATGTCCGCTACTCCGATTCCGAGAACACTTGCTTTGGCATTGTATGGAGACATGACTCTTACTCAGGTATACCAAATGTCTCTGTAATTTTTCCATTGCCGTTGTGCTCACATTTTTCTCAGCTCCTAATGTCTGCATTTAAGGCATCTCATGATGGTGTGCATGAACTGGTACAAGAAGAGGCGTTAGATTTTCTTTTTCAATTATCCTCATGACTGCGACAGCTCATTCGTTTCTCTGAGATGATCTTTAAATTATACCACAACGTTTTTTTTACTCTCTAATTTGAAAGAAAAAAGAGAAGTAGAATGACAATTATAAATGATGTAGACAACTGTAAGTGATATGCTCAAAGGACAACAAATTCAATCATCTACTGGCAGTGGATTACATGCTCGAAGTTGGATTAGCAAAGAAGAGACTACTAAAGGTTATGTGCTTAACATCATCTATTGATGCATTTATGTGTTTATTAACGGTTTATGAGTAGCTAAAAATTAATGAATAGTTAAATATATCTACAGATCATGCCGAGGACGTAAACAGAGCATGAGAATAACCTTCTACATCAGATAATGATATAATAATAGTTTAATTAAGCAATAGGAAGTGCTAAAGACATAAATTGAGGATATGAATAAACTTGGCCTTCTGATCGTGGCATGTTATTGATGTCAATACTTTTGGCACCCTGCAGCATAGGGTTTTAGGAAACTCGTCCGTGTTTAGTGATCCCTCTTTCATGTCCAATGATGCCAGCCTTGCAAAAAACCTACATATGTTACTGGGACTCACGCCAAGTTGACATAATTAGTGAGATTTTTTGGGAGCTCATCGGCATTTCCGGACATAAAGAAATGCAGTGATGTTAACTAACAAGCTGCCATAATGTCCTATCTAAAAGAGGTTTTGAACTGATTGGGAAAATAGTTTTAGATCTCATTTAAGAAAGTTTTTTTATGAAACGCAATGTTCGATGGCCTGATATTCAAGATCTCACAAATTAAGGTTTTTGTGCTGATGCCACTATGGACTCAGAGTGGGGATGTGACAGGAAAGTCTAGCCCATTGTTGAAGGAGGTACCAGGGGGCTACGAGGCCCGTACTATACTGAGAAGGAAATAAGTGCATAGGGTTAAACTATCAGGCTAATTGGCCAGTATCTTTTGAAGATATTTTCTTTATTTAGGGAAAGTTGGAAAATATTTTTAAAAATTGTTTACGTAATAACATATAAAGGATATATTGCAATTTTATATTTTCTTTGGCACCTGGTTTACTTAAAGAAGGCAGTTTATGTAATTTCACATTCTTTTCATCTATGCCCTTCTCACCCTAAGCATTTTTGAGAGATCCCTCACTAAATGTTATGAATGTTAAAGCTACATAAAAGGTGTAGTTTTTATGTATATCCTGCTCGATTTTCATATGGGGTCATGAAAATATGGTGATTGATATCTTGACTGCTTAGAAGACCTTGCTACAGTCTCATCTAGATCTGGAATACTGCGATAATGCTTCTCGATGATGATCTTCACACGGTCCCTTTGAGTTATGTAGAACTCACTGAAACACATATGCCTACCATTCTTTTCGTCATCTGCACCTCAATTGAGTTGACTAAAATTTCCCTTCTAGCAGTCGTTAAATATTTATCTTTGTCGGCCCACTGTTCCATATTTGAGATCTGTCAGTCCTCCCTTTCTCTAATAGTCTATGTCCTTCATGCTCTTAGTAGTGGACCCCTTCTTGTGTTAGCACGCCGCATGTTTTTCTCCTTTTGCTTCATTGTTAAATCCTGTTCCCGGGTCAGATATCCTCATCTACATTTCACTGAAGTTTTCTTTGTCTAGTCGCAGATTTTGATCGTCATCACTTTGCAACTCTATGGATTCATTGTATTTTTACGTTTCTTGTTTTGAATACTTTTTTGGGGAAACTTTAACTCTGGGCATCAGTATTTCTAGTCTGATACATGATGTGGAGTCCTCCCTACTCAATTTCCACCATACCATACTGATATTATCTCTTCTCTGAAACAGATTACAGACTTGCCTCCTGGAAGATTGCCCATTGACACTCATGTTCTACAAAGTGATGAGGGTGGTTTGGAAAATGTTTACAAGGTGATTACGAATATTCATCCTGTTCTAGTTTGTTTGTGCAGGAGCTGTAGTTGGTGGACCTCTCCATCTTATGTCTGCCTTGTAGTAAATATAAGCTATCCATGCCTAAAAGTTACATTCCACCCTTTCTTTTGAGCATGTGAGCAGTGAATCTGGACCCAAAATGCCCATGGGATGGATGGCCAACTGATAAAAGCATACCACATTGTAAACCCATACCGATTGAATTTTTTTTTTTCTTTTTCGGGTAGCCTTGCAGAACTCTTGGTTTTTTGTGGTGTAGAGGTGATGTTCCCATGGACAGCCCACCCATATGTTACAGAGCTTTTCGAAATGAATGTATTCACTCCATCATTACATTCTGATAATAATGGAAATCTGGAGATTTGGAACGAGAGTTGATCAGATGGGAGACAGAAGGTTAGAACTTTGCTAATGCCAATGGGAGATCTGGTCCTTGAGAGATATTGAACTTCTTTGCCTCTTACCGAAACCAGTCTATTAGAATTAATTAACTTAAGCTTCTATATTGTTTTGAAAGGTTATCATATGATCTTTTCTTTTGCCCGAATGACATTTCTGGGAGTGTAGGGATCCCTTTCTTGGATTATTTCCTTATTCCTCACACAATCTTTCAAATCCATGTTGCTATACGACTAAAAAAGGAAATATTTTAATGTTAATTGTCCTTGCAGATGATGTTGGAAGAGTTGCATGACGGAGGAAAAGTTTACCTTGTGTATCCAATCATAGACGAATCCGAGCAGTTGCCTCAGCTTCGCGCTGCTGCTGCAGAATTCGAATCCATATCAGACAGGTTCAATGGCTACCAATGCGGCCTGCTGCACGGCCGAATGAAGAGCGATGAGAAGGACCATACGCTCCAGCAATTTAGATCTGGAGAAGTCCGGATCCTTCTCTCCACCCAAGTGATTGAGATTGGGGTCGATGTTCCCGACGCATCGATGATGGTCGTCATGAATGCAGAGAGATTTGGAATCTCCCAGCTCCATCAGCTAAGAGGAAGAGTTGGGAGAGGAGAGAGGAAGTCCAGATGTGTGCTCCTCTCATCTACTGCCAGCTCCGTTGCCCGTCTGAAAGTCCTCGAGAAGTCGTGTGATGGGTTTTATCTGGCAAATGCCGATCTTATTCTCCGTGGCCCGGGGAATTTGCTTGGCAAGAAGCAATCGGGCCATCTTCCCGAGTTCCCAATCGCTAGATTGGAGATCGATGGAAGCATTCTGCAGGAAGCCCACCTCGCTGCCTTGGTAAGCTCCTCGATCTAACTTAGAACATAGATCCCAGCTTTTATGATCCTTCTTTGCTTGATTATCGCTGTTTATTTGGGATTGAGGACTTCTGAGTGGTCGGATTATCTTAAACCGGTTCTCTGATGCTACGCAGAGTGTCCTGGGAACTTCAAATGACCTTCAGAGCTTTCCAAGACTTAGAGCCGAACTCAGCATGAGGCAGCCTCTGTGTCTACTGGGCGACTGAGCTAGAAGTCTCCGGCGGTTGAGGCAAGTTTTGGGCTCCATTCCCCAGAAAATGGGAGCCGATTTTTTGGATCCTCTCATTGGCATACGGAGGATGAAGAGATCCCTTTCTTAGATGTAGCCTGGTCAACCCCATTCCTAAAACTCCAATTGGCCCAGTTGCTGCCATCTGGGGAGATTGAGAGAATGAAGGCCCCATCAAGCAGGTGGAGGAAACTAGTTTTTTTAGCAATTTATGGAGGGTCTCTGGGGCTTACTCGTTTTTTCTCTTTTTTTCCTTTTTTGTTCCCTTGTCTGCGCGTTGACTGAAAATCAGGGGGAGAAAACTTCATGCGAATGGTAGGAGTCAACGGGCCTCATCAAGTCTGATTTTAAGCTTTCAGAGCTGATTTTTTTGAGTAGATTTTATTCCTGAATACAAGTCGATTTCAACTAAGTCCTTTGAATATCTTGACCCATCCTTTCATAGGGAGAAACTCTTCTGGTCTTCCCCAATTGGGGGATGTGCCTTGAAGTTCAATTCTGGAGCAGTTTGGAGTGGGTGACTCACGGGTGTGGGTCAAACCACACAAGTTTTAGTGCTAGGTTTCATCCGATAATGTCATGTAAGTCGCCTGCATGCTAAGCCCTTTGACTTTTGGCTTTCTACAGAAGGAAACTGGATGCAGGCAGTGGGCAAGAGAAAGCTTCTCCTTTTGCAGCCCCCAACTTCCTTCCTCCCCGGGGGAGAATCAAGAAAAAATGCTACGGCATGACCCAACCAGAAGAGATCATGCCTCAAATTCTGACCATCACTGACAATTCCATCCATTCAGCTCCCTCCACACAGACATTTGAACAAACAGATATAGTGATATATATATATATATATATATATATATATATATATATATATATATAGAGAGAGAGAGAGAGAGAGAGAGAGAGAGAGAGAGAACACTATCAATAGAAGAGCAATCAATAGCTCCGAGGGGCAACAACCAGCATCATTGTTCGAACTCGAGAAACTTAATCACTACAATGTGACATCAAGTTGCCTTCTCACTCTTGGCCACCTCGGGGGTGACCAGAGGGTGGGGATCCACCAGTCTCTCAAAGTCAACCTCCATTGGCCGGGACTTGAACTTGTACCCGCTCTGAAACCAGGACTGGATGCACAGGACGGCCTGCATGCTGCCGTGTGGTAAGCAGAACCGCTGCCTCTGCAAGTCGTCCCCTTTGCCAGAGAAGAGATTCTCAGGCTCCACTGAGGTCCCCTGGACGGCCAAGTAGTCCCTCGCCATGACAGAGAGCCGTGGGTAGCGAGTGCTGTTGACTTTCCACCACTCCAGCACATCGGTCGCAATCGGCACTGGTGGTTCCGACAAGTACTGGGTCAACTCATCGGCCACCGGCACGATGCTCAGCCGCCGCCTCTTCCGGGCGATCTCTTCGGCAAAGGAAACACTGCTGATGGCTTCACTGTCCTGCGCCGTCGCCGCCGCCGCCACGTACCCATTTGCCACAGAGGGGAATTGCCCGGCAGAGTAATTCCTCGAGAAGTAGCTCCTTGCTTCCTCCAAGTTCTTGTCAGAATTCAGATTCTCTGGTATGAGGTCCTTCTTTATCCTCGGATCCAAAACCGCGGCCATGTAAGTGAAGGGGCTGTAGACTGTGCCGCTGAAGCTTCGGGCCCTCTCGGCCATGCTGTCGGCCGCCGTCTTGAGCCATTCCTGCCGGCAGCTGTCTCTGAAGGCGCTGATGATCTCGAAGACGTGGTCCATGAAGAAGAGGACCAGGCCAACAGTGGGTACCTTGCAGGAGCACAGGTTGGTGGTGATCTTATAAAAAGGCTCGAAATTTGAGTGCAGAAAATTGATCAGGGATTTCTCCGTGGCGCTCAGCAGCTGCCCCTTCCCGCCCAGTACTTCTTCATGCTTCCTGATGAGGACGTCCATCGAATTGGGCGCCTGCGCCGTAGACAAGAACGGATCAAAATCGGCAAACCCAGGTAGATATATATGGAAGGTTTATATTCTATCCATTCACTCAATCTGGTGTATGGGCAGGAAGCTTTGAAGGATGGGAAGCAGAGGGTACCTTTCTCACAATATCCAGCATCGCGTAATCACCAGTCCAGTGGGGTGAAGAATCGAGGGGAAGCTGCCAGGTGCCCTCCTGATAAGCAGCTGTCAGCTGTCGGAAATCTTGAGCAATCTCAGGAGACCCGTTCATTTCCCGGACAAATTCTCTGATCTTTATCAGCGTGGGCCGAAGGGTCTTCAACCCATCTTCTATGATCAGATTTAAGGTCTGCGCAGCACAAGGTATGTAGCAGAAGGTCGCCTTCCGGGCATCGAGCTCCTCTCTGAGTGCAAGGCAGGCGTGGATGGCCGGCTGGCTTGCATCCCTACTGTTATCAAGAGTGCAGGCCAAGATGTTCTTCTCAATATTGAACATCTTGAGGACCTTCAAGAGGGCATGAAATATCTCGCCCCCCCCGCAAGGGTAAGGAATGCAAGAGACGTCGAGCAGGACCTTGTGGAGAGACCAATTCTCATCGACCCAGTAGCCCTTGACGCTCATGTAGAAGATCTGCTCGGAGGATGTCCAGAACTCCAGAGCTATGGACACCTTGGAGTTCAGATTTTCCAAAGACGCCCTCACATCGTCCCTCATGCTTCTGAAGACGTCGGATGTCATCAACTGAATTCGTTCTCTGGACCAGAGCTTGACACCTGGGTTTAAGAACCTCAATGAGGTAAGCAGTGCTTTGTCTTCCATGGTGGAGGGAGGAAACGAAGCTCCTATCAGCCATCGGAGCAGCAGCCAGTTGAGATGGTCGAGATCCACAGTGGTGGCCTTCACTTGAGATTGGATCTTCTTCATTACAACAACACCAGGCTGTGGAGTCTGCTGAGCAGCAGCCTCACCCTGTCGATCATACCCAGGATGGTGGTGATTGAGATGCCTCCTCAGATTCCCTTCATATGGCATCAGAAGTGGAATGGGATGAGATAAACTTTAACAATCAAGCTTTAATATTCCCACAAACTCAACTTACAGTGGAAATCAACTTACAGTCCTATGAAAGTTCTAACGCGTGTCAAATTGAGCAATCACAAGAACTAATATGGGTTTGACAGCAAACATAGGTGTGAACCCAAAATACTCCCAACCACAAACGTATCACATTGCTTAGAAAAAAATGTTTTCGTCATATTATTCCCTGTTTTAGAGTACAAGGATTCATAAATGGCAAATATCAAAGTTATGACCTGTCTGACATATTTGATGCAACACAAAGCTACTGATAAACCATGATAAATTTTGAGAGGGCAGAACCCAAAGTCGTCAAGGAAGATGGAAAGGATACCAGTGGCAGTTGATATAGAATAACTTTGCTTGCAAAATTTGCATTTTCGGCTTTTCCCATCAGTTGCTGTTTCAAAGAATTTGAGATAGAGCGATGTCATTGATTTTTTCCTCGGCTTCATTTGAGCAGTGCTTTCCTTATCAGAGGACCCAACCCCGTATTCTATTTGATCCATATTTGGTGTAAGCGTCATGTCCATCATGGCTTTAGCCTCCACCTCTGCCCCACAGCATATGAGAATTAATTAAGCATCATTGTTGGGCTTGAAGAGACAGAAAACTGGGAGAACACACTTCCAATCAAAGAAGTAATTTCAACATCACCAGTACACTTTGTAGAAATGTTGAGTCAAACCGTAGAACTCTTTAATAATGACAGGGCAGTTGTGTTCATAAGCTTAGTTACAGCCTTATATATGTATTCTCTCTCTCTCTCTCTCTCTCTCTCTCTCTCTCTCTCTCTCATCACTTCATCCTCACGAGAACAAGTAATGTTGGAAATAAATTGTTCATGGAGTAAACTGTACAATTGCTTTATTTAGAATGAAGTAGTAGCTCAGGCACTAAATACTAATCATCAGGATGTTTTGGGGCCTAAAAACCAGTGCAAGAAAAAGAGGTCTTGTTAATAGTAGACAAAGTTTACAAGGAATTAAAAGTAATTAACCCAAAGGATTTATACACTGTTTCTTTTCTCCCAGTCATTTTCATATAAGCAATAGATGAGAAAAAAAAAATCTGTGTACAAGTCAATTTAAGTCATTTGAACAGAGACGATGATTGGGGAAAAATCAACATTCAGAGATCTAAATTATGTAATAGCCAACACTTTGGAGTATTTAATAAGCCAAGTGACATAAAAACTTCTAACCTAGCAGTGTAAAGCTGAAAGAAAATATTGCCCTGCAAACCTAAAAATCATATGAAAAATAAATACACTTGGAGCATTAATAACTTCACAGCGCAACAGATGCCATCAACACTATTTCATCGGCCATGGCATTTCTATTCACAGAACGGGGTCAAAAGACACGTCAAACCTGGTCTCCCTACCAGCCTAAGCTGCCACATGGACCGTCTGCGATGGAATTAAGGCTACCTTCTGCACAGTCAGATTGCCATGCCCAGCCAGTTTCAAAGGCAAATATGATGTGGGCACAGCGTGGATATAGTCATGGGAGGTAGTGAAGAGAAAATGAAACATGAGGTAGGAGGAGGCAAGCTAGGCCTGAGCCTAAGATGGGGATGCAGCAAACAACAGCCTTCATTTTAACAGCAAAAGCAAATTGCATTTTTTTATCAGTGCAGATTATTTGATGAATATTCACTTTTCTGAATTTTCTGTAAACCAAAGACAAGAAAATTATGGATGTGGAAATTTACGGCTAGAAGGGTCAGTTTTGACATTTCATGTTTACTAGACGAGCAGTGATCCCTGCTTTTGACTTTCTGTTACAAATGTCAAAGCTAAAAAACGGAATGCCAAGAGTTTTGATAAGAGAGTTTCTAAGAGAAACATAAGAAGATCTCAATTACCTTTTATGATTTTATAAGGGTTATTCCACTCCATTATATTCCTGGATCGAACACCAACATTACCTGCATGACAGAAATTGTGAATTAATTATTTGTAACAGTTCTGCACGTTGACTATTATCAGATGAGGAATTCCCATAGTAATGTCCACATGATTACAGACATAGATAAATAATGGGCCACGAGAAGAGCAAAACGCATTCACAGCCTAATTTTAAGAGATTCAGCCGTTCAGATTCCTTTCTATGATTCATAGAAAATAAATAATTAATCTCTAGAATTAGTCTGTCACAAATAAGATTATTTTGGATTTCAGACCCCGGAAAAATCTAGGCTGACAGAAAAACTCCCCTAGCTTTCTCATTCGACAGCTAATCCTCTTGAAACCATTCAACTCTAAATAAACAACGAAAATGCTCAAAATAGTCCACGAAATCCGAGCTAACGATGCCATTGAAGCATCATTATGTTCTATCCATATTAACGATCATTACAAGAATCTCTAAAGGATGTATTGAACATTCTCATCATCCACAATGTTCTGAACAGACCCCAGAAATAAGTCAATGAGATGAGTACACTAACCTTTGGCAAATCAGAGTTTCAGTTCCTTAGCTTTTCACCATGAGCATCCATCATGATGCATTCTCAATTCTCTCTGCTCTACATCTCACTATCTCCCCAAAATAAAGCATCCCCTTAATCTCTAGGCTCTCCATCAACCTCTCTGAAATACAATAAAGGTCCAAAAAAAAAAATTCTTATCGCCCAAAATTTGCAACTTCTGAACGCTCCCCCTTTAAAATCTCGTGGATCATATATCCAAGAGTTATTTTATTCCCATTTTGAGAACATTCTAACAGCTCCTTCCAAGCACAGGTTGACTTATTGGGGTTTATCTCGTAGACAACATAACTCAGAGTAACCATATTAAAAAACCATTATACTTATGCCCCAAAGTTTTATGCTTTCTAATGCGGGAGATCATTCTAACAATTGATTTCTCAGGACCCACCCCATAAAATAAAATTGATTTCTCTACCAACCGGAAGATAAAGAAATCAGCGAAAATAATTTCCAATGAAAGTAAAATTGTGACTCTCAAAAGAAATTAGCAGTACTATGCTTATCATCATCAAGTTCAAAACAGAAATATATAATTTTTTATATGGTTGCCAAGACTTGAGGTTCCATATCTAACGAATTTGGCATGAACTCCATGAAGGAAATTCTGTGGACTAGCCATCTATCTGGTCTCTCACGCCCTGTTCAATCATCATACAGGAGAACAGGGAGGCCCAAAATAATAGGAAATCATACAATCAAATGCAGGATCCTCTCCACTCGAATCAAAAGATTCCATTTACCATTCAACTACTCCCATGAGTTGTGCAAGCCTCGGCTTCTGCATCGTCTAACCATCTTCTACAGACGTGAATACTAAGAACAGTAAAAAGATGGTCATCAAAATTTACATGAAAAACCAATATACGCTTATATTGAAATAGTAGTGGAATCAATCATGAGAAAACCACAGAAGACTCAACGCGAAAACTAAAAACTCCATGGTTTCCCAGCTCATTTTGACCAAGAACCGGAAAAGAGAAGCGGTTTTTCCCAGAGCTTGCTCATAGTGCGGGTCCCACCGGTATCTCGTATTTGGCCGAAGAAGCATCAGACAGGTCGGAGTTTCTACCTTCTTGGGACTCCATGGACCAAGATCTACTTTCATTATATGGGCAATACCAATCCACTTTAGTAGATCATATGGATGTAGAAAAAGCTTCTTCTTTTGAGGAATTCGAAACATCTCTTTTCCATTTCCATTTACCCAGTTCATATCTTCGTTTCGTGTGTTCCCGGGAGGAATTCGATCTCTTCAATCTCGGGATACTAAATTAAGGTCAGAGAGTAAAATAGGTCGGGAAGAAATAGTCTGAGGTCGGGTCAGACGAAACGTCGGTTGGTGATGGCATACTGAGTAAGATAAACCGGCAGATATGTGATCAAATAACCAAGATCTTAACTTTGGTAGTAGAGAAATTATTTTTTTAAAAGTGCTGATTAAAATGAGGTCAAGATGGTCAAAGTGGTATGTTATGATCGTCGCTCATCAATTGTGCCTCTTGATCGAAAAGAGGTAATCTAGCTTCCAATAAATAATCCTGACATTTGGAGAGAGAAAAATAGTGAAATGAAACTCTGATTTGAGATGTATGAAAATATCACGACCATGCTTTCTTCGGTTTAAGTCTCTTTTCCTTGTATGGTTAGATACTAAGAATCTTCGATAAACCAAGAAAAGTCTTCCTCTGTCAAGATGGACAACCGTTTCTCTTTCGTCTGAAAGGCATAGTGGGACCTATACATCCACCACGAAGATACACATGGAGAGAGAGAGAGAGAGAGAGAGAGAGAGAGAGAGAGAGAGAGCGAGAGAGAGAGAGAGAGAGAGAGAGAGAGCGAGAGAGAGAGAGAGAGAGAGAGAGAGAGAGAGAGAGCGAGAGAGAGAGAGAGAGAGAGAGAGAGAGAGAGAGAGAGAGAGAGAGAAGAGTTGATACTGGAACAGGTAGCAGACCCAAACCGATCTCAAGTCCACAAGAATAGTAGCAGGAGGGTTCACCAGCTACCCTCAAAGCACCCACTCCATTTCGTCAGGAATCAAGAGGCGTGAGGAAACGAATATAAGTTGGAGCGGCAAGAGCAACCAGTGTGCGACGCAGAGAATTGAGAGTGAGAGCATGAACATAAGCATGGGCGAGAATCTCTTCTCTCACCTCTGATTGCAGCTTCAGAAGGTCAAGTCCACGCCCTCCGGCCGCCATCTGAGGAACGACTTAGCCACTTTCAGGCTCTTCAAAGAGGGGAAATTGTTGAAAGCAGAGCTCTTCATCCCATGGCAGAGGAGGAAGAGGAGGTAAGAGGATCTGGAGCTCACCGGCGGGGGCACCTCTCCGCCATCCCACTTTGGACCGTACCTGTTTCAACCGTCACGCTCCTCCAAGATCCCCGGCCACAGACAGGATCAGACAAAAAAACCCTTTTCTTCCCTGTAGCTAGAGAGAGAGAAATGGAGCTGGCGAGCCGAGCGAAGCCGATTGGAGCCGAGCGCGACACAGAACAAGCTAGAGAGAGAGAGGGACAGAGAAGGACAGAGAAGGAGAGGGATGGAGAGAGATGGGCTGCTGAGAAGTGGCCAGAAAGGCGGCGGGTAGCCGGCGGCGCGGTCAGCTCCTTCTTCTGTATATGGCGGCTCTGGTTCTCGGCGGCGCTGCCGACTTCCAGCTGATGGCGATCAACCCCCCTCGGCCGTCTTTTCAACCCCCTTCCTTCTCCGACTATTAATTACTTGCTTGCCCTACCCCGCGGCTTTGACTCCAACACGATCTGACGAGCCGCCATGAAAGCGCCGCCAGGGCTCGCCGCCACCGCGCCGACACGGTCCTCCGCTTTATACCGAGGTATGCCGGCACGTGAGCCACGTGATCACATGGTCAACCTCAAAAAATGTTTCTTCCAAGACCATCAAACCTTAACATTTTCTTCAATCAACATTTTTCCGAGTTGAAGACTATTTAATTAATCATCGGCATTTAATGCTCACTACCCCCCAATCATTTGATATTGCACCAAAACCTAGTTCCAGTATTTGACTTTTTTATAAAAATTATTGTGAAGTCCAACAGAGTTCCGAGACAAATTTCCGGCAACATCATTCATTTTACGTAATAAAAACAATGCATTAATAATACTCACCATATTTGACCCACTTTCCTGCACCATTTAAATTAGTATGGACGTACGTACGTACGCACCACGTACTCGTCTCATAATCATTGCCGTTGGAAGTACACGCACAAATAGGTTCATGTGGGCCTCAATTTTGTAATTACTCCACTTCTTTGGGTTTTTCTCTAATTGTCCCCTTTGACTCATCCACACTCTTTAAATGGAGTCAAATACTTGACCAAGAAATAAAAAAAGTAGCCTTCCTGCAAGAAGGCCAATTTCTTTTTACCGATTATCGATAAGATAACGAACATTAAATTACACATAAATTATGGATTAAAAAAAAGAGAAAGAAACCAATGAATCTCCTCCTCTTTAGAGAATCTTAGTGGGCAGTTTTGTTTTTTTCCTAAAATGAGTGTGCTCTAAGAAGAAAGTGCCTACCCAGAAATAGAAAACTGTAGAAAACAGAATTCCCATCGTTGCTGGAGGGAAGAATGTATGATCCAGGAGCTCTCTCGTCCATGTTATCATTTCCTTTTCTTTTCTTTTCTTTTCTTTTTTTCTCTTTCTTTTTTGGGGGGTGTTCTTCCCTTCTCTCAATACTCACCTGAAATGAATGCATTCTCTCAGTATGCTTCCCAGTTAGGGGGGTTGTGGCTACCATGACCCCTCCCAACATACCCATACCCCCTGCCATAGAAGAAGCCCCTTCCCCGACCGCCACTGCCACCACTGCCGCCACCGCCACCACGGTAGCCACGCCTGCCGCCGCCACGGGCCAGGCGGTGCTGCGAAAATTCACCAAATGTCTGGGAGAGGGAAATCACAGGAGGATGGATCCATATATCTGAGAGCCAGCTTCATCCGGTTTAAGAGGGGAGAGAGAGAGCGAGAATGAAGGAGGAGGTTTCGTACCTCAGTGTCCGTCCTCATCTTCTCAGAGAACCTGGCTCTCTCGTTCCGTCCGGCGTGATCGAATGCGTTGCAGGAGAGCGAGTCAAAGAAGTCGTCCTTCACGTACACCGGCTTCAGGAGGAGGAAATATCACGTCAAAATTCTCCAAAATTATAGCAACAATAATAATGATTATCATTATTATTAGTTTCAGGCATATCTCGCCTTAGTTTTGGGCTCTGATGATTCAGGTTGATCGTCATTGGGATAGTGCTCGTTGTTGTCCCTGGTCTGAAGATGGCTCTTGCCGAGGTGGCCCCACACTTCATCCTTGTTGAATTTCTCATTCATTGCCGTGAAGTCAAAGTCTTCCGTGAAGTGGGTCGCACTAGAAGCAAACTGCGGGGAGAAACACGGATCAGCAGGAAGTGAGAGAGAGTAGAGGAAATGATTTCTAGCGTGTTCAAGGCTGATCATTGAAGAGCAGAAAACTAAGGCTCTGTCATAGGTCAACGGGGATGATAATCGTTTTTAACTGTACGAAACACCCCCAGAAGCAAGCATATGAGGGGAACTTAAGTCAACGGCCGGGATGTAAGACAGAGAGAGTGGGACGAGGAATAAATGGTACCGTGCTCCCTCTGCCTCCCCCACGTCGCCTATGGCCGGGATGGACATGCGAAGTAAATTCAGCCTGCTGAAAGAGAGAGAGAGAGAGACGCGTCAGAAAATCAAAAGGTAATTCAACTCCAAATCAAATTACAAAAATCGCATAATCATCTACTTGAATGAATGGAGAACTTTGAAGAACACTTCTGGGTAATATATTATGCTTTCATGCTGGCGGATCGAAACTGACTAAATTGAAACAAAAATATTGCAGATCACTGCACCAGTAATGAAATTTAATGGAAGAGAAAAATGTAAAGAAAACAAAATTGCATTCTCAGCGTTCTGAGCATTACACGTACCCTATAATCAAATGGCGTAGGCAAGGGCAATATCGCGTGGTTGTTTTCAGGCGGAGCCTGCCTTTGCGGCTCTGCTGATGCTGCATTAACGTCCGTAAACTGTTGCCGAATCTGCAATGGCTGCCTTGAAGAAACAGCTGCTGGCCCAGGTTGCAATGGCTGACCAGATGGCAATAGAGAGGCCCCTGACGTCTCAGTTGGGAACGAACTGGATGATCCAGAGGTCAATGAGACAGACAGAGATGTTGCTTGCTGAGCCAAATCAACACGTGGAGTACTATTGGGCTCGGATGTGGGTCCTACTATGGAGGACAGAGGAGAGGTTAAAGATGATGGAAAGGGGGGCAAACTAGCAACAGGCGCTGCAGCTGAAGGCAAAGAGGTGAAAGGGGGCGTACTTAGCAACATGCCTGCTGACGGAGCAAGAGCTAAACTAGAAGCCTCAGCGAAACTTGGAAACTTAGAAGAGGTTAAACTTTGGCCGGAGCCCACAGGTGGCCATAGAGGAAACTCGGGTAAGTTAGTAGAAACAGATGGCAAAGCCGTGTTTGATCCAGACGATTGTGGTGCGCCAGTTCCGGGCAGATTTGGATGAGACGAAGGTGTGGGACTGATCCTTGGCAAAGCACTTGAGAATGATGGAGATGCACTCACTCCAGGTAAATATGGGGAACCAGAAGGTACTGATGGATTCATAGCAGGATACTGCAAAGGCTGCTGCATGGAAGGAGGCAAGGGTAGGCCAGGTGGTTGGCCCAGCGGACGAAGCAATGGTGGCTGCTGCAAATGAGGCAAGCCACCTGAGGGGGTGCTGGATGCATAGAATCCCTGCAAGTACGTTGGCACAGCAAGCCCTGGACCATATGCAGTAGGTTGATATAGAGGGGGAACACTCTGAGTAGATGGTGGAGCACCAGTCCGCGCTGTGTGAGAAGAACTAAGCTCCGGGACAACTCCACTTCCAACTGAAGGGAGCACAGCAGATGTAGAAAGTGGAGCAACTGGGCGAGAATAGTTAGTCTGCGGAAGAAATTTAGAGGGATTAACATGGAAGGCCTTCATGATCTGCGTAGGTGAGAATTGAACCATACTGTACCTGAATGTGGACTCCATCCAGTGCCGTATGCGAACTAAGTTCGGCAACAGTTTCCCTTCCTGCTGAAGGTGCAGATATGGAAGCTGGAGCAACTGGACGAGGATGGTGTGACTGAAGAAGATAAAAGTTAGAGACATTGGCACGATAGACCATATCAGGGTCAGCAAATGTGAGAGTGGACTGCACTCTACCTGAATGACAGCCGGATCATTGTGTACTGAAGGTGCCGTTTGAGATGGCGAGGATTTAACCTGCAAATCCTGCAATCAACAATGACAAAAAGAAAGGTTAGGATTATCTCTCAAGGTACCAGTGTTATGTTACCAAGACGCGAGTCTACACATCACAAGATCTGAGAATCAAATCGTATGATAAGAACACATTAATTATGTGAGTCCTCACTTTATGCACGAAGATTAAGCTGTAAGCATCTCCTGAAACTTTAAATACAACTGGAAAGCATTTGAATATGTCCAGAACTACTTACAGAGAACAATGAACCTATATAAATCCTCTTATGTCCTCTATAATATCCACCAGTAATCCTCAATAAAGAATGATGGGACCCAAACTAAGCTCCCAAAACAAGATCAACTAATAACGGTGTACCATCACATGCTGATGGGCTTCCCGTTTGTCGATTGAAACAAAACTTACACCTTTTATTATAATAAACTGTGGCCCCCTCAAACTCGGGGTATTGGATCTGATAAAGCTTAAAAACTAAGTCAGCTTTGATCAAATTAATTCAAAATAAGAATCGAACATTTCCGCATAATATGAGCCCTTTGATGACAGTTTTTGCCACTTGTGCAATGGAATTCAACCGTATTTGAAACCACAGAAAAAAGAAGAGGACAGGATAATAAAGAAAATAGGGAAGAAAAAAGGCATGCATTCAAACTGCAAAAGCCATGGTTGCTAAGGTAACAGCTCACTACACTACTCCCTAGGCAACAAGGTACGGGACCAAGGTTAGCCTAGTTTAAGCTATGCTCCCATTGAAGATAACGATGTGATCAAGCTACTCAACCAATAATGATGTTTTCACTTATTGAGATATTTTGAGGTATACCTGAGAGCTGATATCTATTTTTAAATACAAGTATTAATCATTTATATTATTTGGGGGATGGAAATTTATTTCGAAGAAGAATGGCCGCACGAATGATAAATTCATTTTTTGTATCTGATTATTATTAAAATTATCATTTATTTTTCTAACTGTTTGTTAAAACCTGAGTTAAACATTTAGTAAATTACATAACGTAAATAGTAACTTCAAAACATCTTAGATGGGAATGCATTCACAACAAATTCTTTGAAAGTTCAACTACCAGTATTGATGAGCAAGAATTAATACCAGAAAGTTTTTCGTGGGTAACCAATTCAGAAAAAATAGCTTATCAATGGTATTCGTAATCAAACATAAAGCATGGGTATCTAAAAGCTAAAAAATCAGTTGGAAGTTATTAATCATATATTTTCTATCCGAATGAGCAACAGCATAGAATCTAATAGCATGTTTGAAATAAATACCATATAACATAATGGGACAATCGGACTCTATAATAACAGATTTCATCATAAAGTATTTACCGAGAAGTGCATCGTCAAAAATAAGAAAAGTAGCATCTTTCTCTATGAAAGAAAAGCCATCCTGTGTGGGAAAAATGCATGGAGCATTCTTGCCATCTTAACGCATATTCTCGATATCTTTGAGAAATGATTCAAATAAATATTTATATAATGAGATAATAAATATTGACTTGCGTTCTTAATCTCCTGGCAAGGTAATAATAATCAAGATGTGCGCAATTTCCAAAGATAACTATATTATGTAAGAATGGCATGCCACTAAGAGCATAAACTGCGTTATTCCCCCACCTTGATATCACTTCCGCGAAAGAGTATGTACTCATAGATTCTGTCACTTGGAGGAACTTGTTTTCTATCCTTTCTTCTACCTTCGGTTCCAAAAGACGACACTGCCAGATCAATGCAAAAACATAAAAATTCAATCACTCTTTGTTGCATACGATAACATAAATAACAAAGCAACGTAACAAGATGCGGTTACACTGTCTTGCGTGCAGCAATCAGTTTTCCCGAGGTAAATAGAACCCTCTTCCAGCACATAGTGTGCTAACATGTTTATAAATGCAGGAAGATGCGGTACTACATTGACATTGTAGTCAGTTTACCTATTGCCTCGCAGCAACAGAAGAGACTTTAAGCGATGCATACCGTAGTACTAGCACACAAATCGGACCTATTTTTTTCGGCTGTCTGATCTCCACAATTATAATAATGATATGAGCAGTACATAATACGACCCTTTCTATCGGCTCTGCACGCCCCAGGCATGGCCAAGAAACAACGAAATTTTAATAATCGACAACCGACCAAAACAGAAAGAAGACTTAGAAACCAAAAATCATGAAAAAGAAGCCAGGATCTTAATGAAAACTACAAGAACAGCCTCAAACATCAGAAGAATGAAAAAGTAAAAAATAGACGGAAAGATAGAAAGGCGGGGGGGGGGGGGGGGGGGGCGAACTCGGGGAAAATCCGGTACCATTTTGCAGTCCGATGCTGGATTCCTCGGTGTTGATATTGAACAACACCCCCTCGTACCGGATTTCGCTCTTGGAGGTCAAGCTTATTAGACTCCCGATGTACGAGTCAGCCGATGGCGCGGATTTCGATGCCTCCTGTGCCGCCGCCACCTCCATGACGCTCTCTCCAACTCTTCCAACAAGGGTTCCCTAAACCTTGCGAGAGATATACAGCCTTGCATACAGAGGGATGGCGTCAGCCAGAGAGAGAGATAACGGGCTGCATAATCCGTATCGATCTATATATAGAGAAGGAGAGGGGATATGCCGGCAGGATGTCGGACCGTTGTCCCCTGGAACTGAACTCGTACGTTACGTTTTGATCCGAAACCCAAACAGCACCGATATCATTTCAAATAAAATTGTAACGGGCTCAAATGACCCTGTGAAGCCAGACGTACCCACAAAGTAATGTCGATGACCGGGGCCAAAGACTAGTGCCCAAATGGGCTTAGGAAGTGGCCACGTGGAGGTAACAGGGAGTTGACGTGGCTGTGGGACCATCTCCAGACGCGGGCATTGCTAAAAGAGCAGGTCGAAGATCCTGTGAAATTCGTTGCTAGTATATTATTATTTTTATACGCTTAAAAAACAAATTTAATGGTTATATTCAAACGCGACGATCGCGTTTCCGCGGCGGACGCAGCGGAGCCGGCGGCGGGAATTCCTGGGAGAGCGTTCCTCGGGACGAGGGTGAGATTTCCACAGACCATGATCATTTATGAGCATAGGCCGTCCAATCGAAAAATTGCCGTGATTATCATGATGAGTATGATTGGATGAATACCTTAGGCCAGTGCACGTCTCGTCCAATCGGTGCAGGATTGCAAGTCTTTTTTCCGAATTCAGGAAGAGATTGAGATCTTCGGACCTAGAATTGCTGTTGAGAGCAGAATCAATAACCGCCACGATTCACATTCTCGCCAATTGACTGTGGAGCCGTGGTTGCTGGAATGGCTCCTCTCCTCTAGGGCGGTGAAGGTCAGTGAAGACGAAGACGAGTGATCGGGAGATGGATACTGTTACGTCGATCTTTGCCGTGCTTCACAATTCTTCGATCGATCCTTCCGGTGGCTGGATGTCTCGGCTTTGTTCTCATGCGGAGGATATTCCGTTTCCGCTGGTAAAGAGAAATGGAAACTCCGCCGCGGTTGCATCTCATGAACATCGCAGCTTACCGCCATCCGAGGTTGAGCCCGACGCAGTTCTGTGTGCTGGTATTGCAGAGATTCCGATGGTTAAACCTGCAATCTGAAAATGGAAAACACAGGCGAGACGGGAGAAGAACCAAGATCTGGAGCTGCGGATCCGTCCGCTAAGTGCTCTGTTGATGGAATTCTTCAGCGCCGTCGGGGAGACGAAGAGGTAGCGAGCGAGTTGGAGGCAAAGGACTTGGAAGTCCTTCCTGCAGAGCAGCATTGTAACTACCACGTTAGCCGCAAGTTGCAGCATATATATATATCTATATATATATATATGCCTGTTTTTTAGAATAATAATAATAATAATAATTTTATTTCTTTATTAACACAGTGATTTAAAATTATACGCGAAATTATACCATTTCGTCTGACCCAGAAGAGAATGGGAAGAACCATCGAACAACAAGGGACCATTTAAAAAATACCCCTATCACGCTCCCTCTTGCAATCTTACCCTTCTCGTCAGAGAAACATCAGGTCATCTTGCTTATTTTCAGAATCTCGGGGCATATTTGAAAATTAATTCGCCGCCGCGTCCTGCCCGTACTCTCTCCTCGGGGCGCCTCCCCATTGGCTCTCCTGGCGACTCCGCCCCTTTTGTCCTGTCTACAGTGTCCCTAGAGAGAGAAAGAGAAAGAGAGAGAGAGAGAGAAGGGGGGGGGGATGAATGCCGGCCTACCCCTGGAGGTGAAGTTATGGAGCAGTAGTGGAGCATATTACTGCGCATCAGAGCGGCTCTCTCTCTCTCCCTTTCCCATGCAGCCCCGAAAGGGACTCCTCCATGCGCACCCCCTTTTCCGTTGCCTCCTTTCGGCGGAGCTTCTTCCTTCTGGCGAACCGCCGGCGGCGCCGCCTCCGCCGCCGGCGGCGAAGTGGTAGCGGTGGGGAAAGAGAGGGAGGGGTGAGTTTGAAGTGAGGGGAATTAATTAAGTAGCTGGTGGCGCGTCAGCAGAGGCTCTGCGGCGGCAGGGCGCGCCCATCATCGCAGCGGCGGCACCATTAAACGCCACACAGCCCCGCGGAGATGCCTAAAGCGGGCTGGATCAGGCCCCCCCGGTAGCCCCACCGTTGGTGTTACGGACCCCCCCCCCCCCCCCTCACCCCGCTGTCAGAGAGAGAAACGAGAGAGAGAGAGAGAGAGAGAGATCCATCATTTGAGAGGATGGGGGGCGTCCCCCGGATCACCGTCGGTGGCGTCCCTCCATCTGTACCCCAGCCACCCGTTGCCGCGGTGGAGGACACACTCTCTCTCTCTCTCTCTCTTTCTTCTTTCTCTCTTGTTTTTCTCTCTACGGGTGGGAAGAGGAGGTGGAAATCACGGGAAGTGGGGGTCCCCAGGAAATCTTCATTTGACAAAATTACCACGGGAATTGCGAGAACTGCGCTGGCAGCCCCGGTCGATGGTCCCCACAGGGGCGATTTTGAAAATAGTAGGGGTATTTTAGTAAATAAAATATTTACCGTGGTGTGACGCCTAAGCTGGTATGAATTCGGACACTTGGGGGGCCGCTGTATGATCTAACATTCCACTCTGCATGCTGCCGCATGCAATCACATGGGAGGGTTTTAATGGTCCCCCACCTCACTGTAACCCTAACTAATTTCCACTCCTCACAGTAGAGAGAGAAAGTCCCCACAGTAGAGGGAGAGGCGAGATCCTAACCATCGGCCAACCTCAGATTTCCCCGCCCTCTCTCTCTCTCTCTCTCTCTCTCTCTCTTCTCTCTCTACTGTCTTTCACAAGGCCTTTTCTATAAACAGGATTGTCGCCGGCGATTCTCAACACTCTGCCTATTTCACTCTCGGGTGGGTAGCATCTGCTATTCCGATCCCCTGACACTTCCGGCGGTGGAGATCATCACCTCGTCGTCCTCGTCGATCTTCTCCCTCGCCTAAGAATTCTTTCTTGTTCCGTGGTGTCTCCTAGCCGAAGAAAACGAGAGAAGACAACGAGGACGGCTCCGATCTGCTTTCCCTCCGATGGCGCGCTCCGAGGATTTCTTCTCCGGTACTGTCGCAGGAGCATGAGGGCGGTCCTTGCGGCTCCTCCTACAGCCATGGGAAACCTCCTCCGTCTGTTGCAGGCTCTTCTTGTGCTGGTGCCGCCGCTGCTGTTGCTGCTCTCCGAGGGCGCGGTTAGGGCAGACGATGCCGCCGCTCCCATGGAGGAGGGGGAGCGACGAGCTCTCTACTCTGCGATCCAAGGTTTCGTCGGCAGGAACTGGAATGGCTCCGAGCTCTTCCCGGACCCCTGCGGATGGACTCCCATTCAGGTTCCCGAAGCTCTCCATCTCCGCTCTCCGCTCAGATCTTCGCCTTCGAAGGCTGTTTCAAAAACCTCCGATCCCCGATCTTCGTTTCAGTTTTTCCGACGCGCGTTTAAATAATTACCGCTCTGCAGACCTGCGATCCGGTAAATTTCTGAAATAATTTGTGATTTTCTAGAATAATCTCCTGAAGAAAAAAGTTCTCACGAGTTGCTTGTCTTCAAATCGCTCTCAGTTTCCTGCCGCGGATTGTGTTCTATGTTGGAGCTTCTATTATTTCCGAGATTCCTCCTCTTCTAGAAGTCAACCTCAGTGGATACGCTCTTTGAATATTAGAACCTTCCCACGAGTCAACGTTATGAACAGTGAGGATTCGCGACGAATTCGACAGAATTCCTTTTCGCTTCCATCTCATGTTTCTCTGGAACCGGTTCAACTTCCAAAGGCAGAGAGATCTGAGTCTTCTTCTTCCTCGCCAGGGAGTCTCCTGCGACCTCTTCGATGGCCGGTGGTACGTGACGACGATGAGCATCGGGCCGATCTTGGAGAACTCCCTGCAATGCGCCGCCGATGCAGATTTCTCGCCGCCATTGTTCGACCTCAAGTACCTCAAGAGCCTCACCTTCTTCAAGTGCTTCTCCCGCCGCAGCGCCGCCATCGTCGTCCCCTCCACGAACTGGGAGAACCTCGCCGGCACCCTGGAAACCCTGGAGTTCCGCTCCAACCCGGGGCTCTCTGGAGATCTTCCTTCCAATCTCTGCAGCCTCCGCCGCCTTCGGTTGCTGGTCCTGGTGGAGAACGGGCTCTCCGGCGAGCTCCCGGAGGAGCTCGCTGGCCTCAACAAGTTGCAGCGGCTGGTCATCTCCGGCAACCACTTCTCCGGCGAGATCCCACCTTCCATCGGCTCCGCCATGCCTGACCTCCTGATTCTCGACCTCAGCAGGAACGCTCTGGTTGGTCCTCTCCCGTCGTCGATGAGCGGGCTCGGCGCTCTCCTAAAGCTTGACCTGAGCTATAATCTCCTCTCCGGGAAGATCCCGCCGGAGCTGGGGAAGATGAAGAGCCTGACTTTGCTGGACCTGAGGAAGAACGGATTCTCCGGCGGGCTGCCATCTTCCCTCCACACCATGACCTCGCTCCAGGAGATGTTCCTCTCCGACAACCCTCTGGGCGGGAAGATGGCGGATTTCCCATGGGAGACGATGAAGAAGCTCGCCACTCTGGACCTCTCCGGCACAGGTCTGAGGGGGAGCGTCCCGGAAACGATGGCGGAGCTCCCGGAGCTCAGATTTCTGCATCTTAACGGCAACAACTTGACCGGGCCGGTGAGACTCCCCGGAGAGTTCTTACAGAGGATGGGGAGAGGCTTCTCCGCCTGGGGAAACCCTAATCTCTGCTACTCTGCGGCGACGTTTCCTAAGCCCAGCCACGCTCCAACAGGCCTGAAGCAGTGCAAGGAGGAGGAGGTTGCCGCCGCCGCCGCCAAACCTGCCGTAAAAAGCAATTCCAGCGGCGGAGACGGAGATCGATACTCGAGCGAGGCTGCTGGGTCCGCCGCCATCAGCCTACTTCTGTGGGGGATGACGATCCTGCTCAACCAGGCGGTCATCTTCTCCCTCCCGGGTCTGCCGTCCTAGTGGCGGACCGGAATCCACCCAGGTACGTCCAAATTTATTCACCGCCGTCGATCCCTGTAAATGCTAAAAAGTCAAACCCGGTAAAATCCGAACGAGAAAGAAGAAGCTTCTTCCTCCCCGCCCCCCCCTCCTCCCGTCGTTCGTACAGCTACTGGTACTACAGTTCCTTCCCCATGTCGGGCTCTCCGACCTAGGTCTGCGGCTCAGAGCCACCACCACCCCACTCGCCTTGGAAAGCAAAAAGGCTCGTCTTCCTCATGCAAGACTGACAGAGACGAGCATTAACTGAAGAAGAGGCTCCTCCTCCCCCCGCTGACATTCCCTAATACACATGCCGGGTTGTTGTCAAATCGAGTGGACCCCACAACTTACTATTCTTAGAAAGTAGCTCATGAATGAGCCAGGTTAGTCAGCATTAGACGGGGGCGGGGGGGAGAGGGGGTGGGCCGAAGGGGTCGAGCCCGGCCCCGAGGACGGCGTCGAGCGGCCCGAAGAGGGGGCGGGGGAGGCCGGTGGGCCAGGGGAACCAGTCCCAGCCGGCGCACTTGTGGGGCTCGAGGTTGGTGGGCTCCTGGCTCGGGTCGGCGGGGACGGCTCGGACCAGGACCGTGACGAAGTGGGCGGGGCTCGGACCGGTGGGCTCCACGAAGTTGATCACCTGCAGGACCTCGATTCTCTCGATGTCCATCCCCGTCTCCTCCTTCACTTCCCTCCTCGCGCAGGCCTCGAAGCTCTCCCCTGCACTAGATTCTCCCGGTTAGGGTTGCAGAAATGGAGCATTGAGGAGACGGTAAAGATGGTGTGTGGCAAGCTAGCGATAAATGGTTGTACGGAGAGATTCAATGATGAACAGATTTCAGTTTCACCCGTCATTCAATGATGTACCTGGAGATGGGTTCTGGGAGGTCGGATGTGGCGGGGAGACGGCGGGAAAGGAACGACGGAGATGGTGGTTGAAGAGGGTTCTTCATTCGTCGTCCCCCAGGCATCATGCGCCCTACTGCTGCTGTTTCAAGACATGGCAGACGGAAGCGGCGACGAGGATCGAATCGGATCGGAGCGATTAAGGTTTTAGGAAAAAGGTTTATCAAAATGATGTCGAGTTGGCTAGCTAACTAGGATTGTAGTTGTCTGTTACTCGATCTGTGTTCTCACAGGGAAGAGCAGGTGATCCGAGCGAGCGGGGGAGGAATCTGAGCTCGCGAGGAAGAGATCGGAGAGGATCCGATCTCACCTGCGAGGTTGGCTACCTAGCCAGGACTGTAGTAGTCTGGTACTCAATCTGAGTTCTCGCAGGTGATTCTCGCGGGGAAGTGAAAGCAAATGACCTATCTAGGGTTGTTTCCACGAATGTTCATCTCTGTCGTTCCAGGTATTCCCCGGCAGGACCGGGACGGCGATGAATCAGAAGAGTGTGCAGGCAGAAGAAGCTCAGAGAGACCAAGGAAAAAGAGAGCAGACCGAACTCGAGCCGGCCGCCGGGTAGCGCGAAGGTGTCCCTGCCGATCTCGGAGAGGCGCCGCCCGAGCAGCACCGACGACTCTCCCTTGAGCACGAACACCGCCACCGCCACTGCCACCGCCGGCGCCGGCGCCACCATCGCTCCCGCGGCTGCAAAAGCTTATACTTCTCCCGGATCCTTCCACGGCTCTCAGCAGAGAGCTTCCACGACCATCGCTGGAAATCTCGCGGTCTCTCTCTCTCTTTCTCCCTCTAACTTTAGTCTCGAGGACCGGGCATTTTAAATCGGTATATTCCTTTACTTTTCTATATTTAAAACTATATGTTTCCGAATTTAATTATTTAAAAGTGTGGGCGACTTGCTCTTACTCCTGGTCTCCCCTCAACCTTTTCTTTTTCCTTCAGCTTTCTTGACGATTATATAATAAATTATTCACGAAATTACAGACTAGAGGGATTAATTTTTTATTTAATCTCAGACCATTACCCAAAATAGCACTCTCTCTCTCTCTCTTCTCTCTCTATCTCTTATTGGTCCTGCTGAGTATCCACCGCGAAGCATGTTTTTGGGACTATGGAGATCGGCGGCCCATTCGCTTCCGTTATTAAGTGAAAGTTTATGTCAAATATAGTATGTAAAATTCAAATAAATAAAATTCATTGTAATGGCAACTTGGTAATATAAAAATAGAAGATACTAATTTTTGTAATTTGAAACCCTTTTTTTTTTTCCATGAATACGTCGATGGCCTCATCGAGCTTCGTTCAAGAGAAACTTCCCCTTCTACCGCTACTGGGCTTTTGCTGTTCCGGCGAGGCGGGGTCTCCGAGTGCAGGGGAAGCTGTTGGAGGAGGAGACCTCCAGAAGGAAAGGGAGGCCCCTTGGACTTCGAGCGCCCCTCCCCTTTGTTCGAAAGTACTTGTCTGGTTGATTGATACCCTGCAAGGGATCCGCGGGAGCTCCGCAATCGCTGGAATCGCGTTCTTCAAGTGATTGATCACCCCCCGCCTACGACCTTGACAGCAAGTGACTCCAGAGGTAATCTCTCTCTCCCCCCCCTCTATCTGTGTCTCTGTAGCTTGGCATAACATCTGTTCACTCATTTTCATTGCCATCTATAAGTCAGTGCTGATAGTAGCCCGATGGTACCAGCAGTAAGGCTTTGCTTTTAATGATTATCATCATGGAGCTTCGTCTCAAAGTAGTTCTCCAATCAGGGTTTCTCGAAAGGGAGATGGATATGGGTGCACTAAGGATTGTAGACTCCTATGCAGGCATAAACTTTTGTGATGGCACTGGTTGTGATCTGCGGGCAGCCATGCAGCGGGAAATCAAAGGCTGCAGCCTGCCTTGCCGGTGCTCTTAAGGAGTCTGAAGCGAGACAAACCGTGAGAATCGTTGACGAATCCTCCCTTCATCGTGGGCTGAATGAAAGTTACTCAGGCATGATTCGTTTTAATCTCTTTTTCTTATCAGTGGTGATAATCTTCTTGTTGTTGTCAATCGTTTCTTTCCATTCCAGTCACCAAACTGACAGGACATTATTTTCCAAAATGGGATGCTTATTGATATGATAGCGTCACATTATATGTCAATTTATTCAAATCATGAGTGTAAGTGATGGTGATCAATATAGCAATTTTGCGCAGACTGAATAACTGATGCTTGACTAATATTATTTCTGGAGGGATTTCACGGAAAAAAATCAGCTTAATTTTTGAAAATGTTTGTACCGTACAACAATCTACTGATACATTATGGAAAAAAGTCAAGCCGAAGTACAACAAATTACTTCATATATCTCTCACTCTCTAGAGATACCCATGCCATGCGAGAAACGTGATATTGGCCCAAAGTCCGTGAGAAGACAACCCAATCCTTGCATTACTATAATCACACGAGGATAGAGGATCCATTCATATGTAGTCTGTGAACAATGATTCTCAACATTTTAATGATTCTTAGTTCGACAAACATTCGTTCTAGGATAGCTGGACGTCATCGTAACCATCCAATCATTCCATCTCCAGAACAACGTTGGTGCCCTAGGAGGATCTACCACATGCACATGTTGCTGCCAGGAAACTAATATTGGAATAATTAGATGGAAAGCAATCTCTCACGTCATTTTTCTTACAGCATTTCCAACCTAAGAGTAATGAGGAAAACTATTTTGGTACATGGACTGTGCTCTCTTTATTTAATGTTTTCAGCTTTGTGCTGAAGCATGAAGATGGTATAACGAGGATAGGCGTTTAAATGCCTGAAAAACCTGGCCGCTAACGGTGCCCTATGTATGGGCGTGTAATCATTTTCCTTCAGGTGGGAAAAGAGAAACGACAATCACCTCATTAGCTTCCTCAATATCCTGAAGGTTCACTACTTATCTTTGAGGGAAGCTTTAGTCATTTTTTCACAACTAAGCTTTATTCTCCTTAGTATATTTGATAAATGGTAATTTTAAGATCCACGTTGGTGGATGTAGAAGAGATTGAATTCCACTTGCTGAAATATGTCTGAAACTATGCTGTTGTTCCATTTTTCACCTTCTTTCTTCTTGCTTATGTGGTGAAGTTCGTCTGTGAGGCGAGTGAAGTGCCTTTCAGTGATGTTGTCATCTAACATGAATTTCCCATGCCACACATTGCGCATGCCTTTTGATCCGTATATTTTCCAAAAGCCATAAAGCTAAGTGGACAGGCCTTCTTCATAGTGGGAAAAAAAATTTCATGTTATAGATTACTTCTCATGTTTCGTAATGTTGATTGTATACATACTTTGTACTAGTGTATATATTTTCTGGCATTCAATTAATCCATGATTCACTTATATTTTAGAATTATCTAGTGTTTGTTATGTCTAATTCAACCATACGCTGGACATTTTATCGTAGATAAGGATATCTCTGTTATTTTTCGCTGCATTCTTAACTTTTGGGTAATAATCAAGCATCATTCTTCATTCTAAAGATTCAGCTAACTCTGTATAAAGAGAACTACAGGTAATGGATTTATGGTATTTTGAAATGAAGATGAAATATGGCGTGCACAAGTTTTTGTGAAAGAAAATCATTCCTTCCATGTTCTTTCAAAACATTTCCTCAGAGATTCGGCATAGAAGTTGGTTGTAGAAAAGAATTTTATCCAAGATAATAGGACTGAACGGACGTCTTATAAGGACAGTCATTGTTTCCAACCATGTGAAGAGTTCGAGATATTTTCTCTGCCCTTATAGTTGATAAGTTAGCTTGACGTTTCAGCCCTGAGTTAACGTTCATGTTAAATTTTTCATTTATCTAACAGATATGACGGCAGAGAAGAATTTAAGAGGGGTGCTGAGATCTGAAGTTGATAGATCCGTCTCAAAAGACAGCATTATCATCGTGGATTCGTTGAACAACATCAAGGTGAGAATGCTTAAAGGATTCACACATATTGACTTGTGTTCAGTCAAATTTTTTTTAAGCTCATTGGCTCATATTGCCTTGTTTTATTTGGATGCACTATACTCCCCCCTTGCTGATCCTGTATCAGTCAGTTCACTTTACACTCATTCTTTATTAACCAGGAATTCAAGAAACAATAAATGTTTATTTTAAGAGCCGAAATTTTTTTCTGGGCTTTTTATTCAGGTAGACGGTTTGCAAACCATGCTTCTGTCACGGCATTGATTGTCCTGAATTCATTCCTGTGCTTGTTAAAATGCTGATGCATATTTTATTTTTTACAAAAGTTTTGAAAACTTTGAATCAGAAGAGTGGCTCTGTGAACAGACTTGAGATAGATGTAGAATGGTAAATCGATTATGTATTGTCAGACAAATTTTTAAGGAATAGAATTATCTTTGATGGTCATAACTGAATTCCATTACAATATCCCCATGTATGTAATCAATTTTTTTGTCTCTTTGAATTCTTTTTAATATAAAAATTTGCACACATGATTTGTTATCTATCTATATATATGTTCTCTTTTTATTTTTGCCGCAAAGTTATGGATAATGTGGAACTTTTTTCTATTTATTTAGTTTACAAATATTCTTTGGTCAATGAAGTATTTATCTTCTTATTCTTTTTTACTCCCATTTTTACCTGATCCTTTTGATTGCCTCTCTTATTTTTATTCTTCATGGAAAAAATATTTCTTACTAGCTTTTTCTCTTATACATGAAGGGTTATAGATACGAGTTATGGTGCCTTGCCCGAGCTGCTGGCATAAGATACTGTGTGGTAATATATTCCGTTAATCATCTGTGTACACTGCATTACTGTGTTTTTGTGATTCACATTATTTCCGTCCATGAGTTTTGTCCATCCAACCTGATAGAGTTGCTTTTTTTCCCCCAGTAATATTTTTTTTGTGAACCTTTCATGAAGAAAATTTCTGACCTGAGTTTCATTAAACATTCAAAATATCTCAGGATACATATTGAAGTTAAACATTTTGGTACACTTTCCTGTACTTGACCATCTACCATAAATCAAATACCAAATACGAATAAAAATTTGATAGAATATCTATCTATGATAGGTACCGAAATATGAGGACAATGTAATGGAATTAATTATAGCTATTCATCTAAGTTTCTAATGAAATATCAAATATGATATTGAATACTCTCTTTCAGTTAAGGGTAAAAAGTTACTCTGAGGTAAATACATGAATGCTGTCAATTCCTCACGGTCAATTTCTAATGAGGATTCAGACAATTTTTCTGCTCTTTGAAGGGACATTAATTATATTGTCGATAATTACATGATATACTGTCGCTACCAAAGAAAGGTAGATGTAATTTGGAGTCATAATCGTATGTAAATGCCAATCAGAAACAAGCATTGCAGACTCCTCCTCACTTTGCATGTAGATGACTATTGTCACTGTTTCCCTTGGTGATCACTTCTAACTTAATTTTTCTGTATTCTTTTGTCCTGTCTATTGCGTACTTGAATGAAAATAAGGAGAATGTGAAGCAGGAAAAATGCGAAACTATATTCCGTTGTTCTCATCATACAGATTTTACGATCAGATATCCTTTTTCTTTGTCGGCAATTTTTTTATCAGTTTCTTCCTAATGCTCAGGTCATTATTGAACTAAATATTTATTAGATGATTGATATTTAGCTTGGGAAAAAATATATTTTGTGGTACTTACCGATCTCATTAAATTGAAGTTCCAGACCGACCCTAGTTTCTAGAACTCCAAGTTCAAATGAGATATTTATTGTCTGTATGGTTATAGGGATTATAGAGTTGGTTCATATTTTGTATCTTATCAGTTTTGGTTGAGTGGTCAAGTTGTTGGTTGTTGTTGTTACTGATAATTGCATATTTCATCTAACTATCGACAGACATTCCAAATCCTTTTACATATGTCTTCATCTTTCAGCTATTTTGTGACGTGGAAGAAAACATTTGTAGGCAATGGAACAGGGAAAGAGGGGAACGAGGAGAGTCCACATATGATGAAAAAATGTGAGTAAATGCTCTTTTGCACTCTTTCACCTCTGAATTTGAACCTTATTGAGTATACAAGTCATTTCTTACCTATACATAACTAGCTATAGGACAGATCTGTGTATATCACTGACTCCAGGAAGTATGAAATTGATGTATTCATCCAATAGATTTTCAGACTTGGTGGGAAGATTTGAGAGGCCAGATAGGCGCAATCGCTGGGATTCGCCACTGTTTGAGCTTCTGCCATTCAGAGGTAATATTTCGTATGACAACGATTTATGTCTTGTTTTATATTTATCATATATCATTTTATGATTTCTTTATCTGTGCTTTACATTAAAAAGAGGATCTTTTTATATCAATCATCTGTGCTTTACATATATCATTTTATGATTTCTTTAGCTGTGCCCTGACAAATAGGATCTTGATCGGTGCTTTACATTAAAAAGAGAATCAATCGCCTAAAGAATTCTCCTTATAAGATAATCTGAAATTACAGAGGCGACTGTCATTTTTTTTATAACTCCACCTCTTCTATTTTCTATTTCCTACTTCCACCTCTAACAGATGAGATTGAGGAGTCGTCTCCAGCAATTGTTGAAGCTGTCTCATACTTGACGAAGAAGATTGATTCAAAATCAAGGGATGTCAGAATTCTCCAACCTACCATTGCAACTCAAAACGTAAGCCCTGAATCATTCCTTTTGCTATAAACAGGGTATTTGCAGTAACAAAATGGAGATGAGACAATTATGCCATCAGTTGGATAAGTGAATTGTGTTCTTTGGTTATAGACCTCTAGAATTCGTATACATATGCCTCACGGAAGATTTATGTGGTATCACCAGTTTTCATATTATTAGATTATCTTCTCACTCACTTTGTGTAAGCATTCCCCTGCGGATCTCACCAGGGTCAACTGATTTTACGGAAGAGCCCTATTTCCGTTAAAAAGGCAGAAAGTGCTATATGTAAAATAGTGTTAATCATAAATGATGAAATTTACTGAAATCGGTAATTTTACAATAAAATATTAAGGATACATATACAAAATCAACTTGTAAAAGGCCTCTGCCTGATTCTGATTCTTGTTATTATGCGTGGGTGGAAAGCAAGAGGGTTGCATGGGGCAGAGACATAGCCACCTACTGAGGCATAGATGTTCTCTAGTTGGTCGTTTAGCTATCTCACTTGTCTCAGACGATTTTGGATTATTTCATGCTGAGGCCCAAAACTTACAGTACCCGAAACAACAACGCTTGGAGCCAGCCAGCAAATTAGCATTGCTTGAGGAATGCGTAGAATTTTGCTTTGGTCTGCTAATTTATTTTCTCAGGTTCGTTGACTCTGAGAAACACATTTGTCAAATGAAGTTTTTGGCTAATATTCTCGATTGTGTGTGTGAGTGTGTGTCATCCATTTCATACGCAAAGAAGTGTGCACTTATCTTTCATTGCTCTTCTTATTTCCTTTTCACTTATCATTTCTTTTTATTCCTGCTAATGGGATGCAAGTTTCTTTGTTAGAAACTTTCTGACTTGTTGAAAACTTGGTTTAGGTGCGGACTACGGAGGCAAATTCTTTGTACGAAATGGATCGGGCGACACAAGTAATAACCAAAACACTTGTTAGGTCGCCCTGTTATTAGATGTACTAACTATTTTTTCATCTACAGGAGGTGATCTCGGTCATTGTAGAAACACAGTCACAGGGTTTTGGGGGAACGGCTAGCAGGATCTCATTTGGCCAGCATCTGCCCACTATATCCTTTCTTCATCTGTCGCAGGAACTTCCCCTTCTTAATTTAGAATGGCCCACAATGCCATATTATTCCTCTCTGAAATGAAAGTCTCTATACTAATCAGATTACATTGCCCAGTTATGACTAACTGTCTATCCAGCTTTACGTGTTTTTGCCAAACTGATACATATAGGTTGTTGTTATTTGGGGGGGAGGGGAATCATATTGGACAGACTGCTTTGGTTACAGTAATCTGTTACATTTCTGGAAGTCAACCCTTACTCTTAAGCAATGAACTCTATTCTAGAAAATCCTTGAAAATTGTGTATTTTCTTCATGTATTTCCCTTAAATTTTGAATATGATGCTAATGTTAGGGGGTACCAATCGGAGGTACAGTTGACCTATTAACGTTATAGAAAACTGCATTTGAAGGTTGCAATAGAAATTTTACTATGGACATTGATATTTTCTGGATGTTTCTGTGTTCTTCAGTGTTTTTTTTCTTTGGTGAACCCTTGACCAGCACTCACCTCAGTGTTCAAAGATCTGTGGGTCTACCAGAGCTCCGCAACTTGAGGCGCACATTCATCAAATTAACTGGACAGGCGAGTTTGAGCGGTCCACCCCCTCCCACTGATGCAGACAGTGCGAAGAGGATGTTCATCGAGTACTTGAACAGGGAACTTGCTCATTCTTAGATGGTGAAAAACCATCTTCCAACCACAGAAGATCTGCCCATATACTGCAATATTTGGGCTACTGATTACAGCACGCACTATAATCAATGTTTTTTTTTTTCTGTATTTTTTTTAATTTATTCAAGCCCTCAGTCTTTGATCTGTTCCAGGAAGATCCTAAGAAACCCATTTTATTTCTGGAAGGAACTTCATGTAAGAGCTTTCTTAATTCAATATTTTTGTCGTTGAATTCATGTTTTGTAACTTAGTTGTTACCCAACTAAGTGATCAGTTTTTGAAGGCCCCAAATGGCCCTGAGAAATATTTTTCTTTTATACCCCTCTAAGGTAAGATATTTATCTCTATACCCTCTCATCGGCTATGACATTCAGAAATAATCTTGATACAACCCCTAAGACAAAAGAGAGAAAGAAACTAGGCAATACGAGCACATAGAGCTTCAATAGTTGAGTTTTGCATAAATTTAACACCTATTGTGAGAATTGTTTTTGTTCAAAACCTGCTTGATTCTTCTTTGCCCCCTTGACTTTCTTTCATGATATCCTAATATCTTCATCAATTTACTTGTTTACCCTTTTGATATGCTGATTTATTTAGGGTATCCTAGTCATTTTCGTTTGTATTGTTTTGTGTGTGGTCAAATCATATAATTATTACTTTGCCCATTAAAAAACACTTTGCCCTTAAGGTGAAAGTTGAGAAATTGATGCTGAATAATCATTGTTGGTTCTCAAGAGGTTTCATGAGAGGGAAGGTTATCTAACTAGATAAGCACTTCTAGTCTATGGGGTATGTGTTTTATATCGAGCACTTCTTTGGGTTGTACCATCCATTGTAGCTCATCATTTAGGGTTGGTAAGATAGGTTGAGTGTGTTCTATTAGTTTAATAGCCATGTCAATTGAGAGGCATGAAGATAGGGTGGAGGTAAATAGTATAGGATAGGTCAAGGTGATAGGTGACTGAACCAATCTTGCCTATAATTTTAAATGATCTAATTGGGGAAATTTTTTTATTTAGTCATTAGGCAAGGGTTTTCATTTTGCAGGATCTGTGTCTAACATAAACTATGTCACCATCTAAGTAGTGGACCTCCCTCCTCTTGTGTTTTGTCATGTTCTTCATTTGTGACTATGTTTGATTCATCTGATGTTTCAAGAGAACCAAGGCTTGTTCTCTCTCTTGTAGCTACTAATTCACCTTTGATATGTAAAAAGGGTGAGTCATAGTGTAATAAAGCTAGAGGATATCATATGTTGTTTTAGAAGGGGGTGTTTGTTTGGAACTATGAAAAGAGATGTTGTAGGATTATTTTATATAATGTAACCATTAACTCTATGATTTTGGTTTTTTTGCAAAGCAAACCAAAATGTTGTGAGGTATTATGCTTAAGCTCCATGCCTTGAGGCTTAAATAATTATTGTCAAAACTAACTCATAAAGATTTGTCTTAATCAAAAATAATAAAGCAAGGAATACCATGTAAATTGACTATTTCTTAGATAAATTTGATAACAATATCCACTACTAAAAAAGGGTGTTGCAAGGGTATAAAACGGGCATACTTACTCAACCTATTGATCACCACCAAAATTGAGTAGTATCCTACGAACCTTGGTAAGCCTTTTGTGAAGTAGATAGTAAGATCCTCTTACAACTGCTCTATTATGAGTATGAATTGTAAAAAACTTGTTGATGAAAGATCAAAGTTTTGTTTTGTTGGCATGTGGAACATTATATCAAGTCTCTTAATTCTCTCCTTCATTCTTGATCAATAAATTTATTGAGCTATCATTTCATATGTGTTAAAAAATCTCATGTGTCTCCCTATCATGATGCCATATGTTATGAAGAGTAATGAGGGTATAACTTTAGAGTTAGAAGAATATTAGGCACCCCTTGTATAATAGTACCTCATGCTAAATGAAATAATTAAAGTTGTTATCATCTTCTACCATTATAGTCTATTTAATTTTGTTCAACTTTGGATCATCCAACACTTCTACCTAAATTCCAGTTGTATCATACAAAAGTCATGGATGAGGAAATCGCCTAATAAGCTTGAGAGTGTGTATGATGTATTGTTCTAGATGCCCTACTAGCTTTTGATCTCAAAGTCATGTCCAATATGTTGAGAGATGCACAACCTCCAATCTTGACACCTCACCCTCCTCTCCTTGCAATTCAAGAAAAAATCAAAGCAAACATAAATGAAATAGAAAAAGACAAAAACCTTAGGAATCACATGAGATCAGTACTTAAAATGACCCATTAGTTAGAGATAGGAGGGAGAACTAATCTGGTTTAACCTGGACCAATTTAGTTTAGACTAATCATATGAAAGAAAAGAAATATAGAGGATGCTCATAATATCAAGTAAAACGCACTAAAAAAAATTAGGAAAAGTAAAGCTCATTTATAACACTCTCCCTCAATCTGAAAAATGTATGTCATCTATTCCCATTTTCATCAATGCTCAAAGGGTCTAGTATCTCTTCATAAATGTAGTTTTAAGTGGAAAATGAACAAATTTAGAATTAGGATGTACTCCTAGATTTTCACATTATCTTGTGAATTAATGAATATGTTGAGTAGTGGTGTGCATCTAGTAGCCTATGGAACCCTGTATGATAAACAACTTATATTTGGATGATTAAGATTAACTAATATTTATTATAATCTTTCTACTTTGCACACATAAATCTCTATTATGAGTTTTCAATTTCAATCAATAGATATAGACACTCTCTAAGAAGGAAACTAAAATATCTTTAACAAAAGTTATGATAGATTTAAAACTTCTTAATATTCAACCATTAATATGTCTAATGTGAGGTTCATGAACTATTGATATATATTACCACCTGACTATGTTCTAAAGTGTTTGAAGAATTGTGTGTAGATACTTTGAATTTTGAAAAGGGTAGCACTCATTTGTCTAATATACCAACCCAATGTCATTCCATTCATCTTTAACACAATATTTTCAAATCTATCCTCATTAAGGACATGAAAGTGTTTGAAGTAGAATTTTAGTCAAAAAACCTAGCCATATAGTGATTGTCTAGATAGTTGGACCTTGCAAGTTTAACTTTTAATACTTGAGTTGATTCTCTCATAAAGTTAGGAGCTCAAAGGTGACTCTATTAAGGTTGGGGGTGATGAGCAATGTAACATTATTATTATATAAGTTGGAAAATATGACTCTTAGTTATCTAAAAAAATATTAGAACATGCTTTAATCATGGACATAATGTCCACGCACTACTATTATCATTCTTCTTTGATTAGGGCAATGCTGGATTCCATAAAGGTTACTCATACTTTCTCCACTTAGTGCAACATTTGAGGTTTTTAGTTTTAATTATTATCATTAATACAACTCCAATGATAGAAAAGAGAGAAATAAACTAGAGGATATAAGAACCCAACTTCAATTGTTGAATTCTCCAAAATCCTAAAGCCCACTATAAGAATCATTCATACCAAAAACCTTCACAATTTTCATTTTCTCTTGTCTTTCTTTCATGATTCTTCTTTATCTCATTTTTTTCATGATATCTTCATATTTTCCTCAAGTTTACCTAAACTTATTCAAGGCATTCTAATCTTTTTCATTTGTGCTAACATGCGTGGTTGATAAATATTCATTTATTACTAAGAATTAATGAATTATATTTTTAATTTTATCATTAATTAATCATAATAAGCATGAATTATTATATCTCATCATATTAGAGCAAAGGTCAAAAGATATATAAAAATGATTCTAAACTTAGTTATATATGCATTATATATTTATGGATTTATTTAATAATATTTTCTAACTTTTTCTAAAGTTTATCACCTTGACAATGTATCTCAACTTATCAAAAATAGATATTTAAAATTTCAAAATTTTATTCCAAGGAGATAAATTTCTATAGATTTGTAAAAGTGAGAAAAATTAGCATGAAATGTTAAAGCTTGAAAACCCTAAACATAAGAAAGGGCAGACTGGGGCATAAAAAAATTAAACATGTCACCCAAAAGATTGTGCTTAATTAAGTCATGCAAAAGATGAAGAAAAAAGGCTCAAAAAGAGTGAGGTATATAAATCTAAGAGAGGGCAAATAAAAAAAAACAACTTGCACTCAAACAAGAGATGACGACTGAGTGACATACAACTAAGGCCTCAAGGTTACAAGCATGATCTCTCTACCTTTTCTCATATTTTTTAACTCTTTAGACTCCCTCTTATTTTGTAGATGATGAATATCATTCAATAGATGACATTTCTTTGAGTTTGTAATGGGTTATTATTCTCTATTCTTAACTTCTTATGTCTTGATAGTGATATCAAAACAAAGGAAAGTAAATATGTATCAACTTATGTAGTTTCTTTTAAGTTTATAATTTATCATGAATATTTTACTTTTAAAAAAATATAATTAATATTTTATATCTTTGAAATATCATGTTTTTGTGATTTGGTTACATAATCATCAAGCATATAATCAAAAACTATTTTCTAGGTAAGCAAACAATATATCAAATCATGTAATTTCTTTTATATTTATAACTATTCTTGAATATCTTACTTCCTTAAAAATATAATTAATATTTTTTCTTGTCCAAAGATTGTGTTTTGATGATTTGGTTATAAAATCATCATCCATATCATTAGAAATTATTTTCTAGGTTTGTTAGTTCAACTTTTCCTTGGATCGAATTTGATTTTATGTGTCACATGGAATTAGGCCAATATCTTTGGGAGAATGTATCATAATTAGTTTCTTATCATCTCTAATTTTAGAATAATTTTAGAATAATTTTAGTTTAGGTTTCTAAATTTTACAATAATTCTTTTCTCTATTTTTTCATGTTCTCGATTGCTGATTTTTTACTTCTAATAATATTGTTGTTCAAAGAGTGACACATTGAATTACGAGATAGTTTTTAGAGATACTATATTAGAATTAGTCATCCATATTTTTTGAGTTTTTCCTAACTTTTAGAGTTAGTTACTTTTGACATTCATAATTTACAAAAAAGATTACTATTTAATTCCTAATTTTTTCACACTTTTATATTAACACGATGCTTTCAACTTTCTTATTTTGTTAAGGATCGACTTGAAATACATATAATTAAAAAGAGTTTATTTATATTTTTAATTATAAATATTAAGTTTGAGTGCTTAAATTAGTGATGACTTTGGATACATCAATAGTTCAATCATATCAAATCTCAATGGTAATAGTCACCTTCTACAACTCTCAACAGTTGATAGTTAGTAGTTGTAAACCTAATTAGGATATTTACATAATGATAAAAGAGGTTCTCATGAAAATAATGAATTATAATACTCTTTAAAGTGAATATTATACAAATGTGAATTATAATATGTGTCATGATGATGATGAAGGTTTCAAATAGGTGTGGATGCACTACAATGTTGATAATTTTTTGTGAAATAAATGTATGAATAGAAGTGGTTCTAAACCATATTCCAAACACTGATGTAACATATAGAATAAGGCATAATTATATTGGTGAATTAATGTTCCTCTATGATGATGTGTATGATGTGATGTGTGACGATGATGGTAATGAAGGATTCAAAGGGTTAGGGGTGCACTAAAATGTTGATATATCTGATTTTTATAAAAAGTATTTGATTTGAGGTCTAATAAATATCATAAAAATGTAAATTATAATAGATCCCATGGGTCCCGATCAAACTGCAACTATGATTTTTCTGGCCAAATGTTATACATCATAACATCTTGATCTCTGCCTACAGCCAAGATAGGTTGAAGAGCTTGCTCTAACCAAACTTGATGTTGTTGCTTTGATCCTCTATAATTTTTTTATTTCTTCTTAATGAAAATTGAACATGCTGTTTTACTTCATTTTATTTTTATAAAATTGATAAATAAACATTTAAATTTATTTGTCTTTTCTGTATAATTGAACGAGTAGAAAAATGAGAAAAAATATATATTCTATAGGAGACCTTACACATCAGAGGAATGTGGCGATGGATGACAATCGGACGGTGGAGAGACGGCGAATTTAGGGTGATATTTCCTCTGCTGTCTTCCCCACTCCTCCCTCGTCGAGATACCAGCGGCGACCAGTGAGTGTGAAGAGCGAGAGGGTGAAGAGCTCAGTGGAGGATGGTTCGCCCGTACGCCGCCAAATGGCTCAAGAAGAAGCGGAAGAGGAATCCCTCGGCCGCTGCCTCCGACGCTGAAGATGTGGAGGGAAGTTATGGAGAAGAAGCCGAAGACCAGATGAAAGAGGAGGTCGAAGAGAAGAGGAGGAAGCAGGAGGTAGAACGAGGAGCGGGAACGGCGGCCGAGGGAAGAGAGGAGGAAAGTCCTGATGAGCCTCTCCCTGCTCATGTTCTTCCCGGACTTCCCCTTGCGAAGATCCCCGACGAGGACGCGAAGCCTGGGGTCATATTCATACTAGAGAAGGCCTCCTTAAACGTCGGGAAAGTAGGAAAGGTGCTTAATTTTTTCAATATATCATGATATTCTTTGCTAGATTTTCCCCCAGGAGATGGATGAGATTCTATTGCTTGATTCAGGGTTTAGGGTTTTTCATCTTCATGGTTTCCACTCGTGAAATCTGATTCTCTGACATCGCTCTTAAAACCCAGAATTCTGATCGTACTTTGCTCATGGCAGAAAGAAAATATTCTGAACGCAGATGACCACGCCAATTACTTGAGGAAGCAGGGCAGAGATCCCGCTGAATTTCGTCCTGATATATTGCACCAGGTCTGTTTCTTTGTTTGTAGCGACCTCTATGCTCCCTGGTCAACGCTGAATCTCTAGGAAAAAAAATTATCCAGACGTAGTCATTTCTATTTCCAAGCTTCAAAGGTTTTGACTAGATTGCCTTCCTGGGTTTGATTGGTCGTTGACTTTTATTGCCTATGCGGCCCTTTTTATAGGCGATGCTTGCCATATTGGACAGCCCTCTCAACAAGGCCGGAAGGTTGCAAGCCCTGTACGTTAAGACCGACGATGGAGAACTCATTGACGTCAAGCCCCATGTCCGCCTGCCAAGAACATTCAAACGGTTTTGCGGCCTCATGTGTAAGTCAATCCATAGCCGGCAAGAAAAAAAAACTGTCTTGTAGAGATTGATGCGTCTTCTGTTCTTATTCTTTTACTCTTCGTGGAGAACATTATCTCATCAAAATTTTGTGCTTGCAGATCAATTGAAGTGTAAGAAGAACATACATGCAACTGGTAAACGAGAAAAGCTCTTTCGGATGATCAAAAACCCCGTCACTCAGCATCTACCGGTCAATTCCAGGAAAATAGGTGAGAGAATGTGGTCAACAGGGTTCTGACTCAGACTTTGCCGGGCCCGGTTTGTCTTTCTGGGCTCGGTCTTCACATCTGAGCTCCGGAAAACCTGGGCTGAACTTCTGGGCTTGCCCCGTCCAGCAGCAATCATGCTGAAAACATAGCTGACGCCCAAGTGCTCTGTTGCCACTGCAGGTTTTTCTTATAGTTCGGATAAATTAGTCCATCTGCGGGATTATGTTGCTGCGGTGGGCGATGATTCCACCCTCGTCTTTGTGGTATGTTGAGATTTGGACTATAGTCTTCGTCTTTATGCCATCTGATATTATTGGGTTGCTTGTCTGATTCGACTTATTTTTGAGATTCTGACTATTGTTCATATCTCTTGATCCATAAGATATTATCGGATTGTATCCCTGGTTTGGGTCATGTTGACTTTCTGACTATAGTTTATTCCATGTGATATTAATGTTTGCATCTCTTATTTGGGTAATTTTGAGATTCTGGCTATAGTGTATATCTTTATTTGTATATGATATTATTGGGTTGCATCTCCTATTTGGCTGAGTCCCATTATGTATCGCCCATCAGGTTGGAGCTATGGCCCATGGGAAAATTGATGCGGATTACACGGATGACTTTGTATCAGGTGATTTGCATCCAAGTCAACCCACCACGTCCTTCTTCTTCTTCTTATTCTTGTTAATAATTTAAATGTTTATTATGAAAAATACTAATATGGAATGCTTGGTTTGTCTGGTGTGGACTACAACGTGCTCCTCTTTAATATACTATTTTTTTTGTTACTTTTAGCAAAAAAATCGGCAAGTGTCTAATTTATCTTACTTCAAAAAAATATTCACTTTCTATCTAATTTTCCGAGTTCTATTGTGGTTCATGTGGAATAAGAAATAAATAAATATATATATATATTCAGTTCCTTTTTGTCTAGATCCAGTGAGTTCCTAACCTCATCTATCTCCATCCCTGCTGCAGTTTCAAACTACCCTCTGAGTGCTGCATGCTGCATAGGCCGGATCTGCAATGTGCTGGAGCACAAGTGGAACATCTTATGACGAGCTGCTTCTGTCGGAAACCACCTCCGAGCAGCAGTCAACCTGTTCTATGCCGAAGGTTGACTTTGTTTGATCTGAATAGTCTAGCATATTGAAGGAAATGGGTTATTGGTTCGTCTATTTATTCGTTCATGTTTTTCCACCCAATTTTTTTGAAACTGGGGATGCAGTTGATGAGTCAGCGTTGACCCTTTTTAGTTTTTTTTTTCTCAGATTAGACGGTTCCAGGAACTGGGTTATTGGTTCCTCTATTTATCCGTTCATATTTTTCCACCCAATTTGTTTGGAATTGGGAATGCAGTTGATGAATCAGCGTTGACCCTTTTTTGGTTGTTTCTCAGATTATAGGGTTCCAGCTCTTTGGGGCATTTACACAAGCGACTTCCGTGGCTTATCCTCTGAACAAGTGGAACCATTTTTGATCTCATGTCGAGATAGATATTAGATATTTGGTGGGTCTTTTCCCTGATCCTATGGGTGAATCTTCTTCTTCTTTAGCGTATTGCCTTTTTTTGCGGCAAGATGAGAGAGAGAGAGAGAGAGAGAGAGAGAACACAGCTGTGCCGAGATGATGGCCATTAAAAACTCACCGACGGCTTTGTTGACTTTTCTGTTAAACGCGCTGTTGGGTTTGTTGACCGAGGTGGTCGTTGTCGGGTGTTTGACCGAAAGGGGAGTTAGTCGTCGTCGTCTGTGGGACGGTATGTCATCTGGTCTGGAACCCCGCCCCCCCCCCCCTCGGGGCAGAGGAGGCAGCGGCGGAATAAACTCCCCCGCCCTTTTTCCTCCTCTCTGGCCGACGCGGTTTGTCCCGAACCCCCCGCCGCCGCCGCCACAACGGATCTCTCCCCCTTTCCAAACATAGCAGCCAGAGGAGGAAGGAAGAAGGGAGAAGGAAGACGATGAAGAAGAGGGCAGGAGGAGCTTGCCCGTCTCCGGCGAAGGGGAAAGAGATGGAGCCGATGAGGGAGATCTTCGCCCGGTTCGACATGGACGGCGATGGCAGCCTGACGCAGCTGGAGCTGGCGGCGCTGCTCCGGTCGTTGGGGCTGAAACCCTCCGGCGACGAGGTCCGCGCCCTGCTCACCGGAATGGACGCCAACGGCAACGGGACGGTGGAATTCGACGAGCTGGCGGCGGCGATCGCGCCGCTGGTGGCGGAAGAGAGCGCGCTGGTGGATCAGGAGCTCCTCCTGGAGGTCTTCCGCCGCTTCGATCGCGACGGCAATGGCTTGATCAGCGCACCGGAGCTCGCAAGGGCCATGGCCAAGATGGGGAACCCTATCTCCTTCCTCGAGCTCACGGAGATGATCCGGCAGGCCGATACCGACGGCGACGGCGCCATCAGCTTCTCCGAGTTCGCCGCCATCATGGCCAAGTCCGCCGTCGAGTTCCTCGGCCTCTCCGGCGCGTAGCGCCGCGGCTCCTCCGCCCCTCTTTCCCGGCTCCGTCCGATGATTTCTAATTGAAAAGTCCTAGATTAATCCCAAACCCCTCCCCTTCTTCTCTTGGGATTATTTTCCTAAATGCCCCTTGGCGGAAGATGTTCGCCTCTATACCCTCCTTTTGGAAGAGAGATACTAGGAAATAATCCCAGCACTCGATATCATTTCCCTCACGAAAAAGTATCACAAACACTTGATAGTTAGCACTTGTAACCCTGTTCAGGATATTTGCACAATTACTATTTACCCCCCCCCTCTCTCTCTCTCTCTCTCTCTCTCTCCGTCTCTCTCTGGCACTTGTAAACCTGATCAGGATATTTGCACAATTACAATTACTTTGTAACCCTGTTCAGGATATTTGCACAATTACTATTTACCCCTCTCTCTCTCCCTCTCCCTCTCTCTCTAGCACTTGACCCTGATCAGGATATTTGCACAATTACTATTTACTCCTCTCTCTCTCTCTCTCTCTCTCTCTCTCTCTCTCTCTCTCTCTCTCTCTCTCTCTCATGATGATGACGAAGATGAAGGATTCAGAGGGATGGGGGGTGGGGTAGAATGTTGGTAATCTACTTCAAAGAAATTGAAAGCACAGAAGGGGCCCACATAATGGCGGTGAATTATAATATTCCTCGGAGAGAATATTATAAAAATGAGAATTATAATGTGTATTATAATCTGCTTAAAAAAAATAAAAATGTAGAGCATAGAAGGGGTTCTAAACCATATTCAATACATGCGACTGCTTGGCCTCATATCAGCAGTGAATTCTAATATTCCTCAAAGTGAATATCATAAAAATGTGAATTATTATAAATAATATGCTCAACGAACCTGCAAAGGCCAGCTATTCACAAATCCCTCCGGGCCTGGCCGAAGCTACCGCTGTGATCTTGCCCGCCGAATGCCATCTGCTGGAACAGCCTGATCTCTGCCGACGGCCAGGACGGGCCGAAGAGCTCACTCTGCCCGGGCCTGACGCCGTTGCTCAGATCCTCCATGGGATCAGCTGAACCATCCAGAGCCCTCACAATCTGTCTCGACCCATGAAACCAGAAAAATAAAATGAGACATTTCTGACTTCTCCTAGACGAAAATTGAACTTTTTGTTTTATTTTATGTTATTAAATTGAGAAATAGACACCCAAAACTAGTCACTACCTGTCCCATATGGGGCCGCATGGGGGCAGAGTGGCGGATGCAGGAGGCGGCGACCTCGATCATCCGCTGGGCTTCACTTGGGTTGTAGCCCTTCTCAAGCCTTGGGTCCGGCAGGTCTCCGAGTTCTCCGGTCTCGAGGGAGCGGGCCAGAAGTGGGCGGGCCTGAAAGGCAAACATAAATCCCCCACAAAAAAGCCCGTTTTATGAGTTCAAGGATGATGAGTAAGCAGAATCAGGAGCCAGCAAAATAAAATTTTGTTTTTATTCATATATGTGTGTGTGTGTGTGTGTTCATCTTGGATGGTATTTCAAAGAAAATCATCCGTTTCTAGAACAAAGGCAAAAGCAGTATGTTTATTTTTGGGATTATTTACTGCTTTTTTCCCTGCAGGAACTCCATTGCTCGTAAGTAGAGTTATAATATAATTGCGTTAAAAATCTAATCCTTAGAAGATAAACACCCGGAAAGCATTAATGCTCATATTAGATGAATGATGAATCCTAAATACCGAACAACAAAAATCTATGCTGAAATCAGATATGAATTCCTCAATGGTAACTGGGTGATCCCCAGTTATCCACCGATTTTTCTCTGCGATTTTACTCATGGTAATGTTGATTGATGGTATAATCTGCTTGTTCTTGGATACTTACCCATTCGACGAGGCTCTCATTGCCCAGAGGTCGGGAGGAGTCGACTGGTTCCCGGCCGGTGATGAGCTCCAAGATCACCACACCGAAAGAGAAAACATCTGACTTGGAGCTCAACTTTCCACTTGAGACGTATTCTGGTGCCAAATATCTGCCAGGCTAATCCGATGTAAGATGCCAAGAGGGTATTCAAATGTTAATTTAATTGAATAATTTAAAGTCACCATCGATCCACGCACCCGAATGTACCCACGAGGCGGGACGTAACATGCTGCGTGGAGGTGTCCATAGCCAACTTGGCGAGTCCAAAATCCGACACCTGGCAACCTCCAAAGGCAAAAAAATTAGGTCTCTGGAGGAATCAAGATTTGCAAATATACCCATTTGAGAAGAAAAAAAAACCAGTTTACCCGAGCTTCAAAGTTATTATCCAGTAAAATATTGGAGGACTTTATGTCCCGGTGGATGATCTGGGGGTGGCCTGAAAAAGTCCATAAAACCACGTGAATTTCAAGAACCTTTGGATTTAATTTTTTAATTTTTTAATTTTTATTTTTAAAAAATGGAGAGATCATGAACTCACAATCCTCATGTAAGTAAGCAACCCCACGAGCCGCCCCTAAAGCAACCTTGAGCCTTGTTGCCCAGTCCATAACTGGCCTTCCCTTGCCTGATATTCACCAGGTGATGAACAATTCAGTCAAATGAAGCTCTTGAAAGATGAACCTGACATAATTAGTTGATCCTAAAAATAGAACGATCAAAATATAAAAATTAAAAAAAAAAACCCACCATGAAGATGATAGTGAAGGGTATTATTCGGCACATAATCATAGACCAGTAGTCTCAGATTATCAGAGATGCAGCACCCAACAAGAGAGACCAAGTGGCGGTGATGCACCCGGCTGATGATCTCAACCTCGGCCTGAAACTCCCGCTCAGCACGACCACCCTCAACCCTGAGCTGCTTTACAGCGACGGCTCTCCCATCTGGTAGCCATCCCTTATAGACGGAGCCGAACCCACCTTCACCCAGAAGGTTCTGGCTGGAGAAACCATCGGTGGCCTGCAACAGCTCCTCGTACGAGAACCATGGCTTGGGTTGGCCCAGGTGGTCTGACACCAAGCGTTGGAATCCATGACCTTCCAATCTTTTCTTAACCAGAGGTGTTGGGCTTCCCGGGTATGAAGATTCTATTCGGAGACAGAATTAAAACGGATTAGCTGCAAGAATAATCAACTCAAATTTCCAACAAAATGATGGAATAAATGATCTGCGAGCTGCTGGGCTTCTTGGATACGAAGATTATGTTTGCAGAAGGGATTAAATTGGAGTATCTGAAAGAAGAATGTGGTCAAAATCTTCGACAAAATGATGCATTAAATGGTTTCATGCTTCCAAGAAGGAATCAAATCGGATTAGCTGAAAGAGATGATAAACTGGAATGTCCAAGAAAAATCCTTGATAGGAAGATCCCATTCAAAGAAAGAATTCAATTCGATCGACTTGAGAGGGAGATTAAACCCAGATTCGCCAGAGGGTGATTACATTAAATGATCCTCCGATATTTTCCCTTCTGTCTGATGAAAAAGAAAAAAAGAGGAAAAAAGAGGGAAAAAGACCAAGGCTTGAGTACCTGACATTCTTGATGAGTCGAATGGAGAAGGCCTCACGTAGCCTGTAGCAGTTGCAGACTGCTTCCTCCACTTCCTGACAGACCACACTACAACACCAGCCACACCAAGAACAACAAGGGTGATTATGATAGCAATTCCCGCAGCAGTTCCGGATTTAGCTCCTCCCCTTCCCATGGAGACAGTGTTTCCTGGCAAACCAGCGAATGGCGTAGAAATTGGGTCTTTAGAAGGAGTCGGATCAGCTGGAGCCGAGGATATCAATGGCAGCATTGGGAAACTGCCATTGGTACCAGGAGAGGTTGAAGGCGGGGCTGAAAGGGTTGGAATGCTGGTGGTGAGGGGTGGCAAGGGAGAATATGGCCTCCCAGGCGGATAAGCTGAAGGGAGGGGCTCAGTCTGGTTTGGGGAAGATTGCCATGGAGATTGGGTAGAAGAATGTTGGGGATCTGGAGGAGGAGGTGAAAGGGTAGCTGATGATAGGGACGGTGGATGCTTGGCCAGAGCTGGAGGAGAAGGGTTGGACTGAGACGGAGGAGGAGGATCAGCCTGAGTTGGAGGAGAAGGATCCGCCGGAGTTGAAGGAGAAGTGTCCCTCGGAGTTGGAGGAGAAGCGTCCCTCGGAGTTGGAGAAGGATCCGCCGGAGTTGGGGGAGAAGGATCAGCTGGAGTCGGAGGAGAAGGATTCGCCGGGGTTAGAGGAGAAGGGTTCGTCGGAGTTGGAGGAGAAGGATCCGCCAGAGTTGGAGGAGAAGGGTTCGCCGGAGTCGGAGGAGTTGAAGGGTCTGTGGGACTTGGAGGAGATGGGCTCGCCGGAGATTTAGGAGAGGGTTTCCCCGGAGTCGGAGAAGAAGGGGGGGCAGGGGTTGGAGAAGAGGGCTTGTCAGGCGTTGATGGAGAAGAAACAGGGGACGAAGAGCGAGAAGAAGGTGGCGGCAATGGCGGAGGTGATGCAGACGGCGATGACCCAGCAGGCGGCGGCTGGGATGGCGGAGCAGTTGTCGCAGGAGGATCCGCAAGGAGTGGCGGTGGCGACCCATCTGGCGGAGGAACGATTACAGGGGGAGATGGCGTCAACAATGGCGGCGGCGGGAGAGAAGCCGAAGGTGGGGCCGAAGAAGGCGCCGGCAGCGACTCCACTGGCGGCGCTGCGGCAACTGGTGGCGAAGTCGCCGCCGCCGGCGACGAGGAAGGAACTGGCGGGCTGGACGCAGTTTCAGGAGAGGGACCGCCATCAGAAACAGGCGGTGGCGGGGTAGAAGACACCGGCGGAGAAGCCGCCGCAACGGGTTCAGGCGGCGGCGGCGATGAAGTAGGCGAAAACCCGATTTCTATCGCAGGTCCTTCAGGGGACGCCATTCTTCACCTTCTGTCCTCTGGCTCCTCCCTCCTTCCTCCTCTTCCCTACCCCGCTGCACATTCCACAGGCTTTCTCTACTGCTCGTCAATCGTGTTCCACCATTGTAGCGCCCCCCGTGAGCTCTCACCACCCCTTCATTCTCTCTCTTCCCCTCTGTGCGGGGAATCTGATCACATCTTCTTTGTCGTCATCCTCCCAGATGGAGCTCTGCTAAACCCCAACCCTCCTTCCGGTCTCGACCCAGCAGCCGCCGCCGCCCCGCTCGCGCCGGCAAGATGAGCGCCGGGTTGTCCCCCACTCGCCCCGGTAACGCGCCATGTGGGCGAGCCCCCCCTTCTGACAGCGTCTGCAGACCCACATCGCTCCGCCAAGCTTCCACCCCCCTTCGAGCTCTCTCCCCGGTGATCACCGGAGAAACCCTCCAAAAAACCCATATTTCCTTGATTGCAGAAGAAATCCGCCGAACAGGGCGATTAAAGATCCTACTTGTCGGCAAATTGCGCCGGCAAAGCTGTCGGAATCAGACGAACCCTGTTGACCGTTATGAGACCAACTGTAGTGTTTTAAATAATCTAGTCTTGTATTTAAGTCAACCAGCTTGGATCCTCTAACTATCACATCATTCTCAGGACATTTTTCAGTTATTGTCACCAGAAATTGACTTCGGCTTCTGGCCCCCTTGCATTCCAGTCAAACTAATTATTAATTATCCCTCCATTATGCATATTTTACTTTTTAATTATTACTATAAAAAAGTTCAATAAAAATCGATGAATCGTTCGTCAAAATTCTTTTCAAAGATAAACTTGATAATATGTATTTTTTATTATTTTTAAGGCTCTTAAATTGATTCGTATGATGTCTGATCAAAAAGTCTTCGCGGGTCCATCCGCTCTGTGGCCTCTGCAACGGGAGCCATACCTTCCACCTCTTCCAGCCGCAGCGCCGGAGCGCCGCCGGGTGGACCTCCGGCGAGCCGGCGGATGGCCATGCTTGCCAAGGTGTCGCCGATCTCTCTCTCATCGCTGAGGTTTGCCAGCTACCCCAGATTGTCCGTGCTCCGCCGCTCGATTTCGGGGCCCATCTCGTGCTCCGTCCCCTCCGCAGCCGCGAGTTGCTGCTCCAAACCAGGTCTGTGGAGCTTCCGTGGAATCCTGTCTAACGGCCTTCCGAGGCGAGTTCCTGTGCTCTGGCTTGATGCTCTTCCATGGCAGGTCTCGATGCCGTCTCCGACCCTTCGAAGGTTTGCATAAAGGGGATGGACTTCCCCGATCTTGAAGTAGGTCTCTAGTCCTTCATCCCTTCATAAATCTCATCGTGAAGTAGATGCTCTGAAATATGTAGCAATTGGCAATGGCGAGTACGATTGTGACGTTGCCTGTTCTAATGTCTGTACTTCGTTTTGAGTAGAATTGGGCTCAATCACATGGGTTCAGGTCTGGGCAGGCATTAATGCTCTGGAAACTCCTTTATGGTAACAATATATGGGCGAATTCTCCTGACGAGTTGAAAGGTGTGGATTTCTATTTCTATCCCATGATTTTAGATATTTTCCATGAATCACGATGATCTTTGCTAAAAAATTCCCGTATGAAATGAAGATGTCTCTCAGATTAGATATACGCTGATCTTGTTATCTCTATCTAGTTTAAAGATGAATCACATTTCTATGAGAATTCGATCAAGTTTTGCCTCTCATTTCTGCTGCAATCATGATTTCCGACTAAAGGACAACCCTGAGCTCTAGTACCATGTTAAACTCGGATGAATCAGATTCCTATGATCATGGGTGCACTGGAACGCCCCAATTAAGACGATGCCTGTTGACTTCCTGCTATCAATTGTCAAAGTATGTTCCTCTTTGATGAATTGGGTGTTTCCATAGCTCCGGCATGTTGGATTGGATCTTATTGAAATTATGGAGATAACTTTTTGGGGTTTCTTGGTAACTACTAACGCATTCTTGTCCATACAATATCGATTGGCCACAATAGACATTTATGCCCTATATGCAACTAAGATAGATCAGCTTAGATGCCTACCCGAAGATCATTTCCTAGCCCTCCGGTTCTTACATCATGCTAGTCATCTCCACAAGACGATCACATGTGATGAGTCAGATCACGGTGTGGTTAGATCCTACGACTGAAGAAAGCCAGGGTTTCTTCCCCGTAGAGATGGTCTCCTCTTCACTGGTTATTAAAGTGTTGACGTTGACCAATATGTCTTCATCACATGGGGAAAGAAGAACGGTTTTTCTTGGGGAATCCACTTAGTTTCTCCTTTGACCCCTTAGCATATGTGTCACACAGATCCTGAGAATGGTGCAAAACCAGTGGAAGCCCATTTACTTACATGTGCCAGTCGTCATGTGTGGACAGGGCCAGTGAGGTGTCAACAGTTGAGAACGCGAGAAATTCCCATCATTGGTGGAGGTAGGGGTGGAAATTATCAGCAGAATGTTCCGGCATACCAGATTTAGCATCCGCCATTATTGTGGCTTCTCTATCCGACGGTTTATTCAGTGATGATTCCGTATGTTGCAGGTTTAAATAAGGACTTCAAGAAGATGGTCAGTGAGAACGTTGCTTTTAAGTCCCTGTCGCTGAAAAGTATCTTCACTGCATCAGATGGAACTAGAAAGGTACCTCTCAGCTTCTTTTACTGTATTCTCTCCCCTTCTCTCTCCCTCTCTCTCTCTCTCTCTCTCTCTCTCTCTCTCTCTCTCTGCACGTATATGTATGAATAGTACCTTCTAAAATTATTTTAAATTTTTAAATGAAATCCTTACTGATAAAAACATTAGATACTTGCAGATATTATTCACATTACAAGATGGGTCGGTGATAGAAACAGTTGTGATTCCATGCAGCGGGGGGAGGACGACTCTCTGTGTCTCAAGTCAAGTTGGATGCGCCATGAACTGCCAGTTCTGCTACACTGGCAGGTAAAATCTCTCTACACATCTATCACCCTCCTTCAATTGGAGTTATTTTGTTGATTTTTTGTGCTTTAAAACAACAAGAGATTACTGGTTCAGGATGGGCTTAAAACGGCATTTGACAGCAGCTGAAATAGTAGACCAAGCAGTCTTCGCTCAACGCTTGCTTTCAAGCGAGCTTGGATCGATCACGAATGTTGTGTTCATGGTGAGTGCATAAAGATCTTATCCTTGGTGAGAAAATTATAAGTTTCTAGAGAAAAAAATTTTATATGATCAAATTAATCAGGAGTTTTGAAGAGCACACTTTTTTTTTTAATTCTGTAGGAAATATGCATCTGTTCTTTCCATTATTTGTTCTTTAGTGCTATTTCTATATTACCCAAGAAAACTGAAGAGCACAGACCAGAGTTTTTTTTGAAAAAAAAATAATCCATGTATTATTCACAATTTTTGTTCTTTTTGCTATTGCTAGATTTCCTAGGAATTACCCAGACCATATTTTATTTTTATTTTATAAAAATCCCATCTTTATTTTTTGGTGCTACTTTCAGATTCAATTTTTCTATCATGGAATTACCCAATAAGCCTAAAGAGCACAGGCCAGAGATCTTTCTTTCTTTTTTCAGAAATCCCCATCTCTTCTGCCTAATATTTGTCCTTGGTGCCATTTTTGTTGATTAGGGCATGGGAGAGCCACTCCACAACGTGGACAACGTCATCAAAGCCGCTTCCATAATGGTTGACAAACAGGGCCTCCAGTTCAGCCCTCGCAAGGTCACTGTCTCCACCAGTGGTCTCGTCCCCCAGCTGAAGCGCTTCCTGCGGGAGTCAACCTGCGCCATTGCAGTGAGCCTCAATGCCACTACCGACGAGGTCAACCCCTCCCAATATCTCTTAAGAATCCGCACATTGCTCTCATTTAAGGCATGGCTATCCTCTTGAGGGGGTTGACTCGTCGGAACTTTCCAGGTCCGGAACTGGATCATGCCGGTCAACAGGAAGTACAACCTGGCCTTGCTCCTTGGAACCCTCAGGGAGGAGCTCCGCCTCAAGCACAAGTACAAGGTGCTGTTCGAGTATGTGATGCTCGATGGAGTCAACGACAGGTTTGTCCCAGGACACCTTGACCATCCCCTTGGTTTCTTTCTGGTTGTAGAGGATGAGAACTCCTAGGGGCGTTGACCCGCCATGAGGGCCCAGAAACTGAACATTGGCCAGGTCTGAAATTTCTACTCTTAGGCTGGGAAACCAACCAGGGCAAAGAGAAAATCTGCCAGGCCCAGTGGGGGTCAACGGGCCTGGCCAATTTCCTGCTTCTGGGGTTTCACCCCTTTCCGGGTTTAATAAGAATGGTAAATATCAGCAGGCTGGTCCGATTTTCTGCTTCCAGGCCTTTTTTCCCTTCTGAGTATGACAAGACTGGTCAACGCAGCAGGCTGGGCCAATTTTCTGCTTCCGGACTTCTTTTCCCTTCTGGGTATAACACTTCTGGTCAACGCAACAGGCTGGACCAATTTTCTGCTTCCGGGCTTTCTTTGCCCCCTATGGGATAAATAAGACTGGAGGGTCAAGATTAGAATACTGGATCGTTGACCAGAAACTGCACCGAATCTTCTTCAATTATTCATTTCAGCGCCATTGTCGCTGCTTCCATTCTTTACAGCTTAGAGGATGCGGAGAGGCTGGTGGAGCTGGTGAGGGGGATCCCCTGCAAGATCAATCTGATCAAGTTCAACCCCCACCAGGGATCGATGTTCAGGCCGAGCCCGGAGGAGCGGATGATCGAGTTCCGCAATGCCCTGGCAGCCGGCGGCTGTGTCGTCCTCCTCAGATTCAGCAAAGGGGATGACCAGATGGCCGCCTGCGGCCAGCTGGGCAGGCCGGCGGAGCACCAGGTGCCGTTGCTTCGGGTTCCCTCGCAGTTCCGCGCCGCCATGGAGAGAGAACAGGTGAGCCCATCATCTCCCTTTCCGGTGGATTTCTGAATGGATTCCCGAGTTGCATACGTGTATATTTCATGTCATTGGTTCATGAATATCATCGAGAATTTTGTATCTTAATGGGTTTCTGGTGGATTTCTGAATGGGTTTGATCTCATTGGTTCACGAGTCTCATCGAGAATTTTCTCTCTTGGGTTGAAAGTTGCATGAAAATGGGGGAGATCTGGGAGAGTGGCAAGTCCTAGAGTGAGAGAGAGAGAGAGAGAGAGAGAGAGAGAGAGAGAGAGAGAGAGAGAGAGAGAAGAAAGATGAATGTACCCTGATCCAGTCTCAGAGATAGAGAGAGAGAGAGAGGATGTGGTCCAGCTGCTCATTTGATTTGTCGGGGAAGAAAACTAGCTTCCTCGCAATCCGGAAAGAAAAAATTATGTGAATGAAATTAATCACACTCTGGGACTGAACACGGGGAGTCCAGTCCACACCTCTCTCTCTCTCCCCGGTGGCTACGGGTTTTTGACCTTGATCCTCAGTTTCCTCGCAATCTGGGCAGCCTTGGTGTGAGCAGGCCGCTTAGAGTTGTCGGCCTGTTCCACCTCCACCCAGTTAATGACCTTCAGCAGCACCGACTGCGGGCAGGACGGCGGCGCCGCCTTCCCCTTCCCGCCCGCTGCTCTGCCCTTCTTCAGACCCGTCTCCAGCGCCGCCTCCAGGAAGTCCATGAACCAGTTCCCCGCCTCCCTCTGAACCAGCTTGGCCATTCTGATCGAGTTCTCCAGCGTCGTCACCGGCGGCGTTGTGGTTTCCTCCGGCGGCGGAGCCACCCTTGACCTCGATTGCTTGCTCGGGGTGGTGGCGGAGAAGCTGACCGACTTCGAGACCGCCCCCATGGCCCTCCTCTTTGCTGATCGCCCGCCGCCCAGGTCAGCCGAGTTCTGAGATATCTCCATTAAAATGGAGGAAGAGGAGGTTTTGGGGTCGTCTTCTTCCTCTTTGTCTCCTTCCTCCGTCTTCTTCGTTCTGCAGGAGGACGTTGCGGCGAGTATCGTCTCCATGTGGGCCGCCGCCTGAACGATTTCCTGGTGGAAGCTGAGGAACTGGTCGAAGGTCTCTGCTGGAGCTTCTGGTTTAGCCGACCCGCTCAGATGAGAGAACATCCTGAGAGATCAAAGAGGACGATGAATTAGGGTTTCTTCGAGGGAGGAGGAAGAGGTGGTGTTGGGGGGGGGCGGGGGGGGCGGGGGGGGGTGCAAGGTCGTGCGTACTTGAGGAGACGGACTAGGGTTTCAGAGGCGGAGGCGTCTCTCAGAGCTCGGAGGGCGACCTTCTGGGCTGCCTCCCTCTGCTGCACCGCTTCCTGTTTTTGATTCAATCTCTGCATCAGGAGGACGAAAAACTAGACGAGGGAGAGAATTCATGGAGGATTGGGAGGAGAATTATCTTCGACCTTCCCGAGGGATTTGAGCTTCCCCGGCAGAGACAGGGCCTGATGGGTCTGTTCGTCGTCGTCCGAGACGGGGGTGGTCTTCTTGTCCGGCGCCGGCGACGGGGGGGCCTTCTTCTCCCGCGCCGGCGCCGGAGAAAACAAAATGGGCTTCGCTTCGGTTCTCGATCTAGAAGAGAAAGGGCTCTTGGGGGGCCTAATTTCTCTCTCAAACGCACTCTTGCTCCTCGGAAACCTCAACACAGACGAGCTCTTCCTGAGCAGAGAGTTCTCGCCCTTGGAATCCATGGCTCTCCCGGGAGAGCATGGAACCTGCTCCAGATCACTACTCCCTATCCTCCCCCTCCTCATCGCCGGCGAAGGAGAAGCCTGAGACCGGAGGCCGCCGGCGAGCTCCTTCCTCGGGGTCTCCTCTGCAAAATTGAACACGATTGGCCTCACCGCCGGCGCCGGAGAAGACGACACACCAGTGGCGCCGGCGGCCCCGCCGCCGCCGTCCGTCTCCCAGGAGCCCCTCCGGTGGCCGGAGGCCGGCTTCTCGCCGGTTCTCCGAGCTCGGAGGAGCGGCTCCGGCGTGCCCACCAGAGGATGCCTCCCGGGGAGCGGCCTGGCCCCCTTCATCACCGGCACCGGCGAGCCTGGTTCGAGCCGGTCGAGATGGATGAACTGCCCTAGCTGGATCTTGTTGCAGAGGACGAGCTCGTCCTGGTCGAAGGGGAGGCTCACGTAGGCGGAGTGGGAGGAATCTGAGAGCTTGATGTAGAAGCCGTGCTTCGGCCACAGATCCTTCTCGTCAAGCTCCGCCGGCACGATGTCCGTCACCTGCAACAGCGCGCTCCTGTGCTCCCCCACCGGATTCTCCTCCCCGTTCCTCATCCCCTCCAGCAGCTTCACAAGAATCCCACTTCCCAGCGCCGCCATTCTTCCTCTTCCTCTTCTCCCTCTCCCTACTGAAATCTGAGGGGAATTCCCGCAGAGATGGGAAGATCCCCTGGTTTTCTTTCTCCGGCCGCCGCAACGGCACTCTTGGGAGATTCTCTCTCTCCCTCTCTTTCTCTCTCTAAAATGGGCCTTCTTTGTTGCGCGCCGGAGGACGACGAATGACTGACTGTGAGCTCTCGCTGTCGACGTGACAGGCTCCTGCGGTTTAGAGAGAGAGAGAGAGAGAGAGAGGCGAGGAGAGGAGAGCAGGGGCTCTAAATTGTTTCGAACTGAGTGGAACGTTGCAACCTTCAACGGTCATATTCCAGCGGGCTGCCTTCCACGAATTAAATGACTAAACTACCCCTCTAGTGGGCAGTTCGGCTCAAATTTGTGGTGACAGATTTTATTCCTAATAAAGATAAGGATAATAATTATATCATCAACGGGCCGGGCCCACATATTCATCTGGTGCGGGCCGGGCGGGATGCAGAGAAAAGTTAAAACCGGGCTTGGGGCCAGCCCAGGCAGAGGTGTAGGCAGGTGGAGGGCTCCACCAGATGGAAGGCCTTGTGTCCTGGAAGGGGGGGAAGAGAGAGAGAGAGAGAGAGAAACAGGGCCTCAGCCCCGCAATAAGGTATTACTTAATACAGTAAACATAAACAGATCTTAAACTATACCAGACTCCATGATAGTAAAAAAATCAGGACAGGAGAGGTTATAAACATCGGAGTCCAATGTGTGTATATATATAGAAACAGAGAGAGAGAGAGAGAGACAGAGAGAGGGAGAGAGAGACAGAGACGGGGAGATAATGTTTGGGAAACAAGCTGACATCCATTCACATTCCTCCTTCACAGATGGAATCTGAGAGGAACCCGGGTCCGAGTCTTGTGATTAATAATTACCAGAGATGAGATGGGCAGGAAGGCATCTGGTTGCCACATCACTTGCCGAACCAGGCCTTCCGAGCCTGGCTCTCCTCGCCATTCATGAGCTTGTCCAGCACCACGTTCAAATCCACAGATTGCCCATTCTCTGTGAGCCTCCTCACTCTCTCTCTGACCAGATCTCTGGGAAAACCCATGGAAGTCACCCTCTCCACCACATCATCCACTGGAACCCTGTTCCCCGATGAACCACCAGAGTTCGATGCGGTGGGCAGGGCCGCCGGCAGCAGCTGGGCAGTCGGCAGGTGCTGATGGCCGCCACCGCCAGATTGAGCTGAGGAAGAAGACGAAGAAGAAAATGGAGAGGGCTCCCTCCCAGTGGTGTAGCGGGAAGGCGATCCACTGTAGGGATAAGCGTCAGAGAATGCAGGACCATACCCAGGGGCCTGTTGTCTACTACCTGAAGAGTTCTCATAGATGTTGGCGGTGGGCCCATAAATCTGCTGGGAATGGGGAGGCCTGGTCGCCAGCTGAGGTGGATGATGGATGCTGGATGGGTAGTTCTGTGGCGGCAGCATGTAAGGCGGTGGCGGCTCCTCGGGTTGATGAGGAAATGGAGGTTGCAGCTGTGGAGGAACAGATTGGGATGGCTGGGGCGGCTGCGAGTACTGTGCCAGGTGAGATCCTGGTGGGTAATGCTGAGGTGGCGGCAGCAGCTGGGTCTGCTGAGGTGGCGGCGGTGGCAGCTGGTTTTGCTGAGGCGGTGGCGGCGGCGGCGGGTAGTGCTGCTGCGGCGGCTCAGCAGGGGGCTGGCCAGGAGGAGGGTAGTAAGCTTCTCGTGGTGCTGCCATTGAAAGGGAAGAAACCTGAGCCTGTGGCACTTCGGAGGAATATTGGTGGGGCAGGTTTTGATGGGGGAGCTGCGTCTGTGGAGGAACATTTGGAGCAGGAGGTCCAGGAAGAGTGGTAGGCAGAGCTGGCGGCGGTGGCGGAGGTGTGGATGAGGGTTGAGCTGGCAGCTGGAGAGGTGGCTGGGAATAATGTGCAGGTGGTGGTTGAGAACGAGTTGGAAGAGAACTTGAGCTATCCAGCGGCGGGCGATCATCACCGGGGGCTGGCAGTTTTGAAAGTTGTCTCTGAGCTTCAGCGATTTCTTGTTTATCGCGAATACCTTGCAGCCCGGTTTGTACCTGACCAGGAAACATTGTGAAGGAGGTTTGAAAGGAATCCACGAGAAATGATAGAAAGAACAAGATGCGGGTTCAGAGCAATCCAAACCCATAGCCTGCGGATATGTATTCCACAGATCCTGGCGATTATTAAAATCATCGGCATCTTGACAAAAGGGTAGATATTACTAAACAGACAAAAACCACAATCCAGATAGCTTGCCCATACAGCTTCCTCCGTGACATCTAATCCAGATTAATCATTAGTCGAGTAAGAGATATGATTAAATGATTTGATTATATAGTAAGCACATCTTGTGGCTGACAAGGTGGGGTAAGACTGTGAACTTCAACCCCAGGAGGGAAGAGGAAAAGATATGTAGTACATGTCTCAAAACACAATGAAAGTTCTGACCCTTTCATACGTACTTCAGGTTTACTCCCTATACCAGCAGGATTTTCCCTGGCATGATAATGTTAGAAACGAAGCCTAGACCGGGAATCTGGTTCTCATATGAAATGTGCATGCAAGTGACAGAACGGATTTCTATCGAACTTAAACAATGGTTGGAATCAGTCATGTAATAATAATAATTCGAACCCATAGGAACCGGGAGGAAAATCACCATGGCTGTGTTGTCACCAAGTTGCCACAATTGATTGCAACACGTTATAATGTGATGAAACTTTGAAGAGTACAAGAGTAGCATCATTCTATGGCTAATTACAAGAAAGGAACGAAAATAACCGTACAGCACAATAAACCCTTAAAATCTTATCCTTAGAATAAACAGTGTCAACTCTATTGCTTAGTAGTCGAGGAGTTTTCCAAATATGGAGACCATCTGCTTTCTCGGAGAGGGTCTCTGTCGGACAGGGAGAACAGATAGAAAACGAATGAAAGAGGGCACATGCAGTGAGGTCAACCAGTTGTTCTCAACTACCCACCAACATTGAGCATAGGATAGGAGACGTCTCGTTCCGTGATGAATGAAAAGAAAACACAACTAATGGTTTACAACTTCTGGTAAGCCTACCACATTGAGGCTTCAAGGGATTGGGCACGTCAAGAACGTTAGATGAAACTCTACAGCCTTCAGTTTCTCATTCAAGAACATCTGGCGTGATCCTCAAACCTGAGCGATGAATAGATTGAATGCACATTTTTGGAAGGCAATTTATTCTAGTGTGCCAAACTTCGAAAATCGGAAAGACTCATGAACTGATCCTGAAATCCAGGTAAGCTGGAACATCCTGAAAATCTGTCCCCGAAATGGGGAAATAAACTTTTTGTCTCGAAGAAAAATCATCTTGGGTCAAGGAAAGGCCAGGTTCTCTAAAGGAATAATATTGACGTTGATAGATAGAAAAAAGTTACGTAGAGAAACAGGTTGCAACCCCAAACTTTTTTACATAGATTCAATGTAGGATCATCCATAGGTTCGTGTGAAGGTAGAAAAAAATACGTGACAAACCGCGTGGAAATTATATCACTCATTTTATCGACTCCTATAATTGACCATTTCTTGGGGGAAATTTGCAAGAATAGAGTTTGCAGCTGATAGATGAAACGTATGTGTACATACTTGCCTACCTACCTACAGCTAAATATGATGAGTGAATACATAACCCCAATCTGAATATTGTATGCATAGAAGCGGGTCGGTGGGTCGGTTTGTGTCTGAACGAGTAAATGCATGACTGCATAAATGTGGGAACAGGTGTAGAAGTGGCTGCATTTGTGTGTGTGTGTGTGTGTGTGTAGAGAGAGAAAGAGAGCAGAGGATGTGGACTCACTTGCAAGTGAAGACCCTCACTTGCAAAAAATGACAAGACACAGTAAACTCTCAGTTTTGCCTAACTACAGGTAAATGATCAAAACGCACCACGCACATAGCTAGACTTGATTTTTTTGACAAAACCCTCCTTTCTTTCGATGAAAATAAGCGTTCATCAATGCAAAAAAATTAAAAACAGTAAAAGATTTCTTCTTGGCCTCAGGAAACGAATCCGGGCTAAGCCCCCACATAACTAGAACTCTTTCTGAAATAAAACCCTTTAACTTTATTTCAATGAAAACTAGAGTTCAATAAGCAAACCTAAAAACCTTGAAGGAGTGTAACCAGCTGGAGCCATATTCTTCAGCTCGTAAAATGAACGCAGAGTATATTCTGCCTAATATAAATCAAGCATATAAAGCGTGTTGATAGAGAAAAGAAGATACCTCTCTTAGAACATTGTCCAAATGTCTAAGCTTTCCATCAGTTGTGCCATAAGTGCTCCCAATCGATAACTTCAGTTCATCCAAAGCATTTTCAAACTTGTGGGTTCTACTCTCCAGCTGTGACAACCTTGAACTGACACCTTCCACAGCGTGCAGCAGAATATCAGCATACTTTTTCACTGTGCTATCAACCTCAGCCACAGTAACTGTGTCATATGAATCTCTGCTTCTTTCGAAAATAACATTTGATGATTCCTGTCCTTCATTGGAACCATAGTTCTGCGAGTAAAATAGAGATAATGCAGAAATTAGTGATCAACAAAACGAGGATTTTGCACCCCCTCCCCTCCAAAAAAAAACCCAACCCACCCTTTGATTCTTTTTAAGGAGCAAAAGCAAGGGTAGACAAATCTACCGGCAAATGTAAGCACATTTCTTTCTTCCTTTTTCGTATGTTTTACTGGGTTCTGACAGTAAATAGGACTATACTACAACAGATAATTCATATTTATGGAACAGGATATATACAATAATGACAGAAAAGAAGAACTACTGTGTTATACTAACCCAGAACATGGGAAGCAGAATAAACCAAGCAACGGACTAATCATTAAATTCTAAATAGCATGGTTAAGAAGAAAATAAGCTCTTCTTGAAGGAAATTATAGGAGTGTGGCTAGACTGAGAGGTGGGAATCTGGGAGAATATGCTTACAAAGCTGTCGTAGAGATAACTTCTACATGTTGCATCCAATAGAAGACGAGAAATGTGTAGTTCATACGAAATCACACAGCAATTAGTACTTGTCAGCATTAGATGGAGTTCATTGTAATATACTGCCAGAGAAGGAATAAAGATTTTCCACTTCATGTATAGAAAAAATAATGACTAAACCTAAACAATTACTTGGATGCAGGTTAAAAAAAAAATGTTTCTTACTTCTATATTTTGATTTTTATTGGAAAATTATCAGAATATATTTGACTTTCATGGGAAAGGTCTTTTTCCCCTGCAGGAGTAGCTCCCAATAGACATTGGTCATCGCAGGTGAGATATCTTAGATTAGCATCCTGTCCATAGTTTGCATAAAGAAGAGAAGAAAAATACAGAATGAATCATTTAAAAAATCTTCATCTTCATCTTCTCTCACGAAAAAAACAATTATTTTCCTTTTGTTTTTGTATCCGTAGCATGGAGCCTCTAAAATTTAGATGTTCATTCCTAAAACTTCTGATTGAAATTTTAGATAGCATTGAACAAATTTGGTTTTATCAAGGGTTATTTCTCCTTCCTAGCATAGGGCTCCTTAAAAACTGACCTACTTCTACTCCACCAACACAGTGCAAAAGACAGATTCAAGGTCAAATCTCGTTTTAAAAAATAAACTAGCGTATCAGAATATGAACATTATAATTTGGATTCAATTTCCTCAAATATTCGGATAAAACACCTTTTTATTTTTTCAGTACAAAAATTTGGGGGCAATAATCCACATTAAAATACATCTACGGTTAAACAGCCATCCGTTTCGATAGCATACATGCATTCCTTTCATGCAAACATTCAGATTTCTTTATCTTCTTGAGAGTCTCTAACGTGTAGTGCTTGATAAGCAACATGGTTAAACCTGCGTCTAGACATTAAATTCATAATTTGGCAAGCTTTGCCCTTAAATCATACAAAAGTAAAAGTATGAAGAATGGAGAATACAATTAATCTTAGATATGGATATTTTGCGTTATCTTTTCCCCGTGTTTATTACCTGCATAAAAAAACATATTACATGCATCCCCTTCACATCATGTTCCATCTGTAATGGAATTGACTGGAAAGTAATAGTCATCAATCTAGTAGGAATGTTGATCGTTTAATGTGTAAACAAATGACTTCCCTCAAAAAGGGGTAGGGTTCCCCAAATAAGGTACCCTCTTTGGAGTGTCCCCTAGATGTTCGAGTTGAAGAGTTTTATGGTGTAATGCAAGGTATTCTAGATAATAGTCATTGGAAAATGGAAATTTTATGCATCCGTGATACAAATCACTCGAAAAAGACTGCTTAAACTGATACTCAGAACTAATCGACGATTCACACACTGGCAACCTATTTCTGAAAAATAAACCGGATATTCACACCAATGCAGGGCACCTAGTTCCTTTGCGTTTCAGATAAATAATGAATATGGAAGAGAGAACAGAGAATGAAAGAATACACTCGGCAATCCAAAGAAATACCAGACTGCAGATATGACGCTTACCTAGGAAGATGCAAAATGTATACCATATCCACTGGAAAAGCAACCGCTACACTGAGTTGAAGAACCGGAAGATTTCACAATACTCGTAACCCAAATAGGACGAATCTGAAAATCCCGCCTATCTAATTTAGGAGACAGGAGAAGAATCGTACCCGCGCACCGAAATGGGAGGTCATGGGCGTTGATTCCGGCGCCGCCCAACCCCCACTGTCATCAAGGCTCGCGGGAGGCGACAACCCGAACCCAGACCTCCGAATTGGCTGGAAGTCATAACTAGCGAGGATCTCCTCCCTCCCCAAGCCGGCGCCGTTGCTCTGGCGGCTCTCCGGAGGGTCGAGCAGCTCCATCAGGTCCCCGCTCCGCCCCCCTGCGTGCCCAGTGATCTGCTTCTCCATTAGCTCTGACACCTTCGACCGGAACCGCCTCCCCCCTAAGTCGGCGTGGAAGACCGCTTTCTTAGCGAGAGATCCTTCCGTAATCAATACCTACGATAAATCCAGCAGGAAACAAATCCAACCTCATCCATCAACAACCTGAGGGATTCAATCTGGAAGAACAATCGAAGACTTTCCGACGGCGACAACCAGAGAGAGAGAGAGAGAGAGAGAGAGCGTGGGCGGTGAAACGTCGGAGTTTGGTACGAACGTTGCGGTACGTTGACTCTTGGCACAGTATAGTTTACGATAGTCCAGACTACACTTCCGGATTCTTTCGATCTCTACCGTTCACGAGGGACGACGAGCTTGGCGATATCCCGTTGACTGCGGACCGATTCGCCTTGGCGTCAGTGATGCTAGGAAGGTCAAGCGAAGGCCGATGGGTTGACGTGTCCCTTTGACCGGTAGCTTCAACATTCACCGTCGTAGCTCCATGGTAGGGAATTTAATAAGATAATAATAAACTGTTTATTATTAATAAAATACTTTAATTTTGTTTGTAAATTTTATTTTCATTATTAAAACAAAAGGCTTCAATCCACATCGTTATAGACGATAAAGTATGATTATCCTAACATATATTTATTTAAAATAATATCCCTTTGTCTATACTTTTCCAATTAATAACATAATAAAAACATAGGCGAAGAATACTACTTTTTAAATAATTCATATACGAAAATTCACTATAATATTTTACCATAAGAATATTTTTCGTGACCAATTAATTGCAATATTAATGAAACTAAAGATAGCCTTTGAGATCCGGAGGGATAAGCACAATAGTGATATATTTTTATGAAATTAGAGAGGAAATAATTTATTTTTTTAAAAGGGATATTAATCCATGAAAATAAAGTTAATTAGATACATAAATAATCTTAATTATATATCTTGTTGATGGGGTAAATGAGTTTGAAAAATGACTTTAGCTTCACAAATAAAGCCCAAAATGGAAAAGAGTATAGGATTCAACATGGTCCATCCCATTAAACATAATCCTATTTTCTCTCATTTCATACTCACTATTACTTTCAAATATTTTTGAGAAACCCCTCGCTTATGTCTAATATTACTTTTATGTGACGCCACTGCCCACCGCCTGCAGCTGAATCGGTGGCGGCCAGAGTGGCGGGAGGACAGCTGGTGGGAGGCGGCACAAAAGATGGCGGTGGTGACACAACAACCGGTTATGAAAAAAATATAGAATTTTTTCGTCAAAGATTAATTTACTGGGTATATTTAATAAATTAAACATTTACTTTATCATTTTGTCCTTCAAAGTGGCTTTATAAACGAAGCTTAAGCCCAAGAGGCGGGCCACTTTGGGTCTCTGGGTACGTATCGCTTCGCACTGCGTCTCTGTTTAGCGACTGTTCGTTGTTGGGTCTAGGCCCACCACGCCTTCGAGGAGGGCGCTCTTCTGGCCTCTCCCCTTTATCCGCTCTCGAGGGTGGTCTCTAGCTAGTTCTTCCTTATTACATTTCTCGTGCTCGGTGGAAATTCTTCTCTACGATTGGCTTCCCTGTCCCAGGTGAGTTTTGTGGTTCTTATGCCCTTCTCTTTCATCTCAAGTTCGAGCATGGCCAGATGCGTGTTGGAAGTTCCGTATTCGGGGATTCTTAACTATTCTTTTTATTTTTTGAAAAAGAAGTATTTCCATTCGTTCCTCATGGCTTGTTCTTGGATTGGTTTGGTTTGTTTGTATGCACTTCACAAACTGCTCACTAGGTTTAGCTTTAATTTATACGCTATGTTTTGGCGTCGAGGGACATGGTCAGTTTTTCCGCGGCAGATCGTCGTGCAGCTTTCTTTGTTCGTGCAAGTCATCCCACGGGATCGGTGGCCGCCATTTTTTAAGTGGAAAGGATATGAGATTTCCAACGCACTACTAGAATAATATGGATAACCTCGTGGTTTTTTTCTGATTAGAACCGTCGTGCATCGAGTTTTTCTTTGGGGAAAGCAAGCAAGAACATTGGGAAGCCTGGAACTTACGACCACTAAAGACTCTAGAGTCCAAACCCCGCCATCTTCACATGCTTCGCATTAGTTATCAGTGATCATCTTGGATTTATGAAAACAATAATTTATTTTCTGTGACGGGTCTTATGGAGATATGACGATCATGTTGTCTGTCTCTCAAACGCTCCTGACTGTCCTGGAGGGTTTTCAGTTCTTATTTGATGAAAAATATAAGCTATTTTGTTGGTTTATGGTTTAGAGATTGATTTGATTGATTGATTTCTCCTCCTTTTTGTTCCTAGATATTTTTGGTACATATTTTCCTCTGGTTTGCCAACTTCTGATAGAGTCTGGAATTGATTAGTTATCGACCTCTTTACTGTGGGGAAAATGACGTTACATTGTTCTGACCGTGGATTTTCTTCTCGGAATCCAGAAGCTCATGGTTTGAGTAATGGGAATACAAGCCTAGGACAATGGCGTTGATAACACATCAGACACAGGTATGTGATTCAGAAAAAACTGTGTCTCTCTGATTCTGTTTCTTTCTTTCTTTCTTTTTCTTCTTCTGACCACGTGAAGTTAGACTGTGCATAACGTGGTATCTGCCTTATTCACATTAATCCTGTCAAATTAATCATTTAGATCTTGCTTTTTCTTTACTTTATGCGTTAAATTGACCAAAATCTGATTTTTTTTTAATCCATTGTATATTTAAGCTTATAGAATGTATTTTTTATTGCATACCAGGGTTATTCTGCCTTATCTGTAAGAGCAGAGCCATGTTCCACAGGGGCGAAGTTTAACAGTTTTGTAGCTTTCCAGCTAGGTCGAAGAGCAGACAGACTAGGATCCCTGAGGCATCACAACCACTTCAGGTGAGAGCCATGTTGCTGCCTGTCCAAATTTTAATATTCTGGCTTGGATTTATTATCATGTAAGACCGGTCGGATGTAATGTGTTGCATATTACCGTAGTTAAATCTAAGACAAACTGAAAGTTAACGACCCATATTGTTTCCAGTTCTATGACAATTCACCATTAGTTCCATTTTCGATAACTTCGTTCTGTCTACATTGGATTCACTCGTCTAAGGCCTTTTGTATAAGAGGGAAGTGTATTCTAATTTTTCGTTCAGTGATTTTTCGTTTTGATTTCTAAGAAACCAACTGGCGGGATGGAATAACAGCCAATCCATTCTTATTTTCTGAAATCAGCATTTTCTGCTATGACATTTCATGTTCTGAAACACTCTGCCTGAGATTTCTCATCATTGTTCTGACTCAGTAAATGATTACTTGATATATGGTCTAAAATTGGTCCTGGTAAAAGTTATGCCAGGGATTGTGGTAAAGTATTTGATAGCACTTCTCTACTCGGTTGTTTAAGTGTTAGCTTGTGAATATGATTATCTGAAAGCTTTTCCTGGTCGGGTCTATGATACGGCAAAGATTTTTCTGATGGGACCGGCCTTTGCTCTCCTAATTCACTTTCATGGCCGTGGGAATGATTAATGGTAGCATTTTTAATGGTCTGTTTCCGTCTTCTTTTCTCATCCAGAGGTCTAGAATTACTTACATGAACCCATCATTCAGCCTACAAAAAAAAGGGACTATCTTCTTCATTATTTTAGTTATGATATCTTTTGAGGAGTATCTGTGCTCCGTCTGATGTAGGAAGACTAAATCTGGTAGTATCTTATAGTAACTTCACACTGAAGCCATATAAATGAATAACTGCTGCATCATTTATTAGTTCATTTGTGCTGTGATTATCCACACATTTGCATGGTTATCAACCTTCTTTAAGATTTAATATCCATCAAGTAATTAATGTTGCACATTGTGGTTGCATTCAATGTAAAAATCATCCCCTTAAGGCTTCATGTACTCAATCATGCACAATTTTTACACTATCCTACGCATGACCTTCTGCAAAATGAATCTCAGTTATCTATTGTTAATCATCTCATCAATATGACCCGAGTGTAAACTATATTTTCCAGATGGAATGTGATAGTTGATTGATGGACTGAAAATAAATTCATGCTCCCTTCCATTCCACGGAAGCTGTTTATTTTAAATCTAAAAACTTCAAAAAAAGTCTCATTTCTATTTCATCCTGTAGAAATGAACAGAACATGCTATTTCATTGATGTAATCTTACAAAAGATTGATGGTTAGGCTGTTAGCTCACATCTCATTCCTTTTCATGTTTATGCTAAACTTTTGAAATGTTACTCATTGGAGAGAATACCCTTTGCGATATACCTACTTTCCGATATAATCTGTGTTTTCAACAGAAAAAACACCCTCTACATTTTTTGTATCAAAATATTATAGATCGTCTATTCAAAATATTTATTTGCTCTCAGGCTTTGAGGACAGTAACATGTAGTATCCAAAATGCAAAGAGAGAGAATGATAGTAGACTTCACCCATTTCTGCCAATTCTGGCAATTCCTAATTCAACAATATTAACATGCCAATAATTTGTCTCAGACATATAATTTTCCCACTCACTATATTGAATCGAATGTAAAGCCTTTATCAGATTGTAAAAATAGAGTGTCCACATTAAGATTCAGTTTTAGATGAATAATGAGCATATTATTTCCTACAGCTTCCCCAGTCTCAAAAGCCTATCCGAGTAGGAAATTTTATTGTGATTTCTGCTGCGCCAGAATAATTATCCTTTTGTGGATATCTGACACTTGCTAATACGCTGCAAACAACACTATACTCTGCATTTTCTGACAAACATTTTTGCTGCTTGCGTTTTCTGTATTTTCATATTTCAATATTTCTCAATCCATGCACAATGCTGCTAAATTATTTGTGCTTATCCTGTTGGCTGTTATTGTCAGGGGCAAACCGTATGTATTGTCAAATCAGAAACCTTTCAAGATTTCTTCATTCAAAAGCAGTGGCCAGACAGATGAATCCAATGAGACAGACAGGGCGTCCAAGTTCTTCAGGAAATCAGTTCATCCTTCCTGTGTCTCAGAGGAAAGAGAGGAAACCCTCACAGCTTCTCCTGATGTAACATCAAGTATGCTGTCATCAGAAAATAGAGATGACACTGTAACCAGCTCTCAAGCGATTAAAAATCTGTTTAAGAAATGGTCAATCATGCTGCACTCACAAACTTTGAGTGTAGCTATGGACGACGTTTATTCTGAAAGACCTACTGATAGAGTTCTTAAAAATCATGAGTGTTCTCCTGAAGAAAAAGCCAAAAGCATATTTAAGGCTGCATTTCTTCGTTTTATGGGGCTGGATGCAACAATAAAAATTCCATTGTTGATATTGTAAGTCTTTAGAGTATCCGTTCTTCTATTTATTAGTTCCCATTAACCTTTTCTTGAACAGAAATTTTGTACAGTACATTAACAATTTAAATTGCATTAAGTGATCCATGATCAGAAAACATTAGTTCTAAGAACGGCACTGTTTGCTCATCTAGAACATGTAGAAGCGAGGACAAAAACGGAATTACACTATCTTATTTTTCTGATGTGTTTGCCTGCTTCACGTGAAGCCATGATTCTACATTGGGGAGTAGGGCTTTTCTTCATTTTTCGACTTTATCTTGCTTCTTGAATTATGTTGTTCACACTTGGAAAGCTTCTGTGAATATCTAATAGTCTAGCTGACAAGAAACAAGTAATTAGACTTCTTAGAACATACTAGCAACTAGTCCTTATGTGAAGAATATACAAAAATGTAGCTAAAACACTACAAGACTAAAAACGTTGTTTTTTATTGTTTTCAATCTTATAAAGGTTGCTCCCAGTGGTGTAGTTCCGTTTATATGAAGCTCCATGTGAAATTGTTTCATATGGAGCTTCTATAAATCTTGATTATACGATCAAAAGGAATATGTGAAATGCTGAAATATTTTGAATGATCATTTCGCTGGTTATGAGTTTGTACTTTCCATATTTATTTTGAGATTTGATTTAATGGTTTATTTATTTGAACTTTAAGCGTCTATTTATTTTTGAAAATTTGACATTTTTCTGTTTGAGTTAAAAAAAAAACAATAAAATTCTACAACACCAATTGATCTACTTGCTTTTATGCTTTTATGCAGTATCCCTTGGTATTTCATAAGCAGAGTGGTTTATGGGGTTGAAGTCACGAAGGAATTGACGCCCTTATGGGTTCTTGGGCCACTGATTACGGCTCTCTATATCAAGCTCATTCAAGGGCTTTGTTTTCTTTACATCTTCTGTTTCAAGCAGACCATCAGATTTTTTGAAAATGTACCCAGTTACTCCATGCTATCTTACAACTTCATTGCGGAGGGGAGACTCCAAGCATTTATCTATGCTTGTCTCTGCCAGCCAATAGTTGATGCCAAGAACATGGATTACAAGGCACTGGGGAGGCAGATGTTGAAGCAACTTAAAGAGTGGGCTGTTGAAACTTACCTGGATTATGTTGAATCCATTTGGCCCTACTATTGCAGAACAATCAGGTTTCTGAAGAAAGCAAACCTTCTTTAGGGAGATAACCGGATGCAGCTGCTATTCCTGTTCCTTTGGAGAACCGCTGACTGGGATCTTTGCTCCATATTTGGAGAGTATTGGTATCAGATATTGCCCAAAAATGAGTTTCCTGGGCCCCACTGATCTCACTGCGAGAAGCCCAGCTCCTCTTTCATCCAATTTTGGACCCCATTAATTCTTTTGAGGAATATGTTTTGTTGAGGAATCAATGCTCTACGAATCAAAACCCCTACATTCGCATCTGATGCTATTTTTTTTTGCTACCAATTGGTGAATATTCTGTGCGTAATCCCACTGATCAAGATGGATTTGATGCTTCTATTTCATTATGTACTTGGCCTCCTGATCAAGCAAACAGGATTGCTAGACTTGCTTCTTCTGTCAGGCTTCAAGAGTGGACGGTCCTCTTGGCATGAGGGGTGCAAGTGCCAGCTCTGTCAGTGCACAAGGCTGGTGTCCTTCTGGTCTCTGCAGAACAGAAAGAGAGAGTATTGTCACCATTGAAGCTCACTTCCTGCGCTTGGAAGCCAAGGATTCTCAGCGGGCTTGAACACAGAGGAAGGCTCTGAGCTCTCATGAGGCATTTCATGTTTGGGTTCTCCTTTTTTGCCATGTAAAATTAATGGGAACTCTGATGGAAAGTATAAAAACGGCCCTTTTTTCTTCTCATTCGGTTTTTTTATTTAGGAATTACTCTGCATAAATGCCATATTTTTATGTGAATCATCCGTCATCGTGTATGTGTATTCCGTAAAAAAATGGGATTATATTTTTTCAGTTGACAAAATAGCATAAATTTAGTATTATTTTTTCAAATTATGGTCAACGCAGTGTATTGATGTGGAACAGCTATTGGATTTCCAAGGGACTCTCACAATTACTATGATGGAAACATCAACATAAATTATTAACTGGGGTTACAATTTTATTTTTTATTTTTTATTTTTTTTTGCCACGAGTCCTAAATAACTAGGCATCAATAGATCTCCCAGTTATATTTGAAATGTCTCTGAACAAAATATTTGAAGAACATAGGATAAAATATTTATATAACTAAGCATATGTACTTTAGCATAACCACGGTCAACTTACTCTCCTAGTACCCTACCCCTAGGGGAAGTTAAATCCCTGAAGCAATTGGTCTTACTGTAGATGTAATATATGAAATCTGAATGCCTTTTGGTACATCATTTGACCGTTGACTACTTGAACCTTCAATTTTCATGTCCATCTTCTGAGACACGCTCTAGAAAATCTACCTCTCACTCACGAAATTTTCAATAGTAGTTTGACCAACCAAGGAATTTAGAATAATGATTTTGTGAGATTTGGAAATATGGGTGCCTTTTGATGCTTTTATGGCATAAAGGAAGTCCTATACTAGCTTACTCCTAAATTCTTGTTCTGCATTTTTTAAGACATGATTCTTGTTGACTTTATGGCATATAAAAAGTCAAACTTTTAATGCAAGATCCTTTCTTTTCTCATGGCTACGAATGAGAGGCTCACCAATAAGACCTTTCCACATACCCATAATGAAGTATTGTGATAGGTCAAAGCTTTATATATACCATCTATAGCTATCTTCATATTATAAAGACTAATGTTATGAGTTAGAGGGCTTTAGATGAGAGAACTTGTTCATAATTACTCTAAGATTTAGCTGATTTTGCTAGTTGAGGATAATTTTATTTAATCTATTCTTTTAATCTTTATTGTCATGAAGTTGACTACTACTTGGTTCTGATAGTGTGGGTGGCTGCTGAGTTGACCAAAAAAAGGGTTGTATTTGGTAAGAAATCAAGGAAAAATTTCAACTAAAATTTCAAGAAAATAAAAATTATATATTTTAGAGTCCAGACGGCAACATGACCATAAAATCTTACATTTTTACAGATTTTCACGAGAGGAGTCTCTTGATTTTTTTTTTTATATTTTATGAAGATATCTCGGCCACCAGCTGACCGTGGTCTCCCAACGACGACCTTTATTCTAATCGAACGGCTGAAGGTCCCGCAACCCGGGAAAATCCTAGTAGTCCGGCAGAGATTGAACCCCGTAGCGACATTCTCGGCACGCCTACGTCGGGAGATTATATGTCCGGTGGGCTCTGTCTGGTCTTCTGTCCCCCGATTGTAAACTCTCCTGCTCGAGGAGGCGTACGGGGTATCTCTCGCCTTTTACTCCCTCCGGTGGATGATCGTGGTGACTGGTTGGAACTCGAGATGGGGTTCCGTTTAAATGCCCGGAGATGCTTCCTTTGATTTTGTAAACCGGCGGGTTTCCTTCCTTGAAGTTTGGGACGGGAAGAAGCGAGGAAATGGCTCTCTCTGTGGGGTCTTCGTGGGCATCCATGTCTCGTCCTTCCCTTTCTCTTCAGAAGCACGCCGAGGTACTCTTCACCCTTCGTATCTTGTTTCCTTGCGCTGGCAATCTGAGAATTCCCGAGGCTCAGTGGACACTCGGATGGACGCTTGTGGGTCTTCCATTTTTTCCCTGAAAGATCCTGCTTTCCCTTGGGCTTTTCTTTTACATGAGGACTCTGGGACTGAATTTTCTGCCCAGTTGTAGTTAGATGCGTTGAATGACGTCTACATTCTCCTATGGTTGGTGCGGAATCTACTGACGTAGTTTTCCCATGGCCCCTACCTCTTTGATCATTTGATGGGTTATATATTGCTTGATGAGAGCAGCTAGAATCCTTTCAGAAACCGAATACAGTACGTTTGCTTCCTGGTATATTTGATGGGCATTTGGTTACTGATTTTTTTACCTACGGTAATATACAGCGCTGGGTAGTATGACAAAGAGTTTTGCCAGCTGCTGCCCATCTTAAGTTTTGGCTGTGGACTGGATGTAGCTGTTATTCCCTGCTTTTATGTGGAGATTGCCGATATATATATATATATGTGCATATTTCCTGTTTACGAGTAACTATTCTCTGGACCAATATGTTAGATGTTTCCCCAAAGAACATGTGCAACTTCGTATCTCATGTCCATCTCAGAGTCCATGTGCAGTTATTTTGCCTACCACATATGATCATATTTTTGAGATGTACATAAACTGTCTGAAACATCATTGTGAGAGGAACAGTGCCGATGCATTTAAATCATGTTGTTCGGGATAGACGCATAGACTGGACAACGTCAGTTCATTGGTGTTGATCCTTCGGACAAGGAGAAATGCCATTTGGTCATCTCCAGGGAATTGAATAAAATAACTGTCACATTTGGCAAGTGGAAGACCTATTAGGCCCCCTCACAGAATGATCACTATTAATGACAAAGGGAGATCCATGGTGATGGGAATGGGGAAAATGTTCAAAAAATGCACATTCCCATGGTTATAGCAGAAGCTTCCCAAGAACTCATGAAGTTAAGTACAGGTTGGCATTGGGTAGTCCAGGGGGACAAGAAGACGTAGGAACTCGTTCTTCAAGCAACCCCTTCGGCTTTAACAGGTTGGAGGAGAAGTCGCATATTCAGAAAGTGGACTTTTTTGTAGAAAATTTGTTGGATCTTTATGTCACAGAAAATTACCCTCACTCAACAGAAACGTGGAAAATCTGCCTAACTTGGGGAAATGAGATCTCTTGTGCTGTCAGACTACATTTATCTCATATTTCTGATTTGAATCCACTGGTGCCTTTTTCTTGATAATCCTATGGACTCTATTTCCCAATTCAGTTCACCATTACTTGAGAGCCCCTAATTGTGTCTGATACTGTTGAAGTCAGCTCCTATAACCAACGATCTCCTGTACCTTTATTAAATTCTCTGAGATACCCGTACAATTCCCTACCCCTCAGTTCCTGACGTAGACATTCAACAGTCGCATGAGATTTTATCTTCTGGGAGAGTTTAAATCTAATAGGCTTAGAATTCTGGCCTGTCCTTTGCACTGCCGCTCCTCTGAGATTTGGTCCAAATTATTCTCAAATCTTTCTTTTGCTATATACTACACTTACAACCATTTTCTCTGTACTCTAGTGTGGATAGAACATGTGTGTGAAAGATTTCACCTTCTGCTTGTGGAAAGGCCTACCTATAATCTTTTGCAATAAATAGATATTCTTATGACAAGAAGCGGGGCCCTCTCTTCGACAATGTAGCATTTACATCTTTGAGAGAATTTACTGTATGATAAGACCCGCCCAATCAGAAGAAAAAATTGTTGAATTCTTCTTTAATGCAAGAAATATTGTCGATTATTTTTTTTATTTTTTTTTAGCTATCATTAGGTCATGGTGATACCGTTTAGACATTCTGATTTGTCACGTTTAACAGAAGAGTTCGTGTGTGAAGGAAAAAAGTTTAGACGGACAATGTTGAGTGGAAAATGGTTATATAAACATAGTAGTTTCCTTATTTGAAATTATTTGGACTAGCCGATCTATGAATATTCTTTTTTGTTGCCTATCACGTCAGCATCTACAGTGATCCAAGTGTTGATAGTCCTCATGAATTCTCTATTTTCCCTGTGAATATTTTTTGAACTTCTCTTCAACACGCCGAAAATCCTTCTTAGTTGTGGTAAAATTTGCATGAAATTTAATCGATACTGTTGAATTTTTTTCAGCCAATTCTGTGGAGATCCATTGAAGGTTGCAAGTTTAGATTGTTGAACAATGTGAGAGGTAGTTAATTATGCCCTATCTGAGTATTATAAATTCCCATGAACCGCTGAATAAGGACTTTTTTAATCTCTGGAGGCATATATCTTTGTCTAAGCAGCTGCATATCCATCCATTTTTAACAGGATCAGCAAGGCGTTATCAATCTGTTCCTGTCGATGTGAATGCAAAGTTACTCAAAAGAAAGTTTATTGCCTTTACAACTTCCGGGAGTCAATCACCATATGATGATCTGACTGACGATGTCAACGGCATTGGTGACATGGATGACATTGATGACATGAATGATATTGATGACGTGAACGCCATCAATGACAATGACTTGTTAAAGGGAAACTCACATATCAGCTCGGTTCAGAGTGAAAGAGAACCAGGATTGACATCATTGTCTGGCACTCCTTATGAAGCAGGGGAGAATATCCAAGTTTCTGGCTCTGGCGGTGAATCATCCAATATCTTTTGGTTTATTGGTCCCACCGTGCTGGTAGCCTCCTTGGTTTTCCCATCATTTTACTTGCGCAGAATACTGTTAACCATATTTGAGGATTCCCTTTTCACAGGTACCCATCTTTTACTTATTTAGGAATTGAATTTTCTTCATTTGCTGAAACTTCAATTTTTCTAACTAAACTTAGTGGGCTAGTAATTTTTCTCTCTTTTTATTTAACCCGAATCGTATACATGACCTCTTTAAAAAAGAGTCTTACTCATGGTAAGGTAAAATGAAATTACTAATCCAAAAAACGGAGAAAGTTCTGACCACTCTTTTAGTGGTAAGCAGTTTATTCTCTGCAACGTTAAAGTATCAGTGGTTCTAGTCTTTTTGAGTCAGCTGGTTAGTAAGTGAGTGTTCTTTTGAGGGGAGGTTTGATCGAGTGTTGGGTTGAGTTCTCTGAGGTCTCTTTTAGGGAAGTGGTTTATGGAAGGCTTGCTTGGGTGAGTGAGTGGGAGAGTGAGTGCAAGTGGACAATTAAAATACATTGGCTATGTTTGTTCTTATGAATCCAGTACAGTATCGGTACAACTAATGTTTAATAAATACAGTTTCTGTTATTTGAGAAATATTTTTTCACTTATTTACCCAGCATTTAAGCTTTCCGACAGCTTGAGACATCGTTGTTCTGATCACATTTAGAGAAGTATAATTTATTCCAATTATTTCTTTTATCAATAATCTAATCTAATGTCATTGACCCGGGCAGTATTTTGATTCATCCAACCATAATTTGATCCAAGTCCTTTAAGAGTAGGCTGGTGTTAACATCCCTAAATCAGAAGTTACTTTATAATATAGTATTGGAACTAGGAAGCTTTTAGCTAATACAAAGTTACAGGTCAAGCCGTCTCTTATGCCTAAAGACTTCCTCCTAGGAGCTTTCCTATCATAGTTTCTGCGTTTTACATGTAGGCATTGATAAAGTTCCGTGGAGTTCATAATTGCATAAAAGGAGTAAAAGTAGTGGCTGCGGTGCGAAATCCATCATTGGCTAAACAATCCATTATGCCATTTTGGGTAACCTAAATTAAAGTTATTTTTTGATAACATTTTAGGAAGTAAATCAGATTAAAGTAGTTCTTTATTTTTTTCCCCTGGGCTGAAATAACCTATGCCGTGGAGTTCTGTCAATGCATGATTTGTCTGCTTATCATTTCTTTTTTGGTCTGGAAGGATCACTAATCGCACTAGGAACATAGTCTATTGCTCTTTGCAAACCTTGAGTCACAAGGGTGGCTTCTTGTCGTTTTCTGATGTAAAATCAATGTGTCCTTATGCAAAGAGCTTGCTTTGCAAAGGGGTTTGAAAAAAAAAATCTCGTTTACTGTGCAGAAACATTATTAATAAGTATTGGATGGTGTTGCTATAGTTGAACAGGACGTATCAACTTATACAGTAATGTATAATTTCTCCTTCGTTTTTCTAATATATGGTGTTAGGATTATTGTTGGTAATAACTGTCGGACTATTAATGCCTGCAGAAAGATATGTGATATCTGTATCCAATTTTTATTGAAAACCTTTGGTTGTAGTTTTTATAGCTAATCAATTTTGGCCAACTCATTCCAATTTCTTGTTTTCTAGCCATTTAGATCAACATTTCTGTCAGGCGAATATTCTTCCTGAATAATGAAGTGTGACATGGAAAAAATCAGATAGAGCTTTGAGGCTATTCCTCTTGAATGCTCCTCTTAAAATAATGAAGTGACTGATATTGAATTGCCATACTCAAGAAAAGCAGTGAGGGAGATCAATGGCCTAGACCTCTTTGGGCAGACTCACCACAAACTCTCTTAATGACCGATGCAACTCAAATCGCACCTTATGAACTGGAATTTGTTTCTAGTTGTCTTTTCCATGAATGTCCAATGGTAAACCATAGGATATATGTTATGTTCCCTAGTTATTGATGAATAATTATCTTGTTCCTTCCTCTAGTACAGCCCATGATTAGTCAATTAACCCACAGTATGAAAGACCCAATTTTATTCGTCTCTGAAAACTCAAGCTGCCAGAAGGCATGGGTCCTCCAGTATATTTGGTTTCCAAATTCACCACATTCTGCTGAACCTATTGTATTGGAATTGGTCAGCTGCAAATTCTCCTTTTCTTAATAGCTAACGGTCAAGTGTTTCTACGCCCGTATTTTCTTGCTTATAAGTCGTTGCTAGTTTTGCTGCTTGATCATCCTTTCTTTCTCTCTCGATCTCATTTCCTTTGCCTACTAATTTCTGATTCATTATGTACTTTTTTGTATGCCTTTTCACCTCTCAATTGGCTGTTCTAGGCTAGCATTTATTTTTGCTGGTTTCATCAAGATTTCAGCTGCATTCAGTCATATTCCACACATACCTTCCATTTTCTTATGTTTTAGGGACTAGCAATTGGTTAGTATATATAACTACATTATTGCTCTGTATTTAACTGAATCATGTGTTCTAGAAATTTTTCATGGTTTTAAGGAATAAATCAACTGCTGTACTAAACTCTGTCTTTGCACTCAGATTTCCTCATATTATTCTTCACCGAAGCTCTCTTCTATGGTGGGGTCGCAATGTATGTTTTACTAATAGATCATGTAAATCGAAACCAAGATCCAGCGACTCCTAACACTTATGGTCAGATAAAGACCAACTTTGGACTTCGTATCCTGTCTGTCGCCACATTGGTTCTCAGCCTTATAATACCTCTTGTGACGATGGGCATGGTTTGGCCCTGGACTGGACCGGCTGCTTCTGCCACACTTGCGCCATACCTGGTTGGGCTCGTTGTGCAATTTGCGTTTGAACAGTATGCACGTTATAGGAGGTCGACTGCATCTGCTATAATTCCTGTTGTCTTTCAGGTGGGTAAATCGACATTATTTGATAATAATACTGTTCTATTCATGAAAAATACTTATAAATGGAAAGTTTAGTGTTTTAAGGGCAATCTTTGGGTCCAGATTGTCGTTCTTATCTGATGCTTGGTCCGGATTGTTATAATATATTCTCAATCGGACGCTCATCCACAAACCACAAGAGGGTTTTTTTCTGAGAGTGAGTCATAGGTGTATTGGGAAGCAACCGCCATCACCATGGGAGCTTACCACATTACCACAAGTCCTGGAAAATTCTTAGCTTATCATACTGCCAAATGCCTATGATTCTTAATGGGTACCAGAACTTTCCGAAAAGAGAAGAGAAATTTGCTGGGTTGTGAAATTTCATTGGCATCATTTATTTCAGCAGGTCTCCAGGAGACTGCCAAGGGGCCAACGCAGGCACCAATCCCTTTGAGTAAATCTCTTGCAGGCTTCCTTTCCGTTTATGCTTTCTACCAAGTATGGCCCAGAAGAAAGAAAAAAAACCTGACCTTTAGGGAAAACCTCTGCGATCAGAACAGTGTTCAAGACAATCTTTTTCATTCCGATTTGGTGATGCAGATGGGCCGCATTGGAGATTATTATCGATTTAATTATGCCCACGTGGGTCAATATTTCCTGAGAATTCTATTTTTTTTGCTGAAAATGTAGGAAGCTCCTCATTCTGTGAGCTCTTAATGGCTTCCTGCAGGTTTATAGGCTGCACCAACTGAACAGAGCCACCCAGCTGGTGACAGCACTGTCCTTCTCAGTGAGAGGAGTGGAGACGACAGCTCAGACTGTGGCGATAAACAACTCCCTGGGCACTCTATTGAATGTCCTCCAGCTCCTCGGAGTCATCTGCATCTGGTCCCTCTCAAGCTTCTTGATGAGATTCCTTCCTGCCTCCACAACCGTTCCTGAGCCCTGATGGCTCCCCTGAACCTGGTGAGAAGGACCCCTTTGGCCTTGCTCATGGCCATTTATTCTCCCCCTTTGAAGACGAGGGTTTTCCTTTCTTTAGATGAAGTGTTGATACCACTAGGTGTTCAGCAGGCTGGCCCAATTGCGTGGCTGCAGGAGTGGCCTAATAATCTCAGGCTGATGAATTCACTCCGTTCGTCTGGGTAGATGGAAATTTACACACATTTTTTGGCAAAATTGGTGACTGTGTTCTTGTACACTTCCTCTTTGCTATAGAAATCACATCTTTCTTCATATGGACAGTCAAAATGTTGAAAGGAATGCTTATATTTTGCTCGTAGCAGTTAAATTGCTCTCTCTCTCTCTCTCTCTCTCTCTCTCTCTCTCTCTCTCTCTCTCTAGGTGGGAACCGTAACGACAGATAAGAAACACCGAAGGTCTGGGCTTCGCCGCCGTCTGGGTCGCCGGCGCCCAGAGGATTTGCGTTCCTTCTGTTCCCTGCTGCCGATAGATGGGACTGCTTGAAAGGTCCCCTTTTTATCGGACGATGAGTGCTTCAGGGGCCCATTCAGTTGGGGGTATCAGGCCCCGGAATTTGTTTCTGGCAGGTTCAACGTGCCATGGCCCGAGGTTGAAAGACAATGAGTTAACTCGTCATCTCGTCCGAGTTCATTGAACTCTGTTCTGTCTTCAGCTGGTTCACTCAAACTGTGAACAATCTCGTTAAGGCTTGATCCACTCAGTCCAATAACAGCTGAATAACAGGGAAATTAATTATTGTAATCTAGGTAAGTTTTTTTCCTCAAGTAACATGTCTATCTGTTTATTAAGAATATATTTTGAAATTTCTAGAATAGCATATGAGGCCGATATCAGACTATTTTTAAACAAATAAAATTATTAAATTCTATTAGTGGCAACGTAAAGTTTAGTAGTAGTTTATCAGTGGAGTAGCCAGAACATGTATGAGTTCCAAGTTACTTCTTAATCAACATGAGAGGGTGATTAATTTTCCTCAATTAAATTTTAATCTACTACCCACATCATCTTTATATTGCAAGATAATTTCATTGTAATTTTTGTATAGTTAACTATATACTAGCATTGATAAAATTACATCTTACGTGATAGATAATGTCGACAATATATTGCTCCTAGGGAAATTCTAGCTGCCTAGCATTCTCATTAAAGAGGGAGATAATGAGCTCAAAAATATCATATATTATTATGACGTATACCTTCTTAATTATGTAATTGGCTAGACCTATGTATATGATTCTATGCATAAAGTCACCAACAAAACTATCTTTGTTGCTAATAAGACTTCTTTACCATATGCAATCTAAGATTTTGATTAAATATCTCCATGAGCATTATGTTCTCACTCAACATTGCAAGTTTTGTATAATAAGTTCTAATGCATTTATTTCTGTCTACTAATAGACCCAAGTCAATTCAAAGCGTTGACTTGTCTACTATATTTGGCATTACTTGCTTATAACTTTTTTTCCCTACCACTGTGTGACGCTCTTTCCTACTAATTAATTGCTCATCCATATCACTTGATTTTATCCGTTGAAATTGATGTTAATCGTGTTTTACCTTTGACTATTTCAACAAGGTGGATAAAAATGCTATCTTGCATGGTGACTTTGGGCAGAAAATATCCCTTCTTACGAGTCTTCCACTGATACATCCCAAGAAACAAACCAGAAAAAAAATAAAAATCCGGTGTTTTTCATAATGGTCTTAAACGATGTTCTTCATGATGGCATGGCATGCAATGGCATGGTAAGCTAGAGATGCATCTCAAGAAAATGGGTATCACATGTGTAATATCTCCTAATATTGGAAACTACAATGCTAAACATTATCTTCTTATGCATTATTATCATAAGAGAAAGCCACAGCAGATCAGTCTTTTGAAAGGTTTTTATACATAGAAGGCTCTCTCTCTACCTTCTACTAAAGGAAATGTGAATCCAGATTACTCTTGTGAAGAAAGGCCTCTCTGTAAGCTTCCTTAATTTACATTTCATTAATTAATTTTTCATTTTTGTGGGGAAATGAAAATTCCTCATCTCAATAACTTCATTTCTATTTTAAAAAATATATACAAGAATTTAGAAAACCTTATTTTTTGATTTTAATAAGAAAATAATAATAATCTTGATGTTGGCTATGCGTTGGGGCCATTGGGGTTGCTCGTTTATTCTTTCAATTATCCAAACATAAGAGAATTTGAGCGGCCTTCCTTTTCCGCTACATTTTATATTATTTAGGCGAAATAATGTCTGAACGAAAACAATGGGTCAAAAAATCTAGAGCCCATTACTGCTTACCACCTGGCAATCCCTCTCTCTCGCTCTTATTCTTTACAGACTACTTATCGATTTGTCTCCTACAAACGGCGTGCCGATGGAATACCGTTAAAAGGGAGGAGGGTGGCCGGAAACGAAGGCATAGAGGGTTGGTTGGTACTACGTGTCCGGTATCGGGAGGGTATAAACCGAATATATGGGGAAAATTGTGAATGAAGAGATCTTGTGGGGGGAAACTGCGAAAAGGGCGGATCTTTGTTTGCTTAACAAGAAGACGACGTCCCGCCCCACCGCATCTGGGCGGAAGCGTATGACTCGCAGGGCACGGTGGCCCTGCGCTGTCGCTAGAGAAGCACGCGTTAACATCAATATGCGCAAGAGGTGGCCGGGATGCCCATTTCGTGTCGCACCCGGATTGGAAGTTCTTGCATGAACGTACATTCAATCAGAAAAATACCCTGAGAAAAGGCTGAAAGGAAGAGAAAAACCGATAGAGATAGAGTGAGAGAACGTTACTCGTGCCAGAAATGGAAAAAGAAGTAGAGCGAGAGAGATGGGAGACTCACCAACAAACGGTAAAGGAGAAAGACCCAGAGAGAGAGAGAGAGAGAGAGAGAGAGAGGAAGAAGAAGATGAAGAAAGGGTAGAGAAATACAGTGAGAGCAACTACGGCGACAGCATCGGCGATGAGAAGGGGAGAGTGTGAGTGCCGAGTTTATAAAGGGAGAGAGCTGCTGCAGTTAGGGTTACTGGGTGGTGGCGAGAGAAAGGGCGGCCGCCCCTCCGTTGGTCAGCATGACGCAAAAACAAAACTAAGAGGCGGAAGCCCGGAAGCCCGGAAGCCCGGCCCGTAATGGGCCATCTTCTCACTACTTTATTCATTCGGGCAAGGGTTGTTTTTCAATAGGGCCCGGCCCAAAATCCCGGAGAGACAAAAAAAGGTGTATAGTAACGGAGAACGTCCAACCCCCTCCACCCGGCGGCCCCTTTCTCGAGCTTTCCTCCAGGCCTTGGTGTCATGGAGCTGACATAGTGACGTGAGATTCTTCAAGTTCATGGGCAGCTCTACACTGAGGCGCAGCACGACAGGCATGTGTGGCATTATGTGAGATGGCTAGCATGCATGCATGCATCAAGGTGCAGTCCACTATACATATGTCATGTGTCAGATCATTCATGATAATGGGGATGATGTTAGCAATGGGGGGCTAAAAATGAGTTTAATAGATCCCCATTGGACCTAATAGAGACTAGAACTTGTAAAAGATAGAACAACCAGCCAATGGTTCAATGAAGAGAGGAATGTTAAGTAAATTCCATGGGAATTGGGAAAGAAGATTAGTAAAAGTATAGGAAGGGGATGGTTTTGTATAAGAGAGGTAGATAGTCCTATCAAAAGACTATCATTTAGCTCACAAGTTTTTGTTGGAGTCTTAATCTTTCTGTTCTTCTAATTTATTTTAATTTATTTGTTATTTTCACTAAAAAAAATTTATTCATTGTTAGATTCTCATAATTATCAAGTTTGATGGGACCCAGGATTATTAACAAAAGAATTGAGAATCTAGAGCAGATGAAAAAAAAAAAAGGCATTGTAACAATTGCCACCGAGGGAGAAGAAGTTACAAATTTGTTGGAGAAGCAAAAAATTTACTCACTTTCTAGCTCAATTTATAGGGATGACGGAAGAGATGTGATCATCAATTCAATTGAGAGAAAATAGATGCAAAAGGAAATAATCATCCAATAGATGAAGAATCAAGCATGAGGTTGTGAGAGAAGCTTATGAAAGAAGAAGCATAATTACATGAAACAAGACCAAGAATAACACAGCCTCATGAATTCACAATAAGAATGAGCTAGAGTTACTACAATGAATCATGGAGGGGTCGATAATGATTGGAGATGTCATTATTCAATAGGAAAAAACTAGATTAATATATATTTTCAAACAAAACTATACTTTATAGTAAACATGATGATAAAGACTGATAAATTACAACGAAAATGAGTTTTAAAGATGGGTTTTGGCCTAATTCAATAGCGACAACTTTGGGAGCTAGGACTTAAAGAATATTTGCTCGAGAGATTTGGGCCTTCACATATTACATTCATGTGTTAATGATTTCAAAAATGTAAGGTAACAAGAATCAATGTTAGAATTCAAGTGTGATTTTATGATTATGTCAACATCCATATAAAGATTTTGAAAGTAAGTGTTGGATATCACTTTCTCAAAGAATTGAAACAAGACCTTAGAGCAGAAGTTAAACTCCATAAGTTCATTAAGTTGATATAAATCATGAAGACAACTCAACTAGTGAAAGAAAAAAATAATACAATTAAATAGATTAGAGAACCGAGTAATCCAAAGTCACATAGCCTCATTCTTTATAGAAAAATAATGCACACTTGAGTCATAGAGGAACTAAAATATTAATCACATTTCGACCATAGGTAACAAATTATGCAAAGTTGTATAACCACTTATGAGTTAGGTTAAACATTAGGAATATATTTGCCATCTTCTTGTGAGAATAATTCCAATATCCAATGTGAGGATCCCAAGAAATGGCTCAAATTGATAGAGTTGAAAATTCAAGTGCACAGAGTGAATAGATTGTTCTTAATGTAATAAAATGTATAATTTAGGCCGCATTTGTAAAATAGAGTAGAATTTTTTTTGGTATACAAAAATGACTAAAAAGCAGTTGCCAATTCAAACAAGAACAACATAAATTTTACACAAATCAAAAGACCTAAAGACAAAAGTGAGATTACTAAAAAGCACTGAATTATCAATCAACTTGATATTAGCAAAACATAGTTCAATGAAGTTGACAAGAAGAATGAGAATCTAAGATGTCTTGTAGATTGTAGGATCACTCACAATTTTATCTCAATAGAGTTGTAGACATGTTATATTACCATTGATGACAGCAATAAATTATAAAGTGATGTTGGGCAATTGACTAATGATGATGAATTGGTATTTACAAAAGAGTAGCAATGAAAGTACAAGAGTTGAGAATGGTAAAAGACTTACTCAAATTTTGATAAAAATTATTACTATATCAAGGCTAAATAATATAGATCATATGTGCCAAGAGTTTATAACTATTTTGAAAGAGAATGGTAAAATACAAAATAGTAAAAGGATATAAGAGTTTGTAATTATAACAAGGCTAAAGAATAATCTTGAAACTATATCATATGTGCCAAGAGGTAGAGACATCAATGTGACCCACAATGCTAGTGCATCATCTTATGACTGAATATGTTAATATATTCTCCAAATTTTGTTATACGACTGCTTCCACAATGAGACATCAACCCTACCATATGCTTACAGCCAAATACTCAACTAATTAGTGTTTGACTCTATGATATTCTTACTTCTAGAAAAATAAAATCGAGAGATTTACATTATAAATGTGTGTAGTAGAAATCATTCAATCATCACAAGTACTAACTCAAGCCCATAATACTTGACAGCAAAAATGATGAATTTGATGATTTTGTGTGGATTATAAGGCATTCAACTAAACAACAATACTTAATATGTTTTTATGTCTAGTGGTACACAAACTTCTAGAAAACCTCTTTGAAGTCACAATTTTATCTAAGATGGATTACAAATCAATATAACATTAGATATAGATTTATAATTAATTTTTTTTTGAAAAATAGCATTTGGGTGTTAGAGAGATGTTATGGATTTCTAATTTATAATAAAATAAAGTGACACATGAACAACATTTGTACCAAGTTTATAATTTTACCAAACCACAAATTTGTTTCAATGTCAAAAAATATATGTTTGAGCATAGACCCATTGGCTATCTTGACATTAGATTTTTTGTATTGGGTGTGGAGGTGAAACAAGGCAAAGTAGAGGATATGCTTAAATGACACCCTCTCTAATTTACAAGGTTTTAGAAGATTTTTAGGTCTCATATGATACTATTGGACGTTTGTTGCAAATTATGGAGCATTCTCATGGCCATTGACCCAACTACTCAATAATTTTATTTTTCTAAAAAAAAATAATTGTAGAGATGATGTTTCAAAGGCTCAAACAACTAATTGTCTATATTGAACTTTTCACAACATTTTGATATAAAGGTATATACATCAAAGCATAGTTCAAGGATAGTGTCTATGCAACACTATAGAATGATTATTGATTTTAGTCAAAATTTATCAATAAGTAAACAACTGAATATGTTCTAAGTGAAAAATCAATGAAGATTATATTAGACATTTAGAAATAGTGACATCATCTTTTGAGATGATACTTCATAAGACTTGCCAATTAATAGAACTTGAAGTTCTCTTTAGAATAATTACATGTTCAATCAGAATAACAAAGTGGCCATAAAAAATCATTGGGTATGACTTTGAGGTTCGATACAAGATGACCTTGGAGAATAAGGTCACGAATTCTCTATCAAGAATGCATAAGACAATTAAAGTTCAATAATAACCCTAGCTCATACTTAGATGTTGGACATTTAGAGGATATTGGTTGACATACAACTAAATTTGAAATTAACTAAGATAAAATAGAACAAAGTGTTAGAATATTGGCCTAAATATTTCTTAGAAGATAATTATAGTGCTTTTGGAATTTAAACATTATTTCAATAGTATTGAAAGAACATCATGATGAAGTTGTGGGGGTCACCTAAGATTCATGGAGACCAACAAACCTAATAGGACTCATCCAGTCCTACCAAATTATGAAAGAATTCTTTATGGGCGTCATAAAGGTACTACAATTAGAAGGCCACATATCTATTATAGTAGTTGAGTACATTTGCATACATTACATCCATGTTATGCACTTTTACATGGCCAAGGAAGTTACATGAGCATTTGTTTTAAAGTTTGTTAAACTATATTGAATTCCAAAAACTATGATGATAGATCATGACATCTTTTAATCTGAACTCTTCTAATTATTATAATAACTCTAAGGCACAAAGTCATGTACTACCCTTCAATCGATGGAAATCAAAGTAATCAACAATTATTTGGAGGCTGTCACAAAAAAAAATTGATCGAGCAAAAAAGTAAAGTAAACTCCCCTAGGTAGAATATTGGTACAACACCACATTCTACACTACCTTATTTTATGTGGTATATGGTTGCAATTTTTACAATAACTATCCTTTGGCTCTATTGCATTACAAATCTTAGAATACAAAGGTGGCCTATGCAAAAAATCAATTACATTGATATTCCAAGTCATAAGAAAGTCTTACATTGCTTAATCAGGGAATGGAGAGTCCAACCTCTCTATGAAAGGATTAAGCACCTAATTTAAGAGATACCTTGTGCAATAAAAGGAGACATACTTTAACCTTATACTCTCATGATAATAACGTGTTCGGTTGGTTGGGGATCATGAGTATGCCCAACACTACTAGCACACATATAAAGTAGTTTGGTAACTTTGGTCATATGATGAAGAATAGTTTTGCTCATCAACATAGTAGAAAGCATGAGCTTGTATATGAAATGTTTTCCTTTGGCCTGATAATTTACAGTTTTGTGTGTGTGTGTGTGTTGAGAGAGAGAGAGAGAGAGAGAGAGAGAGAGAGAGAGAGAGAGAGAGATCCTGAATATAGACATTTATTTTATCTCTATCTTAATCTTCCCAAGGGAATTCAAATCATCAAGGAGTCTGTCACGGAGCTGCCTAGCCTCTCTGATCTCGCTTCGAAGCTGTTCAACCTGCAAGAGAAGAGATTGAAAAAGGTTGAATGGTTCATCTAGAAAGGAATAGCTCACATGGAGGAGTCTATAGCTTGAACCTTGCTCTTAAATGTTTCTAACTCATTGGCTCCGGGTGAAAAAATGATTCAAAGATGGAGGGTTCACGTGGATTGCAGGGGGTTGAAGTAGGTGACAGAAAGGGATGAAGGAAAAGGCCTCATATTAACGCAATCTACCAACCAAGCATTTTTCATATGATTTCAAGGGATGGAGAGGTGAAGGATTCACAATAACACAGGCAAATTCGTATGATTTCAAGGGAAAGATAGGAAGGGGGATGGGGGGACACAGTAGAGAGAGAAAGGTAACGAGAGGAGTAAAGGACCTTCAATAGAAGCTCTTTCTCTGCCTTCTCATACTGCGAGCACCTGAGGAATGCCAAGGCAGAAAACCCAATCAGCCGGGATTACACTCTTCTTTCATATCAAGCATGCAACCACCATCAAAGCAAGTTCCAAGGGGTTTAATTACTCTGTACTACATTACATTGCTTCTCCGAGCTTGAAATCATGGATGGAGGAACACTAAAAAGTAAAATTACTGGGTAAGGGGAAAAAGAATGCTCTTCCACTCACTCAGCACGCAGGTTCTTATTCTTCTCAGTCATTATCATGATCTCCCGCTTCTGCTGCTCCACCCCGACACTTCGCTCGATCTGCAACAAACACGTAGAAATGTGTTTCAAATTCTAACCGAGAATAAAGTACGACAGCCTGAATTTGATAGATTTTTGTGCTTTTTTTAGCAGAATTCACGTTACTCTAAGCATAAACTGTATAAAAGTAAAAATGATTTTAGTCTTCAGATGCGAGCTAATAAAGCATAGGAAAAGATGGGAAATCTGCCTGATACAAGGGCAGGTCAATAGCAAAAAAAAATACCTTTAACCCCTGCCTATGTACTGGCCTCTCTTGCTCCTCTTTCACCTCCATTCAGAATCAGAAGAATGGATTTCTGACATATACTACCTGAATATGCTGTTTATAGGAAATATCCTTACCATAATTAGATCCTTCTCCTCCCCTCTTTTCCCAATTGTTTTCGCTTATACCCTCTTCAGGTTGGGAGATATGGCATCATTATGTTATTTCGGTTTTGGAACACGGATACCTTCTCTAGGACCCTGGTTTTGCATCATTGTGCATGCGGGCATGGATTTACTCCTGCTGGGGCTAGATATTTACATGAGATCCATTTCCACGGATGGCTCATGCCCTTGAATGTCTATATTTGCAGCCATCGAATGCCCTAGACTGTGCACTTGGCCACACATTTGATTCTAATGAAACCCCAAATGTTCCAGGTCAACCCTTCACAGAAGATGAAAAAAGATCACTTAAAATAAGGGTAGAAGCCTTTATGCGTCATGGTCAATCATGCCGCTGAAGGGGTCAACAACAAGAAAGCAAGGTCGACTAAGGGTTGACTATCAGGTATGCTGAAGATGACAAAAAGCTAAAATAAATTGTATCATAGAGGACTACCTAACTTCTTAAGTAAGATCCATCTGACTGTGAGCCTAGATGCCAAACCGCAGCTAGGAAGACCCCTCTCTGTGGACTAGTCAACTTGTTTGTAACCTGCATAGTCTCTCTCACTAGAATAGGTCACCCACTTGGTGCATGCAGTTTTTCACCTTTTGTAGCAAATTAACTTCCCCTTTTCATGCATTTTGGAATGAGTCGACTCAGTCCATCACAAGTCATTCAGTTCCGTCCGATCAAATTTCTTTTCTTTCAATTCGAATGACCATATTACCCAGGTTAACTCGTTATTGTTCTCGTAAGTTATGCCGGCTAGTCATGCTCAGAGATGTCTGCCAATTTATGTATGTGGCTATGTGATCAATCGGACCATTTTTGGAACACCATACAAGCTATTATTTGAAAAAATGAAGACCCTAACCTCCAATGCCTACTCTGGGCCTCTGAACTGTTTATTCTAAACATTCAAGTTGTGAACCTAGTGCTCCAAGACTCCCTCTGAAAGCTTCCAGGAAGACTTGGCTATTGATCCCAAATATTGGTTAACACATTGATTAAGTGGAATTCTCGAAAATTGCTTGTGGAATGGAGTATCTGAGGCTTGACCAAACTATTGTAAATTTTGTGCCTTGTGTGGTTGGTTCTCATCTCAAATCAACATATTCGTGTATGCAATAAGTTTTCTAACTGCTTGCCCCTCGCTCCTTGCACAACTCTTCTTTCAACCAATACTTTCTACTAGCCAACATATTTGAAATGAAGTTTCAAAGTAAGCTTCAAAATTTGGCTAATTTACAGTAGGGATTTCTGGTGCATTCTTGCTAGTGTAAACAATGCAATTCTGGTAGCAGTCGGTAGTTGGCCACTGGTTCACTTCAGACCAGAGGGTCGGGGTTTGGTGAATTTACTGATCGCTCCTTGTATTGAAGTTTTGACATCATACTTCTAGAAAAAGGATCTCTAGTTTTTATGTCTCATTTCTATAAGAATAGGAAATGGGCGTATATACTGCATCCATAGGATATCATAACATATAACCATTTATTTATTAGATTTCTCTCAATTTAAAGTTTCTACTAGGCTTTTTATCAGACAAATTTCCCTTCCCTCCAGGGTTAGCCAGAAATCGGAGCCAAAAATTGGTTCCCAAGCAAGGTACTTCCTTTGCCCAAAACACCTGTTAGGGAAGATCACTTTACAAACTGACCTCTATTTGAAGTGCCGATTTATAGCAACTGAAAAAAAAGAATGGCAACCTTCATTCGTGGACTATGGTGCTCAGAAGACATTATAACTGAATCAATACTTATACGTGATATTTTTGAGGATGATTCTGATGAACGATGAATGAAGTGAAGGAGAGGGAGTCGTCCTTAATATCTAAGACGTAAAAATACTGTTATGCGGTCTTCTACTTCACACAAGTTCATGCAAATCTTCCTATGGGTTGCCTAAAATGCTCTTTCATTCAGTAGTTTGAAAACTTCACACAGAAGGGAGCCTACCACAAAAAGGAAAACAAGAGCAATTGTAATTGCAGTTTGGACCGAAATAAATAAGACATGTCTAAACGAGAAATATCTGAAATAGCTATAGTTATTATAATTCATGATCAACTATCGTGGAAGATTAATATAAATTTAGCTCATAAAGACAGAAAGTTGGAAAGAACTGAAGACCTTTGTAATGCAGTTGTTCGCAGAGGCAACTGCAGTTACACCATCCATGGCCTGCTTTTTTGATGATTCTACTTCTGCAGCACGATTCCCGTGACTCCTTTTCTCCGGAACGGCTTTTTGTCGTTGATTAGCTATATGCTATAGCAATCAATATCTGTTCAGAAAAAGAATTCGACAGATTCTTGAACAAACAAACACGCACCTGCCCTGGAATGAAAAGTTATTCTATTGGTAAATTGACTCTGAATAGTATGTGCACGAGAATCCAGTGCTGTCACCGCCTCTTGCTGTGATAAGGAAACAGAGGGCCTGCTAACTGTCTTCTCAAGATCACTAGGGAATGTTACTTCACGTGCTGAATTATTAGAGGAATCTAGTGGACTACAATCAAGGACAGTGCTCAGAGTGCTGGCCTGGCTCCCCAGATGAGGTTGGAAAGAAGAACCACAGCCCAGTGAAGCATATTCCACGCTGTTATGCAACCCAGAATGGGGTGACTGACGGGGCACCATTTTGGGCGCGTATCCAACAAGGTGGCAGTGGTAATTCCTGTCAATTAGAAATAAAATGTTACCTTTGAAACTGTTGTCCAGCACAGCCAGCTCCCTTCACTGTAAGCGTTCCAACACTACTAGTTCACTCAATTATATTGAAATGCGTTTCATCTTCAACGACAAACACAAAAAATAAGAAAGTAAAATGTACTACCCATGGAGTCAACCAAAATTTATTAGACCGTTCAGTGTTCTTTCAGGATACGAGATACTGCAATTCGAATGACTGGAATATTCACTTGCCCAATTCGAGTCCAGTAGTTATTCATCAATATCAATTAGTTTCCAAGGCTAGTGAGAACATTACCGAAAATAGAGCTATACAGGGTAGTATACTGGCTACTAAATACTTTCTGCAAATTCGAAGTCTAAATAAGCAAGATAGTCTCCATGGATAAATAATGAATGTTTCTAGAGATATAAATGTTCAAATTTGCAACGTTAGGAGGGGATGGTTTGATGCAATCAAATAAATGAAGTTCAATTCTTAAGGAGGAAAGAAAGTAATCACAAATCTATCGTGCATCTCTCCTTCTTGCAATTTCATTTTTCATCAGTGTGATTCCGAAAATTTTAGCAAACCACCGGTGTTTTTCTTAACATGGTATGCAATTCCAGAGGTACCTCTACCCTTATTAACTTTCAAAAAAGAAAAACACAGTATTAAATATTCTTAAGCCAGATGAACTACCGCCTTTCAGCAATGCCTAATGCAGTAAAAATATATTCAACCATGTCAGCGATGCACCAAAATCGTAAAATACTAAAGCCATGAGAAAAACTTGGACAACGCTTCTTTGTTCATCCACTAAAGAAGTTGGGGGATATTTTCTTTCCCTGCATAGCCGTTTTTGAAACACGACTAATGGCAAAAAATATAAGAAGAAAATTCTAAGTTTTATTAAGAAATAGCTTGATGCTGTTCCAAATGGTCGTCGATATTTCTCAGGAAGAATGTGACACACTATGTACGGGATGCAGAAGACATCACATGAGCCAAGGATGAGCAACTTGGGCATCCCACCTAGTGTCTCCGGCGAAGTTCATGCTATAGGCGTGTGAAAATTCTGCCAGGCAGCGGCTTCTAAAAAACAATGAACTTTTTGTAGCATGAAATATTTAAAAAGAAGGAAAAGATAAGTTATTACCTTACAAACATGTCTACAAAGCAGCAAATCGAACTTCCACACAAAGAAGTTGTAAATAAAGATTTATCATGAATACATTAAATGTCACATGGGGGCTACCAAGACCAGAAATTGATGAGATTAGTGACATCTTTTTCCCGAAAAAACCTATGCCAAGAAGTTCAGGAGCAACACCTGAATTTTAGTGATTTGAGTAGAAGTTTTAAATGTTATGTCCTGTCCTACGCGAATGCAGAGTGCGACTTTTAGAGAACTGCCCATACCACTGAAGGAGGGATACTATTGAATTTCCTCCAAGTAGGTCAATAAAGGATTTGCATCACGTTACAGACATCAGATTACTATTGAATAAGACGGTTATTAGTAAAATGCAAATCACTTACATTAAAAGGAAAGAAAACAAACAAAAATGATATTATCATATCCATCGACTCACACTCATACATGAAATTGTAACACATTTAAACATGATAGGGAAGTTACGCCAGAAGGCATTTTTTACAAAGATTTGTTCTACATTTTTTCTGAAGGGAAATAACAGCTGAAAATTTTAACACTGTGATTTGTGCTTAACTATATTTTGACAGATTGACAAGTAGGCTCAACAGGATTTATTTTTCTAAATCATAAATAAAAATCACAAACAACCATTTAAAATGTGTACTGAGATCAGTGCAAAGTGAGCATATCAAACAACAATAATTCACACAGCTAAAATGTGTTTTCTTCCAAACGCTGCTGTTTACCAGTACTCCAGCGTCATTTGCTTCAAGCGCCCCTCCAGCCTATGATAAAGTGTTGACTTCTCAAAGTCCTGCTTGTCATGAGTAGGCTTGATGAAGTTTGTTTCCACAACACCTAAGAATTATCACATTGTTGAAAAGTATCGGAATAAACAAGGGAATCATAAATGGTTAAATTTTGATCACATACAGAGCAGAAAAGGTGACTTGAGCTCACCAGAGACACCTCTACCCGTGCCGTTAGTTTTACTGACAACACGCCAGAAGGGCTGCCAAGAAAAGAAAGAAAAATGTACTATATTGTCTTTCTGATTAAAAAAAAGTACCCTTTTACACGCTACATAACTATCTTAAAACAGAGCTATATTAAAGAATTATAAAACAAAACTTATAAAACCCTTATTTCTTCTATGATGCTTCAGATTTTAAGAGCCAAAGTATAAGAAAAGACAAACTGGCAGTTGAGAATCACAACCGTCTTTCGATGTTTGAATTTGAGATTGGCTTATACTGAATCCACAAGCGCATTGGTCTATTACAAGCCTTGGATGATCAACCATGGGAACTAGGTTGTAAGTCAAGTAACGATGATTATCCCATGAAAGTGCATAAATCGGTCGGACAATTCTGATCATGTTTAAGAACAAATTTATTGTTTGTTGATATGAAAAAAATGCAATAATTCGCAATTCTTCCTGGTTAATAATTGTACCATTCAAATCAGAAACATTTGACACTTGGTGATATTGAATCGTATATTTCTAAAAGTAAATTTCACAAGCCATATATTCAATGTGCCTTCACCTAAAGACTGGCGTCTGAGTTCAGCAACGGAGATCACCTTTCACAGCATGTAAATACCACGGTATGTTAGGGCATCATGCTGGTGTTTAGAAGTTTTGCAGGCCCTGAGAAGCAAGCGAAGTTGGGGGGCAGGCTGTTTTGCAGGCTCTCCGTCAGATACAGTAATCCACACAACCACTATTCTTAAACGGAAAACCATAAGAATGCGTCCTTACTGCCGAGAAACACATCTGTGGCATACAGCCAGGAAAAACAAAGCATGACCAGACACTATAAAGAGATGATCTTGAATGAAATCTAGGAGGTCTCAAGACCCAATATGTGGCTAAAAAAGATCAGAACCACTTGCACACTTCCTAACATTCTGAATGTCAACAGAATATAAGGACTCTCCCTCTCATAAGCTAGGCAGTACTGCGGCAATTTTGTAGAGGAAAAGAGCAATGAAATACAACAACATAAAAATAATGACACCCTCCTTACACCAAAGCATAAATCACTTTAATTGTCATTCAGAAGTATGCTGTCCAGACAGTAGTACAAAGTAGACTGCAACTGATTAAAAACACTGGACTTTCTAATAATGACTGAAATATAGTTGCACAAAGATCTGACAATCTGATGATGCATCTTGTTCAAGAGTTGACTATCCAACTCGAGATCAAATGATTATTAGACCATCCCCACATATATATTCACAGGATTTATTTTGTCCCTTTCAATGTCAAACTATTCGAGTACGTCCTCTCATGTGAAAAACTGACCTTTCGGGATTTGTCGTGTGAATAACACTAGTAAGTAGCACATAGGAATGAAAATTTGAGCTATTACATCATGTTAAAAATTCGAACCATCCAATTCCAAATCAACTGTTAAAATGGATACCCCATCTATTGAGTCACAAGATTTAACTTGCTCCTTTCAAAGTAGGACTACTCTACTAGTATATTCCTATTGGATCCAGCAGTATTTCAAAGTAGGACTATTCTATTAAAAATACATTAAAATGAAAATTATTACAAACGACTTGAATATCTGAATAAATAAAAGTTATGTGTACATCCCCAGCTCCCCATACTTAAAAGAAAAAAAAGGACAGTGAAAAGATAGGCACTACAAGCATGCTAAGCCTGTAGCTTAACACCTCTAGAACAATCCACAGATGCATGCAGAAAGCAATTGTATGTGGGAAGCTGAACGTGTCCTTGACACCTCAATTTATTCACAAAAAAAAAGTTTCATGGCATACTATTGCCTGTAGAAATATGCAAAATCTATTACTTGCAACATCTAAGACCTTTTCCCTGACTTGACAAAAGAGAGACCCTTCCCTCTGATAAATACCAACTCCAGTCAAGTATAGTAGGTTCATCTCCATATCATGATTTAAAACTAGCGTCTAGAAATATTAGCTGTAGTCTCTGGAAATGACGGCCTATCACACTACAACAGAGAACTCGTTTATTAGGCAACTCCCTGAATCGAAGTTCAAATATCATTTCTACATAAAATGTTAGACAATAACATCTGCAGCTTTAGAGTCCTAGGATGGATAAACATTTCGTCGGATATTGTGGTTTACACTAACTTGTCATATTTCCTCTTTTAAAAACTCTAGATAACCTATAAATGTAATAATCAATCCGAGGCTCTTCACAACAATTCTTTGGAAACCAAGATCGTGTCATATATATCATACATCAACTGCCACCAATAAGACTTCCTCACTGTTCAAGATACGTCAACAGACTCTGCCCAAAAAAATATTGTCTACTGAGTGGATTCCCACCTTCCCTCTATCATGTTGCTGAAGAGGAAAAAGTAGATTAATGCATTAACTATGACAACTTAGAAATACAAAGTTCAACTTATCAGGGAGTCGCATTAAAAGAACCCCGTATCCATGATCAAATTAAAAGTAATTATCGTCTGTAAATCCGAGGGCTGCCACAAATTGAAATTCCTAAATACCAAAAGAATAAAACTGAAAAGAGTCACTTGCATCTTTGAGAAACATCAGTATTCCAGATTAAAGCAATGACTGGATTTCTCAACCGCATTTACCATCACAATCAATAAAACTACAAACAACACCCAGAAATGAAGATAGCTTATAGAGCGAAGAGTTTAAACGAGTTCACGTATCATCAAAGTGAAGGATCATAAAAAAAGCAACGAGAATTACGTGCTAAAAGATTCAGCAACTTGCACGACAGATACAAGCATCAAAAGAAAGTAGTCCTTGATAACATGGCAAAAGCGTATAACCGCTAACGAGAATCAGCAGCCATTTAAGCACAAAAAAGGAAAGATATAAGAGAACACGCATGGCAAGCTTACCAATATCAGACGGTTTTTGTTATAAATATTGAAGCCATGGATATTTACATCCGGAGAGCCATTCAAAAACCCAATTGTGACAATGCACGTGCCCTAAGTCACGAAATCAGGCGGTCAATACAAAATAGATGATTAATATCGGATGTCAGAAAAAGAATTTAAAATTCATCAAGAGATATGAACAAAAAGAAAAGCCAGTAGAAAATGTTTAAATCAAGATATTAAAGATATAATGATTCAAAAAGAGGAGAAATGAATTGGGATGAATCACATTTGAGAAGATTTATCTCAGGAGTAGATAGCTTCTTGTTTTCCAAGATTGGGCCAGCATCCAAATATGGAAAAGTGGAAATGATAGTCCAGTTCTCAACAAATATGTATTCCTCTCCTTACTAAATTCCGACAACAATGAATAATGTTCAAGCTCAGGTAGCAACATAAAACTTGTTCAACAGAGGCTGAAGTCTCTGAGACATTTTTCAGCCACCATTTCAATCAGTCGATTGGGAAGAGTATCGGGAGAAAAAATCAATTAATATAGGAAAAAACTAACAGATACGCCAATTCTCAATTTATCTCTCATGAAGTACAGACCCAAAATGAAAAAAGACATACAAGAAACAAAAATAAATCCCGCTGTAAAAGTTATTATTACTCGGAAAGGAAAAGCACTTAACTAGGAAGAGTTATATGCAGAAGCTTTATGCAGGACAGGATGTTTAATTAACATCAGAACCTTCTAAAGACAACTTGAGAGATACGGCAAGATGACTTCTGCCATGAATGCTGAATAATATGCCAAAAATAAGATTCATGAAGACTGAACTCAATATATTTCATGTATATATTGTAGGATTAGTAAGTTAAAGCTGCACTACCCCATATATCATAATCAACAGGATCGAGAGTTCAAGATATTAGTTTAGTGAATCCAGATTGCATAAAAGACTGCCAGGACAACCTAAATGTTTAAGGTCATCATGCAAGGATCATAATATCATGAATTTATGAAATCAAGATCAACGGCTATAAATTATACTTCCCTGGATCAAGTGGAGATAAAACACAACACTAGAATATTAAAATAACTACGCATCCCTAACGCTATTGTTCAACACCATCTTTTATATGACTTTTCAACATCATCTTTTATATGACTTTATAACTTCAAAATGCAATACCATAATTATTATATAACAATCGCACCAAATAGGAGATGAGAAATCATTGATCCGTTGTTTTTAGCTTACTGCTAATTTTAGAGAAGGAATTACTGGTTTCAAAGCTACACTCCCTGCTTGTATCCCTCCAGAACCCAAAGCCCGCATAAATTTTCCTAATTGTCATGTGCAGAAACAGCGGATTAAAGGTATAGTGCGAATAAAACAGTGGACGTTCCAAGTGCACGTGACTATGAAGCAATTTTACAAAATAAGCAAAAGGTTACAACATTGTGTTCACCATTCAACACTGCAAAGCATTTTTGCAGAGCATATACTAAGGGCTACGTTCCTTAAGAGTTGGTGAATATAATGTCTTGTACCTTTAACATGACAGGGAACGGAAAAATGAATATTAAAAGGCTAAAAGAAAAAGTTATTTGACAAGCAACACAAACCTCTGTAATTTCCATTCCTTGTGGTTGATACTTAATACATTCAACATATTTCAGATCTCTGGCAAGATGATGAGGCTCAACTACTTTACCACGTAAAATTATATGAAAGTGGTTAGGAATATGGAGATATAAAATGGATGAGTAGACCTGTAAAGATTAAAAAAAAAAGAGAAAATTAATTACGAAGGAGAGCTAAGGCAAAATAAACTTGAATGCATGCCCATTACTCACTCTAAGGGAATACCGGAGAAGGTTGGCAATATGCATTTTAGTCATCATGTTACTCATGAGACCTTTTTCAACTATCTTTTGTGCACCACTTATCATAATATCCTACAAGCAAGCACAAGGATTTGATCAGAACAACAACAGATGCTGACATAGAGTAAATATGTATTAATAATAATACTTACTGATGAATCAGATTCAAAGTTGAGCTCCATCTCTCCATCATCATTGAACCAAAGGTTATAAATGATTATTTTGGTGCCATGATGTCCTATGTTATCAAACTGCTCATTAAATTCAAAGCACGGGTAAATGTAAAGTTTTGAAGAATAAGATAGTCGTGGAATTAGTATGGAAGTTAGTCAGAGTCCGTGCAAAAAAAAAAAATCAAACGGCACAAGTTTAGAACTACAACTTTCTACTATGGAATACAGGGATCTTTCAACCTCGCAGACTAATATATCTGCAAGAAGTACTGGCTCCTTGGCAGTATGGAACTTAAAAAAGGGCCAAGTACAACAAAAAGATAAAACACATTTTTTCTTGTTGACTTCATAGACACAAATTTGTGCTACTGTAGTATGGTGTCTGACTTGACAAACAACATGATTATAAATATCAAACTTCTCTTTTTCACTTAAACGACATCACATATGTGTGTTTCCACGATTTAATTGAAATTACGAAATTTATTTGTTTCTCTAAATAGAGAATTCATCGTGGCGTTTAGACTTTGAACATCTCTGACTTGTGTTACTATTCTTTACAGAAACCAAAAAAAGCCATACTTATCGAGGGGTCTCTACTTTATAACCTGTCAGGAAGATATGATAAATTCATGCATAGCTGGCGTAATCCTTTTCTAGCGAGCTCTCAACCTAGCATGTCCCACTTTATCTCAGAAACAGATTCTTGTCCATAATTAACAATGGAGTCTCTAGCCTTCAAAAGTACACGTCATAAAGTGCAAACAAAGAGTATGGATAAAAGTTAAAAATGGGCAAGAATATATCAGAGCTGGATTAGAAGGGTAATGTGAAAACGGTACTTTTGACACTACCAACGGTGAGCAAGGTTCCACTCCCAGAGCTCACATACACTATCTCCATAAATTCTCATGTGAGGTCCCTTCGTAAATGCTAGTCTGCAAATGTTGACTTCCAGTTTGAAGAAATGGCAATCACTGATGGGAACCCAATGATGGGATCTCTTCTATATAAGCATTTCTCTGTTGTCAGCCCCCTCATACTCTGGGTTGGTGTCTTAATCCCAATTGGAAATCATCAGTAGTCCCGCCGTTTCCTAATTCCAGTGATGAATCCACTGTCTGAAAAGATCCAACAAGGGTATGATGATAGGTTTTAAGACCCCTGACAGACCCCTTAGTCTTCCCTGGGTGCGTGTGCAGTAATTGCAGGGTCGGAGCACCTCAGCTGACAGCATTTATTTTCTGACGTTGCACATTTATTTTCTGGCGTAACACCTTCTTCCTTTAGCATTCCTCCTCTTCGTCCAGTTCTCAATGGAAAAGGCACCATTAGGTCTGGGTTAATGTAGGGGGGGCTCCTCTTTCCCTTCATCAACTTGGAAGAAACTAACAGGAGAGAGGGCAAAGCAGACAACAGTGAGCTGAGCGTCCACCCCACTGATAGCCTCCCTTAATGATGCCCCCCACCCCACTAAACTACATTGAGGTATTTCTGGCTGCAGTGGTTGCACCCTTCCCAGGGCCGAATTTCAACAAAAGGAGGGTCGGTCTACATGAGCATTTTTCTGCCATTATTGCCTACGTTTGGTAATCACCAAGGTGTTGGTCTACACTATTTTTTTGGATTAAATAATTAAAAATTTGGCACCTCCTTATAGTCTGGCCTAACACTAGATAAACCCAAGTCCTCTTCCAGAGTTATCAGAAGATCAACTCAGGCCATGAAGAACAGTTTCAATTGACTTAAAACTGTATCTGTTTTTCCTCATTGAGAGCATGACACCAGCAAGCGGAAATAATCCGTCCATCAGACTCCCTTTTCCCATATCAAATTACATTTAACTAGATTATAATCAGACAAAAATCATCTTAACAATTAAACTTTTGTTTGGAAGCTCTATCATACGCTGCAACGCTTGAATCAACCAACTTGACTGACAATTACGAGAAGGCTTTGCACAATTATCTTATCTTCTAGTATTTAAGAGGCATAAGAATTTCAATTCCATGTGATACAGTGATAATCTTTTACTGGTCATAAGTCGTTTTATTGTGGAGGCAAGATAACGTGCTCATGCCAAAAACATTATCCTACTTAAGCCCTCAACATTTTATTTTGGATAAATTATGCTGCTCACCATTTCTATTTAACATGAAGGATGTCCATGCAGGCAGATCGACGCATAGATAACCAACAGAGTAAAGTAGGATTTTCTAATAACTCTTAATATCTATCCTTGTTTTATATTCCTACACAATGTTGAAGTAGTATCTAGTCTGATTTTTGGTAGGAAACATGAATATTGCATTCACTACCCTAAGACAGCTCTATCCCTCTCTCCCCTCACAAAGTGAATGAAATGTTCCCTCTCACATATATATTAACACCAAAACTTGCTTGCTTCAGAAGATAGTGACTTACTTGCCTCAGAAGTTCAGCTTCTGTTGAAAAGGGTGACCATTTCATCAGCATAGACAAATTACAAGCGAAATGTTTTGGACTATGGTGCAGCAACCTCCCAAATTTACCAGAGGGCAAAATTTCATAATCCACCTAAAAAATGAAAACCGTTTTAAACAATACTAAAAAATAGTTCAGAATATATATTGAAGACAATACAAATTTTGGCATTCCACCCACAATAGGAACTCTTATGTCGTCAGAGAGTGTCTTCTGCAAAAATGTATAAGAAAGAAGCCCAGTGCTCTGTGTCGAAGTCCTGACAACAACAATAAAATTAAGCAGCCCAATCAGTGGCATAAGAACAAGTTAAATGAGACATGGAAAAAAAAAATCCCTCGTATAAACTCAAAGACCTTTTGGTACAAAGATTAATGAATTGCACTTTCATCATTTGATGACCTTCAGTTCAGAAGTACCAAGATAGCAAAGCTTGTGGTTGTGAAGAATACCAGTATTTAACACATTAGAGAAATTCCTGTGTGAAGGTCCATTTATTAATTCGCATGTGCAATTGAAGTGCTGCTGCTACCATAAGAGGAAGGGCAGAGAAAAGTATCGCTGGAAGCAAGTGAAAAAGGAACATAAAAGAATGTGTCATCAGAAAAAATGAACAGCAGTTCTAAGGAGGCCCGGACAACCTTGCACAATCTGGTGCACTTGATGACCAGGTGCATTATAGGAGGATGATAGAAGAAGGGAAGAAAAAGAATAAAGGGATGACAGATAAAGCAGAAGAATTGACAATCATGGTTGGAAAATTGATTGGTTCTGAGACAGCCTATCCATTCACACCATTTACATCTGCTCCAACGATGACTGGACACCATTTATGGAGGATTCATTTTTTGATATGCAGCACTATTTATGATATGGAGTAAATGATATGGAGTACCATTTGCAATGACCATTTACATCTGCTCCAAAAATCACTATACATATCATTTGCAAAAAAATGGATACTCCATAAAAGTAATTCAAAACATAAACATTGCTAACCAAATATAATATTTTTTTTAATGAATTCTGTTGCTAATCTCCTTTGCTTTCACAGGTGGTCATAAGCATCATCATAAAAGATTAAAATGACTGATATTGGAAAACAATCGGTTGGAGCAATGTTACTATATAATCTAAAAGCGATAATACGTGAGCATCAATGATGATAGAACGGATAATTTGATATCCCTTACTAACCCTCCACGCATGCTGCGACTGAAAACGATAACATCTGCTCCAAGTCGCATAGTGCTGGTCTTGAAACCATTTCCATCTGGGTACGATGTAACAAATCAACTAAGCTTGCTAGGAAGGCAAGAGAGTAAACAAGAAGAAGAACCAGCAGAGGATTGTCATTAATACACTGTCCAATAGCAGCATCTGACTGCTTGTCAGAAAACCCGAAGCTCATGCAGCGTCTCAGGGTTTCAGGATCCATTCCTCCTCCATCATCTTTATGAATTCATGGGAGACTCTTAAGTGAATTTTCATAACAACGGACAAGAGAAACAATATAAAAATGATTCACGATTTTCGTGTTGAACATAAACGTTTTTGACAGTACCTTGAATCAGCAAAGTAGGAGATCCATCCCGCGGGTTTTTGATTGTATCTACAATCACATATGTTGCACCATTTTGTATCTAGAAACGAAAAAGAAAAAAGGAAAAGGCATTTGTGATTCAGAAGAATAATTCGCACGATAATACTGTCATCCCGGGTCATATGCAGCATGCAAACTTAAATGGATCGTACCTCATCAACTGCATTGTCAAGCAATTCCGCTATTGCTGCAAGAAAGAGATTATAAAGCACAGCAAAACAATCAACATGGTTTGATGACAATAAGAAGGCAAAACTGGAGAATCTCCAGCATCAATAATTAATTTATCGTACCACCAAAGGCCCACTTATGAGAAGTAGCATTTGAATGAAGAAACTTAGGATGCACACGAAGATAATTGTTGCCATCTGTTTCAAGATAATCATTGCCATGTGTTAATTTAATGAGTCAAACTCGATCGAAAATGTAACAATTACGCAGATCAGAGATGAGAGACATCTGTGAAAGCAGGTCATCATCATGAATGAACGTCAAAGACCTTGAGAACTAGCTTTAGAGGCTTTTCCGACTTCATAATGTCCAGCCTTCCAGAACTGTCGGCATTGTGGTGCAAAGCAATCAGCTGAGACATTAGCTGCTGGTCCGTTTTCATCATCGCTGGATAAGTCGATGACCTCCAGTGAACTCATTTTGGATGCTGCGAACACAAAAACCCGAAAAACATGAAGTCAGGCATGCATGGAGGATAACAACTAGAAACTGACACCGAAAACATGAAAAGCTGGAGCAACGAAGAAGAACGCATTTGGTAGCAGAGGAAAATGCTTACGTTAGTCGACTCAACAAGAGCTATTGGGTTACTCCCTGCTATAAGTCGACTCCCTGATTCGAGCCGTATGAAGGGAATCAATGCTCCGGACCGAAGGTTCCTCCGACACCTGGTCTTCTCCGACGCATATCAGCTTAGCTGCACTCAACAAGCCCTGGGTTGGTTTGCCTTCCTTTCTCAGGTGAAGAAGCAGCAGCGGCACGACACAAACTATCTACCAACTAAGGTTGCCGGACATGAAAGGAGACCCGGCCCCTTCTGATTCTCGGTTCGAGCGGGCCCCGCTCTGTTTTAGGCTTGTACTGGGCCGGAGCGAGGCGTCTGGTACTCCCCTGTCAAGTGACAGGCGGAAGCTGCGGGTTCGAGCCCCGTCAGTCCCGAACTAAGATCCGATAACATGGTGAAACACTTTAAAGGAAGGTTTTCACAGGAATGGGAGGGAGTGTATGGCTATGGAGATAGGGATATAAAAAAAGAGATATATATGTATATATAGTTTTTTATTATTCTCTGTGTCCTTTTGGCGAGGGCTAGTGAAATTTCTACTGTAATCATTTTGCTATATCGATTAAGAAAATTGTATTAATGCATCATATATTCAAACTGGCTTGCCACTTAAGAGAAAGTAAGAGCCTAATGCGCACCTATTAAGCCTCAAAGGGTAGCCTTCTATTGTGCTTAGCTGTGTTGTTTCATGATAATTTTTATTTTTATTTAAATAAATTGGTGAATATATATATGTGTATATTTATTAATTTGTATAATGTGATAAAAAGTTTCTCCATACAATAAACCCAATGTGCATGAGGCTCTTACCTTGCCTTAATTGGCAAGCCAATTTGATTATTTCACGTATTAATATTTATATTTTAAAAAAAACTACCATGTGGGTCAATAGTTGATATACTAAAATGATCAGACTAGAAAATTAATGATAACTATTATTTTATTTAAAATAATGGGGCGAATATATATATATAGATATGTGTGTTGATTTATTAATGATGTGTCAGATACTAAAAAGTTTCTCCATAAAACAGACCCAATGTGCATTAGGCTCTTACCTTGCCTTAATTGGCAAGTTATTTTGATTACATCATGGATTAGTATATTTTATTTTTTAAAAAACTATCTTGTGGATCGATAGTTGGTATACTAAAATGACTAGAGTAGAAATTCATGATAATTATTATTTTTGTATAAAATAATTTGGTGAATATTTATGTCTATATGTATTAATGTATAACAGATTATGAAAAGTTTCTCCATAAAACAGACCCAGCATGCATTAGGCTTTTACCTTTCCTTAAATAACAACCCATTTTGATTATATCATTCACTAATATAATTTATTTTTTAAAACTATCACGTGAGTCAATAGTTGGTATACTAAAATGATTAGAGTAGAAAATCCATGATAATTATTATTTTTATATAAAATATTTTGGTGAATATATATATGTGTGTGTGTGTTTATTAATGTATATTGGATAATAAAAAGCTTCTCCATACAACAGACCCAACATGCATTAGGCTCTTACCTTGCTAATTGGCAAGCAATTTTGATTATATAATACATTAATATAACTTATTTTTTAAAACTATCATGTGGGTCGATAATTGGTATAATAAAATGATCAGAGTAGAAAATTCATGATAATTATTATTTTAATATAAAATATTTTGGTGATATATATGTGTGTGTATATTTATTAATGTATATCGGATAATAAAAAGTTTATCCATACAGCAGACCAAGCATGCATTAGGCTTTTACCTTGCCTTAATTGGCAAGCCATTTTGATTATATCATGCATTAACATAATTCATTTTTAAAAACTAACATGTGGGTCAATAGTTGGTATATTAAAATGATTAGAGTAGAAAATTTATGATAACTATTATTTTAATGTAAAATAATTTGGTGAATATATATGTATATGTGTGTGTATTTATTAATGTATATCGGATAATAAAAAGTTTCTACATACAGCAGACCAAACATGCATTGATCTCTTACCTTGCCTTAATTGGCAAGCCATTTTGATTATATTATGCATTAATATAATTGATTTTCTAAAACTACCATGTGGGTCAATAGTTGGTATACAAAAATGATTAGAGTAGAAAATTCATGATACTTATTATTTTTATTTAAAATAATTAGGTGAATATATATATATATGTATATTTATTCATGTATATCGGATAATAAAAAGTTTCTCCATACAACAGACCCATGCAAGGAGGCTTTGATTTGAAGAGACGGCTTTTATCTTTATTTTCCCGCCAAATGTCAGTTCCTACTGCTTTAGCGCTTCAGCACTATAAGTACATCTGTATGGCGTTCTCTCTCATGCACACATAGTCGTCGTCGATCAACCATCCCATTTCACCCTTGGACGACCATCCAACCTTCTCTCGTCCCTACCGGCTGCCGCGTTCTTCCCTGGGAGGTGAATGAGGCTTGTCTACGAATCTTCCAATTCGATCTAGGTTCTCCACTTTCTGTGCAAATTTCATCTATAGCTGCAATGGGACTCTACCATTTGGTTTCTCACTCGCTTTGCTCGATTTTCGCCTTGTAATTTTCTCCTTTGGATTATTTATTTACTGAAGTTATGGTGGAACTTTGCTTGAATCCAGAGATCTGAATAGTTTCCAACTTTCCTTCCTGTTGTTGATGAGGATTCTAGATGCTCCTCTTTGTCTTGGCTGTGAATTTATTTGGACGCTTACATGTATGGTTCCATCAGGCTTACTTACTGCGGTGAATTTGGTCACACGTTGATAAAAACTTGGAAACCGTGTAGAAGGCTGTTCAAGTGGCGTAAAAATTAAATTGATGATTTTCTAGATAATGCCGCCATAGTAATTCTATTTCTCCGCACATGTATATTTTCCCCCGGTTTCTGTCCGAAATTAATCATAGGCTAGTCAGAATTAAATTTGCTTCCATGGAATTCACGGTTTAAGAGGCTAGTATATTCCATATAAATCCGAAGTAGTTCTCGTTCTTCAATTCCTTGATGAGCATTAGGATCAGCTAAATTTATTTTAAACGGGATTCAAGATTATAAGACGACCGAACATTACAGCTAAGTTGGTGTGGGTCCCATTAGAGCACGAATTTACTCTATTCCTGCTTTGTGAGTTACAATACTATACTGTGTCAACCAGTTAAAAACATTTATTATAAAAGGTATTTAACGAATGAGAACAGTGACAATTGCGACGGAAGATTTTATCGAATCAATTCCAGTAAAACAATAATTGTTTCTTAATGGTCATATATTTCAATTATTGTTATACGGGGTATATTTTGATCAATTCTTCCTGAGTGAATTTTCTCCAGGAGTAACGATTAAATTATGTAAGCATGTACGGTTCTACTCCATATTGCATTCGTGAAACCTTTGCGGTTAATTTTCTCCTGCAATATCGTAGCCTTGTGCTCAAGCAGATTACTGGGAAGCTAGTTCACCTATACCTCTCCTGTTCTTAATGAAATGGGTGGGAATGCGCACAATTTTTCAAAAAACTTTAGACAAAACGTTCGTAGCTCGTGGTTTTAGTAATTTAAATACAGATTAGCTCGGTATCCCTTAGCATTTGGGAATATTTTTTCTCATAATGTTGGCTTCCAATGCTTACATCTCAATCATATAGGAGTGCCAGGTTTTTATGTTTTGAATAAATCTCTAGAAGTTAAAATTTTATGAATTGGAAAATTTATAGGTTCATGTTGTAATTTTAATCCCCTTGAACTTTGTTCTACTTTGAGGAAAAATGGTGCTTTACAGATAATGCTCATCTTCTATAGAGGGAAGACAAATTTTCTAGCTTTTCGTTGGAATAGGATCCTGTATTAGTTGTTTTTATATACTTCCGTGGGTATGTTAACTCTTTTTGTGGATCTCTCAAAAGTTTTCCTCGAACCTAGACAAGTTTTATTGTACAATGGCGGTCATGTCTGTGATTCGGCAGAGTGATGAATCTATTTTGCCTAGTCTTACTATGTCCATTAGTTTGAAACCGTTAAAACTGTCATCTTCTTGTTATCTAATTCCGCCTGAACTTGCACTACTAAGCTTTCTTGCACAACCCAGCTCACATTATCACTTTCTCCTTAGAGTTTTTCCTCCATGGATTCATATTCACTGAGAGCTGTTGCAGATATACCTGCGCCCTTCCGTAGCATATTCAATTTCAGGTAATATATTCGAAATGTTTCTATGATGGTTTAGATGATTATTTTTTTAGTTCCTTCTATGTAGTTGTAGTTCTCCGTCAAGAGTTCTTTTGATTTGTTCTCCGCCATAATGAACACGGGGATATGTCTTTGCTTAAGCCTTCCCCCACATAATGCGCTCAGACAATTGAGTATGATTTGTTCTCATGCTTATAATGGCAAATTTTAAACCTTGTTAAAGATTTGTACTATCTGCTCTTTTTTATTTTATTTAAATAATTTTTAATAAATTGGCTTGATTGTTTCGTCGGATGTCTCTTGTTGATCATACATGGCCATAGTAGTTCACTGAGGTTTTGTCATAGAGGAGTGTCAATATCTTCTATCCATATGGATTTGGTCATTCAGGTTGAACTATGTGACGTGTTCATTAGAACTGAGATTCTCTAACCCATTTTCTGTTCACACTATGCGTTACCACTCATGGAAATTGGAATGTCCTTTATAGGTGCCACATCATGATATAGCCATTTTTTTTAAGACGAGTACATTACTTCAGTAACTTGTTATTCATTTGCAGATATTTCAATTCTCTACAGAGTGAATGCTTCTCCTGCTGTTTCCTCTCTGATATGAACATGATCATCTCTGCACCAACCGGAAGTGGAAAAACAGTGCTATTTGAGCTTTGCATACTGAGGCTTCTCTCAAGGTTTCTCTCTGGGGATGGAAAGTTTAACCACATTAAAGGCACGCTTAAAACAGTACGTCCCCTTGTTCTCGGCAGCTGGACAAGTTTTCTTAGAAATGGTTTTGATATTTTGGACATTTTTATCAACATAAGGCATCGTCTTCTGGATAGCATTGACCTAGCTGCACAGATTCGACAGAAGATTCCATTTATGGGTGTATTGGAAAGTGGAGTCACAATATGACCCAACTTTCTTGGTATGCACCGGAAAAAGACCCATAAAATAATGAATATCATCATGTATTTAATTACTTACTTTACACTCTATCTTGGGTGGATCGGGTTGGCAACTTTATGATTACAGAAACTTATCGACATTTGAGCGAATTCTATGAGTATAATTTTCCTTGCCTTATGTCTTTTATTGGCTTCAGAGATCTATTCTGAGTCTTTTCCCCCTCCTATGCATTCTGAAAGATTTACATAGCTCCATCAAAGGCCCTAGTACAAGAGAAACTCCGTGATTGGAACCAGAGGCTTGGTTCCTGTGGAGTCAGTTGCTTGGAGATGACAGGTGATAGTGAATCATCTAATTCGAAGTGTATACAAGAGGCTGATATCATCCTAACCACGCCTGAGGTCAGTATTTATCCAATCGTGCTATCATTTCTGAGTTGTCTTAAAGTATTTTATTTTTTTAATAATACGTGGCATCATTTATCGACAAAATTTACAGAAATTTGATGCTATGACTTGTCACCGAATAAGAGCTGGTGGTATAAGTTTTTTTAGTGATATTTCCCTGGTACTCATTGACGAAGTCCATTTGCTGAATGATCCACGTGGAGCTGCACTTGAAGCTATAGTTAGCAGAATCAAAATGCTCTCCCGTATCCCAGACATGGAATCTTGCCCTTTGGCTAATGTTCGATTCCTGGCAGTTTCAGCTACAATCCCTAATATTGAAGACCTGGGTAATTATTTTTGTCGTGATGAGATTTAAGAAATTTATTGCCTAATAATTTTATGATTTTTTTTCAAGTATTCAGTTCTTACTAATTTTCTTGTAGCTGAATGGCTCATGGCCCCTCCAGGGGGAATTAAGAGGTAAATTTTTGGTTCCTTTATCCAGGTGCAAAGCAGCCCCCCCTAAAGGACTCTTTCCTTGATGGTCTTTCATAAATCTTTTTGACGCAGATTTGGTGAAGAGATGAGGCCTGTAAAATTAATGACAAAGGTTCTCGGTAATTTTCTTTTCCTCTTGCCACCGTTGAGCTCTCCCATTGTGCATTCTCCCAAATACCACTTGATGCTTAAAAAAATATGTTCGTTAAGGTATTCCTCAACTGATTGACGGAACATCCTGGTAAGATATAATATTTAGATTTGCTTTTACTCTCCAAAATCACATAATATCAAGATACCTCATCTTCGAAAATGATCATTACTTGAAATGATTTTAGACCATATTATTATGTTGAATAATCAAAACAACAATTTCTTCTTCTTCGGTCCACTCTTCGGCAACATTACATTAGTATTGTTCATTTTATGTATATATACCGTTGATCTGTAATTTTTCTGTTTGAAAGTTGCAATGCAATGATGGCTAGGAATCTGGGGTATTAACTGAAAATTTTTAGTATATTTATTTCATTTTCGTAGACAACATAGCAACCCATTCCTCTTTTCTGCTAAATGACCGCTGAATTTATTTTTTTCTTCGTCGCCACCCATAATTTTTCAGGCTATGCCCAGGCAAGAAATGACTTCTTATTTGAAAGCGTAAGTGCTTGAGATATTTCTCATCCTACGGCATACGGGCATTATAATTTTTCCTCGATAAACTCTGTCCTTAGCAGAGGAGAGCTGTGAATGAGGGATCTTTCTTTTTAGTGTTTCTGATTGGCTAGTATTTTTTTTTCTCATTTTGACAGCGCCTCCAAACTTTCATCTTTGGTAAGGAAAATACATCTATCCCATATATATTCTCCAACCTTTTTCCATCTTTCAATTTTCTTTGATAATAAAAATAAAATCCACTGTGCGTATGATCACAGATATCCTCATGCAACATTCTGCTGGAAAATCTGCGCTCATTTTTTGTTCCACCAGAAGGGGAGCCCAAGAAGCAGCCCAAGGCCTTTCTCGCACTGCAATGGGGCTCGGTTGTTCAAATCCATTTATAAAATCCAATCAACAACGAGAAAGATTAAAAGAAGCCTCTTTATCTTGCAGTGATAAACAAATGCAGTCATGCATTCCCTACGGCGGTAATTATCTACGTATTGGCCCGTTTTGTCCACTAAAAAAGGCTGTTTTACTTTTGATACATAAATTTTATAATCTGTTTCACGAAAATTATCTTGCAACTTCATATTTTTTTAGTCAAGAAAGTAAATCATTATTGAATGCAGTCGGATACCATAATGGAGGCCTGTGCTTAAAAGATCGAACCCTCGTTGAGGGACTTTTTCTAAACGGTGATCTTCAAGTTCTGTGCACTACAAATACCCTGGCCCATGGTATCAACTTGCCCGCGCATACAGTGATAATTAAATCAACTCAGCACTTGTATGTAATAGTCATCATATTCTTATTTGTTAAATGATAAGATACTCTAATGGACCATGTAATTCACGATTCTTGCATCTTATGACAGTAACAAGGAGAAAGGTCGCTATGTAGAATATGACCGGTCAATGATTTTGCAGGTTTGTCTGTATTTTATCATCTTTAGGTGACGTGCAATGCTGTTTATTTTTGAGCTTTTTCATCCTGCATCTATATGTCGTTTTCCTCTCGAAAGACAAAATTAACGAAAAAATAATTAAATATAATCTTGATAGTTACTTGAGCTGTTTTAAGGAGAAAATGGACCAAATATTAGCTCTTAAAGAAAATTCTTCAAGTGTGGCGTCGGTGCCGTTTGTCATGGACTTGTAAAGACTTAAACGAGTAAGCTATCACCAAGCTTTTGTGTTTTAATCTGTCCTTATGGAACCTGTTGATCATAAAGCCATTCATCAGTGTGGTATTTTTGATAAAAAACGTTCTTTTTTGCAAAACCGTGAGTCTTCTCAAACTAAGAATAGAAGGCTGGATGTGCCCAGAAAATTTCCTCTGTTTAGGGTTATCTTTTAGTCCACTTTCACTCGGTAATGCCTGGACAGTCTGAATCAACCGATTAAATCAACCCCATGTCGTGTCAGTAGTGGTCGCTTTATAAATAAAAATCAGCCTACAGATGTGGTGGCAGGCTTTATATCATTTCAGGCTATATATGTTCGTTTTAAAACAATATGCGCCTAGCGACTATATGTCCCTTTCCTCGTTCACTAACTTCTGAAATATCAATTTTCCTTGCTTGAAACTTCAACTAAAGATGTGCGGGAGGGCTGGACGCCCACCATTTGATGATACCGGCACAGTTGTCATAATGACCAGAAGGGAGACCGTGAGTTCATTACTGTAATTTCTCTACAGTATTTTTATGCATTGTTGACTTCTTTAGTTTCATTGTAACGAACATCAGTACCAATACTATTCCATCTAGTTTGAGTCTTGCTTTATCAGTCTTATATGCCGTATCTTCGTTAAATAATTATAGATTTACGCATTTTTCTACAATTTTAGAGCCCGAAAAAAGATATTTTTCATGAATCCTGGGATGAGCTTTTGTTCATATCCTCTGTGCACGTTCAAGGCGTCTTAAAAGGATTTAATCTCCAGCCTTGCCATGCTCGCAAAATGTCTTCTTTCCTGTATAATTGGATCACAACCAATCAGAGAGTGGTTCAGAAGTTACTTTTCCAAATTTTGCACTAATTTGCTCTAATTTTTTAATTGATATCAGGTACATCTATATGAGAATCTCTTAAATGGTTGTGAGATGGTGGAATCCCAGTAAACTCTCGATCTTTGTTCGACACTGGATTCGGTGCTACAAAGTCCTCATGCTTGCCATCATCTAACATTTTTCTACTCTTACTGCAGATTACATGCCTGCATGACAGAGCATCTGAATGCGGAGATCGTCCAGTTTACCATTTCAGACATCAGTTTGGCAATTGAATGGCTGAAATATTCCTACTTATATGTGAGAATAAAAAAGGTAATATATGATGATCAATATTAATACGCAGTCGATATTTTCTTGCCCTTGATCCACATCAATCCCTTGATTTACTGCTCAGAATCCTGAAAATTATGGAGTTCAGAAAAAAATCCCCTATGAACGTCTGGATAAACACATGCAAGGTACAATTAGTCTCACATATAGTTACTAGTTTCTTTTCTCGGAACTCATTTTATTCTGATTAATTGTTTTTCATTTTTTATCATGACAGATATATGTGTCCAAAAAATTAATGAGCTCTCAAAACATGGGCTGATTTGGACAGATGAGGACGGTTTCCTCCTGAGGCCTTTGGGTACGTTCATCTCATTTGGAATTCTCCTTCTCCCATGAAAGAGAGAAAATATGAAGTAACTCATCCATTCGATCTTATCCTGATATGATTATTTGACGCAAATGGGACTATGTTTTAGTTTTCGCGATGGTCATGAACATAGAAAATAATAATTCATGCCGTCGATCTACCCTGTTTGACTGATCAAGGCAGGAAAAAGGTGCATAATTCATCATTCGATGATTTTATCTTGATGATTATCTGATGCAGATGGGACTATGTTTTAGTTTCCCTCAGCTGATATTTGCCATGATCATGAACATAAAACATACAAATCCATCCCTTCTTCCCACGGTGGTCAATTAGTGTCTTTTATGTAAGAAGTTTCCTCTCAGTCCTTAATTACACCCTCTTCCCACTCTGCTCTCTCTCTCTCACACACACTCTCTCTCTCTCCACATCCCTCCCACCCTTATAAGACAGTTATCCAGTTATGAAATTTGAAAAATAGTAGGTTTCCATGCATCCTCAACACCTGCGAGGAGGAGTTCAAGATCTCACTCATCTGCGTTGACGAGACTAACCAATCCGTCCGTTTTTTTGTCGCCATCGTGCATCTCTCTGATATGTTTTTTTTTTCCCATGCACGCAGAACCCGGAAAGCTAATGACGAAATACTACCTGAAATTCGGCACGATGAAGAACGTCGTTCAAGCTCCGGAGAGCTGTAGCCTGGAGGACGTGCTCCGCATAGTATGCCGCTCCGAGGAGATCTCCTGTAAGCGGAGTAGCATCACATCCCCTCCCCGAACGAGCCCGTTGACATTGCCCAGACCAACGAATATGACACTCTCTTTGGAATCATGTTCCAAGGGATCCAGCTGAGGCGCAACGAGAAGAAGCTCCTCAACGACGTCAACGGCGACAAGGACGGACGGCTTCGATTTCACGTCCTCGCAGATAATGGCAAGAGGAAGAAGCGCATCCAGACGAGGGAAGAGAAGATTTTCGTCTTGGTCAACGACTGCTTGACCGGCGACCCGACGGTCCACGACCTATCTCTTATCCAGGTGCTGCTATTCCTTCCTCTCGGCCGTTTTCGACACCACTTTCATCCTCTTAAACTTCCACTCCAGTGAGGTCTGAAGATTTATATAAACCCTAGGACGTGAGCTCCATATGCTCGAACGGGTGTAGGATCGCCAAGTGCATGAAAGAGTGCTTCATCTACAGAAAGAGCTACAGAGGTGCTCTTAACGCCACCCTCCTCGCCAAGTGCTTAGACCAGAGGCTCTGGGAGAACAGCCTCTTCTTGCTAAAACAGCTCCCCGGCATTGGAATGGTCACCGCCAAGGTCCATCTCACCTCACCTCCCCACCCACCATGCGTTTAGTGCTCAGTTTTTTTTTCTTTTTTTTCTTTTTTGGAGATTGAACTCATGTTCTTGTTCTTGTCCTTGGAGGGGAATTTTGTTTGCAGGCACTTCGTTCGGCAGGGATTCATTCGTTTGAAACCATGGCGGAAGCCGATCCTCGGAAAATAGAAATGATAACAGGGCGTAAGTACCCCTTCGGGAACCACATAAAGGAGTCCCTGCTGTCGCTGCCGCCCAAGGTTGACATGCGGATCGAGGCCGATGAGGACAAGAGGCAAGGGAAGTCAAAGCTGTTCATCTGGTTGACTCGCGTTTCACAGTCAACGTCGAGAAAGCGGCACTACGCCGACTTGGTACGTGTTTAATGGAACCACTCCATTTAGGATATGCGTAGCTCTCGATCCCCTTTGTTCCACCACATATGCCGAGCAAATATCAACCTCTTCTTCATGCAGATTGTGGGATCCGAAGAGGATAACCAGATCTTATTTCACGAGAAAATAAGGTGGCTCTTCTCCTGGAATATACTTAGTTCATAAATCCTGATTTTTTTAATTTAACTTTCCTCCTCTGGCATTTTCCTTGTTTTCATGAAACAGGGTTGACGAGTTCTTGAGGTACCCTCCCCCGTCTTCACCGGTCTCCCCGTTTTGTTTATTTTTTATTATTATTATAATAACTCAGACCCATACTAAGAATATGCACTATATTACCTATACTAGGAACTTTGCCATTTATTATTCATGAGATTCACTCATTGTTTTGTGGACGCCTCAGCCCCTATTCGGTGCCAATCTTCGCCTGGTGCCCGCAGAACGGAAGGTTGACCGTGGGAGCGGCTCTCATCTTCGAAGAGTACGGTAAATAATCCCCATGTGGTCAATCCCCGATGCCCAATGTTTCCTCCACACGTGGCTAACGCCCTCCTATCGTCCCGCACGAAGTTGGCCTCGACGTGCAGCAGAAGCGCGTGATCAGCAGGGAGAGCGCTCCGCCCCGCCCCACGGCACGTGTGAGCAGAGCCAGCGCCACAGAGTACCCACTCGCTAGGGAGATATACGTGGTCGAAGACGATGACGCCGCTGGCCCAGCTTCCCCAGATGCGCCCAGCTTCGACCTCTTGCCGGAAGACCGAGAGGAGCCAATCGAAGGTGACTATCCTTATCCTCACCTCATTTTCTCCCTCTTCCACCGTCATTCGATGATATTCGAGGACTCTCTGACCGTGCCAACGCCAGATTTGACCCAAGTGAAAGCTTTGACCGAGCGCACCGTCTTCGACCACATCCGGCGGAAGTCGAGGGATCTACCGGCGCTGACGACGTCGAAGGCCATGGTCTCCTCCTCCCTCGAGCCCTTGGCGCTCAAGAGACCTCGGACCCAGCACGACGAAATCGTACCCAATGGCGGGGGCATTACGGGCCCAGACTGCGCCACCGGCCGGGCAGGAACATACGAACCCTGCGAACTGGGTCCTGGCAAAGGTGAGTCTCCCCTCCTGACGTCCCCCCCTGCGGTGGGGGAGGCGCTGCCCTTCAAGAGCATCTTCTCCTTTCTCTGACCGCGTAAGCATATCCCCCATAGAAAGCCCAATTGGATTCATTATATTTTTTTTGGCGTTTTTTTTTGTACATATACAGAAGGGGGTTAGGTGGTGGTGGGGAGAGAGAGAGAGAGAGAGGGGTGAGTCTAGCCGCCCATTGACTTCGATAGCTGTGAGTCAAAGTCGTCGCCCCCATCGTTGTTTCCGGGCATAGCGGGCGACTTTACGGAAAAGCAAGTGACTTCACTCGGAAGGTTGTCAGTGGGACGTCGCAGAATTGGAATTCGCCACATGGGGGGAATGGGGACCAGCCAGTCGGCTGTTGGCGGCTACAGTCCCCACAGCGTAGCTTTCAGATTTATCCAGGACTTTGGAAGCGTCTTTGTCTGCTTATCTTCCTCCCTCTTGCGCGCGACTCTCTTCTGCTCTCTCTCTTCTCTCTCTCTCTGCGCCAGGCCTTAACTGGATTCAGCTTTCGACGTCTAGCAGAGGAGCCACCGGTTGAGGTAAGAATCCGATCACAAGCTGGGCATCTTCTCCCTTTTCCCGTGTTGTTTCATCGACGCGTTTTCCCGTCTTCTTTTTGTTCTTCGTCATGGAAGATTTCCAGATGTTCTCCGGGGAAAGCAGGAGCGTGGTCAACGGAAATCCGTCCCATGTCTCCGGGATTTCCTTTACTTTCTCCGGCCTTACCAGAGATGTTTTTATTGTCGCCATGATTCGTCCTTCTCTGCCCTCAATCGCCTTCCTGTGCTACGAGATGGAAAGATACTGATAACCCACAATTTCCCTTCCAGTCTCGGAGGACGAGGAGGAAGTCGTCGATGGTTCCCCTCATCTGAGCCCACAAGGGAAAGGAGCGGTTTCAACATATGGTGAAGGACGTTCCTGTGTTCTTCCTCCTGCTCCTCTCGTGTCTGTTGACGAGAACCCGATGTGATCCAAGGTCGCGAACGGTGGAGATCATCTGCTCGACGCAATTGGAACACAATACGACTGCATATGTTCCCAATTTTATAGCCGGCATGCAGAGCATCTCCGATCAGCTTCGAGTTGGTGGATTTGGCGTGGCGACGGTGGGTTCTGGACTAGATGCAAACTATGGACTGGCACAGTGCTATGGCGACCTCTCCCCGGTGGACTGCGTTCTGTGCTACGCCGAGGCGCGGACGATCTTGCCCAAGTGCTTTCCCTACGACGGCGGGCGGATCTATCTCGACGGCTGCTTCATGAGGTCAGCGAATTACAGGTTCTTTGAAGAGTACACGGGCGCTGAGGACAAGGCCCAATGTGGGAACACGACGAGGAAGAGTGCACAGTTCGGTCAGTTGGTGAGGAAAGCGGTGTCAGATGCGACCACCGCGGCGCCGGGCAATGGAGGCTACGCCAGAGCCTTTGCGACTTCTTCAGGCGCTACGAGTGAATCGGTTTATGTTCTGGCTAATTGCTGGAAGACGTTGAACTCAAGCTCCTGCCAAGCTTGTCTGACGGATGCAACAGCATTGGTGACGGGATGTGTGCCATGGTCGGATGGGCGGGCCCTTAAGATTGGATGCTTCTTGAGGTATTCAGACGTGAATTTTCTGAATCCTCTGCAGAGAAATCGGCGTTCAAAAGGTACCCCATGCTCTCAGAAGAAAACTTAATGTGGATGGAGCTTGCCTCGAGCTAAATCGTCTTCTGCTTTTCCGTGACTTGCAGGGATCACAATCCCAATCGTATTTGCAGTCCTTAGCTTAGTTGTTGTTATCGGAGTGGGAACAATTATCGGATATTTTGTTCGGAGGCGCATGATGATACAAAACAAAAGAAGACGTACTTTGACCTACCTGATCATTTCATTTATTTCATTGTCATCTTTACATCATTTGATTTTATTTATTTATTTATTGTGTAAGTAATCAATCCTCGAGCTCTATGAAATACCGAATGCCAAATTTTGTGCCACCTTTTTGCAGATGCATTTGATGCAGAGAACATGAAGTCCACTTTATGGAACAGTCATCTAAATTTCAAATATTCTACGCTTGAGAAGGCAACTAGATCTTTTTCTCCTGAGAACAAGCTGGGCCAGGGAGGTTTTGGTTCAGTTTATAAGGTAATCATTAGCAGATACTGCATAAACTTTCGTATTCTTCACTACCGGGTTTCTGAGACATGCTCAATCGTTCATATATTTCGGAGAACCCAACATTGTTGTGTTGATCGCGGATTAACCCCTGTTTCTTAGGGAGTTTTGTCCGATGGGAGAGAGATTGCGGTGAAGAGATTGTACTTCAATAATAAAAACAGAGCTTCAGATTTTTACAACGAAGTGAACATGATCAGCAGTGTGGAGCATAAGAATCTTGTTCGCCTGTTGGGTTGCAGCTGCGTCGGCCCCGAAAGTCTTCTAGTCTATGAATATGTCCCCAACAAGAGCCTCAACCTCTTCATTTTTGGTACTCTCATTCCCCCTTCAGTTCCTATAGTTTCATCCACATTATTTCCTCTAAGAAACATGCTTTGTATGAGTCGTTTATTTCAACTAGTATGATTACCGAGCTTCATATTCTTCATGTTCTTGCGCACATTAGCCTTGGTTCGGGAGTAATTCTATGATGAACCTTGACAGATCCTGAAAAAGGACAGTTATTGGATTGGCAAAAGAGACTTGAAATAATCAAGGGCACTGCCGAAGGTTTGGCCTATCTCCATGAGAACTCCAAAGTTAGAATAATCCACAGGGATATCAAGGCGAGCAACATCCTGTTAGACAACAAGTTTCGGGCTAGGATTGCCGACTTTGGCCTCGCGCGGTCATTCCAAGACGACCAAAGCCACATCACCACTGCCATTGCCGGGACCTTGTGAGTTTGTAGGATATCAATAACCCCCAAGACCCATGCCCAAAGGCTCTCAACTTTCCATTCTTATACCTGGTTTGTCGTTTCAGGGGATACATGGCTCCGGAATACCTTGCCCTCGGCCAGCTCACAGAAAAGGCGGATGTGTACAGTTTTGGTGTCCTTTTGATAGAGATCGTCACCGGCAAGTCCAACAACAGGAGCAAAGTCCCTGACAACTCTGAGAGCATCATTACTCTGGTAAGTCCTCTAATCCCTCTCTCTCATGTCAGAGCTGGCGCATTATAGAATTCTATTCTCTCATGCATACCAATCTTGGGGCCCTATCTGATCTGTTGAGAAATTCTCAGATGAAATAATTTACTTGGAAAGTCCATTTCTTTAACAATATTAATCTAAATAAATAAATATCAGCCGGCCCACGGGTTTATTCATAGAATGATCAAATATGGGACCAATCAAGAAATATTCATAGCAACATATCGATCTGGCAATTCCCATTGTTTTCTATTCCAGGCATGGAGGCACTTCCAATCAGGGACTGTGGAGGACCTCATCGATCCAAACATGAAGCTACATGACCACGAGAATCACACCCTCGTGAAGGCCGAGATCACTAGGGCAGTGCACATTGGGCTCCTTTGCACGCAGGAAATACCCTCGCTGCGGCCCTCCTCGCTGGGCGCCCTGCGGATGCTGCAAAGGATAGAGGAAACGCTTCCCCAGCCCAACAGGCCGCCGTTCACCGACGAGACGACCATGGAGCTGCCCAACATGACCGACGCCTCTCGTCTCTCCGACCGCCATCTCTTCTCCATCGCCACCGTCTCCGACACCTCCTTCTACCCAAGGTGAGTATGCTCCACCCCCCCACCATGGTTGAATCACAGAGTTCTTGCAGTCCCAAGTTTCTGACTTTATTTAGAAAAATGAGGCCTTCATGCAAATAGAGTGGCTATGCTGTAATTATGTCACATACACAGCTTCTTGCGCAGTATTATACTATGATTAGCCCTCTGAATGCATTGATTTTCTTGTTAGAGAGGGAAAGGATTGTGGGGTAATATGATCTTGGTCTATGTGGATCTTAATGTGATCTTAATTAGGTTAGGTTCATTGAGGACTCATCCAGTCAACTTATGGTTGATCTGACCCAGCTGATCATAATCTGAGATATTGCCAGTCCTTTTGGAAGGTATTCATGGGGTAAAACTTCAGCAAAACTTTCTTATAGGATGATTTTGTAATAAAAAAACATATCCTGATTAAATTATAAAATAGTGGTGCCCAATCCAGGATCTGAATCAGGGGACAAGATGGTCAGCGATCACGACCATGATGTTTCATAAGAACATGAGTTGACTTTGGGTAAGGAGCTTCATCGAGAAAATCAAGAGGCCTGCATGAACACAACCAAATAGGACGAAAATTAAGATCTGATATTAGACAAAAGTCAACGAGTGGGATGATGCTTTTGATTGCTCTCATCATTGGGGTGTTAACTAACCGGCTGGGCCTCCCCTTTGGAAGCCCAGAAGGAGGCCTATTATGGGCTGGGCTGGGCTAGCCGCTGTTCCTTATCGGGCTGGGTTCATAATCCCAATTCCATATGATCAGGCGGGATGTGTGGGCTTCTAATTGTCCTTGAAGACGCCCATTGGGCCATGTGCCACCTCCAGGATTAGAAGGGGAACTGACCAAATGGGCCTCCATCCCATCTGACAGAGTAGGGAGGCGTGATTGGGCCACGAGCCGATGGGTGGGACCCACCTTCATGGCTGTGATTCCTCGTCTATACAATCCTCCCACCTCTGAAGCGTCAGTTACCCTTACCGGAAAGAAGGCCCCACCCCCCTCCATCCTCAGCCCGCCGGAGCAGCGGCGCCGTCGCCGCCGACGACGGCGGCGATTCAACTGCGCACACCAAAAACCACACTCCCGTCAGTAGAGCCGGACACGCCCACTTCTCCCCCCATGATGAAGCTGGCATTCTACGGTTTTCTCTCACCGGAGTCGCAGCTGGAGGTAGAATTCCGCGCCCCACAGAGACACAGCCGCCCCCACGGCGGCGCCGGCTCGTGCCCGCATGCGCCGCCGCTCGCCTCGCAGCGGCGGCACGACTCGTCGTGCTCCGCCGGCACGGAGTAGCTCACCCGTATGCCGTACGACCACTCCGCTGCCGGCCCGGGCCTCACCGGCGCGAGGCTGTAGGCACCGCTGTAGCCCTCGCAGTCCAACTGGGTAAGGTTCACCGCCCCCACCGTGGGGTAGCTCACCGCGCAGCACGGCTGCGCCGCCTCCCACGCCGGGCAGCGGCGGTAGCTATCGCAGCCCATGCCGGCGACGTCCCCGCAGGGGAGATGGCGCCGCACGCCGCGGCAGCCGAGGAGTAGGAAGGCGGTGTCGGGGGAGGGGGATAGGAACGGGGCCCGCCATGGTTCGACCACGAAGCCGCCGGCGCCCCCGATTCCGGCGGTGGCGCAGGTGGCCATGGCGGCATCGTGAAGGGTGAGGGCGTTGTAGGGGTAGTCGATGGCGCGGGCGAGGTAGGTGCCGGAGGGTAGGAGGAGCATGAGGGCGCCGTTGACGCAGAAGAGGAGGTCCCTGAAGGCGGGGTGGCCGCAGCCTCGCCGGAGGCCGAGTGGGTAGTCGACTGTGATATTGCCGCAGAAGGACCGACAGGAGATGGCCACTGGCGAGTCACCGGCGGACCGCCGGAGGAAGAATAGGAAAAAGATGAAGGCGGCGGCCGCCAAGAGGAGGTGGCGGCGGAGCATGATGGGAGGTAGGCAGCGGCGGAGGAGAAGGAAGAATGAGCGGTTAAAAGGAGGGGAGGGGAGATTCCTTGCTTGCGCAGAAGAGATGAGCCTCTCTACACTTTTTTTCTTGCTTTAGGCATGTTTGGAGAGAGAGAGAGAGAGAGAGAGAGAGAGAGAGAGAAAGATGTGTGGAAGAGAGAAATGGGCTCTGGGCATTCAAGACGGAGCAATTGAAGCCCAAACCCAACCCGGAAGGGAATTATGCAAAGGAAGGCGACAGATTGAACACACGAGACGAGATACTCTCCCAAAATAGTTGTTTGAACTCGAGATATTACGGTCATGGCATGAATGAGAGAAGTCATTCGGATCCGTAGAGGAGGGGGGGAGAGAGAGGGAGAGAGAGAGGAACAAAATGGCGGCGGGTAGAGAGCGAAATCCATGAAGTTTTAACTAGAAAGAGCTTCAAGACGTTACTACCGCAAATCAGGCCTTGATGGCGTATTTCCTCTGGGGGAAGTACATCTCCCTCTTCTTCTCCCTCTCGGTCTTCAAAGACAACTACATCAAGAAAAAAGAAGAAGTCAGCGCCTTAACTAGCCCAGAACTTATCTACAGAAAAAAATGCGTGAATCTACGGTGCAAACGCTTGAACCAATACAGTTCCAGCAATTCTTACTCCAATTAGAAATGATACGAAATTATAAGAAAAAAATCAGCATATAGTTCGAGAGTCAAGTCAACTTCACAGGATTGATCCGACCAAAACAAACCTAGCCTGACTCTTAGTCAAGAAAAGTCTGTCGTACTAGTTCATCACCAGTGACCTGGTGAAAAATGGAAAAAGAGAAGAAGAAACACTACAAAGAAAAAGAAGACGATTTGTTTACTGAATCCGAATAAATTCCTCTAATTCTAAATATTTGATTCTGGTTCGAAAAGAAAAATGTCGCAAAATATCGTGTTATAGTTGGAAATATTTGTTTCACAACGAACAGAGTAATTTTTTCTATCAAACTTTCTTACAATTACACTACTTGACGCTCAAGGATCAAGTCCTCAGGTAAGACTAATGGGTAAATCATCTGCACATATGCATCAACCCTTGACGCAGGAAATGGCTTGTTGACTGAAATCGAGGACATAAACTCCAATTCCTATTAAAAGTGATTTATATGATGAGGATTTTCGCCGATTTAAAAGTTTCTCAAAAAAAACCTAATGAATTCCTATCATCCTGGAAGGTGATCCGGGGGGAGGGGTCCTACCATCTTGCAAGTATGATAAATGAACCGGAAATCTAATGTCTCGTACGAACATAGCTATCCTATCCAAAATAAATTCATGCCTGCCAAACGCACGAAACGCTATTTCCTCCAAATGCGACAGATTTAACTCGTTTCAGCCGACTAACGCGGGTTTACAGAAACAGCTGGTGCATCTTAAAAGATATTTATCAAGACAGGTGAATATTATCGTATTGTTCACTAGACATCAAATTATTCATCCTATAACGAGAAGAAAAGGACTTTTTCCCTTTTCCTACATGAACTTCACATCTGGAATGTATACCAAAGAATCCACATGACCTAGAGAAAGTCAGACGCTGTAATCAAACAGCTACTATTGAAATCAAGAGATGAGTACGTTGCCTCCCAACTAAATCGTGGGGATCTCCTCTGAAGTAATTATAGAATCGAGGACTCGTACATTTTCTTATAAAGACACTGTATAAGAAACAACAAGTGTTCATAGATAACGAATTAGGACATGAAACTAAAAATGTTGGGTACGCTGTCAACAACTGATGAAGCAGTTTTAATAGTACCTGATGTTTGGTGAGGCTCTTTCTGATAGCACGCGTCTTCTTCGGCCTCAGGTCCAACGGCAAGAACTTCTTCTTGCTGTACGCCTCCCTCAATGCAGCCTTCTGCTTCTGAGAGATGACGGTGAGCACCCGAGCAATGGAAAGCCTCACCACCTTACTGCAGCAACATTTGGCACAGAATAATTAAATCAGCTATTGAGGGAGATGTATAGCCTTGCAACCTTCAGAGCAACCAAGAAGCATACATCTTAGACAGCTTGTTGGGGGCGCCTCCAGTGACCTTGGCCACTCGCAGCAAGGCGAGTTCCGTCTTCAGATCGTTAAGCTGGTTAAGTAGGTCGGCTTTCGACTTGGTGCGGAGCTCATGGGGTTTAATCCTCGCTACAAGGAAAGGCACCGATCACAAACAAAACAAACTAAGGACACAAATCGCAAAAAAATCCATCCTAAGCCGCGATAAATCCATCGTCAGAGAAAAATGGACGGCATATCATGGAGGTTTATGTGATCGTCACATCACCTCTGAAGGCCTAGAAAGAAGCGGAAGATGAAGAAAAATCCGATTGAAACCCGAGAACGAGCTTGCAGAGGACTCCAAATCGAAGAGCCGAGCATTTGCCTACCCATGGCAATCTGAAATCGCAGATCCCTCCGAGGAAGTTTGCTCCGATGGCGGGACGACGGCCGAAAGACGAATGGCGGCGGACTCCTGGTATCCTTTTATACCCCCCATCCAGTGGAGGGTAGGGTTTTTGAGTCTATCACACCTCTTACTGACCGTTGATCTCCAGTCCTATCGGTAATCCTCGTTGAAATCTAAACCATCCAATCACTAGACCTTTACCACACGGGACGGCTGGGATCAACCAAAGTAGTAGGAGCATCGAGAAGCTGTAATGGGTTCGGATCCACGTCTGCAAAGCCCTTCGAACCGTCTTTGCTATGGATACTTCTCAACTTTTACATTTCCATTTACACCCATTTTATGGAGAATATTTGCTTTTGGGTACATTCTGATCAACTTACCTCTTATGAACTCCTAGAAACTTATTCCATGCTCTTTATAAACCCAAAATTATAACTTTAAAAATAAAAATCTGAGCTCCCAACATTTTCATAAGATATAAATATTTTAATGGTATTATAACATGTGTGAGCATGAAGGCCTACTATAGGTTTCTTGGCTTTCTCGCATCTCTTGACCCTACTATATGTGTCTCTTAGTCTTTTCATGTCTCTTAATATTCGTCTTCTCACTTAACTCTTCATCTTCTTCTTTCTCTTTTTATAGGGAGACATGTACCTCTCTTATTTTATTGAACAAAACATATTCTATTCATATACATGGTATTAGAGTTAGGTTCCACTCCGCCTCATCTATGATACCCCCTCCAAAAAAAAAAATCTCAATTTTAAGTTGGCAATATCCGAGCAAGTCAACGGTGCCCTTCTCCTCTCAATACCGCTAGCCTCCCGACACCTCGTGAGTCGACTCTTGACGGCCCGTGCATCGACTCTAATACCCCGAGTGTCACCTCCTAACGCCTAGCGTGTTGCCTTTTGGCACCTCGTGTGTCGACTCCAGATGCCCCAAGCATTGTCAGAGCAAGCCAGTGGCGCCCTTCTCCTCTCGACGGTGGTAGCCTCCCGACACCTTGTGCGTCGACTCCTGACGCCCCATGCATCGACTCACGGCACTCTGTGCATCGCCTTTTGACGCCTTGAGTGTCTCCTCCTAGCACCCAGCACGTCACCTTCTAGTGCCTCGTGCATCAACTCCTAGTGCCTCTAACGTCACCTCATGATGCCTCGAGCATCAGAACCTCCCATCTCCAGCTGAATCTCCTAGCCGATGAATCTCCCATCTCTAATCGGTGGATCTCCAAGCGGCGACTCTCCTCACTATGAGAGGAGACTATTCATCTTCTCACCTGATGACTTCTCGTCTTCCCTCGCACCATGACCGCTTGGCGTCATGGCCGACTTGGACTCTCCCATGCCTCTGTTGACCACGCCAACCGATGCTAGTACAATCTCGATTGATTCACTTGTAGCTGCTCACGTCATACCCATTGGAGTTTTAACTTAACTCCAAAATCCACGCCCTTCAATGGGCACATAACTTTCGTCATTTTCTTGGTGTTCATGGGTGTTGAAAATATATCACCATTCAGATGTGGCTTCTCAAACTTGTTGCTCCCACTCTCTCTACCAACATCAAATTTCTCGACATGGCTAAAGAAATGTGGGATACTCTCGACAGAGCCTTTAGCACTAAGGGCAACATTGCTTTTACAATAGATGCTTTCGAAAATATCATGAAGATGTGCGACACCGTCTCTCCTTTTCATGTCACATTTATCGTCATGAAGAAGCTTGGCAATCAGTACCAATCTGTTACAACGAACACAACCACTCAATGACACTATCACCACTTTTTTTTAATAACTGTATATCTTGATGTGATTAATCTGACTCTAGCCTCTTAGGAACGAGGCTTGATATTACATGACGAGACCCCTCCAACATTAGTGGAAACCTTCAACGTAGTCAAATGAGTAGCTCTTCTCATTTCCACATTGACTTCAACATCGTCAAAGATATCATCACCTATCTTTGAAGCCTTGACTATAGTAGTTACTACTCAAAAGTAAGATGAGGAAGGGGCTTTACCTCTCGTGGTGGGAAATAGGAGAATGGTCATAGAGCTTCTTCGAGTTAAGGTCACCTTCCTCCATACGAATATTGTGAGAGGACTGATCATTAGATGATTAAGTGCTATAAAAAGTTTGGCTATCTAATTGGTTGGGCCCACTTCCTTCAGACAAGTTATACATGCACTCTACCTCCTCTTTGTTACTAGTTACTACCTTTTCACCCTCGCAAGGGTCCTCTTTGGAACCAGCTTCGACTTTTGCACAGGTAAATAAGATCTCAATGTCTCACAAGGAGTATGATCCGTAGATGCGTCCCAAAAAGGTGACTTCAACTTCTCACGGATTGCATCACGCTTCATCTTTCAACGCAAATACTACCTTTCTAACATCCGCACCAAAGTTTAAGACTTAGATTATTGATTCAGAGGCATTCACCCACATGTTAAGTACCTCATCTCTCCTTTTCTATCTCCAAAGTCTAACTTGTTCCAAAACTGTCATGATCGCTGACGGTCGTCCCTATTCTGTCATCAAAGAAAGGGATACTAAACCTACTTTTTCCATGTCTCTATCCAACGTTCTTTATGTCCCTAACCTTGACATCAATCTCTTCTCTATTAGTGCAATTACTAAAACTCTTTATTATTCTATTCAATTTTTTCCCTATCATTGTGTTTTTTAAGATTTCAAATCAGGGCGTAGATTGGCTTGGATAAAAGATTGGTCAAGACCTCTATGAGCTTGTTCTAGACACTCTATCTATCAGTCTCTCATGCCTATTATCTATAAATACTTCTTCACTTATGTGACATCGTCGTTTTGGTTATCCAAATATTTTGAAATTATGTGAGGCCTTACCTAGACTTTCTCTATTTGATTTTAAATGTGAATCTTGTGAACTTAAAAATTATTTTCGTTCAACATACCATCGGCGTGATTCCCCACCATGCGATCTACTGTTCGAATTAATTCATTGTAACATATGGGGGCCTACATGCATCACTTCGGTTTCTAGTTTTCGCTATTATATAGTCTTAATTAATAATTTCTCACGTGTAGCATGTGTCTACTTCTTCATAGATCGATTTGTAATTCTTCCTCATCTTTAAGAATTCTTTTAGAAAGTATAGACCCAATGGAACACCACACCCAAAATCTTTCGAATGGATAATATTATTTAGTTTACACAATTTGCAATTCAAGAGTTTTGCAAATCACCTGGGATCATTCATCAAATAACATGTCCTCATACGTCCTAATAAAATAGAGTGACAGAACGAAAGCATCGACATATCTTGGACATATTCATATTGTCATGTTTGAGATGAGGGCTCCTAATTACCTATGAGTTGACGCCATCCTCACATCCACCAACCCTAGACTTTCCGTCATCTCCCTTAGGCAACAAAGTTTTCCTTCGTCGTTTCAACCTCAAAGGTGACCTCTTCTCTCTACTCCCACAAGTTTTTGGTTGTGTGACATTGTACATGACCACACCCTTGAACAAGTCTAAGCTTGCCCCTCATATACTAAAAGGCATCTTCGTTGGCTACTCATAGACACAAAAAGGGTATCGTGTCTATCTTCCTCGAGAGCAGAAGTATTTGATATCAGCGGATGTTACCTTACATGAGAAGTCAATGTACTTTGGAGTAACCTCCTTGACACTTCCATTCATATCCTTACTAAAGGACACCACATCTTCATCATTATCTAATCTCAACACTTCATCAGATGTCACTATCTCCTTACCATTATCATTTCTCAATTCTAACCCACTTCAGTTTATTCTATAGCCTCTAGAAGATTCATCGTCAGCCACTCTTTGACTAGTCTCTTCGTAAATATCCAATCAAGTCGCAACGTCGTTTGTAAATCTAACACCCCGTATGATCTTCATCTCTTATGATCGCCTCTCTCCATCTTATTAGACATTTGTCTTATCCTTAGCCACTGAATCAGTACTCGAGTTTCACGTGGATGCTATGGCGGTACCTAATTAGAAGCCGTCCATGAATGAGGAATATGCGACCCTCATCTAATGGAGAACTTGGAAGATTGTTCTTTGACTACATAATACTAACATTGTTTCTTGCAGATGAGCTTATACTCCCAAGTATCTTTCAGATGACACTATTCATCGTTATAAAGCTTGACTAATGACATGGTTTTTCTCAATAGTATGACATCGACTACGAAGAAATATTTTTTCTCGCGGTCTGTCTAAACTCGATACGTATCATTGTTCTTATGATAGTCAACCTCAACTGACCTTTACACCAACTAGACGTCTCCAATATTTTTTCTTATAATGATTTTGACGAAGAGGTCTATATGGAGCATCCAACTACATGATCAAGACATAATCTGTCAAAGTGTGTTGTCTTTGTAAAGTCATCTATGGTCTCAAATAGAGTTCTCAAGCTTAGTTCATTAAATTCAACACCCTCATTCGGCACTCTGATTTCTCAATATGCGAAGTAGAGCCTATAATTTTTCACAAGACAATTTGTAAATGAGTGCATTATTCTCATCATCTACATGGATGATATGATTATCACTGGGAGTGATAAGACTAGCATTTAGGATACCAAGATGCTTCTTCAAAAATATATAGATATTCGGGACTTGGAGACTCCCAAGTACTTCTTACACATAGAGTTTGTCTGCTGTCTTGGGAAGTTTATCATCAAGCAACGCAAGTAAGCACTTGATCTTTTACAAGAGATGAGACTACTTGTAAGCCGCATGCATCTCCAATCGAAAGTAAGCTAAATTTTTGAGACTCGACCTTGCCTCTCTTTGTCGATTCTCACCCATATCGATATTTGGTTGGAAAACTCATTTATCTCACTATCACATGACTTGACATCGTTTATACAGTGAATGTTCTTAGTCAGACTATGAACCCTAACACGATCATTGGGAGGTTGCCTTTAGACTTCTTGCCTATTTCAAATATGCTCCTTGACGAGGAATCACTTTTTACCCCCACAAACATCTTCGCATGGTCGGTTACTCAAACTCTAATCTAGTCGATGATCATGTAGATCAGAAGTCTACCACGAGTTATTGTCTATATGTCGAAGAAAATCTTGTGATGTGGTCCAATCACAAGTAATGGGTCCCTTGCTCCTCTAGCACTGAGGCCGAATATTGAGCCATGATGAATATGTTGTCGTGCATGCTTTGGGTGTACAACCTGTTTTAGGAGTTAGGTTATTTACTACAAGGTGTTATGCCTATGTAATGTGAAAATCAAGCAACGATCTTCATAGCAAATAACTCGACTTTTCATCTGCACACTATGCATATCGAGATTACATGCCACATCATCCGCCATCCACTTTTGGACGGGCTTACTTGCACTCCACACATGGCATCTTTAGAGCAACTTGTGGACATCTTCACCAAAGGTCTGCATGTTACATCCTATGATACCTTCTCGCGCAAGTTGGGCTTAGTTGACATCTACGCTCCAGCTTAAGGGGGAATGTGACCATGAAGGCCCACTATAAGCCTCTTGGCCTTCCTACATCTCTTAGCCCTTTGCCTTCTTCACCCCTTTGTGTCTCTTAACCTTCTCATGTCTCTTAACCCTTTGTGTCTCTTAACCTTCTCTTTGTCTTCCTCCTCTCTATATAGCGAGACATGTACCTTTTTTATTTTTATGTGTAAAACATATTCTATTCATATACAACCAAAAAACATTAGGCTTCCCAAAGTTGTATAAAGTCTCAATAATATTAAAAATAAAATAAAATATTCTAAATAAAATATAATTTAAGCTGAATAAAACCCTCTTTTTCACAAAAACCTTGCTCAATTTATACCATAAAAAATATTTTTTATGAAATTATTTTGGTATGACGCAAATCTCTAAATTAATCATATTTTTTATTAGTGTTGTCAGTCCATAATTATTCTATTTTGGGAATTTCTTCCAATTTTTTTCATAATTTCCATCCTAAATTCCTAGATTTGAGAATTATAATTAATTACATGTGCATCACAAAAATAAAAAAAATATTTTGTACTCAGCTCATCTAGTCATTGTTTTATGGGTTGGATTTTTGGATTGACGTTAAATCAGAAGTTGTTTAAGAATGCTCAATGAGATCCCCCTAATTTCCAAAGAAATGAAGAAACTTAGGATAAAAAGTTGATTATGGCACTAACAATGGTTCATGGACGAGATATCAGACATTTATTAGTAATTTATCTCATGCTATTTTATGATATATATATTTTTAAAATTGGTGCATGAATTAGGGTATTATACACAAACATGTAGAACATATGGAGCTTAACATAAAAAGCTAGTTTTTCCAATATTAGGTGTTAAGTTTAGGCCGATGTACCTTCCATTTAAAGGCTTCATGATCACCTCACATCTCTCTCTCTCTCTCTCTCTCTCTCTCTCTCTCTCTCTCTCTCATAAGGCTACTCACATAAAGTTCATATAAACGTACCTTCCATATAAAAGTTTCATGATTCATGATAAGAAAATAAGAAATAAGAAATAAGAAATAAAAAACAATGTTAGGCCCACGAAAATCATTATTCATAAGCTCACATCAAAGCCTTTCATCTTCCCTCAAAAGACCACATAACCCAATAAAAAAAATAAAAATCAAGGCTTCTCATTATCTAAAATAGCTATACAAAATCTACATTTCTCATTACCATGAACATACTTTCCCAAACTGATCATCCACATCTTTCTTTCTACCAACGATGAACATGTATGGCTCATCAACTGTTACTTGGTCATTTTAAGTTAGTAGTAGCCCTTGATGAACATGATCCTTAGAGGGGGTTGCTGATCTATTTCATCTCTCCAATTGAGTGTTCTTTGGTTAGTCTCGAATAAATTGAGCCTCGTATTTTGTTAAGACTAGTTGAAGTGTAGGTAAGATTGAGGAAATAATCTTGAAATCACGAGGTCCTTTGACTTGATTATGAAGGAGAAGATGGCATAGCACGGAATGTGCATCATAGCCACCAAGAAATACCTGCAAACCAAAAGATGGCGTAGACATGAGCTCAGAGGGCTCTAAAACATACAAAAATGGCAAAGAATCATATAATGATGAGTAATCGCTCAATTGTTCTGAACAAAATGGCATAATTATCTACTAAGACTAGAAATTTTGAGTGGCAAGATAAATATTCAATGCTAAAAAAGCATAATACTCACATAATGTCAAGGTTCTTAGATCAGCCAAGATTTATAGCTCATCATTTTCTATGAGAGATTCTTTTAACAAAAAATTCTCTTGTCCTAGCTAAATTCTGGATAGATTCATTAGAAAACCACTAAGATATCATCTGAAGATGTGCTATCATACGTGAAACATGATCATGTACTTAACTATCTGATTAAATTCGTCATTTTCTTAGTCCTGCTAGATGGATCATAAGTCTCCAGCATTATTATACTGAAGAACTTGAAGAACCATGATATTGCATCAAAGAACCGAATTAGGTTGAATCATAATTAATCAATTGTCATTGGGGATATTGCATAAACTAAATTCCATGGCTTAATCTGTCTCCCTCAACAGCCAATATGACTATTCTCATACGGTATTCTTTCTAAGTTTGGTAAAAATAAGAACAGACAAGGAGGTTAAGCATAAGCTCGAAGAATCGTACCATACTGGGGCATATGGAGAAGCCAAGTCTAGAAATGGGTAAGGCCACCTGCAACAAGACAAAAAAATTTATGAACGGAGACTTTGATAACTAGGTAGATCTCTCGAATATCATCAGAAACTTACCAGATTGGTAAGGAAGCGTGTAGAACCCATTGAAAAATAACGTACGCCACGGTCCACATGAAGAAATAGGAAATCCGAAACCAGGGGAACCTCTAGAAACCAGAGAGGAGAGAGACGTCATGCATCTAACCTCTGGCACAAAAACATGGGTATAGCTTAAGGTCATGGAATGTGCGCAGGAGTAGAATACCAAAGAGTTCAAGGCAGTGTCTCCGAGGAGGAAGATGGCGTTGACAGAGTGCAGCCCAATCATGAACTACAACCAGAAGTATATTAGGAAAAGATTGAAATGTATATGTGAAACGACTAGAAACCCACTTTCAGGGTTTTAAATTTTAAAATATTTCCTTATCCAGATAAACTTACGAAATTTAGACTATAATCTTTAATGGCCAGAAATGGGACAATGATTAGCCAAAAGACGCAATCCGTGAGCATCACAGCACCTGCATTCATCTGTCAAGATTGCAAGGAACAAATCAGAGGGTTTGGATGGAAGATGGAAGATGAACAGCATGAAAGAAAAAATAATTATACATCGCAAAGAACACAAGATTTGTTGTTCCACTGCTAGATGATCATCTTCCCAGTTCGCAGAGTTCATTCCAGCTTAATCAAGTTAAAAAAAAAAAAAAGGATACTGTCAAATCGATCCTCTGACAATGCCATCTCTGATGATTTTTCCAAAGATCACCAGACACAGGATATTTCCTGTTTTATATTACACTCATTTATTCCTCTGAATGCAGAGCTTTATGGCCAACAAACCAGATGATCGAGTAATTGAGATGAATATCACCTTCTGTTTGGGTAACTTTTAGTTAAATCAAATAATCTTCAACCTCAAGGCCTAGATTTTATGGCTCATTTCGGCGTCCCCACCAATTGCCTGACAGATGATGTACGAGTTCATGTGTTGGAATGGCTCTGTGGACCATTCCCTGCGGAACCCACTGATCAGGACCCTGAAAACCTTCATTCAGATCTACATCTCATACACATTTTGTCAATTTCAAGGTCATGATTTGTCTGATTAGTCTTCAAGGATGTGGATAACAACGCAATTAGTGTACTTCTCATACACTTTTAGATCGCCCACTTCAATCTGAAAGAGCATGAGCTGTTGAATCCATTATCCTGTCCCTCACAGGCTCTTGAGCTTCAAAATCTCGGCCAGATCAGAACCCGAGGGGGCCTGAAACTCTTGATACAGTGATACAGGACGGAGCACCCTTAATAGATTTCATAACCTACCAAAATCTCTTGCCACGGGGCTCAATACTCCAAAAGCATTCATAAAATTTAAAAGATGTCGGCATGATCAGTTCACTCACGTTGACCTCATCTCTAATGATCTCAGGTTCTAAAAGAAGAACAAATTAAGGAGGAATTTGGGCAGAAAAAACAGAGAAGAAACTCGGGCAGGTTACCTGGTAAATTATTTGGAATGTGTATCCCCAAAAGCCAGCAACTGGGCGGCGAATCAAATGCGCATCCTGGCTCTGGGATCTCTTCCCCCTGTGATACCAACTTGTATCTTCCGCATTTCTTGGAGCATTTTCTGCTTCTGGTCCCACGCAACCAGCTCTATCGTCATCAACCTTACACAACAATCCGTAGCAACCATAAATGGATAACAGAGAGCCAATCTGCAAAGAAATTCACAGGCCTCTTCTTTAAGTTACTCAAGATAAACCTTCAAGATGGTATGCAATTAAAGGAAATGATGGAATATCCATGGAGAGAGACATTGGCGGAGGAATGCTGAAGAATGACGGCGTACCCCGAAATAAACAGTGACCAGTGCAAAAGTCCACCTGCCCAGAGTCCAGAAAACACCATATGAGAGTATGTCAACTACGCAGATGAGAATAATATATATATATAGACTTGATTTACGGTAAGAACAATATGGAGAAGGTATATGATGAGGGGATTAATATCTTCCCGAATGCATTATGCTGCAAATGATCATAGACGCACATGAATCCGAAGAGGAAATACAGCAATATGTCTCGATTAAATTAAAAATATATATATATATATCTAGCGATGATGCATGTCCCTAGCCATACAATAATTTTATGAATTAACAAGGTTGTCTTACTGTGTGTAGTAGTAGAACATCTCTCCACCCTTCGCAGCAACGGTGGTGATGAGCAATGCGAGAAGCACCAGAAAGGCTATCGCCCGATAGATGAGCAGCCAAGCAGGATGGATTTCCTTGAGACAGGGCCTCCAAGACTCGTCATCATACACAGTACCCACCGGCTCCTCTCTGGCTTCGCCTCCGTCCTCACCTGCGGGAGTTGACCCCTCATATTTCCATATCAGAATCCCAGCCATGACCACAGAGGAAAGGACCCAGACGGAGCAGATCAAGACTCTCCAATTCAGCCAGTACTCGGCGGCGTTCGTCTTGGAGGTCGCGACCGGCTGCCAAGAATGCTCTGAAGGACCCGTGGAAAACCGCATGGAGATCATCTTCCCCCTTTCTCCGGTATCTAGTAGGGCCCTTGTGACTACTGGTGTTATATACGGATTGCCATAAATGTCGGAAATCGTCGGCGATGGAGGAGGAGGAATGTGGGGAGCCTTCGACGTCGCCTTCAACTCTGGAAGAACTTAAAGCATCGGCTCATTGCCACAGCAACTCCACCAGATCAACGTGAGGGAGCAAGACCTTGGAAGTTTTCACGCCAATTCCCCGCAGTGAATTCCGTGGTCAGCAGAAAGATAGGAGGATTCGCGACGAGAGTAGAACGACGACAGAGGAAACTAGAAAGGAGACGCCATTTCAGATGGGATGGAACCAGAAGGCTAATCCGTCTGCGTAACCAGAAACCCGCTTAGTAGAAGGGTGGAGACAGCCAGAAGCATCCAAAGACAGCGGCGTGAAGGTCATCAAGATCACGAGAAGGCGGAGGGCGGGGGGCAGACCAGACGAATCAGAGGAAACCCATCCTGATTTTCGGACTCTTCTCCCCATGGCTGCCACTCGACAACCCATCAATACGCGCCATTAGAGAAAGATGCCAAACTTTGGATGGGTATTCTCTCTAAAGCGTCTGGCCGTCGGCGCAGGGCTGGAGGAGAGAGAGAGAGAGAGAGAGAGAGAGAGAGATGCTTTGCCTCTCCTCAGGTAGACTTGCGTAAGAATGCATCCGTAGAAGTGAAAAAAAGGCAGAAAGGAGAGCGCAAATGGCTTGCGAAAGAAGCTGCCATTTCCTCCTAGTTTGTCCTCTCTCTCTTTCTCTCTCTCTCTCTCTCTCTCTCTCGCTGGCAGAGAGACGGCCGGAGAACATGCGATCGGCGCCCTTCCCCAAGGACAGCAAACCCTTTCCGGGGGTTCCCCCGGCCATATCTGCCGGCGGCGAGCAGAAAACTCCCACCCGCGGATTACGTGCTCGACCCGGAGAGGAAGGGGAGGTTCGGACGCGTCAGGGAGGGGGGAGAGAGAGAGAGCCGCATGCAGGCAAATCGTGGCGACGCAACGGGACCCCACAATGAGGCAGGCACCTGCAGGATTCTTCCACGGGACGGTGGCGTACGAGACGGGCGTTTTCACCATCACCGCAGAGCGCCGTCCCAACGGTTTCATCGGCGTCGGCGTTTCTGCTACGAAATTTGGCGCCCGTACACCACCACCCACCACCACCTCCACCAACAAACAGAATCTGAACTGGTTTACAATGACCCACTCCATAATCAATCGCGTCCCCTCTACTCTTCGACGATTTAGATTCATATTCCAGCAGTAAAAATAGCCCCTTTTTCGGAATTGTTCACACTTTTCATCATCCCTTCTCTCTCTCTCGCTGTGTCTCTGTTATTAGTGGGGGTACGTGGCGGTGGAATAGGCTTCCACGTCAAACTCTTTTGAAGTCCACTTTGTCGAAGGGGCCCGAGGATTCTTGCTCTCTTGCTTTTTTTCAATGTAAAAACAATAAATAAGGTAAATGAGGAAAAAAAATTCTAATTAACTTAACCATGCCCATTTATATTAATCTTGAGCTATTATGTATTTATCTTACTATAATAATCAGGTAATTCTGTATATTAAATTGGATAGGTAACTCTTTGAATATATTCCATAATTGCAAAAGGGAGCATTTTACGACCGAAAGCCATCCAATTGCAACCAAAGTGGAGATACATCCATATATCATTCAAATAATACGGTTCCACAAGGACGCCAAGAACCAGGATCAAATGTTTCAATGGTGTTTGACAAAAAAGAAGAGTTCAAAATTCATTGTCAAAGAAGAGAGAGAGAAGAGAGAGAGAAAGAGTGACTGAGAAGAAAACAGTTGCTTTCTTTTCGGTACTGATATTTCTCTTTGGTCCCACATCATTCTCAATCTTCAAGATGAGAGAACACCGAGCACTTAAACTGATTTTAATTAACAGGTAATTACTTTATTGTCCCAAAAAAACGCATCAAAAATTCCAAAATTTCTAAGGTTTCCCCCCCAAGAAAAACTGACCTTTAGATGGTAAATCACAAGCAAAGACTGATCACAAAATCCTCATCTGCCGCAGGGAAGCTACATTGGATTCAGCTAGCATCATTCTTCTCGAGAGCTGAGAAAATAGCGCAGGGGAGAGAATTATTCCACAAAGAAGGACAAGAGCAGGTCAGGAGGCGAATCTCAGGGAGGTGTGAGCGGGGGAACTTACTGTTGTAATTGAGGAGTTTCTCAATGAGATCTACATGGGTCATGAGCATTCTTCGGCAGCAGTACCGAACCAGGCTTAGTGCGTCCAGTGCATCCCTGAGAAGTTACGAGCATTTATTTTCAAAAGAAGGTTGCAAGAATGAGTGGAGGGAAGATCGGATTGAGGGGAAGTCTCATTGTGATAGAGAAAAGCAAGCAACTTTGTCAGAAAAGGTTATGGGCAAGTGATAGAGAAAATGAATAGGATTAAGTTCGTAGAGAATTGAGAAAACAGGAACCACACCCAGCATCAAAATGCGTTTCTAAAAAAATTTGCAGCGGAGGTTATGTATATTTTTTTCCTGGTAGAACCAACAACCAAAATTTGCAATATTTTCTGATAAATAGAATCCTTGCATCAGAAATTGAATAAATGGCTGCACAAAACCAAAAAAATCTCTCGTGTGAAGGACAGAGATTAGTACAGTTTATGTATTGCAAAACCAGCCGAAACTGATATACAGTCAAAAACTGAAAGACCCGGTGGTCAAAATGTCAGTTAGATGCGTACTCTACTTCCCTCTCTAGGATTTATTCATGCCTAAAATGGAGATCGTATCGGTACTGCACATCACATTTGTTCTACAACTTTCATCATAGATGGTAGAAAGGAAAATACAAATTAAGATGCTTCGCCTTAGACAATAAAACGAGCACATTCACAGATGAACTGGTTGGATAGAGATTTTAAGATTCACTTAGGATCCACGTGCCAGGAAATTAGCTAGAGCAAGAGAGAGAGAGAGAGAGATGCTTTCAACACATGGACTAGATCACAAAAGAGAAGTAACTCATTTACAATCATTCGAGAACAATTCATATGCAGAAAATATATCACTTCCCATAATTGTATCCTCTGCCAGCTGCCCACATCTATACATAAATTATTTACATAAGTCGATAAACATCAAAAGTTTGGATCGAATCCAGTAGGTGAGAACATAGAAATATTTAAGCTCTCATAGTTAGGATATAAAACCAGGTGTGCCTTGTATCTCAATTCCCCTCAGAAACAGAATGTCAAGCCTTCAAATATGCTGAATAATTGGAATCTGGGAAAATATGCAATTGCCAATCAATGTCCTATTTTTTTCTAGGATCAGTAACACTTCCATGAGAAGTACCAACGAGTCTACCGAATGGACCAGGGAAAAACCTTTCAGAGAACCGAAGATCCAGTCTGACCTACACATGAAATATTTTTTAAGGACCAACAATGCAGGAGTGAGGATCAAGTGTGGAGAAGATTAGTTCTAACGATCACGTACAAGAGCTGTAATAAATACCTCAGTTAAAACAGCTGCTGATTAGTCAATGTAGACATGTTATGTTCATTGAACTTCGCAAGAATTTTTCCAATCAACATTCTTAGGAATCGTTTCATGCCCAGTGCAGAGTTTTCCTCAGGTATTAGGCCGGATTATGATTAGAGCCGACTTTTAGAAACTTTTTCCATCAAAAGTCCTCAAGCCCAGAGAATAAAGCTCTCTCTTATCCGTAAACAATGAGAATTTTTTTTCCAATGAAAGTGTCTGATGATTATGACAGACTGTCTTACGCAGTTGTGGAAGGATATTTTTATAGTACACTTTTCAGAGCTGGCAGAGGGCAGCTTCAGAGAAGAGCTCAACCAAATGGTGACGAAGAGGGCTAAGAACTTGAACGTGCAGAAGGTGGACATGCTGCCGAAGCTTCAATCAAGACACATCATAAATCAGCATCAGCTGATGCAGAAAGCGCATTCGGCTTGTGGAACACCTACAGTTCCGAGATACAGCATTTTCCATCTTATTTAGTGATCAACACTGAAGAAGCAGGCAGACAGGTGTCCTTCATCCATTCATCCTTCCTTTCTAGAGAGCTGATGGTATCCACCACATACTCACCACTAAAGACTTAAACACGAACAGAATCCTTACCTTTGGCCAGAAAGAGTAAATCCAAAAGGATGAGATAATAGAAACGAAGAACCGCACGCGAGAGCAAATGCCTGAACCAGCCCTGATTTCCGAAATTTCCTAATGAATAACCACAGATTCTAGCTTCGAAATAACGAAATTCTCACCCTTCAGTATAATCAGCTTGGAGGAGATCCAGATAGGTGTCCCATTTGTTCCCGATAACCTGAAACAACAGAGCGCCTTTCCGAATCACAAGCATGCAAAAGTACCCCAGAATCCACTTCGTCAGAAATTGACGAAGTCCAGGAAATACTTGATTCATCAAGAAAAACCCTAGAAGCCGAAGAAAGAGACTCAGTTACCTTGCCGCAGGTGAAACAACGCACCGGAATAATCATCTCCCCGCTCCTCCCCCCACCAAAAGTCTCCTCCCACTACAATTTCCCGCTAATATTTGAAGATTCAAAACCCTAACAGGACCTCCCGACACGTTGAGGCCCAGGCCCATTAACACTGAACTCACCAAACTCAGCCCATTATTAACCTCCGAACTTTCTGTAACGGGCCGGGCCCATTAACTCTGATGAACCCCAAATCATTGAGATGCCTGATCTCAGTGGGACGGAGCCCAGGTGAGCTGATGATGTCATTGGGAAATAAGAGAATAAATTATAAAAAATAAAAAAAATAATGACACTTATGAAAAGGTAAGTTAATATTTTTGGTAAGTTTCATGTTCAAGACAGTTTTTTTTTCTCTCTCTAAACCATAAATCATTAAAAAAATTAGACCCCTTGTGCCCTTCTCTCTCTCTCTCTCTTCTATCTAAAGCGGGCATAGATGATAATAGTAGGAGTTTGGAAAATATATTCATAGATGGGCTTTAATAGGATCCAAGCTTATAGCTCATTTAAGGGGAACAATCTTTGGAACCGCACACAGAGATATGCTTTTTTGGCATATTTTAAAAATAATAATTCAAGTAAAATTCAGGCTTTACTACGAATTGATAAATACGACATTAATTCAATATATGTTATATTATATACTGGAGCACCTAATTATTGAGGCGAAATCCTTTCACTAAATGAAAGCCTCAATTTATAAAAAAACATAATAATTCTAACATTTATATTTTCTTAAGATTATTACACAAATTAATTTTAGTGCGTTGACTCGACCGATGCGGTAATGAGTACCCCCAGGGTAATTTTAGTTAATAGGCGCTCAATTTCAGTCAAATGGGCTGGCCCATTGACTCTTTCTTTATCTTCCCGGACGGGCCGTCCGTCGGCAAGCCAATCGAGTCGTCAGATCGGCGAGGGGAATCGTGACTCGTTCAAATGAGAGGATATTCCCACTTTGGGTGATAGAGAATAAGTCATCACGTGTCACCCCCAACTAACCCCTGATAGCTCGGTGCTAAATTCTTAGTGTCAACAACCAACACTTCCCCCAGAAGAGCGGAGCCCCCAAAGCTTGGTCCAGCTTCGCACAGGGCAGATCGAATGCTCCGGCGTCGTATTCTACTTATACTGCTTCCTCCTTAGGCAGCCGTCCGTCGCCAACATCCGCCGCGGAGCAAGTTGGGAATTACCGTGCACCGCGGTTCACAATTTCATGATATTTAATACGTTCTCTCTCCCTCTCAGTCGCTCTCTCTCTCTCTCTCTGGTCACTCTTGGTGTGTGAGTTGCCCCTCGACGGAGGAAAATGCAGGGCGCTGCGTTTGCCCTATCTCCGGCGGGCAACGGCATCCTCCATGGCCGGAGCTCCCGGCGAGGATGCGGGAGACATAGCTCGGGATTTGGCGCCGTTGCGCTCTCGCAGGCGTCCAGGACGGGCCACCTCGCGCCGATCTATGGCCTGCATCGCCCTGGATCGTTTCCGGCTCCGCTGCGCCATTCCTCTCCCTCTGGCCTTGGAAGTTGGCTCCCGAATCAGCCCCTCGTGTTCGACGGCAGGCGGGAGGAGGTCAAAGTCAGGGCCAGCTCGGTGCCGGAGAGCGCCGGGGAGGGGAGCCCCTCGCCGACTGAGGCGAAGCCTGCTGGCGAAGGTCTTCTGCAGACGTTGCAGCTCGGGGGACTATTCGGTCTCTGGTATCTGTTCAACATCTACTTCAACATCTTCAACAAGCAGGTTCTCGTTTTCTCTTGCTTTATTTCCTATGTTCCTTTGTTTTTTGATTTTTGGATACTTCTGGAGCTTTGCTTCAGTTTTACGTCTGATCTGGAGGATAATATATTTCCGCTTTTTTATCGTGGTCTTAAATTTCAGGTTGTCTCTAGATCTATACATGCATTCCGGTTCTTGGTGACTTGTATTCAGCATTACATTTTTTTGACAATCATTTAATCTTTGTTTGCTGCGTCATTAATCGAAAGTTTCACTGATCTACACCTCTGTGAAATTTTAAGCTGAACGCTAGTTCGCTGGATACATTAGCTTACTAATACATTTCTACTATGTTACCTTCCCCCTTGCCTTTTTTTTTGGAATTGTACAAGAAGTAAGACGATACTCTCAATTTTAGGGGCATTTCGATTATTTATCCCTATGGTCCACAGGAATTGTCTCCGTAGTTTTTGCTAGTACAACAGGAAATGACGCAAAGCGTATGTCCATATGGAAGATAATTAATAATAACTTTGTCTTATTTGTGAATAATATTTCTACTGTATTTTAGGTTTTATAAATGTTTGATTTGTATAACCTTCTTTTTGTTCCATCTTCTGGAAATGGTGGATTCATTAATTTTCTCTTTTAAGCTGTAGAGCTCTTGCCTCCGTTTTGTGTAATGCTCTCGTACCTGGCTAGCATATGGCGTCATTGATGTTCATTTGATAACCAGTGTAAGAGCTTTCTGAAAACTTACTCGAATTTTCAGGGATTTAGATTTTCATATCATTGTTCATTGTAATAGGGATATGGCCTAATAAAAATGGAATTAGTGGAATGGTCTTCTTCGGGCCGAACTTGACCTTGGATTCGTCATTTTATCGTTTATTGGTGAATCGTTTAGTATGAAGATGCGTGTTATTTGTGTTAACTTATGTTAATGCATGAATGTCAGAGACATAAAATGAAAAGAAGCAAACATAAGCATAATATTACCTTCGAATGAAGTCCTCTAGTTATGGGGAGCAATGGTTCTGCTTAAAATTTTACACACTATCCTCTACGCACGTCTGCCATGATGTGTTCTTGTGAAGAAGTTATTGCAGCTGATCTTTAAGTCTTTATCGTGGCATATATAGAAAGCAAGTTGGATCGATTCTATTTTTTGTTGTTGGCAGGTTCTGAAGGTATATCCATATCCAATAACAATTACAGCAATACAATTTGCTGTTGGGACTACCTTCGTTCTTTTTATGTGGACTACCAGTCTGTTGAAGAAGCCGAAGATCTCTTCCTCACAGGTTTGGCCTTCTGTTAAAATGTTGTCTCTGCATCGTTTAGCCGCCTCCTAAGATTTCCACTTTTGAATTTGGTGCCTCCTTCTCAGGTTGTGGCAATCCTGCCACTGGCTATTGTCCACACGATGGGAAATCTTTTCACAAATATGAGTCTTGGAAAAGTGGCTGTTTCTTTCACACACACAATTAAAGCCATGGAACCATTCTTCTCAGTTATCCTGTCAGCGATGTTCCTCGGGGAGGTGTGTACTTGTACATTTCATTATCCATATTTCTATCTGCGCTTAGCATACATTCTGCACTAAAGCTCGGCAAGCAAAATTGAACTCTTATTGTCGATTGGGTTCCAATGTTTTAAAACATGGGGTTATACTCTTTCCTACTCCGCATTTGTGGGTGAGGGTCACGCTCTCTGACAAGTGAGGTATCCACTAAGAATTGTGAAAAGCTTTCCTGCCACGTGGAAATGCACGTTCAGCTTCTTCTGGCTCTTCTCAGGTTCATAGAATTTAGGAGCATCAGAACCTGGGCGTACTCAATTCAATTCAGAATGAATTGATTCAAGATGGTAAACAAGCCTCTTGATAGCTATTCTCACTTAAAAGAGGAGAGAAAAAAAACCAGAGCATTCGATAATGGAAAATATATTGAATGAGTGACTGTGTAGAGCTTCACGATGGTCTTCATTCAAGGGTAAATGGCAGACCTGCGGAGACTTTGCGGGTGCAGAAATTGGTCTCCTCACTTGACTCAACTATTTGCAGACACCATCTCTCCTTGTTGTGCTGTCTCTCGCACCCATTGTGGGCGGTGTGGCGCTGGCTTCTCTAACCGAAGTTTCTTTTAACTGGTAAGGTCTTCAATTCTTCATGCTATGCCTGAAGCATGGTTTGAGCATATTTCTATCTTGCTACGATTTCATGTGCGATCTTTCTCTTCCTTGCGCGCCAAACAGGGCCGGTTTTTGGAGCGCAATGGCGTCCAACGTCACATTCCAATCTCGCAACGTCCTCAGTAAGAAGTTCATGGTCAAGAAAGAGGTGAGCCCATGGCACCCGGCTGTCGGCCTTGCTCTCTGAGGGAGCTCCTTCATCTGCATCATATGTGATCTAAGTTGGTTTCTTTAACCCCTTTCAACAGGAATCTCTGGACAACATCTCTCTGTTCTCAATAATAACGATTCTTTCCTGCTTCCTCTTGGCCCCCGTCGCACTCTTCGTGGAAGGCGTCAAGTTTACCCCCGCATACTTGCAGTCTGCTGTGAGTACATCCAAATCTCTCTCTCTCTATCTCTCTCTCTCTATATATATATATATATATATATATTGGAAGCGAGAACCTACCTTGTATTAATTAATTTATTCTTGTCTCCACAGGGTCTGAATGTCAACGAGATATATGTCAGGTCCCTTGTGGCCAGTCTCTGTTTCCACGCTTATCAGCAGGTGAGTTTTCCCATTTTCTTCCTCTGCTCCTAGTTGTGATGAATCTGAAGCTCCTCTCTCTCTCTCTCTCTCTCTCTATCTATTGATCTCTCTTTCTCTCTCTAACGGGATCGATCGGTGGGGGCAGGTGTCGTACATGATCTTGTCGAAGGTGACGCCGGTGACCCACTCGGTGGGGAACTGCGTGAAGCGGGTGGTGGTGATCGTGACGTCGGTGTTCTTCTTCAGGACGCCGGTGTCGCCCATCAACTCGCTGGGGACCAGCATCGCGCTCGCGGGGGTCTTCCTTTACTCGTGGGTGAAGAGGCTGAAGCCGAAGAAGCTCAAGTCCGCCTGAAACTCAATCCTCCTCCCCTTCCTCCGGGAACGCTCGTAGCAGCATTCCGTTCCCACTCGCATCTTGTCGGATTCCTCTCCGCAGATTTTGGAATACAGCATTTCCTTTCCCCTTCCGTTGAATCTCTCTCTCTCTCTCTCTCTCGTCGTCCGACGAGGGGAACAGGGGGAAGGAGAGGTGATTTAGTTCTTTTATGAGAGATTATGGGATATAAACAGTAGGGATGAGATAATGTTATTTTCAAGTTAAATTCTATTTTAATCATAATTGGGAATAAATAGTAAGGGCTAAAATAAGTCATTTCAGGTTTTCACTAGATTTAAGGAAATAGGGAGATTATGAAATCTGGATAATAGGTTGACAATATTTTTCGAGATAAATTCGATTTTAATTATAATTAAGAATGATATGGGCCAAAAGAAGCCCCCCCCCCCCCCAGTTTTTTACTACATTTAAGGAAATATAGAGATTTTAGAATATATAGATAATAGGGTGGCAAAAAAATTTCAAGTTAAATTCGATTTTAATTATAATTAAGAATAATATGGGCTAAAAGAACTCCCCCCAGGTTTTAACTACATTTAAGGAAATAGAGAGATTATGGAATTTATAGATAGTAGGGTGAAATAATATTTTTTGGAGTTAAATTCTATTTAATTTTAATTAAGAATAATATGGGCTAAAAGAAGCCCCCCCCAAGTTTTACCTACATTTAAGGACATAAATATATTATGGAATATATAGATAATATGGTGACATAATATTTTTCGAGTTAAATTCAATTTTAATTATAATTAAGAATAATATGGGCTAAAGGAAGCCCCCCCAAGTTTTAACTACGTTTAATGAAATAAATATATTATGGAATATATACATAATATGGTGACACAATATTTTCCGATTTAAATTCAATTTTAATTATAATTAAAAATAACGTGGACTAAAATAAGTCCTCTCATGGTTTTTCTACGATTTAAAAAGGTTTAGAGATTTATGACCAATTTAGATCGTCAAGTAGAAATTGGAAAAATAAAAGGAAATGCCTAATCTCCGAGTTAAAATTTCATGAAAAATGCGAAAAAATATTTTAAATTATTAAATGTGAGTATTTTATTTTTAATTAATAACGCTAATTAAATATTGGAAAACTGGAGGGACTGAGATTAATGAGTGGCTGAGCTGGACATTTTTCAGTCGCCTCGGCGATTCAGCGGAGACCGGCGCACTGACCGGTTCGCCGCCCGTGGTGGGCCCGACTGGAGCAGGCGTGCCTTAATAGAGAGGCGGGTTTAGTCACCGGCGAGTAACCGCACCTCGGCCTCTGAGTTGCCCCACAAGTCGGCTATAAAGCCCAGGACCTGGGCACCTTTGTGGCTCCCGTTCACCTTTGCCATCCGGCACGCGTCGCTAGGGCGAGGGGGAAGAGAGGGCGAGGGCAGCAGGATTCTGATAGACGGTACAGTTCGCGTCCCTATTTTTCTTCCTCTGAAGGGTTGCTCGTGTGTTGGATTCCTAGGGTTTTCGAGCGTCGGGCAGACCTGCGAAATCAACCTTATTTCCTTTGACCTATGTTAATCGGTACTTTAATTATTATTATTATTATTTTTTTTTGATTTGTGACCCGCGATCATTGCCTTTGGGGTTTCTGGAGATCTTGTTTTTCGGTTGAGGCCGCGGTTATCGTCGGTCGAGGTTCTTCGTGTTCTCGGAGGAACGTGCCTCTTCTTGTTGTTTCGATGAGTTTTTATCCGTATCTTGACAATTGCCTCTTCTAGGGCTGGAATGTCTCTGCTATCTGCTTGCTTTTGGGGCTTAGTTTCGAATTTTAGTTGACGGTGCTCCTAATATTTCTTTCTTTCTTCTGAATCTTTGTAGGGTTTTGTGCCCGACGATAGGGTCTGCAAGGTAGTTTGTGCGGTGGCTCTCATAGCGACGCCCTGGTTTCTCTGAGGACGCGGGAGAGAACTGGTTGGCCGTTTTTTCATCGGACTTCGTGATTTCGGAGATTTTTTTTCCTTTTCCTTCCGTCGAATGATGGCTTCCGCGGCCGCTGGATCTACTTCTGTGCGTTACGCCCCTGAAGACCCGTCACTCCCCAAGCCGTGGAAGGGTTTGATTGATGGGAATACCGGATATCTCTATTTCTGGAACCCAGAAACTAATATCACTCAGTATGAGAGGCCTGTTTCTATCCATGTGCCAAGCTTGCCGCCACCACCGCCGAATCCTCCAAAGACTGTAACACTTGTACCGAATTCTTCTATTCAAGGGAAGCAGTCGTCTGTTCCTTCAGTTCATGGTCACCAGAGAGATCTTAAGGAGGAAGATGGGCGACACAGTGCGTCACGTGGCCACCAGGTACACTATCTTTTGTTTACTATCACTACCTGGTCATTTGGGTTTTCGTGCTGGTGAGTTTTTTTTCATGTAGTCCTAAAATTACTATCACTATCTTTTTCATTTTTTTGTCCTATCCATGTCCTTTTCATGGCTCTTTAACTAGATACACTATTAATATTGTCCTTATTTACGTTAAATTTTCTATCTTAATATTAAATCTTATTGGAGTCGTAATTTTATGACTGAATTTCCGCTAGAATGACCCCTTGAATATATTTCCTTGTACATGCTTCTTGAAGGTATATAGCGGCTGGAATTTATGTTCCTTTGTTAAAAAATGTACAATAGTTTTAAAAATTAAGTTTCATTTGATATTTCCGAAAATTGATTTCCAATTATTGCAACATGCATTTTTTTGACTGACATAGGTTTATAGGCACGGAAAGCTAATTGGGGGGGGGGGGGGGAGTTGGTTGCAAGGAACGTTCCACCTTGTGTTGAGAGACATTTGCGCGAAATGAACCATGGGGAACATTCTGGCGTAAAGTTAATTATTTCTGATCGAGAGTGATGCAAGAAACGAGTTATTTTTGATCTTATGGGCTTTTAGAAAGCTTTTGAATCAACTAAAATATGCTTATATATATTATGAAGCCCATATTAATATGTGTGCAAACTCACCAAGGAGAAGGGGGGGAGCTTGGTGGAGGGATAATGATCAGGAGCCAAGAGTGGAGAACAATTTTCGAGACTAAGCGTTATTATTTCTGACTTTTTTATAATTAATACGAACTAAATTTTAGGATTTGAGTTATTCGTTTTTATTTTTTCCCTGATGACCAGAAGCATCATTTTTGTTGAGCCGATTAAACTAATTTTACCGTGGAACTTTGCATTTCTTTGTGACCGAGATATTATCTCAATCATCGTACATAATGTTTGATGAGATTGTCTGAGTGTATTTTGACTCATTTTTTTTGTTCACATTTGAGTCCCATGTTGATTTGATACGGCTTTTCTGGATTCTGAATGTATCAAATTTCTACCTGCTATTTTATTGGCTTTTGGTAATGTTTTCTTTTTTATTGAATCCTTATATTTGATAAAATTAGAGGTCTATTCCTGTTTAAGTACGAGGAAGGTCGATCATATTTGTTTTGTTGTTTATGTTAACGGCACATTTATTTTTGGTCAAACTACAGACTCATAAAGCTCAATAACCGCAGAAAAATAGAATTTCACGGTCCTTCCTGTGTTACTCTTATAGACTATTACACAACTTCTGAGTCCTTTGGGTTCGCAAATTTCGCATGCTTCAAATTTCATTATTTTTTATAAGAACCGTACATGTGCTTATGCGTTCGTAATATTCTTGACCTATAACGCTTTTCAATATTATTTCAGCCATATAGTGGGAAGGCCAGCATATATCCACAGAGTTACCCAAATGGCTCAGTCAATTCCGGACATGGAACATCTAATGTGCAGACCCATGGGCATGCTGCGCACAATTCAAAGTCATCAGCTAGAGGACATGGTTCTGCAGATGTAGGAGGAGCTGGTTTATCAATTGAATCTTATCGTCGTCAGCATGAGATAACCATCCAAGTATGTTACTATTGGCAATTATTTCCGTAGATTTTTAGTTATAGAATGCATCTAATAGAGGAGCTTCTTTGTATTTTCTTTGTCTATTGGTTCTGCAATATGAATACTTATCCCTTGAATGGAAAGTGTCAATCCCTTTTTTGGAGATCAATGGTACTGTCTCGTAGTGTCTGTTTTTCAGTCAAACACAATGGTATATGTGTGAATTTCGTATGGTTTTGGTGTGAGGATTTCCCACATTTATCTGAATTCGCCTTGATATCTAGAGTCAAATTATCCCCACATTTAGGTACGAGCTAGAAAGCCGGTGGATTTGTTAAATGTTGAAAAGACAACTTGAATAAGCATATGGTAAAGAGCTTCTCAGTCCACTTATTTTCTTATTTTATAAATGATGTCTTGGATATGTCTTGGATGGTAAGCAATATTACCTATCCAGTCGTATAGAAACTCCAGCCTTTGCTTTTCTTATTTTTGTTGCTGATTGTACTCCAGTCATGCTAAGCAGTTCACTTTATTGCATATCGTTACCATTTCTTAGGAACAGATGAAAATTCTTCATATCAGGTGAATTGTTCCGAGAAAAAAAAATGATTAACGCTTTTTTGTAAAGCTCCCGAATAAGATACATTATATTTATTCATATGGTTTAACTTTTGAAAACCTTGCTGCTGCACCTGGTTTGTTGCTTTTTTATCTTCAAATGAAGATTCTCGTCTTAAATGCATCATGTCGCAATTTTCGTGGTAATTGCATCTCAGACTTTGATCATGTTATTAAATTTCCTAACCATTTAGAGAGTGCGGTTTTCTTTAAAAAATTATCTCCTTTTAGGGGAACTTTCACTCTTCGTTCACAATTCGAGTTTTCTTGAAGAAAACTCTCGTTATTTTGAGAAGGTTTTCATTAAATGGTTTTCGTTCTTGAGAGATATTCTGGGGCACCCCTGAGGATAGACAGTTCAGTTTTCTGGACTTGATGGGTCAGATTTGGGTCCGATGCATCCTTTGAGTACTGTTGAAAATTTTGATTTCCATCCTTCTAGGTTGCCTTCATATTCATGACAATGGTTATCTAACCTCTTTCTGTCCTAAATATTTGCTTCATTTACCCCTTTTTCTGCTTTTTAAAAAATGTGAGGTCTGCCATCATTTGATTCAAGATATGTCTCTGAGGTTTTCGTAGATAATATTTAATCATCTCCATTGGAAGAAGATTTCCTTGCTTTACAAGCATGGGAGCTTCTTCTGCATGAATAGATTGATGAATTTTTGGTTGAGTCTCAGCATGAATAGACACAATTCAGACGCTTGAGTCACTTTTTCACGTCTTTTCAAATCAATTTAACGCTCTGCACACATATTTGACGTGATATTTCATTCTGCTCATTCTGTGTTTGAAATTGGCTTATTTCGGCCTAAATTGCTGATTAGGATTGGAATTGCCATGACCGACCTAAGGACACAGGATTGGTTCATTGGCCCTGTTAAAATGTAAGTCTGGAGGGGGGTGTAAATTACTCTCTGATGCTTTCATAACATTGAGGTTTTACTGGGCATGGCAGCTTACAAGACTAGACATCTGATTGAGTGCTGGTGCATTGCCCCGACTGGCATCTAAATCTTGTGGATATATGGTGATTTTTTTAATAATTCGGAAAATTCGAATAATTTCTGCCTCTATCTTTCAGTGCAAGTTAAATTTTTTCATAAATGTGGTCATCTATTTATCGGGCTGTTTTATTATTACCGATGGTCATTTATCGTAAATCTTCTTGGCCTTTATTGGAGTTTCTTCTTGCTGTACTATTTTTTTCTCCTTGATCTTGTTAATGATATATTGGCTATCAATTTATTAAAATTCTACCTGATTTCTCCAGGGAGATGATATACCGGCCCCATTTATGACATTTGAAACTACAGGCTTTCCCTCGGAAGTTCTGAAAGAGGTATATTAAAAATGTCATGAACGTCTTTCAGTACTGTTTATGAACATGTGGGTGTTGACTCTTCTGTTTGTATCCAACTTTTCCAACTTCCATTTTGTGCAATTGGTGGAGGCAGACATTAATGTTAAGACTTATGTCCATCTTTTCCGGGTTCTGCATTTTTGTCGCAGGTGCGATATTTGCTCCGGGGAGGAGCTAATGTCGTACGCTGTGCTGAGCCAGTGCCGCCTTCATTGGGTGGCTTACATATAGCTGGCGCGCCCATTACGATGGTGGTGGCGGGCCAGCTTTGGTGGGTCTTCTGAGTCACTGTATGTGGCTCAGCATGCTCCCAGCTGCTCGGTCCAGTCTGCCTCCCAGTCGGACACCATGCTCTGCAGTGTTCCACCCTCATTGGGGGTGGCTTACACTTAGTTGGAGCGCCTTAATGGTGGTGGTGGCGGACCAAATTTTGGTGGGCTCTCTGGTCATTGTCCATGACTGGGTCTGCCCCCAGGTGTTTGGTCCCATCTGCCGTCTCAGTTGGACAGAAGGTCTTTTCCTCTGCTCCACTTTGCACCTGCAAGCGGCCATCTTCATCGGGGGGATATGCTTCTGCTGACAATAACTTAATTATGGCTTAATTCAAGAAAACGAGCCGGAGAACTTTACCCTTAAGTAAAAACCAGTGGCAAGCCTCATGGTGTATGTGAATTTTCCTTTTCCAGGTACAACATGCCGGCTTTTCATTTCCGACACCTATCCAAGCTCAGTCTTGGCCTATTGCCTTGCAAGGCCGTGATATTGTGGCCATCGCAAAGACTGGCTCCGGGAAAACATTAGGTTATCTTATTCCAGGGTTTATTCATCTCAAGAAGCTCCATAACAATTCCCGGATGGGTCCAACAGTGCTGGTTCTGGCTCCAACAAGGGAGCTGGCGACGCAGATCCAGGAAGAGGCTGTAAAGTTTGGCAGATCTTCTAGAGTTTCTTGCACGGTTAGTTTTTCTGTTAATATTCATAATACCTATTAATCTCTCACCTGAAATTTGATTTCGCGTTTCATACCTTTTATATCGGAAAAAAGTTTCTATTCAAGTATCGAAATCACATTGTCTTTGGAACTGACTTTTCTTGATTACCTTGGTGAAGTGTTTGTATGGAGGTGCACCTAAAGGACCCCAGCTGAGAGATCTAGATCGGGGAGCAGATGTCGTGGTTGCAACTCCTGGGCGTTTGAATGACATTCTAGAGATGAGAAGGATCAGCCTTCGTCAAGTCTCTTATCTGGTCCTTGACGAAGCTGACCGAATGCTGGATATGGGCTTTGAGCCGCAGATTCGGAAAATTGTCAAGGAGGTGCCCACCCGTCGCCAGACCCTCATGTATACTGCTACATGGCCAAAGGAAGTGCGCAAGATTGCTGCTGATCTGCTGGAACGTCCAATTCAAGTGAATATCGGCAGCATTGATGAACTTGTTGCTAATGCTGCTATCACACAGGTGAGAAAGAAGACCGCCAATGCGCGTTTCACATCCCCATTTTCCTCAGAAAATTTTACCCCGCATTCATCCTGTGGCCCGTCATTGCAGTATGTTGAAGTGATGTCGTCCATGGAGAAGCAGAGGCGCCTAGAACAGATCTTGCGGTCCCAGGAACCTGGTTCCAAGGTCATCGTGTTTTGTTCCACTAAAAGAATGTGCGACCAGTTATCACGTTCCCTGACGCGCTCATTTGGTGCCGCTGCCATCCACGGCGACAAGTCGCAGAGCGAAAGAGACTTTGTGCTGGGCCAATTTCGTACAGGTAGATCCCCTATTCTGGTGGCCACTGATGTTGCCGCAAGAGGACTGGACATCAAAGATATCAGGTCTGGTTCGCTCGCAAGAACAGTATTTCTGCGTATTAAATCAATTATCTGCTATCGTTGCGATGATATATTGGTAAATGTATGTCATTGTTGCAGGGTTGTTGTCAATTATGACTTCCCGACGGGCGTGGAGGACTATGTTCATAGAATTGGGAGGACAGGGAGAGCCGGCGCCACAGGTCTGGCTTATACATTCTTCTGCGATCAAGATGCAAAGTATGCGGCGGACCTCATCAAGGTCCTAGAAGGGGCCAACCAGCGAGTTCCTTCGGAGCTGCGGGCCCTGGTATCCCGTGGTGGGTATGGAAAGGCGCGGAGCCGCTGGGGTTCAAGCTCTGGCGGCCGCGATGGTGGAAGGTCCTATGGTGGTGGGCGAAGTGATTCTTCTTATGGTGGGAGGAGCACATGGGGTTCTTCTGGCGGCAGGCCGGAGAGCGGCCGTGGGGTCAGTGATCGGGAACCTCCTCGCGACAGGTAAATTTTTCCTTCTTTTTTCATCTATTTTTTTTAATGATATGACGCCGTCTTCCAGGTCAGTTCTTCATCTGTGTTCAATCAAACACGTCTTTTTTTAGAAAAATTCTGTCTGGGTTTTCCGATTGGACACCTTGGATTCACTTTTTGCTGCAATTGTTGCTAGATACGATCGTGGACACTACGGTTCGCATGAAGATGATGACACGCGTGCTCGTTATGACAGCAAGGGGCATGACGATCGCAGGACTGGGGACAGGGGCCGCAGCCGCAGTCGCAGCCGGAGCCCGGTCAGGGGCTCCTACGGCCGTGCCGGCAGTCGGAGCAGGAGCCCCAGCAAGAGCAGGAGCCACAACGCCCACTCTGGGAGGAGCCGCAGCCAGAGCCGCAGCCACAGCCGTAGCCGCAGCCGCAGCCGCAGCCGCAGCCATGAGAGGTACGCCGGGCACAATTCAGGCCGCAGGCATTCTCCGGTGGCCAAGAAGGGCCCACCGACGCGTTCGCCGCCGCCACCGCGCCACCAGTCACATGCATCTCAGGGATCTCCGTCTCCGTATAATGGGGATAGGATGCAGCCAAAGAGATCGCCTTCGCCTTATAATGGCAATGGAGCACAAGCTTGGAGATCGTCGTCTTCGCCGCCGCCGCTGCCTCAGCACAATGCAAATGGCGTGAGGGAAGAGGCCCCGACTGATCGCGGCCTGAACAATCCGAGGGATAACAAATCCAGGTCACCGGCACGGAGATGTGCTGGCGGAGAGGAGGAAGAGGAAGGCATCATTCCAGGAGATGAGGATGGTGCAATCCGTCGCTGATGCTGGTGGAGAGGAAATAGGTCGACGACGATCCCCTGCGCTGCCTTTTTTTGTCTGCCCCTTCTATCTGGTCTTCTTTCTTTCGGTGATTGTCGTTAACATAGGGGAAAAAAAAGAAGAGGAAAGGATGATTCTAGCTGTGGTGAAGAACTGGAGGTTTAGTGGTATGAGTTTGTCGGACGGAGTTCCATTGTATCTGTGCCTTTATTAACTTATGCGGACTTTGAGGCCGACTTATTCTGCTTCCTTCCCCCATCTCCTCTCTCTCTCTTTCTCTCTCTCTCTCTCTCTCTACTTTTAGATGGTTTTACGTCTGCATAAAAAAGAGATTACGATGGGTTGAAAATCAAATTGTGGTGATTGTCTAACGACACATGATGCTTACAGCTATTTATTAGGCGAAAAAGAATAGGAAGAGAGACTAGTCCGGCATAGTTGTATGATCCGACCCATTTTACATGATCACAAGTCTTGGGAAAATCGATACATGGTATGAAGAAAAGGATTAGGGCTCTACCAAATATAGCTATCCGCATCAAGACCATTCTTGGGTCTGCCATCAAGTTGATCTACGATTTTTTGAGTCACGTCATGAGTCTTTACTGATAATTCTCAGTGGCCACCAAGGTCTCACAATGGAGGCCAAATATTTTGGTGAGGGGAAGGGCAAGCATGCCCCTTTGGAGTTGCACACAATGGTTAGTGGCTCTGGACGTGACATGGTGTGCTCAATACTAAAAGCTACAATGTGAAACTCAAGGAGTTGGGTCAGCCTCATTTATGTGTTGAATTTTCTGTGTATTAAGGTTGTTACTATAAAATAGTTGTATACCATTGAAAACTCATTAAGTCATATTGTTTTACTACTACTGATGAGCTGTACTGTAGTGACTAGGTCACTCACATAGAGGTGGAGATTTACATCTCCTGGAAGGCAAAAGAATCAGAAAATTACCTTTTATAGCAGTTCTAGTAGATAGCTATGAACGCCTAATGTTTGTGGCATTATAATGCAATGCTGATGTTCCTATTTTGTTGTATAATGTGGCGGCACTAGAAACTGCTCAACTTTGGTGAGTTCACTCCTCTTGGATGACTTATTGATGTAGAAATATTGTAAAATACTATTTATCAGAAGTAAATTTTCTTTGGGGTTTGAGATTGGTTAGCATGAAATAATGTCATAGGATCAAACATAATGGATTGTTGTAAATTAGTGATTTTCTTTCTTAAACTATTTTTCAGTATCAAAGCTATTATTGTGAAAGTAAAGACAAATAACTCATGTCTCTACCAAATAAGTACTAACCACTAATGACATTAGTTATCAAAGATGTTTTTCTATATTTGCTCAATAAGAGTGCTATATGGTTAATGTGTTAGAATAATTCAGGAAAATATTTATTATTTAATAATTTCCATTGAATTTAGGAATGCATGTAAACCATGAAAAGTTTATTTCATAGGAATTTTAAAATTGAGATACTATCTTCATATGTTGACTAGAAATCCAACGTCAAGTTTAATATAAATATTCATTCTCAATAATATTCATTATCAACTAAATAAATAATTTTACTCAACTAAATAGAAAAAGTAGGATGGTAAGTCCTTTGTTGCATAATTTTGTTGTTTCTTCAAAATTTGTGAAGATTTCACATTAAAATGATTGAAGGGGCTTCACTCAAGGCAATTGAGAGGTAAAATAGGAAATTGTTCTCACATTTGTTCAGCAAATTTGAACATATTTTTCTCTTTGATCAAGTGATGAGAGATGATGATGGAACAAAATCATATCTAAGTATAACAAATGAATAGCTTACATTGTTATTGAGATACAATTGATAAGGACTTGCATCTTTTGTATGATTAAAGTAAAGACCGAAAACAGAAAAAAGTAGAAATAATACCTTAATATTTTCATAGAGCTGTTTCACTACACTATGAAGAATCATTGAAACAGATGCGCTTAATGCCATACATTGAGAAGGAGGTCAAATCAACAACTATTTAGAATTATTCAAAAAATTATCTATTTCTTATTATATATGGGTACTATTGACCCTAATAATTTTCTTACCCAACTTGGTCATAGCCCATTGCTGACAATGGTTCCACTTTATTTGTCCTAGATACATACATGCATGAGCTGTCTATTTGGTTTTGTTGAAAATTATTTAAAAAGGAGTACACAAGTGGAGATAAATTGATACTAGTTGACAATATTCCATTAGTAATATTTTTATTTTTCATTTTTTTCATTTTCTTGAATAGGGAAGTCATGGGAATGCATTTTAAGATTGTTATAACGATTGGATTCATCTCCTAATCAAAAGTTGATACCTGCCCATGAAGTAATGATAGAACTTGTCTAAGGTATGATCTTGATGTAAAAGACAAGGGATGTAGACTCTTTTAGATCATGTACTCTTTGCCATGGATCCTCTCCTTTATCTCTTATTTTTATGGTGATTCTTGCTTTGTTATTCTTCCAGTTCACACTTCATGCATGACCTACAACATTGGGAAGAGATAATATTGATGAACATTAATATCACTATTTATTTGTATTGAAAGATGACATCGATGACTAAATATCATGATTAGCCCTTCATTCTTTTTTGGCTCGTCAATATTTTCACACAGTGGATAAATGATGATAAATGAAGTAAAAAAATCTACAAAAAGGAAAAAAAAAACAAACACCGATGTGTAGGTGTGTTGGTTTGAATTTGACCCTCTTTTATTTATGTTCATATGATCTCAATTATGTGATGGATACCAGTTGTTTAGTGCTAGAATATAAGATACTTATCCCTTTTACATTTTTATTTGGTGTATTTGTTTATACATTGGTTATGTCATCACTTATAGCTATCAAGTCAGGTCCACTTATACCCTTTGATCGACTTGATAGTCTCAATTAATGTACTTATAGGTTCTCGAACCCTAATTTATAAGGTGAATCATTTTTTTCTTCCTTTACTTTCAAAGTTCTCTATTCGGCAACACCAAGAGCACAAACAATTATGGTTGAGAAATCTCACATGGTATAAAAGCATTAGGTACACTTGTTTTAACTTTCTTTCCTAGTCCGTTGAGTTCTCTAGTAAGACACGATAATCGATTTCATTTAGGGGTTTTGAAGGTTTGAGTTTATTGAGATTGTGAACCCTAGATAATGGAAGAATCTCTCACCTTATCCATGGTGCTAATCAGTGTAACAAAAGAGTACCCTAGATGATTTGAACTCTCGAGAATCTCCAAAAAATATAGGTTTGATGATCTGAACCAATTATAGTGGGGGGAGTATGTAGATATGATTCCATTTAGTTGGAGAAAGTTGAGCCACATGACAAATGAAAATTTGTAGAGTCCAACAAATCCTTGACATAAGATATGACATGAGGTAGATGTGATAAAGAAAACTTAGTGATTAGAGAATATAGCTCATTAATCAATGACCATTTATTTAAAATACCATCTAACATGACCAAGTATAATAAATCACATAAATTACAAATTTATAAAACTAATACATATTATTTTTTTATATTTTAAAAATATTTTAGTAAAAATAAATGAATTATAATTTACCAAAATGTTAAAAAATAATGAGAAATTTCAAAATTGATCACATAGATGTAAGAAAATATATGGTAAGATTTCAAAAGTTTTCTCAAAGAATATGATTTTTTATAATTTTTAGTGATGAAGATAAAATATATTTAAAAATTCATGATAAGAGAAAATTTGGGTGTAGTTGTCAACATGACATTGGCACCTCGACAAATGTGATTCAAGAAAAATAGAGTTTTGTCTCACATTTCTTATGTAAATAATTACATATGATTTAATTGATCAAATTAAGATATGTAAAAGCAAGAAGAATTATAATTGAATGAAAAATATTTTTAAAATTTTAAATCACATAAAATATCACAATCTAAGTAAAAAATAAATTTAAAGTAGAAAAGACAAAGTTGTGGTTTCACAGTAATGATTGTTAGAATTCTGCTATGACCTTAAGAGCTCTTCCTTGGACATGGATGATGCGAGTAATTTTTAAATCTTATTATAAAGTCTAAAAATTAATAAAAGGGGTCAATGAATCATTTTCAATGTTTGTTACTCGACAAAATGAAAATACGAAAATTTTCACATGTCCAAAGATTGTCACCCAACGAAGATAAATTGAATGAAGGAGGGGCATATCTTAGGGAGCTTCATCCTTAGGTTCACTAGTAAGAGCAAGAAGCTCTTCATTGCATTTGGTATGTTTTGAGGAGGTGACAACTCATCTCTTGATTACGGCTCATTTGTCGATTAATCAAAGATCATTTTGTCGATGTATTCAAGATCTTTTTATCTAGAATCATTCGATAGTTGGTAATGATGCTCTCCAAATCACATTGACAATATTTTCATTGATGATTAAATGATTATGATGACTTAATTTTTGACCAACATTTTATAGAAAAATTATGATTTGACAACTAAAAATATAAATTTTAGTTCTAGTGAGATTCAAACATTTATTGGTTACTCAGTTGCGTGAGAGATAATTAACCTATTACACTCATATCTTTACCTAGTGATGTCATGTAGATGCTTCCTTGTCATATATTAAAGGTATTATAGGTATAAAAACATGTAAAACTTATATGTGGCCGTCGGCATCAGTTTGGTCCCACATTGATCGTTACCCATTATTTGAGATGCATATATAGTAATACCTCTTTTTGTCGTCAATATTCTCTCTCACACATGTGTACAATCATTTCTTGCCCCACGCCTGACATGCCACAATGATGTGGAAGGGGAGCAATGCACTCGTGCCCTTAATTAGTCCTTAGTTACTAGCCCTTTGTTCTACTCAATTGTGCTTTTGACCCGCTTGTGGGTTTGGTTGGCTAATGGGTTCCTCAACTATACTTCTAACCTATTTCTAGGCCCAATTAGTCGACATGTTCTCTTTTTTACATATATATATTATTTTGTTTCTCTTTATTCTATCTCAAAAATATAATTATAAAAATCATATAAATTCACATAAAATAATAATATTAACAAATTAAAAATAAATATTCTTAATTTAATATAAATATAAATTTATTTCTCATGAGTTAAGATTTAAAAAATATAATTAATTAATTATTAACTTATGATAGTGAAAACTTATCAGTGACCTTTTGTGACCTTATTTTTCTAGACAATTAACATGAAAAACAACAAAGTCATCCCTGCTCATTTGTTTGGGCCCATCTCTTCTTATCTTTTCATGCTTCTCTGACTCTAATATGTCTAGATGGGTTCAAGAATCTTAGGTTATATTTTGAAAGCTAGACTCAATTGAAATATATGATGCAATTAGTTAAGTTTATATAATTTTGGGTTACACTCAAATCATGTGGTTGTCAACAGCCCCCCCACAAGAGATACACACACTTAAACTCATATCCTCTCATGTGTAGATGAACATGAGATGTGACTTGGGCTGTTCTTAATACTGTTGGAGGTATCCTTTGGGCTCTTCTTAAGACCCTAGCTGGGTGGAAAAAGTATTGTACAGGACATGGAATGGTCTGTTGATACAATGAATCATGAGCTGTAGATTCCATTTAAATTCATGCTTATCTTAAGAGCAATAAAACAATGGAGATATTCAATACAAAGTCACCACATCTATTATTATTCCTTTACTTTTACCTAAGAAGGTAAGTTTGAGGCCATATGCTTTCAATTATTGTAACAATTGGCTACATTTTCTAGTTGATAGCCGATAGTTTATAAAATAATTAATTAGTCAACCCATCCTTGGATACGAAGTTGATTTGAACAATAGAAGTAATATTCCCTCTTTCGTCAAACACCACGTGGGAAAAATCCCCTTCTCATCCTGCTTCTTTACCAACAAACTCAAATGTGAGTTGAGGTGTGACACCTTCAAAGCCAGCTAAAGATGATATATTCCTATCTTGGCGTCAATTTCAGGATAGCTACACAGTTATTCTTTATACCATTCTTTTTATGCCTAAACTCAGCTTTCCATGTAACATACTCGACTATTTTTTTGAACTTTGACTAGTCAGTATCAGTGCAATTGTTTAAGTTAAGATAGCTGAGTGAAAAAATAGTGATGAAGGATGTGTAAGCTGTTGATAATCAGGATGTGGATATAATAATAAACAAGTAAAACAAGATGTTGGAAATAATATTGGGCTGTCAGGAGACGGAAAATATACTAAGGCAGTACCAAATACTTTCTATAGCTATTTTCTGATGGAACGGAGGCTGACCGAAAGACTACGACCAGTTTTAGGAGACTTGAGAGCTCGCCAGATTTATGCGGGGAGTTTATTCATCATTCGACTAGATTATGACGATAAAACCCTAAGTATGAAAAAATCTATATGTTGATTTTGATCCTGATAATAAGCTCTCGCAATCGTGGAAGAACCCGTCTCTTTGCGGCCTTCCAGCGGTTCTTTATGGAGTTCTCCGCCCTGCCGGGACGCCGAGAGGAGATCTCCCTCCATCGGGCGCCCGTCTCCGAGTGGACCTGTATCAGGGAGCTCATCTCCTTCCCCGTTCCACGAGTCCTACAAGGGCATAATCATCATCTCGAGAACGTGAGCACTCATAAGTACCAACAAGCCGACACGCAAATTGCGGTGAACAACGAATAGATAGCTATATATAAATAGCTTCGTCCTGGCCATCCGCCCTTGTAACCTTCTTGGTCAGACATAATCCTTCCTACTTTTAATGACAAAAAGAACCCGAAACGAGGGCCAAGGTTTCCTCCGCGCAGCTACCATTCTTCCTTGATCCCGTTTTCGCCGTTGTCGTCTAATGATGATTCGCTGTTGCCTTGTTGTCAAACCCTAACTACTCGAAGACGAGGTGCGTAGGATCTGATCTTTCACACCTTGCCGCCCACCAGACAGCCATGAGGGGTCCCCCATTTTTCCAATGCCTCTATATCAAGGAAAAACCTTTACATCTTTTGGAGAACTATGATAGTGCATGACCAAGATTAAAATAATATATTTGTTGATATTCGAACCTTTTCGAACGGAGCCTGCCTTCTGGAAAGCGGTCAGAGGGATCCAAAACCACAGTCGCAGAAGGCTACCGACAGTGGAACCTGGCAGTCCTTCCCCCTCTTCTACGACGACGGGTGGGATCGTTAATGTGTTGGTTTGGTTGAGCTGTGAGAGGTGCACCGGCTAAGCACACGGGAGTTCCCCATGAGAGTTCGCATCCCTCAGGCGGGGGGCTGTAGGTTCATTTTTATTTTAATATTTTCCTTGTGAACTTGGCCGGGAAGGACAGTGATTAAAGGTCGATGATAAAACCCGTGTTGGCATCATTCTCTCTCTCTCTCTCTCTCTCTCTCTCTCTCTCTCTCTCTCTCTCTCTCCCTCTCACTCTCCCTCTCCCTCTCCCTCTCCCTCTCCCTCCCCCCCGCGGTCGCTAGGCCAACATGCTTGCCCATACTATTGACACACCAACACTTTTCCCACATTGCTTCCCATGCAATATATGGGTGTTTTTTTCCAATTAAATTCAATAAACATACTTATTTATACAATTTAGTGAGAACATCGCTACTTGCACACACTTACTGCGGCCACGATTTATTCAATTCGGAGATAAAATATTGTCATCTGACGGCAATAAAGGCATTTTTTCTGAAGATTTGTGTTTACTTTCTGAAGGAACGTGAAGGAAATCCGTGGATATCCATCTTCGCCCACATAAAGATGGTTTCGATGGTAGATTATGGCCGAAGGAGGAGGGGACGGCGGAGAAACGTGGTTGTGTAGTAAAGCGAAGTTCTAGGATAAAGGGAAGGTCGCTACCTTAGGCTTCAAGCCTACACCTGTTAACAGGGAGGATCAAGAAGAAAGTGGTGAGCTGAGGGTGCAAGAAAGAGAAAATCCCCGACGTCTTCTTCTTCTTCTTCTTCTTCTTCTTCTTCAAAGCCAAGACAGGATTCGGCACCCCTGACAGCCTTCCCCATCTCCATTCACACTGCCAACACTTCCTGGTTCGCAGGAGAGGGAGAGAGAGGAGGCCGGGGAGTTAGTGGGGAGGAGAGATTCCGAGGCAAAACACCAGCCCACTGGTCTCGTACCTTCCCTTGATTTATAAATTGCCATCCTTACCAAGAAGACAAAGAAGAAAGAAAGCCCGCCATAACCATCAGCGATTAGAGATAGACATGGCGAGAGGATTCCTCCTCCTCGTGGCTCTCGTGTTGACGACAATGGTGCCCGGACGCGCTGCCACAGAGGAAGAGGAGATCGCGCTGTGGAATGGAGGGGCATACGGGTTGTGGGAGGGGGGGATGGAGGATTGGAGAGGAGAGGACGAGAGCATGGCGGCGTGGACAGGTGGCCGCAGGGTAGAAGACGAGGTGAGAGAGGAGGCCCTTGGATTTGAGTTCCTCAGCTGGAGGAGCGAAGACGTGGGCAGGATCCCGGTTAATGTGGAGGCCTTCGGCGCCGTCGGAGATGGCATCGCCGATGACACGCAGGTGACTTCTCAGTTTGACACACATTCTCTCTCTCTCTCGCTAGTTGGTGACCGACCCCACAGTTGAGCTTTGCCGTTGAGAACCGTACCCTGGTTCTCCCTTTACCTATCTCTCGACACAATATTTCTCTTGCTGCTCTGGAATTTGATCCGGATAATATGATATTCCTTGGTCGTTCAACGGTCGCAGGCCTTCCTGAGCGCCTGGAACAGGTCCTGCTCACTGAACAATTCCGTGTTTCTTGTGCCCGCGGGGAAGAGTTATCTCGTCCGAGCCGTCAGATTCCGAGGCCCCTGCACTGACGATTTGATCATACAGGTAGTATTAGCACGTATCTTTAGGGTGTCACCATCACGATCAATTCATCCTCGTCTTCCTCCGCGACGACACACAGATCAGTGGGACGATAGTGGCGCCGGCGGAGCCCCAGGACTGGGATCCCAAGAACCCCAGGACATGGCTGCACTTCTCAAAACTCGCCGGCGTCCGCTTCCAAGGCGACGGCGTCATCGACGGCTCCGGCAGCAAATGGTGGGCGTCTTCCTGCAAAATCAACAAGACCAACGTACGTCTTCCCTCTCTTCCACCTCTCTTTCACAGTCGGCAACTCTCTGACTGTCTTCCTCCGGCAGCCTTGCAGGGGAGCTCCCACGGTAAGCGGATAAAAACCAGCGCTTATCTCCGTCGTGCTTCCATCCCCATCTCCCGTTTACTCCGTCTCTGAACGGCGCCGCCGTTGTGCCGCCGTGTCGCCGCCGCAGGCGGTGACGATCGACTCCAGCAGCGGGGTGAGGGTGAGGCGGCTGCGCTTCCAGAACAGCCAGCAGATCCACTTCACCATCTCCCGGTCGGACGCCGTGCGTGTGTCGGATGTGCAGGTGGCGGCGCCGTCGAACAGCCCCAACACCGACGGCATCCACATCAGCGAATCCACCAACGTAGTTGTCCAGAGTAGCAAGATTCAGACAGGTAAAAGACCAAAGATAAAGACAGCGATAGTTAAACAAGTTGGTCTCCTTCTGAATTGGGAAAGTTTCTGAAACTCCGTTGTTATTTAACTTATGCTCTCGCCATGCAGGCGATGACTGCATATCCATCGTCAACGCGAGCTCGAACATTAAGATGAAGAACATCGATTGTGGACCCGGGCATGGGATCAGGTAAATCCCGGTGGCGCCGCCGGGAGTTGCGACTCCACAGCGGAGTTCTGACGGTGGTTTTGTTTCTTCTCTTCTTTCGTAGTATCGGGAGCTTAGGGAAGGACAACTCCACAGCGGCGGTCTCGACCATCGTAGTCGACACGGCGGTGCTGAGGGGGACGACCAACGGCGTCCGGATCAAAACTTGGCAGGTAGACGAAGACCCTCGCGGCTATACGAGCTCCTCCCTCTCCCACCGCCGTCTCAGCTCTTTAGGGTTTTCTCTACAGGGAGGCTCCGGCTACGTCCGGGCCGTAAGGTTCCAGAACGTGAGGATGATCGACGTTCAGAACCCCATTATCATCGACCAGTTCTACTGCGACTCTCCGACCTCCTGCCGGAACCAGGTCGCTCTCTCTCTCTCTCTATCACTATCTCCTGCCAGAACTATTGAACGCTGGAGAAGAATCGGGATCATCTCTCTCTGAGCTTCTGATGACGGGTAGTGGTTCTTGGTGGGGGCAGACGTCGGCGGTGAAAGTCAGCCAGGTGCTGTACAGGAACATCAGCGGCACCACGAGGACGGCCAAGGCGATGAAGTTCGCGTGCAGCGACACGGTGCCGTGCAGCGACATCGTGCTGGACAACATTAACCTCACGGCGGCGGCGAGCGGCGGCACCGCCGAGACCTTCTGCAACTGCGCGGCGGGGTTCGCCACCGGCGTCGTGCAGCCCGCCGCCGACTGCCTGCGGGCGGACAGCTCCCCCTGCGACGGCTCGAAGGGAGACGGGCAGGGCAAGGATCGCTCATGGGAGCCCCACAATGAGCTCTGATGCCCCATCCCCCCAGACCTCTGGGAGACCTGGGGGAAGTGCATGTAGCTAATAGAGAGAGCTCATGCAGAGGACTAGACTATTCGATCACCTATGAACTGTTTACCCGCATAAATATATACATACAGAAACAGTTGGGTAAAAGTGAAGAATTTTGGGTCCGTTTCTGTAGGAATACTACGGGTGCATCGTAATGAGAGAGAGAGAGAGAGAGAGAGAGAGAGAGAGAGAGAGAGAGAGAGAGAGAGAGTTGAAGAGGTATGCCAATGCAGAACCATTAGGAAGGTGTGTCAGAATCGCATACTTAATAAAGAAAATGGATGAAAGCATAAAGAGAACTGAATATAAACTGATAGATCAAATGCGTCGTATTATTGGGTCATTGAACTCAAAACCAGCATAAGCAGATTATTTTATTTTATTTTTCCAATTGTAAAGTATTCCAGCGCGCTCTCCATCTGGAAGGCAGACATTGGGGTTTGATTTATGTATTAATTTATTTCCAATGGGGAACCATTCTAGGAAATTAATCAAATAAATAACTATGACTAAAAATCTGTGCTCACATACGTTCACATAGTTACCGAGCAATGAGCATTCGTGTTCCCTTCTTTTTTCCTAGAAAAAAAGACGAAGAGTTTTTTCTGTAAAACAATATATACTAGATTAAGATTGAACCCCTAAAACTAAGATTCCGCAGTTGTTGCAGCAATTCATGTTAGAAAGAGCATCGGTAATTAGCCAAGGCTGTTGAATTCCCCATCTCATTGCACCTAAGATTTGTAAAAAAACTGGGGGAACCTTTGAAACAAGATCTACTGCTATTCGAGGCATTTATTTGTGAATCTCTGAAGAGAAAAAATGAAAAGGGAGGAGGGTAACCCTGGCTGTACAGAAAAAAAAACTAGGAGCAGTATCTAAGCTTCAAATGGTGAACCTTGATCTGTGGTAATCTGAACTCAGCATAGCTCGGATTCGTGCACTTTATCCCTTTACGAGCAGGTTTGATGAGGATCTGAAAACAAATAGAGCGAGAAAAAAATCTCCCCATTATATATCAACATCATTTGCTTCAGGTAGATGGCAGATTTTGGTAAACTTACCATGATGATTTCCAAAAACAGGTCTAAGCTACTTTCCCCGGGGAACAGATGCTAAATTCGAATCTTTCCAAATCGAGGAAGAAAAATGGGAGCATCAATTTACTTCATCTGAAAGAATGTGATTTATGCAAGTTTTTGCCTCAGCAGTCGAGTTGTCCATTCATCAGTTCTGCCGCGGGACAAGTGACAGATCAAATATCCGAATTTTTTTCATTCTTTTTATTGGCTTCATTTCAGGCAAAAGACGAGCGAAGCATATCTTTTATCCGCTCCCGTCATTATTGAGCACTAGAATTCATGTTTCAGGCAAGTGAATGCACGGCAACAAGGAGACAAGATGGAGTGTGGCTACCTTTTCCCACAATATTCTTCCTAGGCTCTCTAAAGGGTTGGTAGTAACAGTCCATACAAGCAGTAAACATACTTTAATAGAATCATGTTATGCCAATGAGCAAGGTCTAGGCTGGGCCAATATCGAACCAGACCCATCCTATCTCCATAAGGAATTCGTCCAGGGCATACTAGAGCCTAAGGATGCCCAGTAGAATGCATATCTAAGATTGTCCAACGCCATTTATGTAACCTGGCTTCATGACCTAGCTCAAGGAACGAAATCCCAAATGCCAAATGCTTCAGCTGAAAACAAGTAAAAACAGAATCCCTACATTGGAAAAAAAGCCATTCATTTTGCAGCACTCGAATTTATTAAGTGGGATAATTGCACATAGAATCATCAATGCTTCGTAGTAGGGAACAATAGAAAGCAACCCCAGGCGGAGACTATTGAATTCTGTAACCCCAGGTACAAACTTGACACATGCATTAGGTGGCATTGTTCCAAACACTAATGCAGCTAAAATAAGCACAATAAGTAAAAAACTACACCTAATTAATAGTGCAGGATATACCTGTTTGCGTTGACAATTTTTTCTCCACAATATGTGTCCTGTTTCAGTCGCATTTCCATCCACAACTGCAGACTGCATTTTCCGTTCATCAAAGAAAAGGGTCAAACTAGGCTTCAAATAGAACTTTGAACCATTTAATTTAAATCGCCAACTCAACCTTATCATCTCTGATTTTTCAAGCCATCAATAAAAAGGAGTATTCCCGTTCAGGTAGACACTGGTTGATTCAATCATTCTTATCACCTGAAGAGCACCAAGCCATTAAGCTGTGTGGAAACAGATAAACATGGACATGCGTATCATGAAATTACAACCTAATCGACAAAACTATAAGTTGGAATTAACAACACAATGATGAGTCACCTTCGATTTTTATTTTTGTGTGTTTGAGTATAGAACTGCACAAAATAATTGATGCTTCTGAGATCATGACACCAAATGAATGTTTTCTAGCCAAAAAAATCATCATGGATTATTATGCTAAGTGAATACCTATTTTCGTGCCTTGGAATGTCTTTAATACAGTCAGCACCTAAACGCTCCCACAAAACTAACAAAAAAAATGGCTCTTATTTCTTCATTTTCATTATTCATTCTCTTATATCACAAAATATTTTTTTGATCGTAAGCAGGGATTAAATCAGCGTCATAGTTGAAGTGCGAAGCTTTGTGGACCAGTAGATACAGGAATTGCATCTTTTAAATGGATCAATACAATTCCACCGCAACAGTTTCGAATTAAAATATACTCGAAAGGGAACAGCATTATGGTTAATTTTGAGTGTATATTGAAATTTAGATTCTAACAGATATTCCCAACAGCATGATTTTTTTTTCTGGATTGCATAATATTTTCCAGTGTGTTCATAAAAAAATGACCCAAGTGAGACAATAAGCAGGCGCCGGCCAGACGAAACCAACCAACCAAGCGTGAGAATAGTTTCAAGGAACAAGGAATGAGCTTATACAGAATGAAATCTTTCAGAATCTCGATAAGGAGAAAAGAGCAAGATAAGACGCTGGAACATATATATGATTCTAAAATGGTTATGCAGATGAGACTAAGAGCCACTGCTGAAGCTTGACTTGTCTTTCTCTCCTACCCCCAGAGAGGCAAGAATTTTGGGAAGAATACAACGTAGTCTTCAGCCGCCCCCGCCCCCACATGCAACTGTTCAAACTTCCTGCGACAAACTTGACGCCAACGCGAAATGGTGAACCGTGGAAAACATACGCAACTCTCCAAAGTCCCCGAAAAGGTGACACACGGATGAATCGTGAAGCAAGCTAACTAGATCCATCAGAACTCTTTATCTCAGAATGGAAACGGGATGACACCAAGGAACCGACCTTTCATGGGGGTAATCGCCCGAATTAGTCCCAGTGCGGGCGAGATCGGTGCTGGCCGTCTTGGACCCCGGGTGTGAGCAGAGAGGGCGAGCTCCCATGAAGGAAATAATCCGGAGCTCACAGAAAATTAAGCTTTCATGGGCTGCTCGTCCTGCTTCCCCACTCACTGCCAAAGACAGTGGGTATCAATTCTGCTAGCAAAGAGAGAGAGAGGGTCATAAGGTTGCTCTGGTACCATGTTACCAAAAATACAGAGGGAATAACAAGGTGGCGACACCAACTTACAAGAGAGAGCGACAGAGGAGAAAGGAAGACGAGACGGCGGAAGAACGAATGGTGCCACACACAGGCAAGCCTCGTATTACGAAGTTATGACTAACCCATTAACTACGACTGTCTCGAACAAATTCCGGCCTCCAAGAAACTGCAGTTTTATCGTGGACACTCTCTTCGGGAAAAGACAAAGTTCAGATTTTGAAGTTCTCTCTCGTCCACATCTCGACGCGTGGGATAAGCTCATCTCCACAAGAACAAAGATTTTAGAATAGATTTCGAAACTTAAATTCCTCCATAATCTTTATCAACAAATCCTAAGTGGTACTTCTAGTAGAATTTATTTAATGATGCTCAATAAATAAAGTGGAGATCATAGTTACTTGTACTTTGTTTGAAGTCACTCTCATAAGTCTTCATTATCATGAGTTAAAAATTAGTAAATAATATAGTTTTAGCCTTAACTTATGGTAAATAGACTTATATTTATGTTAAATTATTAAAACTAGTTTTTAATTAATTAATATGAATTTTTAACTAACTATGTGATTTTTTATAAATTTATATAATTTTTATAATCTTATTTATTAGATAAAAAAGCAATAAAAATAAAAATATAGTAAAATAGAAAGACTCACTAATTAGTTGGGCCTGCAAGTGAGTCAGAAGCACAGTCGAGAAGAGTCACAAGGGCTTAAGTGACTAAGATAGATGGGGGCACGTGTGCACCACTCTCCTTACATATTACTAGTGGCTAGTCGGTTGTGAGGCAAAGAATAATTCTATATACGACATAAAAAAACTCATTACTTTCAAATATGATATTATTATACATTCATCTAAAACTTCAAGTGATGTAAGACTAAACTCATGTCACACTTCTCTCCAAAAGGCTTCAAAGATTTAAATACCTAAATTATTCATTTATTATGATAGAGATATATTATGATAACGTCACTTACTAAAGATATTATAATATTTATTTTAATCTCTCTCATACAAGCAAATAACTAACGCGAGTTCAAATCCTCTTAGAGTTAAAACTTATATTTTTATCTAATTATCGCAACTTTTTTGTAAATTACCGATGAAAAATTAAGCCACCAAAATTACTAAATCATTAGCAAAAATCTCGTTAATGTGATTGCAAAGTATTGTTACTAAAATTATTAAATGATTCATGATAAAAGGATTATGAATCTATTAAGTAAATCATTTTTGGTTGATCGATGAACAAACCATTGTTGAAAAGAGGACGATCCGTCAGAATATGAGTCGCCACCTCTTGAGAGCATACCAAATGTGATGAAAAGCCTCTTCTTACTACATAGACCTGAAGATGAAGCTCTCTGATATGCGTTCCATACTCATCTAACTCTTCTCTATCGGGTGACAATCGTCGAAGAGTCGCAAAGTTGTCATTTTTTTACTTCATTGGGTAACAGTTGTCGGAGATGATTCGACAACCCATTTCATTGATCTTTAGACTTTACAATGAGATCTAGAGATTATCCACGTCGTCATTATCTAAAGAGATACTTTGAGGCCCTAGACATTACATGACGATCTTCCTAAATGTTTAAGAATCTGATGTATCATCGACACATTACCACCGTGACATTATAATTCTATTTTCCTACTTTTAACTTAATTTTTACTTTATTTAATAATAATTTATGTGATTTAAATTTATCAAACTATACTTTATTCAATTACGATTTTTTCAACTTTTACATATCTTAATTTGATCAATTAAATTGTCTATAATTACTTACATAAGAATTGTTAGGTGGAACTCTATTTCCACCCAATTTGCATTTGTCAAGCACTGATGTCATCTTGATATCCGCACCCTTATTTTCTTTTTTTATAAATTTTAAATATATATATTTATTTCTTAGTATAAAATTTATAGAAAATTATATTCTTTGAGAAAAATTTTAAAAATTTACTCGATATTATATTATATCCTTATGATCAACTTAAAAAATTGTTATTATTTTTGAAATCTTTATTAAATTATAATTAATATATTTGTTCAGAAATACTTTTAAATATTATAAAAATTAATATTTTTAATTTTATAAATTTTAAATTTACATGATTTACTATACAATGACTAAGTCACGTCACCTTCCTTACTCCTTTTGCACACTAGATCACAAAGTTTAGAGCGTTGATACAAGAAGAAGGTTGGTTGGGGATTTGGATCTCCTAACAAAGATAAGTGGGTAGTAAGAAAGATAAGACAAGTTTTGATTGACTAAGGGGGTGGAGGAGGAATGGTCTAGTAGGTGAGGATGTACATCGTCCATGTTGTAAGTTAAGCCCACATAAAAACCAATTACCCTCATTCTTTCCATGTTAAGCAATTGAATTGGACAATCATGTCCTACTGATTCAATCTACTTTGACTATGACTTGTTCTTAAGTAAATACCAAGATCTAATTATTGGAATAATACTATACAAAAGGAAAATTATAAATACAAAGATGAACGGAGTCTCCTCTTGGACGTTAGGTTTTAAGTTGAACAACTCAATACTTTTCAATGAGTGTCATAAAAAATTGTTGTTGTTAAGTTGCACACAAACCATATATGTTGTCCATATAACAATGGTGAAAAAGTCAACTTGCATGCGAAAAGCATGGAGAAACCTATATATGTTGTCAAGTTTTAAGTGCATGTGATGAACCCATATTCTACTCATTAATAATTACGAGTTGGATGAACCCATATATATATGACAACATCTCTATATTTTTACTCTACGCTACCTAAATTAAAAATTAAATGATAATATTATGTTGGATCATAGAGAAGTAACTGAAGCCATGTGCGTGCATTGACATACAAACTATGCACACAAATTTAGGCATAAAGGGTGCACATCAAGGCAGCTTTTGCATGAGGTGTTATTAAAAAAGCAATGGTGGTTGTGATGCTCGGTATCAAAGCTAGTGTCTAGTGAGCTGGAACCCATGAAATCTCGGAAGCAAAATCTTAAGGTAAAAGTTTTTGAGTGGATTTATTGGCATAGTAGATATTACTAGAGTCCAACTTGCATGTTTTCATGTGAACACATCTGATCATAACTTCATCTGATTTTGGTCCACTTGGCCTCCCTCGTTTCTGGCCTAAAATAGCATAATTCATCCTACAGTCTTCAGACAAAATATTAGATTCTTCAAAGTCTAATAAACCAGATTCACCCCACTTCGCTTACATACAATACCTCGGAGTAGGCTGTGCTAGATGGACACCAAGGTCGGCACTCCTATAGATTCTCATGATCGATCCTTAAATGCACCATTTTAAAAAAAAACATTTATGTTTGCGACCTTATGACACCCATAATCGTAAGGACTAGTTGTTTGATACCCATCTTGTGCTCTTAGAGTGATGGTTTATTATCACGTGAGCACGATTTCAAGCGTCTAATGATTACTCGTTCTTCAGTATGAAGCCACAGTACTTTGATTCCAAGTCAACGTCATGGAGAGGAGGATCGAGTAGATAATGTTTAAATACCGTTCTTAATTGTTACTTCCAAGTTACATTAGGATAGTTTGAACTGACAACAAGGTGGGTATGAGGATTTTAATAGCCCTTTTATGGGTCCACCACGTTGGGAGTATCCAGGGGCTTGGATGGCTTGTTCGAGACTGTTTGGAGGCATGGAGATCGTCCAGAGCTGATCCATCTAAGTAAGCTTAGAACCGGCCTGGATGGATGGCAGGCCGGGCCGACTTTCAAGTCTGCGCTTGGTTTTAAAGCTCCAATTATGACGTGTTCTTGACTTGCTACGTTATTGATCTTAGTTTTTGTCGGAAAATTAAATCTTGTCAACGGATGGGTTAGCGAGATGAGAAGATTTGAAGAAAAACAATCAGCTGATGGAGTGATTCCCTTCCAACCATCCATCAGCGGAGCCCGCCGTCCGTCGGTGCATATTTAAACCCCCTGGCCTCCAGCGAACTCCCTCAGAAGCCACCACAAACGGGGACTCACCCACAGGAAGGGGAGGAAGGGGAGGAAGAGGGAGAGACAGCGCCGGCCTTCAGCAGCACAGCCATGGAGGTGGCGTGACGGACCTCAGGGAGAAGCCAAGTCTAACCCCTGTCGTGAACCCTAGCGCGTACACTGTGTCCGTCCCAGCCCCGAGCAAACCTCCCAGCGGTGGGGGTGTGTTCGGTGTGAAGCAGTTTGGTGCCACGGGAAACGGGATTTCGGATGATACCAAGGTAGGCCATTCTCCTCGTACGGGAAGAGGGGGGAGAGAGAGAAAGAGAGATTTAGATGGAGAACGACCGAGCGAGAGGAAAGAGGGAATTAGTGAATGAGAGGAAGAGAAAGAGCTCGACAGAGAACCAGCGATAGAAAGCGTTCGACAGAGATCAATCGACCGAGTCAGAGAGAGAAAGAGAGAGAGAGATTCTGCCGTCATTCTCAAATTTTAAAAGGAATTTTCTCAGTTTAACAAGATCCGACGACTTCTTATGATTCAATGTTCACGTGACGCTAGCCTTTCCAAGCTGCATGGGCCGCCGCCTGCAACGAAGAGGGATCCAACGTCTTGGTTCCCTCCGGAAACGAGTTCCTCGTCGGCCCCATCATCTTCTCCGGCTCTCACTGCCAACCCAACATCGTCTTCCAAGTAATCCTCCTTCCTTCTCCGGCCCATACCGCCGTTAAATAATCCTCAAAAAACATAATCAGCCGCCGTCTCCTGCAGTTGACGGCACCATCGTCGCCCCAATCGCCGCCACAGCGTGGGAGCCCGGGCTGTTGCAGTGGCTCAAGTTCACAAAGCTTAAAAGGATCACAGTCCGCGGCGGAGGCGTCATAAACAGGCGTGGGGCGTCCTGGTGGGGCGAACCGCCGCACGGAAACGAACTGGTAAGCTACCATCATCTACCTCCATTAGAACAAATGCAGAGTTGCTCACCCATTCGGCGGAAACCTAAACTGCTCCGTATGACTGTTGTAGGTGAGTAGTTCACGGGTCAAGCCGACGGTACGTCTCAGCTTAGCTCTTCTCCTCTTTTGGGCCGGCGGATTCCCCCTTCGGCGGTGGCGCTGACAGCAGATACTACTAATTCAGGCATTGAGGTTGTACGGCAGTGACGGCATCACTGTCGCCGGGATAACCATTCGCAACAGTGCCCAGTGCCACCTAAAGTTCGACAGCTGCACCGCCGTGGAGGTCTTCAACCTCACCGTCTCCTCCCCCGGTTTCAGCGTCCACACCGACGGAATACACCTGCAGAACTCCAAGAATGTCTCCATCCACCACGTCGTCCTGGGTTGCGGTAATCCTCTCGCTCTCCTTGCTCCACTTTTCTCCGCCAGCCAGCGGTAGCGGCGGCGCCGCCGGTGACCTCGCTGGTTCGTCTCCTGTTGCAGGCGACGACTGTGTGTCCATACAGACGGGTTGCTCCGACGTGGAGATCCGCAGCATGGCGTGTGGGCCGGGACATGGCATCAGCATCGGGGGCCTCGGCGGCGGAAACAGCATGGCTTGCGTCTCCAACATCACCGTCCAGGACGTGACCCTGAGGGGAACGACCACCGGCGTCCGTATCAAGACCTGGCAGGTGATGGCTTCTTTTTGACTTTCTCTGACGACTCCTCTTTCTTCTCTCTCTCTCTCCCTCCCTCTCATGTGCTCGACGGAATGCAGGGAGGGTCGGGCCTAGTCGAGAACATAAGGTTCTCCAACATCTGGGTCACCGAGGTGAAGATCCCCGTGGTCATCCAGTACTACTGCGACAAGGGCTGCGCCGCCTGCCGGAACCAGTCGTCGGCAGTGGCGCTGGCCGGCATATCGTACGAGGGCGTGAGGGGAACCTACACGGCGAGCCCCCTGCACCTGGCGTGCAGCGACAGTGCGCCGTGTGCGGGCATCCGTCTGAGCAACGAGCACCTCGATCCCGCGCCGGGGCGCGGTGGCGGCACAGGCGGCCCCTTCTGCTGGCAGGCGCACGGCCAGCTGACGAGCCCTGTCGTTCCCCTCGTTGGGTGCCTGCAAAGCGGGGAGAGCACTCCCCACCCAGCCCCAGCTTCCTGCTGACTGAAGGGAGTCGCCACTAAAGTTATGGCCGCATTACTTGACTTGTATCAGCATGTAGGATCTCTAAAGAGGGAGAGAGAGAGAGAGAGAGAGAGAGATGTGTCATTTAGCGTGAGAGCGTGGGACTTTTAAGGGAGAAACTCGCCTAGTATTTGTTGAGTTATACCAGCGTGTAGGAACTCCAGAGAGGAGAGAGAGAGAGAGAAACTCGCACATCTTCGCCAATGATGCAAGGGAGGCATGATGATGAAGGAATTTCAGAGGCTGGAGCGCTTACTTTTTTGATATGACTCGCATCGGATTTCCTCATTTTTATGGTCTATGATATACCACATTGCAGGAATAGTTGCAGGAAAGAAGAGCGGCGGCCTCCGAGGTGCAAGATTTTGAAGCCGGGAAGAAGATGAGGAAGAGAAGCCCATCGGCAGTATGCGAAGCTCACCCGCTGAACAAGTCCGTGACCTTCCTGTAATCCCCCAGATAGTCAATAAATGGCAGAATTCAGCACCAAAAGCGGAAAAAACATGGCGACCCAGTTCGCAGCAGGGGGGAACAGAGTTGACCTTTGCCTCCCATCACAGTATCTTGCGGCGTCGACCGTAAAAGTAGGCGACGGCGGCGACCGAAACAGCCACGACGACGCCCGCCGTCGCGTGCCACGTGTAGATGGGTTTCTCGAGAAGAATCCTGCCGCCGTCTGGGAGGCCCTGCTGGTTGACCTGGACAGCAAAATTGAGGCCCTGTGTCTCCAGCTCGGCCAGGTCTTTGACTTCTATCTTCAGCCTGATTACCTTCGCTATGGCCTCATACTCCTCCCTGTCTCCGCCCTCGAGGAAGGCCCCCACAACTCGGCCACGGTCAACCCAGTACGCGCCAAACCTCGCGCCAGCGAAGTCGCCGTAGTGGACGACCTCCCCTCTGTTGTCTCCATAGAACTGCCAGGATAACCCGAAGACTCGGGAGTAGAAGAAGGGCAGATAGTCAAATTCTCTGGTCTTCCCAGGCTCCATTATGGCGGAGACGGCGTGCCTCGCCGTCTGCCGGGCAGAGTCAACATGCTCCAGCCGGCGGACGCCGCCGCCGAAGAGCTTGACAGGGAAGGCGGCCACGTCGCCGACGGCGTAGACGGAGCTGTTGCTCGTCTGCATCTGACCGTTGACTTTGATGCCGCCTTTGTCCATGGTCAACTGACCCTCGAACAGGCTGGTGTTGGGAGTGATGCCGATACCGACGACGACCATGTCTGTGGGAACGCGGGTCCCATCTCTTAGAATCACTGCCATCACCTGGTCAACAAAAAATACGACCACTCAGATGATGCCCATGCCTTGTAAAGGAGAGAGAAAATCCTAAACAAGGGAAATGAGTTTTTTTTTTTCATAGAGAGGATCATAGATATCAAGTTAGCTTGAAATAATCAAAGATTTGTTGCGCTTTCTACTCCAAATATTTCCATAGTCCGTCATGGTGATGATCACATACTCAATCTAAAGTCCATATTCTACAAGTATTTCTGAAAGAATTAAGAACAGATTGACGGACATGCAAAAAGGCATCATCATCATCACCTACCTTGCCATCTGAATTATTCTCAAAAGATGCCAGCACAGTTCCTTTGATGAAGTTTACCCCCTTGGATTCATAGTACTCCTCGTAGAAATCAGCAATCTTGGGTGTGAATAGACGTGCCACTGTTCATGAGACAATTTTTTTTCAATATCATGCAATTATGGTTTACTAGATCGGAAAAAAACCAAAAAAATGAATTATTAAATTATTTTAAAAAATAGGAAAAAATGCAAACTTATGGTTCAGGGATTACTGCAATGGGCTTCAGGGAAGACCATTGTAACCCTGATACGATTTGTGACCAGTGCTGCGGCACACTCCATGCCTATGTAACCTCCACCGATGACAACAGCGTGCCCACCAGAGGAAGCTTTCATGACATCGACGAGCTTGTTTGCATCAGACAAGCTGCGTAAGTAGCAAATATTTTCGGCTCCTGCACCTCTTATCCCAAACTCCTCAAGCTTCAGGGCCTGCATATGCAACAGGTGGACTTTAGACGCTGATGATATTACTTTTGCATAATAGTGAGTGGAAATATGTGAATATCAAGGCCTGATACACTACCCGAGCACCTGTTGCGATGATTAGAGTCTTATAACTGATGGTTTCTCCAGTGGCCGTAAGTAAGGTCTTCCGCCTCAGGTCAGCAGCCTTCACACGAGTTCCAAGAACAAGTTCAATGCCTGTAAAAGAAAGGGACCAATGCCTTATGGTTCGATTCACGAGAAAGGAAAAGATAGATCACTTTTTGTGAAAATGATGAAAAACCTGGTCAACGATGACGCATTTCATGTGAACTGAAGAACATCAAAAGACAATACAGTAATAACGACTCCTATGCTGACACATTGAAAAGTTTGATCTCCCAAACGAAATCCAAAGGATTGCATATGTTGGAAGTTCTAGGTCGTAGGGAAATAGTGTAATTAGTTGAGGGCGTTTTGGTAAAAGTTGTGTATCGTTACTCCCTATATAATGGGGGTTACAGTTGAATGAATCTTGAGGCGGTTTCTGCCGTTCTCCCCTTTGTCCTTCGTGATGAGGTTTTTTCTCTATTTTCAACAGCATAAGAAATGACTGAAAATCCACAAGCACACGGCAAGACTACAAAAGTTGATGAATTTTGTCTCTCAAAACATGGAGATCAGGTTATAGTTCTATAAACCGGTGCAAATAAGCCTCCTATCACCAAGGGTTCATTGTGTATATGTGCATCACGTTATACAGAGCACCAGCAAATGGTTACATGAAAAAATATGCATCTCAAGATTGGTCTATTCTATCATTTAAAAAGGGGTAATTAGGTTACGCTATGTGACTCAGCCTAATACTAACATTTTGAAACCCTGCAAGGGAGTCTGACTGATTCTGATGCCATCAGCATAGAAGCACATGGTTTGGGATAGAAAAGGCAATGAAGAAAATGGACAAAATAAAATGAGGGCAGTTATTGAGGACGAAATAAGTAGATGATAATAATTTCTATTTCATTTCATTTTTCTATAGTTACCCTTTTTACCGTTCGTCACTGTGGGAGTGGGATCAAGCAAGCCATTTAGAAAACATATACAACAACTATGATCGTGCTGAGAATTTCACCAGCTGTTTTGGAACACCATAGGCAGGAGCTTAAATTATACAAGTTCCAGCTTTACTGAAGAAAATGCCTCTATGCTAAGAAGCATTTTTCAATGAGAGAAGTAACACATTATAATGAGATCCAGCATGTACATTTGTGAAAAAATTACTTCCTAGAAGAAATGGTTTCATTCTATCGATATTCAAGTCAAAAACCGAGGGATAAAAGAAATCATGTAAAACATGGTTGGATGCTCCATACATACTGAAGTCCATAGAGTTCAACGTACTCCATGGGATGAATAATACATAAATTTTAAAAACTTCCTCCACGTCCGTTTTCAATTATTCCGTCCATTCACGATCCAAAGTCAAAGAGACAGTGCCTTTGTCACAATTCCTGACTCTTGATTTCTAGTTGGGGGTTTTATCAAATCAAAGAAAGACCAAAGCAGTCTTCAAGGCAACTGTAACTTGTATCTCCCAAGTGGAGTTGCTGAAGATAGAGATTGACGAAGGGTAGGACTTAAAGGAGATGCTCAAAAGGCAAAGATTGAATTTGGACCAGGATGTATGGAGGCGGAATAGGACTTCCCAAGAGAAAGAAAAAAATATGCCACACATCTCATTTTTGTGCAAAGCCGAAACAAAGTTTGGGCCCTGAAGCTACATGATTATCTACTGATCAATAGCTACACCTTTGGTCCTGAAGGCACATTAAGACAAGACAGGAAGGGCCTGCAGAGGATTCAGCATGCTCATCCTTTAAACTTCTACAGGAAGGACCTGCGACGGGGAGAAACTCTCACACCTTATAGAAAGTTTCTACAGATCAGGAAAAATGATTAAGCCAGATTAAGAATTTGTCACGAGAACAGGGCAAAGCCACTGAGAGCATTAATTCTTGTAAATTTCATTCTATTTCTGTCACCAATTGAAAAGATTACCCAAAATTCTCCATTAATTTACATTACTAAGGACCAAATACTTTTGAAATCATCCATCATTGAAAGGTATAATGCCCAAGCATGATAACTCAGATAACTGTCATCGTTACCATATTCTCCTGTTCTGGATTTATCAGCAAAATTAATTGGAAAAGATGGGTATCTCCCAAAATCGATACGATGGAAGCTTAAACTCCACTTCACCTCGTACTTATCACTTCAGATTGTTCATCCTACTATCCAACATCTTTCTCTTAGTCTACAATCCAATAACCTATAACGAACTTCCAGATCCTCCACATATATTCTTGGTTTCAATACTGCCGATTTTACTGATAGATATTATTATAGTGAACACGAATAAACTTATGGAGCCTTAAGAAAAGGCAAGCGCGATAGATATTATATTCCAGTTTTGTCATGCGGGAAAGAAATGGCATACGAAATAAGATTCCGCTTAAGGATGAAATATTATGAAAACATATAATATTTCATTTTGACGTACAGAAGATAACCCTCAAAAAATATTACCGTCTATTTCACAAAAATATTAAATATTGCCCATAAAGAATAATAGAATAACGTAGATCCAATTTCGAAACCAAAAAATATTACCATGTTCCTTGTACCATTTTGGTGTCAACCTCTCATCAATAGCACCAACACAAGTGTGAAATGCTGGAAGCCGTGCAGGAGCTGTGGAGGAATAGTGAAAGAATCTTAGAAAACCAAGATGTCAGGGGAATAATTTTGAAGGAAGCACCATATAGTTTTTCCATATGGACATAAAAAGGATAAAGCATTGGATAAATGTCTCATTTCTAATTTTATTATATTTTTTGTATTTAATTTTTAATTTTAAAATTTAAGAGATATTTCACATGCTTTTATAACCACCTATAGAAAAGTCATTATAGTGATTCTTTACTTACCATCCAGTTGGTAAAATTTACGTGGGACATTGGCATCAGAGAGAGAAACAGAGAAACAGTCCCATGAAGACCCTGGTAGGATAAGGCTACATTGGGATAATAATGGCGATGCAAGAAGGGAAAATGTAGAAATGATCCGACCTGAAACTCAAGTTCTAGTAGGGTTCGGATAAGTGTTTTTATCTAAGGCTCATGCAATTTTATGTAAATAACTGATGAAAAATGACTTCACAAGAAATTCCAGACAGAAAAAATGGAACCTATAGTTCCACATATAATAATCATAAGAGCATATTTCATGAGAACTGCGTTATAATGGAACAGCAAATTATCTCTCTTCAGAATGTGACTATCTATATAAACTACTTGAATATAAGATCAGATTCAGGTTTGATACTTGGAATGTAAAACAAACCTTCAGGCAGTAAGTATCCTTTGCTCAGAGCAGGCCTCTCATAAGGCGCTACCTGTATATGATGTTTAAACCATAAAAATGCTTGAGGAAGAATTTAAAATAAAAAATAAAAAATACATACGAAGCTTGTTTTCTCAGAATTTTAAACAAGCATATTAGATTCCTATGCAAGAATTCTCCAACGGCCTCATCTCTGGCATATTTTGATAAGTCCATTTCATTCTGGTTCAACTTGATAGCCACCTTGCTGATAAACATCAACTCTTCGTGCAGACTCTGGGCTACACATTCCATCGACTGATGGCCCAGTTTTCCTACAGATATGATGAATAGTGCAACAACAAATTGAACCAGTATGAAAAGCTTGAGAAAGGATAATATATAAAACTTGGTTACATTTAGTTAGCTGGTTACCTTAAAGTTGGCATTCAAATAAGTAATGTACCAGTTCTCAGTTGAGGCATAGTTTTCATCAGATGGGAAATCTTTCAGGGAATACTTGGCACTGATCTTAATTTTTCCCTTCTAATTTATGAGGGAAAGAGCGTCCTATCTGGTTGACCAAGATACGATCTAGGATGCTCACCAAAATTGATTAATTCAGATGAAAAATTTCCTCAGCGCACTAAGTTCTCCGATCAAATTACAACCAGTCTTTAAAATTTTCTGGAGAAAACTGATCTCAGCTTGTAACTGGAAAACATCTTAAATGAAGATTTTGAAAAGCACAGGACACAGAGTTTACCATGAAAGCCGACGTCATACTTTGAAACTAGTCCAAATATCCGATATAGCTGCCCAGCACAGTGATCGAAAGATGTTATGAATTATTGTTTTTCTATACGTCATCCATACAACTACATGCGGAGCTCCAGATCGTGATATAGTTTACTGGAATCATTGTTTTTTGTGAAGTCGTCTACAATCAATTGGCCGGCAAGAGGCGCGCATCCTAGAGAAATTACAATACAAAAGGCTGACGGTCGTTTCTGAATCGAGAACAACACACAGGAACACCATTTTGGACTCCACAATGTATTCCATACAGAGATCAGACCAAGAAGAAAAAGAGATCAATGCAAATCAGCTAAAAAGAAACAACGCGAAAAAAAGATTGGTTCTCAGGTTTTTTCGACGAACAGGAACATGTCTGAGAGCGGAGGACGAGACTCACAGATTCCTCGGAGATGATGCAGAGCTCCCCGGGCTGAACCCCCTTCCTGGTGAATTCCAGCGCCGCGTACCCCGCAGTGACGCCTCCCCCGAGTATCACATAAACGAATGCCCTCCCCATCTCCCTCCCCCTCCCGCCCTTCCACACAAATTCAAGCTCCGATTATATCCCGAGGACTCCACATGACAGACCATAGCCCGCCATGGCCGTCATCCCAACCACTCCGATTCCAGTCCAACTTATCAGCCGCCTGGTCGTCGTGTGCATCCGAGTATCTCAACAGCCGTTAGCCTCGTGCTGCGTACCATATTTAAATCCTCTCTCTCTCTCTCTCTCTCTCTCTCTCTCTCTCTCTCTCTCTCTTATCCGGCCGGTAAACTACGGTCATTCCAATCCACAGATCGAAATTTGCCTTTTGTCCGGTACTCACCGGTATGTTAATCCGTAGGAACAGCAAATCGGTGAGGTGGCAGAGAGACAATGTAAGAAGAAACATACGCCCCGCAGCAGCAAGGATAAAAGTGCGCAGAACATAAACATAAATCCTCCACGTGGAATATAGTTCGTAGTAAAAATTGTACATACATTTTTAATCGCCCATTCTTAATTTCATTTAATACGCATTATTTACATTTTAAAAGAATGTATATTAATTAATTAAAAATGGGGCATATTTATGCATTTTACTTTGTATACAAAATAATTAGCGCGAATAAGGAAAAATATTTTCTGTATACCAACGGTGGTGCCTTCTGGAACACGACCTCGGTCTATCCTTTTGTAGGATAGACCCCGCCAATCCGAAGCCCATATCGACCACTCGATTGGAACCGTCGGTAGGCTATCCTCATCTCCCCGGGCCACATAAAATTCGGACGCCGGATGCCGTCCGTTCTGCATCGGGCAGTGGATATGTTTTGCTATTATGCCCTATCTCGAACATTGTACCCACCAAGATTAATGTATTTAATATTTTTTTCCTCATGGCAAATCGTGTATTTTAATCCTATTTATAGCAATTATTTACCTTCTTAGAATACAGGTTTTGTTAGTGTAATGCTTCATGGGTCCCATTCTATCTGGTTTTTTTTATGTTTAGTTATTCTGTTCATAATCATAGATTTATCAATTTATTTTATAAACTTGGTGTACCCATTGCCTCTTGATTTTACCAAAAATATTTAATTTTGTTTTAATTGAACGAACTCAATTACATTTTTTTAACAAACAATAAAAACACATAATTTCTTCTTATAATTGCGTAGAAAAAAGTATAATTTCTGCCAAGAAAAAAGTGGTATTTCCGAATTCTGTTAAAATAGTTTTTAGTTTGATATTTATGCACTATATATTTAAAACACATGCACTTCCTTATTCAGAACATCATCACCTATTTTTGACATAAAAAACATGGGAAAAATTATATTAAAGCCATATAAAAAAACATAATTCTCGGAGAAATTTTCATTGTGAGAGAGTTTTAAGTGATAAAATATGGTAAATTGGGTAGATTATATGACAGAAGGCGGTCAACGCATCATCTTAGGAGAAGAATTCATTTCTCTCTCCTCACTATGCACAAGTTTCTTTATTGAAAGACCCTCGAGCCCATTTTAGACAACATGGGCACTAAAGTCAACCCATGATCAGAGTTTCCCAAAGATATGATCTTGGGTCATCATTGTCTTGGTTGACCTAGTGGTCAACGATGGCATTGACTTCAGGGGTAGGGCCATGCATTATGGTCCGGTTTTAATCAAGTAAAAGCAAAAATTATGAGCTGGAATTACGTATCTAAAGTCTTGTTTTTTTAAACGAGCAGTGCGACTTGAATTGAAGGCCAGTTCAAGAAATATGGACCGTCGATTTGATGTGACTTCAAGGAGTACCAATTGAACAGTGGAGATGGGACGTTGGGTTCCCGTGCGAGAGACGGGAGATGGCGTGGGGTATAAATACCGATTTTGGGGGAGGGTTCATCCTGTACCTTATCTTATCCTTCTCGTTTGCGGCATTTCTCCGAGCTCTCCGTCGCTCCTCGATTTCCTCTCTCTGCTCGAGTCCTCTCTCAGTCGAAGAGGAGAGCAAATGGCGGCGGCGCAGTCGGCCTTCTCCCTCGTCTCCTCCTTTTCGGCGGCCTCCTCGTCGGCGTGCCCCTCGCCGGCGCTCCGCAACAACGTCAGATTCCCTCTCCGGGCCCCTTCGACCTTCCCCAGCTCCAGGCGGTCGACTTCCCTGCGGCCGCTCGCGGCCGTGGACGTGCCCGAGAACGTGGAGAAGCTCGGAGAGGAGATAAGCAAGCTGACGCTCGAGGACGCGAAGAACCTCGTCAACTTCCTGGAGTGCAGGCTCGGCGTGTCGGTGGCTGCGTTTGCGCCGGCAGCAGCGGCCCCCGCCGCCGTTGCAGGAGTCGACGCCGGTGCCGCGGCCGAGGTGGAAGAGAAGACGGAGTTCGACATTGTCATTGAGGATGTCCCCGCCAATGCAAGGATCCCGACCATCAAGGTCATCCGGGCCCTGACGGACCTGTCACTCAAGGATGCGAAGGAAATGATTGAGTCCCTCCCGAAGAAGTTCAAGGAGGGTGTCTCGAAGGACGATGCAGAGGATTCCAAGAAGAAGCTCGAGGAGGTCGGAGCCAAAGTCTCAATTGTGTAAGGTTACAATGTGGAGAAAACTTGGGTAAGTGTGGTATGCCAATTTTCCTTCCCAACTCTCAATTTTCTATGGTTCATCTATTTTTTTTATTTAATTATGAGTTTATAACTTTTTCCAGGCTTGACCAGGTTCTTTTTACGTGATGCATTTGTCTTGGGGACCAATAAATCATTGGTATTGTTCTTTCAGAAAAATTTAGCTTGAGAAAAATGGGAAAATATTTTAGTCGCAATTCACCACAGCTCAGATTAGCATGATGATAGAATAAAACCGGTGGTATTGATGATATAATTTTAATATTAGTAAAAAAGATGGTGCGATGAAAATAATCATCCGAGAGTGACCCAATTGGTCTAGCTACCATTCAGAATGTTTTAGATGTATTTTGAGTGTTTTTTTAGGTGAATTAGTCAGAGAAATTGGGAAAGAAAGCTCATAATGAAAAGATTTTACTTGAACAGCTGAGAGAACCCGCTTTCTCGGATTGGCATTTGCCATCTCCCTCATGAGAAGTGTGCCCGGTGACCGTCTTTCATCTTTTTGTGCTCCCATTGAATTCTTTGTTCCAGTTTCAGTAACTCTGATGTCATTCTGGATATCGTAGTGCCTTTGAACTTCAAAAAGGGCACGTCTAAATTTAATGAGGATCCCTTCAAAATTATCAGTTTCTTTGTGTTTTTTTCTTCTAAAGATAAGTGCTCATCTATCCCTTTGTCCTTGGAAGTTTATAAATCGAATTACCCTTGTGCACTGTGTCATCACTCGGGAATCCTTTCAGGAGAGCATGGAAATGAGCCTCCTTGGGTTTCTTCCACATCTCTAACGGCTCTTTGCCAGCATGTGGGCTGTATACTAGGTTCTCGTTAATTTGCTCGGATAATTGGTGCTGTTGGTATGAAAATAAAACTTTTCGAAAGCTGGGATTCTTCAGGAATCGTTCCAATGTCACATGTGGTGGCATAAAGAAATCGTGCAACTTTTTTTTTGTCACAATTATTTTATCAAGCAGATACCTCATTCCGCTGCTCCAAAAGTATAATCCGTCGTTGGGCCCTTGCGTTGTCTTATACCCAGCACTAGAGCTTATTCACACCTCTGGAAAAAAGTCAAAAATCAGAAATGTTGGGGAAAGATTGTGCCGATGCCATGAATTGTTCTTCCCCTGATTATGGTCTTGTAAGAAGATGGATTTGAAGATTATCTTGAGTTTTTTTTTTGATGTATAATTAATCATGGCTTAATGTTTATGTGGTAATTGAGCTGATCTGAACCCCTCAAGATCTCTATGGCACTATGGGCTAGCTGCTGGCTGACGATCTTTTCTCTCATGCAGAGGATTCTGTCCTTGAAGCTCTCCCATGGAAGTTGCTGTTGGAGTTGAGTGAAGAGAGAGAGAGGGAGAGCTTGTGTTGTTCGCCAATCTTGTAGACGCAGATTCGGGGTATCTTTTTTGAAGTCCATTGTTCTAGTTTGGCTTTTCTAAGGAGAAGGAGAAGAAGAATGTTGAATGGGAAGAGTGCATGGGAATCCAGTTCGAATGCCTCTTAAAGATTTCTTTTCACATCCTCTGTCATTATCTCTTGCACTTAACTTGAGTTCATTCTTTCGATCCTCACAAAAAAGTCCACGCAAAGATATATATACATGAGTGAGTGAGTGAGTGAGTGAGTGAGTGAGTGAGTGAGTGAGTGAGAGCGAGAGAGAGAGAGAGGAATATTAGATAGATCATTGTAAAAAGGATCAGGTACCCTCCTGAAAGATTAGATAGATCATTGTAAAAAACTTCCAATGGTTGAAAGCTGACTATTTACAGGCATTATAGACATAGAGAGAGAGGAATATATACATATATGTATGAGAGAGCGAGAGAGAGAGAGAGATTCCAAAAAAAATCAAGTACCCTCCTGAAAGGTTAGATCATTACAAAGACTTCCGATGGTGCAAAGCTGACTATTTACAAGCAATAAAGATATTGAGAGAGAGGAATATATATATATATATATATATATATGTATATATATGTGTGTGTGTGTGTGCCTGTGCCTGTGTGTTTGTGTGTGTGTGAGAGAGAGAGAGAGAGGAGAGAGAGAGAGAGAGAGAGAGAGAGATTCCAAAAAAGGATCAAGTATCCTCAAGAAAGGTTAGGTCATTAAAAAGACTTCCAATGACGATAATCTTGCCGCAGGGTATCTAAATTATTGGTTAACATCTGATACATGAAAGGATCCCAGTAATTAAACAACAAAAAATAATTCTTCTGCCCCCTGAAAGCAGTAGAATTCATCGCTCACCCCGTTGAAAAGACACGGGCAGGGTCTCATCTTATCCCATGACAGCCACTCCGCCAGCAGCCTTTATCTTCTCTATGATCTCATTGGCCTCCTCCTTGGTCACCCCTTGCTTCAACAAAACCGGGGTCTTCTCAACCAGTTCCTTCGCCTCCTTCAGGCCAAGGCTAGTGAACGCCCTCACCTCCTTGATCACCTTGATCTTGGCCGCGGCATCGAATTTCTCTAGCCTCACATCAAATGCCGTCTTCTCCACCCTCTCCTCAGCTTTCGGCGCTGCTGCCCCGGACTTTGAGCCCAAGTCAACGCCCTCCGTGGAGACGGGCTGCAGCTTCGGATGCTTCAGCCGCTCCCTGAGAGTGGGCCCGATCTGGGCGAGCTCTTCCCGGGAGAGCGAGGCCATCCGATCCGCCAGCTGGACAATTTTATCCGATGGGGGAGGGCGAGGCCCATATGGGTCGTAGACTTCAGGGTATTTGTACTTTTTGGGCGTTGACTTTGGGTCCCGAGGGACAAAATCCGGGTAGAAGTGCCGACACTGGAGAGTCTCCACCAAGTTTCTTTGGGGATGAGCAGCTGGGACGCAGCGGGCATACCTCAGAATATTGAAGAGTCTCATATTTTTCTGTCAAAAAAATAGAATTTAGAAAATCACTTGATCATGAGCATTGGGTTATCAAAGATGTCAAAGGGGATACTGCGAACAGTTTGCCAACAATAATGTGAATAAATAGGCTACGTAATTTTATCAACAATAAAATAAATAACATTATTTTAAAAAATGGGACGTGCAAATGCATAAAAAGAATATAAAACAGTGGTTCGGAAATCAATCCAAACATCAAAACTTCAAGAGTGATGTTAATTGACGAGATAATTCAACAACTGAAGGGACAAGACGACTTTATTAAAATTAAAACACAATGTTAAGTATTTTCCAAAATAAATATACGGGCACAAACTTATAATGAAGAAAATTAGAAACTATGAATAATTTCAAGTCACTCGAAACAGTTTACTAGGTTAATTATCTCCCAATACAAGTAGAAGATCACATCTAGAACCATGATTAATGATTGAAAGAATGTGTTTTGTTACTGTGGGTCAGTGGAAGGAGAGGAAATTTCTAAAGGCAGAATCTAAGCTAGAGGTCATTCATGAAAAATTTCGACAGCAGGCAATGCAGATTTCTACGAAACAGCAATGTGTGGGAAAATTACCTGAACTTGATATATCCCTTCTCTATACCCCAGATGATAGACAACGTGGGTCATTTATGGGTGGACTCTTGTATGACTAATGGACTCTGGATGTCTGTCCTTCATTCTTTGGCATCCAATGCCAGCATGGAGAAGCTTTAGTCGACAGATTATGCTGGAGACATAACTCCTGCCCTAGAGACCACCGTTAACAATGGTGGGGTGATACCTGTAGTGTTTGGCTTTCGGAAAAGGAGGGGAACCCAGGAGTCAACCCATGACACTGACAACGCAAGCATTATAATGTTATGGGTCAGCTAAAATGGCAATTCAGAAGCAGTCAAAATCGATGTCAAAGGGTAAGTTATAGTCAGTACTTTCATTAATCGTTCATAAGTTTCTTATTCAATGGTCTAATTTATCTTCATGGGGTACTAAACTTCCCTATTGGGTCATCCAACCGACTAAATTGTACAACAGTGTTTCTTTGAATTTTTAGGAAAATTATCATGATATCAATGAAGACACAGTTGATAATCAAACTCAATCCCATCCCCTGTTCAGATTCTTCAGACCCGCAACACCCAGTAATCACAATGTTCTTGAACTTCTAGAATTCTCCATCATCATAGCATTGCCATTCTATTGACCAATGATAAATTCAATCCTCATTTCTACATGCGTGTAGCATTGAGTATGGAGTACAATGGTCAACACCGTTTACTTCTGGATCCGTGATGAATATTTATGTCTGACTGCAATTTTCCTCGCGTCATCAACGTTTCCTGAGTTAATTATTCTCGACATCAATCAAAATCATTCCACCGCTAGGATACTCAAACCATTTCTTTCAGAGAGAATGCATTTAGAATCATACTTTTGTTCTAGTGAATAGCATGTTTACTTTTCGAAGATTTGTATGCGCAGAACAATCAATGCGTCTATGTTATGCACTCACGGGAGATATTCTTTCAACATACATGCATAAGATGTTAGTCAGTCATATGATCATCCGATGTTAAGAATTAACATCTCATGATACATGAACGATTATTACTTCAGTGATACCTGTGTTGCCTCAGTGTGCTTCCAGTTGAGCTACGCAGACTCACGAACAAGCGATCCAGTGACAGATTCCCGAAGTACGGGCACTCGCGTACTCTGTGTGTGCGTGTGTGTGTGTGAGAGAGAGAGCGAGAGAGAGAGCGAGAGAGAGAGAGAGAGAGATGAATGCGCATAAGATTGGTGCCGTAAAGAGGGAGGTAAGCGCTGGAGAGAGAAAGTGTTTCTCTCGGCCGTGGAATCGCCGACGGAACAGGGTGACAGAGAGGGAAGTGGAGGAGCCCGACTCCCCCCGGTGAGAAGAGGGGAGGGTACCCGGCTGAGGGAAGAAGAGGGCCGATTTCCGCCAGAGGAAGGAGAGTTTCGAAAGTCCCGTCGGAGGGAGAGAGAGCAGGCCTCTCCGCCGCCGGCGGCAGAGGCGGTGCTGATTGGCGGCGATTTGGGAGTAGGGTTGAGTTCCGGGGAGGGATAGAGAGAGAGAGGGTTGGAAATTAATGGGTCAGTTTTAAGTCTGGAGACCGATCCAACTTGGCCCAGGTTTTCCTGCTATTGGGCCTTATGAATGGTCCAACGGGCTGGAATGGCCCAGTTTTAAGTCTACAACTCACTGACCATTTCCATCTCATCACTGGCCTGCTCCCCACTCGGGAGAGTTGATGTCGTTTCATCCTCTTCCCGTTCCAGACTACCCCCCCTTTCTCTCTCTCTCTCTCTCTCTCTCTCTCCATCTCTATCTCATCCTCTCCCCATTCCATTGTACTTTCCCTCTTTCATCGTCCTCTTTCCCATTCCATTTACTTTCTCTCTCTCTGTCCCTCGTCCTCTTCTTACCCTTCGATATTACTCCTCTCTCTCTCACTCCCTGTCATCTTCCTCTTCCCATTCCATTTTCTTCCTCTCTCTCTGTCTCTCAACCTCTTATTCCCTTCGATATTACTCCATCTTCTTTCTCTCTCTCTCTCTCTCGCTCACTCTCTTACTCTCTGTCATCTTCCTCTTCCCCTTCCATTTACTCTCTCTCTCTCTCTCTCGCTCACTCTCTTACTCTCTGTCATCTTCCTCTTCTTCTCCTTCCATTTACTTTCTCTCTCTCTCTCGCTCACTCTCTTACTCTCTGTCATCTTCCTCTTCCCATTCCATTTACTTTCTCTCTCTCTCTCTCTCTCATCCTCTTCTTACCCTTCGATATTAACCCGTCTCTCTCTCACTCTCTCTCATTCTCCGTCATCTTCCTCTTCCCATTCCATATTACTCTCTCTTGCTCTCTCTCTCTCACTCACTCACACACACACACACACACACACACACACACACACTGCAGCGTGAGAAGGTTGCAGCAGCAATGGCGGTACCAGGGCGGCATGGGGGTTCACTGGAACACCAACAATGGCGGCGCCCCCGACTGTACATTCCATACAGTTGAAAGCAGAACTAATGGCTTAAGCATGGACAGTTATAACCGGGCCGAAAGGATCAAACGACTCAAAGCGGGGTCAAAACCAACGTGTAGTCAATTCCATGCAGCCAACATCCCCGGCTCTTCATTTACAACCAGGGTAGAGAGAGAGAGAGAGAGAGAGAGAGAGAGAGAGAGAGAGAGAGAGAGAGGGCTGTAGTGTGACTTTGGAACCTTCATGACGCAGAAAATCAGGCTGCTGGGTTATGGGATCCGGCTCTATGCATGACCAGATCGGGCCCGGGAAAAAATGGACACGGAGGGTGATTTGCAAAAGTCAACGAGGAGGTGGCGCCACATTTCAAGGATTAGAAGTTGAGACGATTCACTGTTAGAAGCCTTTATGGAGAAGAGAAACTGAGTTCACTGGGAGAAATAAGAAAGAAACATGGAAAATTCCTTCACCAGTGGGGGACGAGATCGACCACACATCAGGTGGAATTTAAAGCCAGAGAAACTACGACTTCGGTCGTCCCCATGGAAGATGGGGGGGGATGGACCTAGACCAAAGGATTAGAGGCGGAGGATCCGTGGCTGTTCATCATGCCGCCCCACAAGCCGACGCCAGCGGGGTAGTAGAACCCATCCCGGCCGACGTCGGCGCAGCCCTGGTCTTGCTGCCACTCGAGAGACAGCAGTTTCTCGTGGGGCTTTGTCTCCACGGGATTGATAGCCATACTCTGGCACGCCTCCATGAAAACGCCGCTGTGGCCGCCGTCCATGGAGAATCCCGGTGGAGAACCGCCATGGAATGTAGAGGAGAGGAAGCCATGGTTCATGTCCCCGAAGCTGCCCATGCTGCGGCCTCCGCCAGCGGTGGTGGCGCCGCCGCCCATGAAGAGGAGGTTTCCGGGGTTGCGCAGCACTGCGCCGAACTCTCCTCCGTCCACGGCACCGTGGCCCTCGAGCATGCACTCCATTAAAGCGAGGCCGTGAGCGTTGCCTGCCAGAGAGCCGAGGTGCGGCAGCTGCAGACCCGGGTAGGACGGGAGGGGGTTCAGAGGGGGCGCCGGTGGCGCCTGGGGGATCTCCATGGCGGGCTTCTTCCCCCCCGATCTCTTGTTCTTCCGGCAGCCACCACCAACAGGGACGTTGCGGAGGGAGCCTCCCTTGGTCCAATACCGGCGGCAGGTTTTGCAGAAGTATCTGTAATCCCACACAGTGTCGTCAAAACTCAGGATAAATCGGCAGCGAGCATAGAAAACTCATGTTGATGTTTATATGTCACTATTAGACGTGGGATTAATCTATGAACTAAGAATTGAATGATTATCTCCGATGCTGTATGAAGGAACTGAGCCAATCCAGCTCAAAATTCAACAGTACCTTGGTTGAGAGAGGCTGTAGTTGTTGTAGTAGCAGAACTTGGTGTGGGTGGAGTCGCAGCGGGGGCATTTAAGGGGCTGCTCATGTTGAGGGCGGAGGCGGCGCTCCATGGCCTGCGGCGGGCGGGTGCAGGAGATGATCTCCCCCGACAGGGACGAAGAGGAGTCCATGCAGCCTTCTTCCTGAACGATGCTCTGGTCAACCAGTCGACGAGGAAGAAGAAGAAGAAGAAGAAGGGGTGAGATTACCTTAGAGATGATTGAAGCATGAAATTCTGTGCGAAAAATAAAGCGGGAAAAGAGGGGTTGAGAGATTATCATTGGAGTGCGAAGCTCGAGGATGGGGAGCTCTTTAGTTCTTTGAGAAAGGCTTGCAGTTAAAGTGGGAAAACGTAGATTATTGTTTCGTTATCTTTTCTTTGAGTCGTTTCGCCCGCCATTGATTAAAGGAAAAGGAGAGATGTGATCTAGCACGTTGATTTTTCAAGTTTCTCCCTCTCGCTCTCTTTCTTTCTCTCGTCCTCTGTGCATGTATTCATCAGGTTAATGCAGAACGTCTCTCTCTCTTTCTCTCCTCCTCCTCTTGTCCTCGGTGCAGCTAAATAGAGGACGTCTCGCATGGACTCTCTGTCTCTCTGTGTATCTGTTCATGTGGTGCTGCAAGATAATGCAAGATGTCCAAGATGCAAACACTCTCCCTCCCTTCCCCGTCACTCTCTCTCCCCATTCTTCTGTGCATGTGGTGTAGGTTAGAACACGGTGTCTCATATTTTCTGTCTCCTTCTCTGCGTGCGTTTCTCATGCAAGATAATGCAGGGCTTCTCGCAACTTTCAGGAGATTCTCAAGAACGAAGAATGAGTGTATACATGAGCCACTGGAGCGATTAGAGGGAGAATCAAAGACCCTATCCCACTAGAACCCTAGAAAACGAGAAGAAGACACACGAAGAAGACGGAAGAGGTGCTTCCTTCTTTGGCGAGCTTGCTCTAAAATAACGAGTATTCCCTTCATCCAAAAAATATGTCGGAGATTGGATGAGAAAACCATGATAGTTCAATGGCCGTACCTTGAGCCATTCTGCGGTATCCATGTGAATGTTCATCGAGCAAGAAGACGACGGTAAGAGTGATCCTTTGGCTTCTGCGAGTTGGACGTGGGGAAGGGGGGCTCCAGCAGGCGGGTGAACGCGGAAGAAAACGAAGAAGAAAGATTCTGCGAGCAGATGTGAGAACGAAGGCAAGTGGAGAAGCCGGAGCGGATATAAAGGGGGTTCTGTCCCCGCCACCCCCCGCCGGCGGCCCCCACACTGTCGGTAGCGGCGGCTTGCCGAGCCGTAGGGAGAATCTGGACACGTGGCCATCGCCATGATGCGGCGGCACGAGGAATATATCGGACTTGGGAAAAGACGGCACCCGAAAACCGAAAGCCCACTCCAAGGCGGGAGCCGGCGGCGGCGGAGGAGACAGCGCCACAACTCCAGTCCGCTCCTCTGCCCTCTGAGACTGTCAGCTTTTCCCCTCTCTCCCCTACCAAGCTAAGTATCCATTCCCCAAACCCCGTTGCTGCCCCACACTGAGGGACCCGCATAAGAGATCGCCACGACGAACAGGATTCCGCCGCCGCCGTCGCCGTCGTAGCTGCTTGACTGGGCGCGAACGTATCTCGCGTGCTGTATCCCGATCGTCGATGGTCAAAAAGGAGAGAGGTCACGTTAGTAGATTCCTTCCCCAAGCGTCTTTGAATGAGAGAGATAGAGATAGTGGGGGTAATAGTGTTAGAGAGAGAGTGGAAGGGGGAGAGAGGGAGAGTCCGTAGGTGTACATACACCTTCTACCCACAGTCGTGTCCGAGAGAATCACATGAGGAAAAGCGGCGGGAGGGTACGATGAACGAGAAGCATAAACCATCTGGGAAATCAAGTTCTGAAGCCTAAGTCTTGAACTTATCTACTTCCACCGAAATTTAGGGTTTCGATGGTGGTTTAGACAGAATCACACAATTTCTGTTAAGTGAGGCCGCAGATGATAACCTGGAAAGATAGTGTTTGACTTATTTTATATGCTTACTGCCTTCCAATAACACAATAAAGCAGTGATTTTCACACTAGGAAGCATAAGAATGCATAAAACCGAGCACAAAATTAGGAGTACAAAGTAAGCGGCTAACATCAAATGAATGGCTATCAAAACTCGTTCTCTAAGAGATAACTAGATCACAAGATGGAAGGATGACCGCGATGGTGGACCGGAGATGATGTTTTTGACAATTTATTGACCCACGTTCTGGGCCTTATTCAGAATGACGCCCTCGTACTTGACCTGGAACCACTTCATGGCATCATCCTTGGTGACCCGGTGCTGGATCCCCACCCGAGACTTGCACCGGCGGCGACGGCCAACTCTGTACCCGGCGCGCTCCAGCACTACGTAGAAGTCCATCCCGTAGATACCTGTGGACGGATCGTACCTGCTCACCACCAATTCAGTCTATGAAAAAAACAACATCAAACTCCTCCAGATGAGGGCTTTAAAGATATAAGGAACAAAAACTTAATGCGCAATTAACAATTTTGGGGAGGATACTAGATCAACGCAGAATATGAACTACTAGATAAAAAAAAAAAGAGGAAGGAATTCATATGTAGCATTCATTCATTGAACAAAGTACACAATGATCTGTGATAGAGCAGAAGATGGCTCAGGCGTTTGCTTCTTATTCAAGCTGAGAGGTCTGAGACCATAAATTCTAGCAAATGTATTGGGAATTATCGTTTCCAAGGAGAATAGATGAAACAATTGAGGAAAAAATTGAGGAAAAAAATTGAGGAAGACAGATTGTATGCAGCTTGCATTAAGGGGTTCATGGAATGAGTAAATAGAGAACTGCGACAGAGCAAAAGAAGGCTCAGATTGTTGCTACTCTGCTCAAGGAAGGACTATGGAAGAGTCCTTCTCATACAAGAGGTGTCAGAAGAAGCATAGTTCATCACAGCCCAATTAATGCAAGTAGAGGGCAGTCCAATTAAAGGGAGTCTGTTGAGTGCGTTCAAGAACGACTAGTCCCTTAATGCAACTAGCATTAGGGGATTCTTGGAACAAGTAGAGAACTACGGCACAGTAACAGATGGCTCAGATAGTTGCTACTATGCTCAAGGAAGGATTATGGAAGAGTCCTCATACAAGAGGTGTCAGAAGATGCATAGTTCAAGACATCCCAATTAATGCAAGTAGAGGGTAGTCCAACTAAAAGAGAATATGTTGAGTGCATTCAAGAGCGACTAGTCCCCTAATGCTTGTTGCATTAAGGGATTCACGGAACAAGTAAGTAGAGAACTGCGACACAGCAAAAGATGGCTCAGATAGTTGCTACTCTGCTCAAGGAAGGACTATGGAAGAGTCCTTCTCATACAAGAGGTGTCAGAAGATGCATAGTTCGTCACAGCCCAATTAATGCAAATAGAAGGTATGTTGAGTGTGTTCAATTAATGCAAGTAGAGGGTAGTCCTATTAAGGGATGTGTTGAGTGTGTTCAGGAACGACTAGTCCTTTAATGCTAGTTGCATTAAGGGATTCATGGAATGATTAAGTAGAGAACTGCAAAAGAGCAAAAGATGGCTCAGATAGTTGCTACTCTGCTCAAGGAAGGACTATGGTAGAGTCCTTCTCATACAAGAGGTGTCAGAAGAAGCATAGTTCATCACAGCCAATTAATGGAAATAGAGGGCAGTTAAGTTCAAGAAAATGAAAGTCCATGTGTTTCAAACCTCTTGTATGACAGGGCCGACTTCTAAAAGCGTACATGATGGAATCTAAAAACACATACTTTGAGGAAACTTTAGACAAGCACTTACGAAAAATCTATTTCATCAACAGGCAGTATCATACCTAACATATGATCATGCAGTTCAGAAGACAACCAAAGTCCCAATTTAATGGCATAGAATTTGGATGTTCCCACCTCATACTGATCGGATTGGCCCATGACGAGTACAAAAAGGGCATCATTTAGAGTTAACGGTAGGATAAGAACGATAACACCAAAATGTTTCCACTGATAGCTGTAAAAAGGTGCACAACCGGAACAAGAATTGAAATTGATTCAAGCCTCAGGGCACTATTATTTTATCTTTCAGTACTAATGAATATTTTTTATTCAAACCGTATTTTTTTAAATAATCAACATTTTCAAACCACAGCACGAATATTCCCGCCATTGATTCTCTATACCAGTGAATTGGAACCAATCTTCAAAATTTTCAACATTTCCACGCAATATGGAACGTACCGTATGTGGATACAAATTATTTCTGGGCTCAATCAAATTTAAAGAAACAAATTAAATTGCAACTTACTTGATCCCGAGATCAATGTGTTCCTGGATACCAAAGCCAAAACATCCACTTTCACTAAAGTTCCTCCTTAACAACTCGTATTCCTTCACCTTTAAACCACTTTCCAAAAGTTGCATTGCCTTCTCGCCTCTCACAGTAACATAGCATGCAATCTTCTCATTACGCCTAATCCCAAAAGATCTAACAGTATACCTAGCTGCCATAAAACAGAGGTACATCAGCAGGTTCTAGCTTTACTATCCAATTTGCACATAAACATTATTACACTATTCAATTACTTACCCTTTGAGAACACTGGGCTTTGGCCACTCAACTGTTCCAAAACCTGGAAGTTCAAATGTACCAAATAAAGACATCATATTCTTTCTCAAATAGCATAAAATCAGTAAGACTTTAATTTACTAATGATGGTGATTATAAATCTCCGTGCCAAAAAACGACACAGACTACATTGGTTTATGATACAACAATGCCAGATGGAAAAGAAATGAATACGAAAATCTCAACCAATGCAATGATATCAAACTGAGAAGCAAGTCCTAGAGTCGGAGTATCAAACAGGTATAGGAAGTGCAAACGATCATGCCTCGACATTCCATTGTAAGACTTACAATCCCGTCGAAATAATCGATGGGGCCCACATATACCAATTTGGAAGCACAGTGGCGGCTATCAATTCAGGCAAATAACCCCCAGACGTCAGGCAATTCCAAACGCTCCGTCGTCTAACACAACCAGGCAGACTGCCTCGGGATGATGTGGATTAAAAAGTTTCCATCTGCTTATCCGCCAACTATCAACAGCAAAAACGTACTAGTCGCCATCAAATCACTCTCCCTACATTCAACAAACCTTCCCGTTCTCTACTATGACCTTCCGACATCAATCATCCACGGATAGATACTCTACATCCAGAAAGAATAGGTGTCCTGGGGACTGGTGCGCTGTTTGAGACAGAGAAAGAAAGGCTTACCTTGGCGGCCCTGGTGAGTCGATCTCCACTTTCCCCAACGCAGATGTTGAGCACGAGTTTCTGCACCTTGATCTCCCGCATCGGGTTCGACAGCTTCTTCTCCGACGCCTGCGTCGGAGCAAAACAAATCGATCGCCAGATTCAAAACACACGTGGCGTAGAACCACAAACCATAGCACCCGGAACTAGCGTAAGAAGAACAGGAACATAGTAGAGACAGAGGCAAAGGAATCGGAAACAGGACGACGTGCCATGGCTGCTCTTCCCTGTCCCCGGACCGGCGGCAGCTGAAGACGTAGTGACACGCCAGCCTCTCAACGGCAGCTTTATATCCTGCCAGCCCAGGAATCTAAACCCTAGACTGTCTGTGATACCGCGAAGAAGGAGAGTAAAAACGGACGAATGACATCCGTCCGATCAAAGCTGATGATGCCACAAGCCAATGTCGGCTAAAACTAGCGTTAACGTTATTAAAAATATACTATTTATAGTTATTCTAGTTATCCTCTGGCTGTTTATTTAAAAATTCGGTTGGATTGAAAAGATGGATTGATTCATGGGCGAAAATTATGACGAGAAGAAATATGAGGGAATAAATAATTTTTTAGACGCTATTTATATAATTAAAAACATTAAAAATATTTGATGGGGGTATAAAACACATTATAATTGATCACGTGGGATAAGAGGAAGGCGAGATAATAGTTTTTCACATTGCTCATTATTGAACGATCAATAATGTGCACTAATGGCAAACTAGATAACCATAAATTCGATTGATACTATTGATAATTATATGTAATTTTAGACAAATAAAGTGGGAAAAAAATGTTTGAAATTATTGTACCCAATTTTTTGTGAATTAATGCACAATAAATCAAATTGAAGCTTATAAATACTACAGATAAAAAATATTAAACAATAAATAGCTATTTAGGTTAAAATCACATTCAATTGGCAGATTATTATGGTAAAAAACTGCACTTGATCTGAGTTAGTTTGGAGAGATCTTTATTGTGTTGACAAATTCTTAAAAAGCTTACCATCATGTAAGAATATCATTTGGTTGGTCTAGCTCAAAACTTTGATCAAGTTTGGGATAAAAGGAAATAAAATGAACATTAATCATATGGTTCTTCAACAATGGAAGTCAAAGATCTTCAATAGCCATCATGAGGAAGATGAAGATGTGGAGCTGCTGTCCTTTCAATCCCATGGCTCTCTCTCTCTCTCTCTCCCTCTTCTATGTTACTAATATTTTGTAGATGTCGGAGGTTATTAGGAATCTTGGTAAGTTCACTGACCAAAATTGCAAGTGGTGTTGGAGCTTGTCAAACTCAATTTTGGGCTGGGTGAGATGATGTGTGATCGATTTTGAAATGCTCAACCTCAACCCAGTCAAGGCATTAGCCATGCTCTATTGGCTAGCATTGCCACTGTTGTCTTCACTACCTCTTTCATTGCTTGTTGCCCAATATAAATAGGATGAGAAAGTTATACATTCATCACCCTTATAGAAGCTTCCAACAGGTAGGTGGTACTACCATTAATGTGGGTAACTTGGCATCATTCAACTGATAATAGTATGTCCTTCAATGTAGGGAAGGGAGGGAAGGAAGAAAGTGTAATATTTGCATGATGAGAAAGTAAGATACATCCACCACCCTCATAGAAATTTGCAGCTATTAGTGTCCACAATTAATGTTTTTAGTTTTCCATCATTCAATTGATAATATTATGCCCTTCTATATAGGTAAATGAGGGAAGGAAGAAAGTGTATTATTTTTATTGAATTTTACTTATAAAAAATTAAGTTTTTATCTTCTTCAGAGAAGTTTAATAGTATTTACTTATATCAATGTCTTTTTCTTCTAGAAAAAAATGAAAATAATATAATGGAAGCTTCATTATCATGAGTTAATAATTTATTAATAATATATTCTATCTTAAATTATGATAAATATACTTTATGTTAAATTGAGAAAAGAGGTTTTTAGTTGATTAATGTGAATTTATAGATAATTTTGTGATTTTATGTGATTTTTTAGAGTTTTTATATTTTTTATAATCATGTTTCAGATTAATGAAAAAAAAGAAAAAGAAAACAAGGCCCTAGTTGGCCAGCTAGGACCTTGCAGTTGACTTAGAGGGCACCATGTGTGGGTGAAAGCATGAGTAGGGGGAGCCATGACCCATGGGGCTTGAGTAGCTAATGATTGGTCATGGTACATGTATGTCACTCCCCTTCCACATCATTGAGGGCCAACTGGGTGTAGAGGGAGTGGTCGTACACATATGGGTATGCAAGAGAGATATGTTGAAGAAAAAAATAGATATTGATATTTATGTGTCACAAATATTAGAGAATAATTTCTGAAAATATTGAAAAACCAAAGCCAATGCTATCTAGTAGGTTTTAATGTTTTTGTATGGAAAATACTCCTAAAGTATAAGAAATAAATGCCTCCATGATGTTATTGGGTTAAAGGTATGTAGGTAATTCAAATTCTCTTTCTCAAGTAGTCGAGTGATTAATGAGTCGAATCCCACCATAGTTAAAATTTATATTTTTATCTAATTAAATTATGATTTTTCTATAGAATGCTAATCAACAATCAAGTTGTTGGAATCTCTTGATCATTGAAAGAAATTTCGTCAACACTATTCGAAGATCGTAGCAACTGACTAAGGATTTTGAATATAAAAATAATAGATTCTTTAAGGAAATTATCTTCGGCTGATCAACAAATGTAATGTCATAAAAAAATAGAGTGATATGCTAGGAGATGAGTCAATCTCCTCAACATATCAAATGCGATGAAGAGCATCTTCTTATTACATGAACCTAAGGATGAAGCTAACTAAGACACACTCCACTTCCATCACACTTATATCCACTAGTTGCAACAATCAGAGATTCTTCATTTACTTATTTTCATAAATTTCTAGATTTTGAAATCTAGAGATTACTTATGTAGTGAATGATCAAAAAGAGTCTTTGAGGCCATATATATCACATGATAATTCTTCTGAACACATAGTTTTAACAATTGTCACTATGACACTAGAGCTATGTCTTTCTTATTTTAAACTTTTTTTTTACATTAGCGACATTTTATGTGAAACTCTTCTTTAGTCAATTATGATTATTTTAACTTTTTACAAATCTTAATTTGATCAATTCAATTGTCTATAATCATTTACGTAAGAATCATTAAGTAGAACTCTATTTTTTTAGAATTGCCTATATCGAGGTACTGACATCATCTTAATATATGCACTTAAAATTTCTTTTTTTGTGAATTTTAAAATAAGTTTTCTCTTTATTATTTAGTCTAAAAATCATAAAAACCTTATATATAAGAAAAAAATTAAAATTCTACCCAATATTATCTTACATCCTTGTGATCAACTTAGAATTTTTTTAATATTTTTGGAACCATTTATCAAATTATAATTAATTTATTTATGTTAGAATATTTTTAAAATCTTAAAATTAGTATTTTTTAGGTTTATAGATTTTAAATTTGTATGATTTATTATACAATGATTAGGTCATATCAGGCAACAAGGAGCTTAGACATTTGTTTGAATATAGAAAATATTTTTCTTAAGATTTATATTTAGAAGTAAGGATTTTAGACTACAATTAACATGAATTCATTATATTGTTAGTGACTCTAGAACACTATTCTTGATTTTTTTCTTTGTTCTTATGAAATATAATTTTTAAGAATCTTAAGGTTCAACACTTATATAAAATATAGGTTAACTCTTCAACTTGATGAGCATTATGTGAGCCAACTCTCAAAACTTATGGCATAGACATTTTAAGGCTTAATTTGTCCATTTTTCTATGAGAATGGAGTTGCTTTGAGTAGTTTTTGTTCACAAATAATAGATGCCTTAATTGTGGCCCTTTCTTGAAGTGTCAACACTTGAACATAGGTTATGAGATTTGTTTTGCCCTATTGGAAATTTTCTCTAAGGTGTGAATTATATCTTTTATAAAAAGAAATTTATTTTCAATAGAAAATTTGTTTCAAAGTAATATCAAAATGAAACATATATACTTACAAATCCTCTAAGAACATTTATATTGTATGACATTCTTGAAGGGCCATTATAATGTTGTTGACATGTTTTATAATTATGAGTTTTAGAGAGAGTTTTATGAAATAAGGTATTGATTATATCTAAGCCTTAATCACCTCAACTTAAGTGGGCGTTATACTCTAAAAGATTATTTTCTGGATGGAAATAATTGAGCATTTAAGACAAAGGCTAGGTTATTTTCTTTCCCTAGTTTTTATGTTTAGTCTAATTGTTGAGAATTGATCATGCATTAGTCGTTGGTTTTAATACATATATATTTAACAAACTTTATAACTAAACTCTCTAAATAAATTCTAATATTAGTGGAAGTTCAGGTGTATCTTCAGAGATGTTGAGAACTAGTTTTGATAAATTTCTAATTTTTCTAACACAAATACTAATTAAAATGAAATAAACAAAATGAAATAAGATGAGAGAAATGATGTAATCTTCTATTCAATACTTTATATCCTCGTCCAATTGATTTTGTTAATTTAATTCTCTTATCACTATAGAAAATTACAAAGAAGGTTTTAATGATGAGATGATTAAATCATGAATAGAGAAAAATGAATTAGATATTATGAAGTGGAAAGTTGAGAGGGGTGGTTGCCAATAGAATGACTTCTATTGATGTGGATTATTCCTTGACATAATTAAATCTAAGATATAAAATAAAATTAAAATAAATAAAATGTATAAACACCTTGGTTTTAAATCAAGGATAAACTAAAATAATTAAATTCGTAAAAAAAAGAAAATTTTAAACTAAAATCAGACTTTGTTATTTGTCACACATCAAAGTCATATGGAACTAAGAAATCTTTTAATTAGAATATAAAAATTTAAATAAATATTATAACTTCGAATAAAAATATTTTTCTTTCCTTGTTTGTCACCCAAAGATGAGAAGAGAGATTACAAGTATTCAAACCATAATTTTAACTAAATTTTTAATGATGAAGACTAATATCAAAAACTAATGTTATATCATTTCCTTGTCTATCACCCAAGAAAATGAGAAGAACGAAGTACTTAGATTAATTGAATTAAAAAAGGTTTCTTTGATCAATGTCTGT